GCAGGGCAGTCACGACGGTGACGACGTTCAACACACACATATGTAAGTAATGGCACATATATATCAGCTCAATTTTAGGATTTTATTGTATTTAACGAGATTTATTCGGTATTTTTATGACTACATAGAAATGCTACAGCCGTGCTCATCGTCGGCGACGACGACGACGGACCTACAGCGGGCGGCGACGATGCGCCGGAGAGGCGGGACGCAGCGCCGAAGAAGCGCCTCACCTGCGATGCCGACGCTGTCACTTCACACGTGGTAGTCCGCCCTAGGGTTGGGGTCTGCTACCAGACTTCTACCCGGACCGCGGCCGGAAGCGGCAAGAGCACGGCGGTCGACGGGGCAGACAGCGAGGACGGGAGTCGGGCAGAGAAGAGGACGAGCCTTATTATACTAGCGTAGACGCTGACGTGTCCTGTATGTACACCGGTGCTCGAGCGTTGAAGTCAGAGGGGACGAGGTGGGGTACCCAGGGGGGGCGTTCAGGTGGGGTGGCAAAATAAGGTTTTCAAGACCCCTTGGTCTCGCGTCTTAGGGTGCAGTCCCAAGTCTAAGGGCTCTCGCTTTTGGTGTCACTCGGGTGGCGAGGAGGTGAGTTGCCAAACGCGATGACGCTGCGGCTGGTCCGATCAGAGCGATCGGTAGATCTCAGCTAGTACTTGGACTGTGTTGACAGCTTCGTTCTGATACGCCACAAGGCTACCCGAATTTCAAGGCACAGGTACATTTCAGCGCGGATTGCACAGGCTGTGTCCAGCACATTCCTGCGAGTGTCCCAGAGGAGATATGAGAACGGCAGAAGATATGTCTGTGAGAGAGAGCAGGACTCGGGTATCGGCAACTAACGGTGGAGATCTCGATGCGACGCCCTGTCAATGCTTCTTTTCCACGTGGCTTGTAAACCAGAACGGCAAGGTGTAGGACGAAGCAAAGCCGCTGGGAGTGTCCTTGGACGTAAAGCGGGGCGTCGCGAGGCTACTGGACGGCGACAGCCGCAGAAGTAGGCTTGGATAAGGTCAGAGGCAAACGTGGGCCTGGGTAAATCGCGCTGCAAGAAGGCGGCTCGCTTAATATTATAGCGTTTCAGAATATTTGTTCCGCCGACCAAATAGCGTACGGTTCATCTTCTTTTCTCCAAGGGTCGTCGTTCTCGTCCCCGCCCACTGTCCTTTGTCTTTCATTTCTGCGCGAGCCTTTGCTTGCTGTCGATGGCTTCGCGCGTACCGTCCTTGCAGGCACCCGCTGTCGCTGCCTCGCCCCAGCCCAGCGAAAAGTTCCTGCGCCAGCGCCAGTCCGACCAGTCGCTGCGCGAGCAGGACGGCAAGAAGGCGTCGCTGTCGCACAAGCCGACCAACGTCAGCGCGCGTTCGACCGCGACCGCTCGCAGCCTCACCAAGGCCGCTGCCGCTGCCGGTGCCGCGGATCCCAAAAAGGCACCTTCCGCGTCCCCATCCGCCAACGCGCCCCCTGTACTCAACGTCGTCTCCTCCAACGGCAACACGCTCTTTAATTCGTCCAGGTTAGTTGAGAATATCAAAAGCGACACCGAGCACGAGGAGGCCCTCGTCGCCGACGAGCTTCGCGACTACATCAACATCTCCGCTCCTTCCAACTTCACCCGCCCCAGCCCAGACAAGGCCTCGCGTATACTTGGCATTCAGCATCGCAGGAGCATGGAGCCCATTCCCGCGTCGACGCGCACTTCAATCGTCTCCACGCGGTCCGCCAGAGACCCCCCTCCCACCCCCACCCACGTGCCTACTCTCCCCCTCACATCTCTCTATGTTGTCTCCGGTCTACCAAAGTCTCCCCATACCTGGACCTTATCAGACCCCGACTCCGTCCTGGGCTTGCACCACAGTGAGGGCGCTGTGAACAGGTGGTGGAGGCCTGAGGTCCTGGGCAGCACCGTCACCCCCGGTGCTGGCGGGTCCGCTCCTGTCCCTGGTTCCAGGAAGAAGAGAAAGGGCAAGGATGCGGATGGGGTAAAGGGGGCGGGTGCCCTTGGCAAGCAGGAAGTGGGCAAGATGCTTTCCAAGGCCCTAAAGGTGCTGATTCTAGCTGTTCTCACTCTGGGGATACCATCTCATCACCTATATCATTAGCTCTCTTTTACCCGGGAGGTCGAAATTATAGCATCTACGTTACAGCCAGCCTCTACTATTCATACATTCACATTTACTTTACCTGCCCCCTCTACTCCCCTTGCGCCGACTCCGTCCGGCGGACTCCTTCGTTCTTCCGTCTTCAGCTCCATGACGGATCCTCGCGCCTCGAACACCGCTCTTTCTTCGTTATACCCATATCATGCCGATGACCCCTTTGCGAATGCCCGGCCTTCGTCGGCATTCCTAGGACCGCCTTCTATTATACCCCCTCCCCACCACGGCGGCGCTGCTGCGTCGGCTGCGGACGACGCAACTGGCACTGGCGCGACCGTCACATATCATGGCGTGTGTCTGACCGTATGGTCTCACGCGGACGCCGAGCGTACCGCTGCCATCCGCCGCACTCTCGAATCAGGCAACGCCAATTCGAGCAGATCGCGCAAAGAGTCCGCCCAGTCGCTCGTCGCAGCGCGCCTGAAGTCACTTCGCGCAGACCTCGGCGCCGACCCCACCATGCAGGCGCGCCGCCGCGCCAAGCGCAGCGCACGGAGCCCGTGGGCGGGCGCGAATACGGACGGCGAGACCGACATCGACGGGGACATGACCGAAGGCGAGGGCGCGATGAGCGAGAGCGACTTCGAGGTCGCGAGCACCGTGAACGGACACGCCGGCCACGGGCCCGGGGAAAGCACCCTGTTCCTCCCCGGCGACACCGTCTTCTGGCTGCCGTACGCGCTCACTTTGGTGTCGCGGCACCCGATATACGACCTCATGCGGGACTACCTCACGCTCTCGTGGGCGCGGTTCTCCAAGGACGTGCAGTCGCATACTTTGCAGATCCACAAGATCTTGTCGCACCCGGCGCCGAGGCCGGGTGACCTTGTGCGGCTCGACGCCAGCGCGAACTCCAAGAACGACGGCGGTGAGGCTAATTTGGAGGTCATCGCCAGGTTCCCCGGTGGCTTGGACTTTGGCAAGGGTCTGGTGGACATCAATTTCACCATGTGGCCGCTGTTCAAGGCTTTGAATGTGGATAATATCTTGACTATATGCGAGGTATGGTCCGCTCGAACTGCGTCTCTTTGAACGAGACTGATAGACTACACATCCAGATTGCCCTCGCGCCCACCGGCCGCGTTCTATTCGTCTCCCGCCATCCAGCAATGCTCGGCGTATGTTTTATTCTTCCCGTTGCTGCTTGCCTTCCTCATATGCATCTGCACAGATTGCTGTCTCTACCATCAAATACCTTGTTGAGCTCCGCGGCTGGAATGGTATTGCTCTGCCTGCAGTTCATTCTCGTGATGCCAAGATTTACATTGATGATCCCGGACCATGGATCATTGGTCTTTCCACCGAGGCTCGGTATAGCGTCCGACCGGCTCCCGACGTTTGTATTTGTGATATGTAAGTGCCAGGTCTTTCCCATTCTATTTAGATCATCACCGAACTCTGTTTCCGTATACAGAGACATCAACTACCTGTAGGAATATCGCTTATTTTCTCACTCGTATCAATGTTAATCTCCAATTCAGGTCCTGCGCATCCCCTCCTCCGGGCGTAGTTTCCATGAAGCAGCAGCGTGACAAATACCGCCAGAAGCTACTTGCCGCCTTTGAACCCCATTACATCCCCGACCATTGCGTCCCCAGCGAGTTCAAAGAGGCCTTCCCCGCCGGCCGCTTCCGCCCTGTATGCAAGATCCAGGCCAAGAGGGGCGCTGCTTCCACTGCTGTCGCAGATACCATTAAACCTCCTGAATGGTGGCATTCGACCAGAATTATCCAGGCGTTCGACAGCGTCTTGCAGGACAAGGTATGTAGTAACGCCACCCTTGCTATTATGGGTGTCATCCGATGAACATGGTCCGATAGTTCAAGAAGCCGTCCTTGCTGAAACGGATCAGTTCCTTCGGTTCAGTGAAGCGCCCGCCTAGGTTGTCCACCGCCGAGCTCCATATTCAGCTGTCAATTCGCAAACGTGCCATGGCCTTCGTCGATGCCCGTGATGATCTGGAGACCAAGATTGGTCGCTTGTCTCGCAGGCTTAATTTCTTGATGACGGAGTCCGATTTGTGGCGAGACAAGTTCGTGACCTTTGAGCAATATGCGGAGAAGCTGAGCGTCGAGGCCAACGACCTGCGCGGAAAGATCAACAAAGAGCAGAAGGAAACCAAGAGGTTGTCTGGCATCATTCACATGACAGCCGCCGAGAAAGCCAAACTGCAGAACCGTAAGAGAACCTGGGTGTCATTAGAGACCTGTTACTGACACCTCCATAGAGCTGAAAGAAACGGAAGCTGCACATCAGGAGGCTGTCAGTGAGCTCCAGAAGATGAAAGAGGCAATGGAGAAGATGGAGCAAGAGCGTGCTGCCATGGTTGCCGAGGTCGAAGCCCAAATTGAGAAGGCTTTGGCGTCCATGGCTGCGGGGATGTACGACGACGACTCGGATTATGATGGGTCCAGGCCCGGCAGTCGCATGTCGTCTACGTCTGCTTCTGGGCGTCGCTCGAGGCAGGCTGGGGATGGCTCCAGGACGAGGCATATCCGTTCTTTCGGCACGGAATCCACGTTGGCGGACTTGTCCGATGGGGACGATACGTTCGTGAAGTCTGACAGGAAGACAGGGACCATACAGGAAGACGAGGAAGAAGCTCCCCTCTCGCCCACCAAGAAGAAGAGGTTCTCTGCCACGCTCACAGACCTGCCTCAGGATGGCATGACAGCCGTTGACGAGGGAATCAGTGAGAGGAGTGATAAGATAGCCCAGAAGGTACTACAGATACAGCAGAAGGTTCGTGTATAATATCATAGATTATTTGTATGTGCATTTTGAGCTAATATCTTTGACAGCTGGAGACAGCCTTAGCTGCCGAGTCACGCACGCGAAGGCGAAAGGAGAGATCTGCAAGTCAAGATAGCGCAAGCGATTCGTCGCATTCGACAGAAGCGGTACCTGCTCGCCCGCATCGGTCCGCCCGCGCGACTCCGAAACCTGCCAGAAACAATCGTATGAGGAGCGGGACCACATCCTCCACGCAGACCGATCGTGGTACGACCGCTCCTGACGATAAGGTCTCAACTGCGACCTTACAGCCGCCAGCGAAAGGCTCGGACCCGGTCGCTGCTGTGAAGTCTATGGAGGAACAGAGTGCACCTATCGCTGCCCCTTCCAAGCCCAGCGAACTGCCTAAGCTCAGGAAGATATCTTCGGGCGTGTCTCTGAGTGCCATGAGACCTGCTTCCCCTTCTGCTTTGACACCGTCAACTCCCGCCTTGACCCCTGGTGTTGGAACTACTGACGATTCGGACACGGACTTCCAGAGCGCTTACTCTGCCAGTCCCCGCGGCAGTTATGCCGGCCCCAACGGAGAACAAGTTAGCGAAGAAGAAGAGTCAGAACCCACTGAAAACGATCACGCTGATGATTTTGGTGTTGGACCCTTATCCGATCTGCCAAAAGCCAAAGGCAAGTTCAGGTCAAGGCGACGGGTATCGAGTTCTGCGACGGCCAGAATTCCGGCGGACCAACCCAGCCCGACCTTGACGGAAGACACGATTGTGTCACCTCGGCGTATCTCTGCGGTAGCTGTGGAGGTCGGCGGTCACCGCTAAGCCATCAGTACCATCGTGTATCTGACGTTATTCGTTCTTTGTGGCCTATATTTCATTCATTTCCCTTATAGTACATCTCGATGCCTTTCGATTATATATACTCCTGATGTCTTCCGTCGTCGGTCGTCTAGAGTTTAAGGTTAATTCCAGTTTCGCGCACTGTCTACATAGTCTGGGATACACAATGGTGGGATAAAACATAGCTAACGATACAAGTTCAAGCATCCATACGTCTCCGCACGTTAAATGACTTCACGACAGCCGCCACCTGACTGAAAAACCACGTCTGCGAAGCCTTATCTGGAATGAACACAAACTTGTCGTGCTCTTTCCCGGCCTTGTGAGCAAAACGGATACCAGTGTCCTCGATGGTGACACCCCGTACGTGCGTGAACGGAAGTTCCCATTCCAATCGCAACTTTCGAGACCAGAAAGACAATACCCGTTCCGCTGTGAGCAGCACTACGTTGTCCCCTCCTGGTAGATCTGATTGACCCAGTCAATGAGGCCCGCTGTGAACATGGCAGGCAATCCTCGCTTACTGATGTGTGCGACGTAATTTTCCCGTCGGAATCTACCGTCATCCAGGTCTTTCATCCAATATTGCCCCAAAGCTGCTTGCGCGCAATACGGCTAGGGGACGGTTAGCTGGTGTGACAACGTCGACAGAAGACACACGTACAACCAATACACCATCCGCTGGGATATGCCGAGGCTACATGGAATGATTTAATGCAGAGTGACACACGGAGACAAGTGCCAACACTCACGAGTCGGACCCTGTCTCGTTCAGGATTGTCGAAGACAGTGGTGGTGTTCCTGATGCCTGTGTCGTTGGGGCTTAGGGTATAAGTGGCAGCTACCATCGAACAGTACCATACCTTCAGATACATTGGATGCCAGGTCGAAGACGCCAATTACTGGCTTGGTTACGGCCCTAGTAAACATCAGATTAAGGAGCGAATATGATAAAGGCCACTACGGAACGAACCCCACTAGTCCCTTCCCAACGCCTTTGAAGAAACCTACCGCGCCGCCCGACTCCGCCCCTTCGATCGGCTTCATCTGAAGTATAGTGTGAGTGCAATCTAGCTCGCGTTCTGGTAAACTGTACTTACTACTACTCCCTCAACGCCACTGGCTACGCTGTTCGCGAACGCTTCTGCTCCGGCTGTCACGCCGTATCTATTGGCATGATGATTAAGCTGCACGGTCCAGACAGTCGTGGAAAGTGGACATACATGGCATGACGAGGTTTATTTCGCCTCTGGGTCATCCTGCGCCTGTTTTGGTACTCAGTGTCGAAAGTTGCAGCAGAAAGACCTGCATAGCCTCAGTTGATGATTCCTATTGAAAGCCGTAGACATCACCTTTGCCAACACTACTGGTAAATTTGGTCATGCTGTCTGACAAACCGAATACCGTTTTCTTAACAAAGCTGGCAGCCCCCTGAATGCGAGCATGAACATCGTTCCAATGTATCCTTCTTGGGACACACCTTAGCTATGCCAATACCCAACTCCTTGTTCCCATGCATGACAACGCCATTCCACGGTTCGTAGAAGATATCCGCGACACCTGAACTGACGTTGGTGAAAAGTCCAACAGGATTCCCAATGAAATCAGCGGATCCAATGATGCGATACAACTGTCGAAGCGTGTCCTGCCGATAGTGGTAGATGATTCTATTCTGAAGCTCGTTGGGAGTTAATCGCATGTCCTTGATAGCGAGTGCGTTCAATTCCAATGGGGCGTCGTTGATATTACCGAGGGTCATAGTGAGCGCATTCACAAGCACTGCCAAGGGATTCCTCGAGCTAAGTCTGTAATCCGACGTTATTTCGCTACTCCGGACATAACTTGCGGTCGCGCAACGTACCTCTCATCACTACTGACGCGTTCGGTACGCATAAATGATATTGAGAGTCTGATGGGCTGAAGCTCCAAAACCTCGAAGTAAAGATCTTGACCAGCAGCTACCTCCTCAGGTTCGGGTATACCATCCGGGTTACGAATGAGGGTGCTTAATGAATGTCATCAGGATGATAAGTGACAATGCAGGAAATACTGACTCATCCTGCGCTTCCTCCCATGAGGCTCCCCTAAATTGGGACAGCTCATACAACTCAAACACGAAGTCCTCGTCGGCCTCTAACGTCAACGCTTGCAGCAATATCGAGCAGTACTTGATAAACATCACGCCATGTTCTGTGATCCCACTATGAGACATAACCCAAACGTGGAGGTATGTAAACGACACTACCTTGATCGTTCAACCAGATAACAGAGGCCTGAATTGTCGGTAATGCCGCACCACCATTGGCTTCTTTAGCTACCGGACTGGGCTGCAGGACAACAGGAAATATTGCGTCATGCAACTGATTGTCGACTTGCAACGTGCCACAAGTGAGATTCAACGACTGTGCCACGTCGCTGGAGGAATATTCGAACTTCAAAGCCTTCGCTGACAAGTAGACGACCTCCACAAGTCTCCGGTTGATGAGAGAGAGGCCAAGGCCAGCAAAATCGAGATTGATACTCAGTGCGGGTGCGACTTGTTCTGTCACGGCTTCGAAGGCGTCCTGGCTACTCGTAGTATCGGAACGCGAGATAGAAGCAGACTGGCGGTGCTTTGGCTTATACAAGCTGAAGACGGGATTGTAGTTCGTTATGCGTAGAATCTGCTTCGGCCCATCCGCCCTAACGTCCAGCGAGACTGTACGGGTACCTGGGGACATCTATCACGAAGTCAGCAAATGGGCAAAGCATTTACTGCGCAAAGTTGCGCACCGGGAACCTGAAAGGCATGAGATCGCCGATCTCCATGATGTCCACTACTCGGGAAGAATCATTGATTCTGAGTTGAATTTTCTTCTCCCGCGCGGCAGGGTAATCCCAGGCGTATTCTAACGAGGAATGTCTCTGCACTGTGTAGGATGGCCTATTCCTTGCCTGCGGTGGAACTCCCATGGATGCGGCATCCTGAACAATCTCAGCAATATTCCATAGCGGTCTCTAACAGACATACCACTTGAGCGATTGTGAAATCAAAATCGCTGTCGTTTTCCACGACAAATGGCCACCCATCTTGAGCCGGCGAGTACGATACAAATATGGTGGCACCTCCCATTTTGACGTCCGCTCTAACAAGGCGTATAGTACTTGATTCACCCGGTACACGGAGTCGCAGGTGCACAGACCCAATGTCTTCGATGTTGATGGGCGGTGACCTGAGGATATTGTCATTGGAGCGTTTGATCCGGTCATTCAATGAAATACTCACCAAACAGCGTCTAGTCCCGGAAGTGCCACCGTCAACAGTTTTTCCTGATCCACCCTGGTCCAGTCTAGTGATGCTCGTTCTCCAGGTTGCAGCATGGACCGGTCATGAGGTGGGACTCCATGTTCACGGAAAATTAGAGGTTCGAGGAGACAGTTCTTAACAAGAAAACGCGGAGATAGCGTAATGACTTTGGTGAGCTTGTACTTGCCACTGCCTTCTGTCCAGGATAATCCCACGTGGAGTTCTTTTCCCTTCTGAGACTGAGATTGCAGCACGAGTCTCGTCTCCGCCGCGGGTGCCTCTAGGCTCACGGCCTTTCAGACCCTGTTAATCAGTGGCATCAGAGTTTCAATCCCATACACATACCTTAGACCATACAGAGCCCCCAAGTTGGAACGTGAATTCGTGCCTCTTGTCCTGAGGATGCGAAAGCACTGAAAAGGTATAAGCAGATGTTAAGAGAGCTATTCGAGTCAATCTTACTGAATGGAACTTGGCTAGAGAGGGTCTCTGCAAGTTGGTGGTCAGTACGTACGAAAAGACATAGTGACAACCCTGACCTGGCCTGGTATCTCCAGCGACATCTTGTGGAGAGCTTGGTCTAGCAGAGCGTATACACTTGATGAAGAACGGCAAGCCGGTCTTATTGATGACGAGATATGGGCTGTAAATTTGAACTTTGAACGCTCCACCTGACTCTGGGTAACGGCTGATGTTCTGTGAGCTCAAAGGGTCGTCCGCCGATGGTCCATCAACATACACATAATTCAGTCGTAAATCCAACTTCCGTCCTTTGGTGTCACGCATGCTCAATTTGCTATCCACATCAAGGTCGGAATTACCATCACTGTTAATGATAGCAAAGTCGCTTGGTTGAAACACTTCCAGGTCGATTGGTAAATAGTGCGGAAGGAATGATATCCGGCAGTGTACCCACCGGTATCTTCGACGTGCACATTGAGAAGCACAAGATGGGCCAGCTCTACGGAGTGCACTGGCATGACACCTCCCTGTCTTAAGTAACTCCTCCAGTTCTGGTCGGAATCTTTATCGTATACCCGATACTGCACGTTGTAAGGCAGTAGATTCTCCAGCTCGATTGGCGCTCGTAGCTTGAGGTGGATCTTAGGATGTTTTCTAAAATGACACAGCTCCGCTGAGTCCATAACTCTCCGGACTTGCTACCTAGAACTCACCGACTAACATGTTCCGCGAGGTCTGTCTGGACCGACGCTTGGAAGCGAAAGGGTGCCTCACTTTCCTCCGCGTGGGGGCATCGAATGGTGAAGTTTTTTCTAGAGATCAAGTCTTCCCATGGGATAGCAGAGGACCACTTGTAACCAAAGCCTTCTGCATATTCAGGCAATATTAGTCATTATTCCAGAGACATAAAATGAACTGACGGTCCGGCTGAAGTCTGATTCTCGCGCGACCTACAGCTTCAATAGGCAAGGAAAAGTCTTGCCCCGGGGCTGGTCAAGGAATCGACGTGAAAACCAGAGCACTATATGAATGCAGTATCCCATACCAATCTTCTCCAGCGAATAGGCCGGTCGCCCAGATTCGTCTACCATAGTTAGCTCGACAGGATAAAGAGTCTGATTCTCCACTTTGTACGTTGAACGAAGGGTCACCACCTTGACATTGTCGTCTTGAACGCGGACTTCACACAAGAGACGGTTGAAGTGTTTGTCGGTTTGGGTCCGGAGCGAGAAAGTGAACTCTCCTTCCCTATCCACCGGGATACTGCGAAGCTTCTCCCATGGCTTCCCGACAAACTGGACACCGATGTTATGATGACCTATGGAGGAATGCTACGAAGATCATGAGCGCATTCGTTAACAGGAATAGAAGTAGCCCAACCTCTCGCATCGTCCTCCAGTCGTCAAATCTCCAATCGATCACCTGGCCGTCAGCTAGGCTCCTGGTCAGGGCGGATGTCTCGCTGCCGTAACTATTCTCTGTATCGGACCAGACATAAACGGTAGATCCTGTACGGTTCCGTATGCGGTAAGGAGCGTAGCTCCCACGAGCGTTCTGCAATACATGCTCTCCTTCCTTTCCCCACAACCTCGCCGTAGTCATGACCAGCTCCATGAAAGTGGTACTGACGTTCATATCCAGACGGTCTTGGGCTCCTAACCTGACGGACAAACCGTTTGACACCCGATCTCTAGCAATCTAGGCAACTCAGGCTACAATCCAAAACAAGCAAATAAAGACTTACTGATGCACTGACGGTCCAAGGATCGATCACTGTAGGAAAAAGGGTTCTAATCTGGGGAACCATTACCAAAATGAAATACCTACAAGGCTCCCAGTGCGAGTTACTCAGGTTCCAATAGTTAACCTGCGTAGAAACAGTTGTAGTGGCTTGGAGCTGGCTTCGGGGTTAGGCTCTTCGTAACAAGAAACAACTACTGGACAGACCTCTCCGGACCAGTCCCTTGCACCGATAATGAAACGCTTCACTTTCAAGTGTAGCATGGGTTGCTCGTAAATATCCCCGATGAGTACCAAACGAAACCCATCGAAAGAACCAGTGAACTGCAACAATCAGCGAAGACCGCGAGACAGGAACGGGTGTACCGACCTGTTCCTTCGTAATCAGAGCTTCAGCCTCCCCAACTGTGCCCGTTGCGGGGTGGCTTGACTTCGGTACAGCGAAAGAGCTCGATCTACGGGTTTTCCTCGTCTCAGAGAGTTCACCGGGGCTGGTAAGCGGTCGTTGTCCTGTGCCGTCAGATTGAGAGGACTTGTTGTACAAATTCAGGGCCTTGTTGACGATCGTCATTATCAGGCTGATGTCTCGGTAGGAAGCCCGGAAAATGATGGGCTTTGATGTCATCTCAATGTTAGTCATTTGCCTCGCCGAGGATGAGCTACGACTGTCGACTGAAAGAGTGGAATCCACGTCATCCAAGAAACTAACTCTTTCCGAGTCTTTTCCCATCTGGATGAGAGACATGCCCAAGCGCTCTACAGTCACGGCGAGTATGCCCTGCAAAGGAGGATCAGACAACGATACCAATGACACAGGGAATACTCTTACCTGTTGAGACACGAGAACCTGCTTTATCGACAACTGAATGGCCTGAGTATTCGTCAATGCGTCATTTTCGAGTACAATTACGGAGAGATCATGAAGATCAATACGAAAGTCGACAGTGGCTCCATAGGAGTCTCCTGCTGGAGATTCCTGTGCATTATCTTGACCCTCTGCGTTCATGGATGGGAGGCCGCTCGTGAAGAAATCAAGCAATGCAAACACCAGATCGATGGCAAGAAGAAACTGGGGAGAGTCGATTGTAGCAACAGCCAAAGACGACTTCTGTGAGCCACCTGCGGTTGTATATAGTATCATGACCTGATTGCGATCGTGCTGCGCAGCGGGTATGATTTCCCGGAACTTGGAGCTTCCTGGTTGAGTGTTACTCATGGTGAGCGATTGTAGAATGATCTGGGCTTCGCTGGCGCCGTCCGAGAGCAGTTTGAATCGAGCGGTGTTGTTATTCAGTGCAAAACGAGCGATGCCATGCTCTTTGAGGCTTGCTGTCGAGGTGGCACTCTCATCGTAGAGGTGCAACTTGATACTGTTCACTTCCAACACGAAATCGAGAGAGGTCCAAGGTCTTGTACCGTTAGGGGAAGGAAGAGGCTGTAGTTCGGGACGGAGGTCTTCGCCGAAACCGTCACCGGCAGTCGACGAACTTGCCTGTCTTGAGCTACTATACACGCTCGATTCGGCAGCCTGGGCAGATCCCTCCGGAGCGCCCGCCAAGACCTTGGGGATGGATGTCAACAATGACAAGAGAGACCGATATTGTACTTGTGTTAGGTGCAGTTTAATATCAGAGGTGGTTACAGCAATCTATATGAAAGTCGATTTAATGCCTATTGTGAGACCGTGGACGGAAATTTACCTGCGTATCTGGTCGGTCAGCCTCCGACTCTCTGTCGATGCCAATCGCCTGGACAGTTCTAGCATTCACGTTGATGTCATCGATGATTTTCAATATCGACGCGGTCTGTTGGTAGTAAAAAGTAGATGCCAACTGGATTCCGTGCAGGCTTGCATCGACATTATTGGTGTCACCCTCGTACGCGTTGCTAGCCTGGACTTCGCCCAATCGCATCGTAAGCACATCCTTGGACTCTACCACGTTGCAAGGGAAGACCAAAATAGGCGACTTGATGGAAATACGATAATGCATCCTGTCGATTTCTGACGCACTCTGTATAGCGGCCTGAGTTGCAGCATCGTACAGCCCCTTGAGTTTGGCCAACTTGACAACGAAAAGATATATATCATGCAGAGGCTGCTCGAGGAAGTGAAGATGGACAGACGCTGCTTCAACTGAAACTGACGACTTGATGCCGACATATGAGTCCTCATCCATGGGGTCGTAGGTTTGGTAGCTGAAAACCGCGAAGTTGTCACCTTCAATAGACATGATTTGCTTGAACTCTGGCACTGCGGTCCCTAAGGCGGAGTCATCACTGAGGGAAAGATTGCCCAGTCTCCCGCTCACACGAATCGTGCCAGCGCGCAGGAGAACGGAAACATCGGCCGTTGACAACGATAACGTGGCTAGCTGCACCTCATCGTTTATTAGGATCACTGTTATAAAGGATGAATAGTTTTCTTGCGCCTAATTCACGGTTCTTGACTGACCTTCAATACTGTCCAGCTTCACAACGACTCGAATCTTCTCAGAGGGATTTCCGATGTTTTTGGAAGGTGAGGTGTCAACATTCTTGCCCTCGTCATCGACCTGCAGCGTGTTGGCCGGCCCATCCGATCGTGGCTGCGGTACAAAAGTGGACATGATGAAGTCATACAACAAGACAACGGGTTCCGGAGCAGCGCGGAAGATGAACGTCGATATCTTGATATCTACGCTTTGATCTACGCCCTGGAAAGTCGTGTCGAACTCCGGCGAGGCCTTATCGGCACGACTATACTTCACTGTCAGCAGATGTTCACTGCTTGAAGATTCGCCAGTGGACGAGGTCACGAATTTCACAGGATCTCTGCCTGGTTGTGTGATGTCCATGGACAGAGCCCTGCCCAAAGCTTGAGACAAAAATGCACGATAAAAAAAGACGACATACTTTAAGTTCACGTCCGCCCCCATATTATACTTGGCCATTGCAAAGGCGAGCGTGAAACCTTCAAGATTTAGCTTGCCCAAAGGTTTTTCGCCTTCGTCTGCGCTCCATTTGGAGAGTGACACGCAGAACTCTGCTACTGCGAAATTGAACTCAAAGATGTGCTGCCGCAGCTCCGGCATCTGAAGCCCATTTGATTCTTAGCAAGCCTGTAGTGACAAGACCGGGCTTACCAGCGACGTTCCTTCCTCAACCTCGAAGAACTCTTCTTGTTCACCAGCAGGTGTCTCCTCTCCTGCTTCCTCATCGTCGCTATCGAGATGATATTCAGCCTCCGTGGGCCCAAACAAACCGGAGGACAGGGGGAACGTCATGGATGTATGCTTGACAGTTTCGGTTGTTTCGGGACTCTGAGCATCGATGTCATCGAAATGGGGAATGGCGACGTCAATCAAACGCATAAGGGATTTGTACTTCACATCCGACACGTTAACCTGTAACGAAGGTAAAGTCCCGGACACTTTGAATCGCGCAAGGCTGTATGCACTTGGGACTATAGAGTTTTGCACTTGAAAATCGAGGTTGATGCGCTCCACTACATGGAGATCGTCGTGTGTCCCCTCGGCAAGAGCATCTCGACAGGATTGCAGGTTATTGCCGATCACAAACTGTGAATTTATATAAACGTCTCTGCCTTACTACGAACAGGATGCTCACCTGAGCAGCTTCCAATCTCAGTAACAACTTGTCGTACATCAGAGACTCCAGCCGTTTCTGGTCCGCATCTGTGTATTGCTGATTTCGCTTGAGATGTACCTCTCGTATGGCCGCCTTATCCGCAAGATCGCTCTCAATAGCTATATGGCCAGCGTCCACGATCAGATGTTTGCATTCGTTCGTTGTGATGCTTCAGTGAGTGAGTTGCTTGCCCATGTACGAATAAACTGGCAAGAGACTTACTCTTCAGGAATAATGATGATGGGAGCGTTGAGGTCCATATGCACATCAACAGTCTTATGAGTCTGCAAGGCGTATTCCAAGCCTGCCCTAGTTTCCTTTCGCAAACCCTCGAGGGTCTGACTGGCGGCATCCTGAATAGTCGCAATATACCATTACGGACTGCCCCAATCAACCTAGGGTAGAAGCTTACTAGGAGGGCCTCAACAGACTCCAATTGGCTCTTCGGAGGCTTGAAGAATCTATAGACAGCTTCGACGTAGCCTCTGTGGTATATAATCTCCATGTGGCGCATCCGGACTGTAAGTGCGGTATCAGCACGCTCGTCGAGAGGATTGTTCTCGAACTTCAGGAAGAAGAACGGCTCGTGATTTTCTTGTGTTGTTATTTCGGGATCTTCGCTGATGTTATCCTTGACGTGGACGATCTGATGATAGAGGGTATTTGGCGTGGTGCCATCAAACACTCTGAAGCCCCCCAACGAGACGGACATTTCCAGATTATCAGGGCGTTGGATGACGTCCGCTTGGAAAGCATCGAATACAACTGATACGATTTCTACAGCTTTTCCGTGAGGATCCGCCTTAAGTGCGAAAGAACCTCGTCGCAGTTGCGCTTTGATGCGGGCTTTCAAAGCGTCTCGGGGTGCTTCGAAGGACTCGGCAAGAGCGGTCTTCTCGTCATAATCCAAGACATCGTAGAGTTCCTTCCGCTGCTCTTCGGTCATTTCGCCCGAGAACGAAGGTTCCTGCGCATTGGATCCATCCGAACCAGAAGAGCCCCATATCCAAGAACTCCAACTTGAGCGGGATTGATTCGCTTGCTTCTGCTTGCGTTCCTCTTCAATCTTCCTGCGGGCAACATAGTCTTTCTTTAATTGGCTACGAGCTATAGAACGGTAGAATCGGATATCTTCGTAGGAAAGCTTGCGTTCGAGACTCTCAAACATTTTCAAGTCCTTGAGATCATTAGCTTGAAGGTTTGCGAATTGTAATGAAGCCATAAAACTTACATTGCCCACTAGGGGCCCGAGCGACTTCTGCTTGAACAACTCCACGTATCTTTTACGATCGTCACGTCGTTCCGCAAAATAAGCCCAGGTCCATTTGCGGTTACGCTCTTGGATGCCCGAGAATATTGCTGTCCCAGCAAACCGAAGCAAAGCCCTGGGTCGGTTCTTACTCAACTCCTCGGGAGTCGGTCGCAGGCTTCGGTACTGGCGGGGAAGTGGTCAGATACCACCGGTCAAAATTTGTGCCGAGCTTACTTGTTTCTGCCGCGAGTAGAAGTGGAACATTTCGACGAGTGAAATCGCGTCACGGTACTGGTTATCATCGAGAACGACCCCGATTTCATCGAAAAGTAGCTGCACGTCGAAACGAGGAGTGGACTTGTCAAGCTTATGGTTCATGACAATCTTAACAATCGCATGTCAACGAGTGATATTGATGATGAATGTACCTGCGACTCACTCTACCCTCTCCGGTTACGGGTCTCAATATGAACTGGTGTTGGGAAGTATTCGCCTCTGTGGCGATCTACGGCGAAGTTAGAGAATGACTAGTCAGTGAGAAGGAAACAGTCTCACAAGATCTGTGAAACGCTGGATGGCTTCCGACGGCGGTAGTCCAGCCATGCTTTCACAGTCCGTATCGAAGTATACTGCCAACGATTGGAGCTTTCCAAGCTTGTGTATGGCACCCGCGGTACTTTCAATAAAGGCCGCTTCCCACCGCTCATTGGTAGACACGGCAGAAAATCCGGCGAGTGTAATGCCAGCAGCAAACGGATGCTGGCGGGTTGATGGGTCCTGTCAGCTGCCACTCACCGTAAGCAAGTAATGAGGTGCTTACGCCCTCTACACTCATTTTATCCTCGTACCGGACATGAATGTTCTTCACTGTGACCTGCAGGTTGTTCACCACCTTCGCGATGAGGGACGCGATTAGACCCTGCGATTGTTGCGAGTCCCCTTCGTGTATCCGTTAAAGCACAGTTCAACAATGATAGGTTCGGCAACAGACCGCACCTGGCATTACGTCTGCCTGACCGCGCATATGAAGCAACTCTGCATTCTCCAAACGTTCCATTTTAGCCGCTTGGGTTCGTTCCTCCTCCTCCTTCGGGTCAACATTCGTCTGCGGGGAAGGGACGACTAGAAGGTAGACATCCTCGATCAATACTTCAACTGGCTGATTGCCCAGGTTCAGCCAATGTAAGGACAGCGTGAACTTCCCCAAATGGCCTGCAAGCTCGTCAGACTCGGGTATAGAACAACAAATCAACGGACGCCGACCTTCTAGGACGTCTACGGGCAATCTAAACTTGTCTAACGCTCCTTTCTTCAAGCGTAGGTTGCGCAGTGTCAACTGGCCTATACCCGGGTTCAGCGTGCCGTTCTGAATTAATCGGTAGTGGACATGCCTTGGCCGATCCCATAGTTCACTTGGTTAAGATCGAGATTCTCAATGTATGGCGCGAGGACTCGATTGAACACCTAAGGATGTATTACGCATCGCATCACTACAAGGGTGGCGCGGGCATCGTCTGCAATGGCACGCACGACGTTCAACACCTCCTTCCCTGGATCTAACCACCACATTTTGAAAACCTCGTGTTATGTTCCAGACAGTCTGGAGGATCTAATGGATGGTCACGATATAACACTGAGCGGTAGAACTGCGGGCACGGAAAGGCAGGAGCCGATGCATGCAAGTATAACCATGACGTCTGTCGCGGCGGTGCAAGCCATCCAAAGCAAACAGCGATCAACAACGCGGTATCACGGGAGACGCCATGTCGACCGGATGACCGTCGCCCAGACTCTTGCTCTTCGACAGCCATCCTGAATCCAGCACGTGTTGGTATGTAAAGTATCATATATACCTATGTCGCAGCGAGTGCATTTCTACGTCGTTGGGCATGCTGTACGCCTCGCGCCCCGCTGGGATAGCGGGGAAACGTGTGAATGCACTTGTTTCAGACATTTTTATTTACGTTCACGTTACACGTCGTCTAGAACGCTGCGATGCAATCCGCCACGACCCCCTCCGATCATTTGGTCTTCCATGTCCCGGTTTGCCCCGCAGAATGTATAGCAACAGCGCGACAGGAGGTATATATGCCAGACGTGCAGCCTAAATACATGATCTGGACAAATCTCCTCTTGTCCGGACCGCACTCCTTACCCTATTTCAAGGCCTAACGCTGTATACCCCACCCCCGCACTTATCCCCCACTTCGCCTTGCGCTCCCCACCAGATCATGATCTCTGTTGCTCAATCCACTGCTGCGTCCACTATGGAACCCCACGATGACCACGACGCATCTGTGGAACTGAACGAGGTACGGCCCATGCCCCAGTACCCTTAGGACTGCAAGTTTACAGGGCATATGCATAGCTCGGTACTGTCGACGACGCACTCGAATTCCTGTCGAAGTGAGTGACTTCTCCACAATCACCCTCTCTTCACTGCCTAACCACATTATCCCAGAATGGTTTCGAGCTCGGGAGGGGGGTCCGTCCGTCTACATTGCACTGTCCCAACATGGTGTTCGCCGTCGGATACATGTGCGTGCCCATCATCAATTGGCGTGCCCTAATTTGACGGACTTGATTCCGTAGGCCTTGATCTCCACGATCTCCACGATCTGAGATCACGCGCCCTTTTGTTCATCCACAATCTGACAGAGTCATTGCGTTCTTCTGGGGTATGTCTAACCTGCTCTTTCCCTAGATCTGTGCTGAATATACCTTGCCTGCGCAGATACCGGCCTCATATCGACTAGCCCCTTGCAACTCAAATCTCTGCCTCGTGTGCCCCATATCGTCGAAATACGACCTCAACAAAGTCAAGACTGATGCCTTCCGTGCGGTCCAGCATGCCGGACACTTGGAAAGGTATAACGCATGACACATGCAAGGAGGAGGGATGCTAACCATGTCCGCGACTTGTAGGGAAAAAGTCCTGCTCGCCGATCTCGAACATGGTCCCGCCCTTATCATTACATGAATCATATAGTCCGATATCTCGACCGCGCTGCTTGGGAGACCCATAATTTCTCCTATCTAATTTCTGCCCGTCTTCGCATCGTATCTGCATCTATACCTCTCTGTTCTCATCAACCTGTATCGATAATTTAGATATTTCTGGCTCTGGATTGTGGAATATATGCTTGTGGAGGTTTTACTGTCACCCGCCTCTTAGCAAAGAACCCTCCTTGGATTCATACGTGGCAGCCCGTGTAAAGATAGCTGACAGGAAGGCCGGCTCAATTGGCTCTCGGGGGAAGCGCCTGTGATTTAGCCCGTCAAATGGGCCGATTACATACGCGTTGGGGCCGGGCGCTCTCCGGCCATAGAAAATCTTGCCTCCGCGCGCGATATAGCTTGTCCTCTTCCGACGCGTTCATTGCTCCCAGGTTGTCTCGGTTCGTTAGTCCTTCCCGTTCGACATGGCGCCTCTCGCGGACTTCATTCTTAATCACGTCCCCCTCCCGTCGGTGCCCTACTACATCACCCATTATGTCCGCGGACAGACTCCCCTGTCGACCCAGACGGGGGTGTTCTCTGCTCTGGCACTATACCTCGTCACGATCTTCAGTATACGCGAATACATGAAGGACAAGCCTCCTAAGAAGCTCACGGCCTTGTTTCAGCTACACAACTTAATCTTGAGTAGCGGCAGCGCATTGCTGCTGGCACTGATGATCGAGGAGGTGTTCCCCATTTGGTGGAATAACAACCTGTTCCACGCGATGTGCAGTGTGGAGGCATGGACACCTGTGAGTGCTCTACCTGCTACTTGTCCGATCGAATTCTTGACGAGCGGTTCCCAGAGACTCGAATTCTACTATATTATCAACTACTATTTTAAGTATTTGGAACTCTTTGACACTGTGTTCCTCGCGATCAAGAAAAAGCCCCTTGGTGAGTTCCTTTTCCATTGTGTATAGACACCTTATGTCTTACAGCGCGTTGGCCAGCATTCCTGCACGTCTTCCACCACTCCGCAACCGCCCTTCTGTGCTATAGCCAACTCAACGGTAAAACTAGTGTAGTACGTGTTCTTCCTTAAGAAGTTGCTTAGGCCAAAAGTTGACGACCCCGCAGTCATGGGTTGTCATCTCGTTGAACCTTGCTGTCCATGTATTGATGTGTGAGTTCGTGACATCACCAAGTTTATCTAGCTTACCCTGTTTGCCAGACTACTACTACTTCGCCACTGCTGGGGGGGCTAGAATCTGGGTAAGAACACTCCAGCGACACACGATGGAATAAACAAGCTGATGTTGTCTGCAGTGGAAGAAATATTTGACCACCATGCAAATCGTGCAGTTCGTCATCGACCTCTTCGCCGTCTACTTCGCTAGTACGTCTTCTTTTAAGATTGGCGAATCGCCATCTCAATATGTGATGTAGCATATTCGTACTACGCCGCGAAGTACTTCCCGCACCTGCCGACGATGGGTAGCTGCACCGGGACGGAAGGCGCAGCCGTGTTTGGTTGCGGGCTGCTTACCAGCTATCTCGGCCTCTTCATCAACTTCTACATCCAAACGTACAAGAAGAGCCCTGGACACAAGAAGAATGCCGTTGCCAACGGGAATGGCGTACCAAATGGGAAGGCGTGAGTGTAATTCGTGTGCAATGCCTGAGTTAGCAGTAATATCCGCCCTACAGGCACAAATCTGACTGAGCAGCCATGTCAGCGCCGGGATTGAACAAAAGGGACATACCTGAGGTCACGTCTGAACACGCCGTCTAATTTATCCTAGCGTCCTGAAGTCCTCGTACAAATTCCTTTAATCGAGCATGCCGACCTCCAGCGGAGACCTTTCTTTTAATGGGTCCCCCTGGGTAGCTCCAACTCATTCTTTTGTTTTTCTTGTGCATATTTTGTCCGAGCGCATTGGCTTAGGTGTTACTAGGTATTTGGAGGCTGTAATAGACAGACGGCGAAGGGTTAGACAGCTCTGTATGTCCGCGTGTCTTTAGGCACAATGATACCACGTCCGATATACTGGGATTGTGGACGACCTGCAATCACGTATCTTTCTCAGAACATATCACTGTTCTCTTGTTCTTTAATGAATCAAGCATAGCATGGCTAGTGAGCGATGCTTGCACTGGGCGTGCCGACTGCCACAGCTGTACACACGGGCCTTTTTACTAGGCGTATTTACCGGTATTGCTCACCTGAAGTGGCTGTGCTTTGTATGGGCGCCACAATCAATCTCTAGCCACATACACTGAGACCTTCAAGTTGTACATGACATTCGCTGCGAGCCGACCTCGCGCATACCCCGCCCGCAACAGAACCATAGTCGTTCCTTCAGCTTCTTGCATATATTACACTGGTGTCGAACTCTCCTTGGGCTGTCGCTTCCCCCGACTAACGCTGTTCTTGGAATGTGCTTGTGATTCAGCCTGCAATAACTACGCGGAACCAGGATTCTTCATCCGGGAGCATAATTGTCTCTTCTTGGAACCCGGGATATACCTATTGCATCTTATCTTGCCTATACCCAGGGACCTGCCATACCATGTCGGACGCCATGCAGCATGACCCATCCAGACGCGAGACCAAGAAGGAATTCTTTGTTTCTGTAGAGCTGTTCGTGTCAAACAAGGCTTCGATGGGCTTGCGCAAGGTAAGCTGTTCTCTGCTGAAGTGAGCGAGAGATGTAATATTATTCCAGCCTGTGCCGCCTCCACCTCGCAAGAAGGGCGAAAAGCGTGAATCTCTAAGAGCATCGGATGACAGCCAAAAGAAGCTAAAGGGTGCGTATTCTCATGCGCCGACATTGTGTCCACATCTTATTTGTCTCGCAGAAAAGTCCAGCTGGCTTACGCTGTCTCGCACTGCTGCAGGTGCCGGGAGCTGGAGACCTGCCACCTGCAGACTATCTGAGGAAGAGGACGGGTGCCTCATGAATGTCTACATCGACGTGAGTATTTCCTTGATTCACAGCCGTTGTATGCTTGTTCTACCTGGCGCTACCTTCCCTAGGAGACCACGCTGTACCAGACAATCTATGTTCACCTGCTGAACCATACTGACATTCGCCCCGCTGACCGCTCATTATTTTATCGGAAAGATTGTGTGGGTATACACTGCGTCAGGTAAGACTCCTGTCGCCAGTCAGCCCGTTTCTATGCTAATCTGTTCCAGTGGACAGCGCTGGAGCGTCTTACCGAGTTCAGAACCGCTCTATCTCCATTTTAAGAACACCGAGGCGGCCAATACCTGGGTAACACTGATGCGTTCATATGCGATGCCTGAGATATACGGGCGCTATTTCTCGCCCTCGGACGGGGGTCTTTATCGCATGTGGAGACAAGTCGAGTTAACCATCATCCAAGGACGTAATCTCGGACAGTCGAAGTTGTACGATGAACTTGCGATAGCTAACCGCGGCGCGGAGGACCCAGGGATCGATTTACAATTGGAGACCGACGGCGCAGACATGGACGTCTACTGCGAAGTGTATATCAACGAAGTTCTATCAGGACGGACCACTACCAAGAGATGTCCTGGCTCCACGGACTGGCATGAGGCATTCGCTTTCTGCGATCTGCCGCCCTTCGAGAACCTAGAGATCCTTATCTGGCGAGAGAAGAAGCTCACGAGACCCATATTGATGGGCAATATCCAAGTATTCCTCAGCGACTTCCGGCGTGGAGAAACTGTCGAGGGATGGTTCCCTGTTCTTTTTGGCGACATGGGCGCCCCCTCCATTCATGTTGGTGATCTCAGGCTCAAGCTAAAAGTGGATGAGTGAGTGGAAATGTATTTATCCCGTGAGGCTCCGTTAACTCATGTACGTGATTCAGAGAGATTATCTTACCTCTCTCAGCTTATTCGGACCTACTGGAAGTGTGTTGAGTCGCAGCCCTTTGCTCGTTGTTATTCACGTACGAATTTGAGATTTAGACGCTGTATTCACGGAATTGCCTGGACTGGATGAGTGATCTGGAAGGGAGGTTACAACTGACCAGCCTGTCTTCCCAAGTGCTCTCCATCTCCATCGCTAGGAATGTGTTACTCGATCACATCTTTGAGCTCGCTGATCGCGAAGTAGATGGCACACCCCATTGTAAATGACTAATTCTTGAAACTGTTTCCAACATTGATTGACATGCTCTCTAGCCCACAATACGCTATTTCGGGGCAATACTGTACTTACCAAAACAATGGAGATGTCAATGGCCTGGTATGGCAAGGGCTTCCTTGAGGCTAGCATAGGTCCCGTCATTCGAAGGCTGTACGCAGAGCGGATCACTATAGAAATCGATCCAGCTCGTTCTCAAGGCAGGAGCGCGAAAGATATCGAACGCAATGTTGATCAGCTCGTTTACTGGTGCCAGGAGGTTTGGGGTAACATATACTCCATGCGAGGTGAATGTCCAGTGTGAGTTACAGTGTACGGTATCGTCCATATTGTTTGGCTGACGAGAAACCATGCACAAGGGAAATGCGTCGACTTTTCTCTCATATCAGGCAGCTTGTGGAGAAACGATATCAGGTCAAGGACATGCCTAACGATAAGGGACGCGAGTTACCTTGGCAGAGCGTCTCTGCTTTCTGCTTTCTCAGGTTTTTCGTTCCAGCTATTCTACATCCGCATCTCTTTGGTCTTTGCCCTGGTATGCCTCAGAAAAATGCACGCATCCGAACAACTGACCAATTCTCTGCAGGCCTTCCAGAACTCTCTGTCCAGCGTAGTCTTACCCTAATTGCGAAAGTCATACAGAGCTTGGCAAATCTGAATGCAGTAAGTGTGGTGGTTTCAGTCGCTTCCACCGCTTTGTCTGTCTTATCTCGTCCGTTATTAGTCTGTCCAACGGGAAGAATTTATGCGTGGAGTGAAGAACTTTCTTACCAGCAGTCTTCCAGCCATGATTGACTATATCCTGGTCGTATCGACGTTGGAGAGCGAAAAGGCCCGTGGACCGTATCAATATTCACCGGATAGGCATGAGCGATTACATGTCATGAATTCGCTACAGCGGCGAGGCCCCGGCATGCCACTGCTTCATCGAGAAGCCATTCCACTGCTGCCTCATTTGCTGGACATACCCAGACACCTTGCGATAATCACCTCTGCCGTCATCAGACACTCAAGATCGTACCCACGCCAAAGTTCGAATGACCCAGCGGAAGCCCCGCTGGACGCATTCTGTGCCCGATGCTTCGAGATAGAGCAGCGCGCTCTCCATCGTGTGAGTCATTTGGCGGCCCGCCACAAGCCTTCAGATCGTCTGTCTACTCCTCCATCCACGTCTGCGCCGAGCGTCGATGGAAGCGGGCCTGCTACTTCCACGAAAGCAAAACGGAGGCCGCGGAAATTGTCGAAGGCTTCAAGACCTTCCACTGCTCCTTCCGCGACGGATAGTTCAGATGGACGTCGCTCAAGGGCTCAATCCTCCGTGAACTCAGACATATCCTTGCCTTCCAGCCCTATCCGTCATAGGCACTCCACCCACGCGGATATGCTATCCGCTGAGTCACAGGCAGAACTATCGAACGCAGGGTCCACGGATCATCCTGCGTCACCGACTACAACTTCCAGTAACATTTATCGGGTGTTGTCAGAGGACTCGTCTCGTATAGGGCCTCACTCTCTTGACTTCCCTGATGACCCCGGCCGGAGGAAAAGGGGGTTACTGCGCGGGATTTTGACACGGCACTAGTCGGGACTAAGAGGGTATGATTAGTGTACGCGTAGGCAGTTAGTACAAATATATCCTGTACAATCAGAGGATGTCCGTAGGTCCATAGGCTGGTGACGACACGAGACTCGGCTATGACTCCGTGGTAAGGGGTTTCTGAACAAGCTTCTGCACCTCCGAAGCTACATCTTCCGAGGTACTGCGAATAGTCACCCTACATAGCTGCAGCCTTCGTGTCAGGACGATGCTGGGTCTAAGTATCAGATACGCTAGCTCACCTTTGCTTCCCTGTTGGGCTCCAAGCGCATCAAACACCCGACTTTCCCTTCGACTGCCATGTGCAACACCCCAGCACCTACGATGTTGGTAGGGTTCGGATCAATTCCGTCAAGGATGTCGAATCGCAATCCAGATACTACTTGTCGGTGCTTCGGCATATCGATATGGCCAGCGGCGTTCAGTGTGATGGGGAATATACTCTGTGCCTCCCTCGGTGGCCCACCAATCAGTTTCCATCTTTCGAAGAATTCGGTAGGACCAAGCTTCACGCCTTCGAAGAACTTCGTAATGACCAACGGCAGCCTGACGGAAAGCGTTTGATGCGAACCAGCAAGGAACGAAACAGTCATCACGGGAGGAGTCCGGAAGAACTTATTGCACTCGATGTGGAGAAGCAGCTGCGTCTGAGTCCTGGGTGCGATCATCGTAGGCGGCATCTTTGCGAACGTGACCGAGAGAGCCTCTGGTTCGCTGACATGCATAGTGGTTGTGAAAGAGGTCAGCGGCACTCCGATTTTGTTCCCAACGTAGATAGCCAGCTGCCCGAGGTGCCCGTGGTATCTCGACTTGACACCGATCTGCAGTTGGATATCTTCGTAGAGAACGCCGTCGGCGCTGTATGTGAGCTTGTCAAACCAGCGGTCAACATTCGGCCCAGCAACTACTGGAGGGACCTTTATTGTGGACAAATTCGACGAAGCATGCTGCAAGCCCGGCGCCTCCGCCTGATCCGGCGATGTGGTGAAATCTAGCCCAGCCAGAGTTTTCGTGATGTCCTGCGCACTGGCTGAGTCGGGTTGTGAAACCCCAGTGGAACCGTTAGATAGTCGCGCGGCTCCGGTCGTCATTACTGTAAGGCGTTTGGACGCTTGGCGCTCCAAATTTGCCTCTTTCCCTCCGATTACCCATGTCCGCTTGTCCTCCGTGTCTCCCTGCTTGCGATTCAAACGTCCTAGTAGGGCGCTCTGTCGTGGAGGGAACGGAGGCATTTCCTCGCAAACGTTTTGAAGTAATTCGTCCTCCTCTGGGCGCGACGCTATCGCATAGAATTCGCAAGCCCGTTGTTGCAGCTCCGAATCTAGTACATGTCGATACCGCTCAAAGACGTTGATGAGCTGAGGCTTGAGTTCCGGGAAAACGTTGACCCATTTAATGTAGGTCGACAGGAGTAGTGCCCGCGTCGGCGCCCCGCAGAATTGTGACTTGGCATGCAGAAGCTGGAATTGCTCTAGTGGGCTATATCCAGGACTATTCGCGATTAAATGCCCGTATTCCCCGAGTATATAACCTGTCGAGTTGGTTTGAGTACTGTTTTGCTCGGCATATCTGGAGAACCAGACCTACCGCCCACTTTGACCAGACTTTCGTGCGATGACGGTGACTTCATGTGCTCGAATACAACTTTGGCGGCATACTCTTGCAAATCTTCTGTATTGGTCACGATTTGTACCACCCGGTACCATACTTCATCCCCGACGTGATCACCGGCAGCACTGATGAGGTCCAAGATAGTGTCGACATACCACTTGTAGGAGTTTGCATACTTCTCGGTGAGGATTGCAATCTTCAGTACCATTTCCTCCCGCAAGCCATAGTCCGCCACTCTAAGGTAGCGAAGGAGCTCGCCGACAATTAACTCGGAATTGTCGACATCACACATACTATACAGCAAATCAAGAGCGCGCCGCCTTACGGATATATCTTTATCGCGCAAGGACAGTATGATGGTGCCCTGGTGCTTCTTGATAGGCTCCAAGGAATCCGCACGAGCTGCAAGGTGAGCCATAGTATCCAGGCCAAGATATCGTACGTTGGTCTCTTTAGACGAGATGAATCTGGCCAGAAGAACTGCAGCTGTGCCAACAAGGGGCGAGTTCGTGTCTAAGTGGATAGCAAGACCGATTGCCTCAAACAGAATTGCATGCTGTGCATTGTTATGTTGTACGTTTCGCGTCGGCTCCGCCGAGTTATTCATAATGACCTGGAGAACATTATGTAGTACAGAGCGGATCGTAGGATCATCTGAGACGGGGGTTATTCTCGAACAAGCGAGAGAAGAGCTGAGTAGGGATCGTACCTGACGGAGGATAATACTGCAGGAGTCGTAGTAGCTTGACCTGGAGCCACGGCGAAGGGACCTTGTAATAAGCATAAGTGGCTGAATACTCGTGATCGACGACAAGCTATGTCTCTTTTGTCAGTCGCACTGATCACGTGAGTATCCACACTGTGCCCACCCGATGTAAACGATCCACAGCCTTCTGATAGCAGACCGCGTACGCGTCGAGATGATCTTGAGCCAAGGCCATTACTAAGCTCGTGACACAGATCACTACACCCTACGGAGCACACATGAACAGAGACAAAAGGAGAGCTGAACGTAGCAGCATACCAAGTCGGGATCATCCATGATAGATACTATACGCAAAGCCCACTCTTCCGCAGGTATAACGTCAGGATGTTTCCGATACATTCGCAATAATGTCAGTGCAGCCTTCTTCTTGACAAAACTCTGGGAAGTACTATCACCTTCGTTAAAAATGATACTATCGCAGGTAAGGAGGTACGCACGGGGATATTAGCAGGCGATGTACGTCCTCGGCCAACGCCTCGGCCATCTCCTTCCCGCCAACATTAGCGATAGCATGAAGAGCCAGGCAATTATGTATCTCGTTATTATCGTCCAGATCCTTGCGAATCGAGTTGACCACCAATCGAAGAAAGTCGGAATTCTCGTGCATAAGTAGCGTCACTGCGAGGTAACCCTGCAGGGAGTCAACCTATTTGCCCACTGTGACGATAGAGTAACTTAATGACTGACAATCTGCTTCTCGCTGTACTTGTTGCTTGATATGAGATTTACAGCTTCCATGTGGCCGACGTCGACTTTGTAACCCAAAATATACGTGAATATAATCTTGGCGACATATCTGAAAGGCAGGGTGACTAAGAGCACAGAATGGCATAGAGTCGTACTGACTTCTTCTTCTGATAGCCGTCGAGGTTTCCATCTACCAGGTACAGCACCGTTTGATCACTGACTGAGGAAGCAAAGTGCTTTACGGTCCGCACCTTTGAATCTCTTTCTTATGTTGGCCATTTCTTTGTTTATACGTTTCTCCTCGAGCTCTCGCACTCTGGCGCCTCGTATGTCGGCGATGAACTACAGAGGTAGGCACCCCGTAAGCTTGACGCAAGAAGTCAGCGTAGCTTGGTGTATTACCTGGGTGAGGCCGCGCATCCCGGTCGCCATCTTTGCAAGCTTAACCCTCGACGAAACCTTTTAGAGTCAAGTAAGATGATGGACGCCAGAATGGCGGCAGACGCGCTCGTAAGGATACACTGGCAAGTAGACCCGCACTGCAGTCGTAATGGGTGGTGTCCGAGACGGGTTCTGATACGCACGTGGGAATCCTGGGAATAGCAAGCTGATCCGATGCCGGACTGTGGCCTCCGAAAGCCCTGTACTAGTAACTGACACTGTAAGCTTGTTGAACTGGACCGCGAAGAATCGAGAGCTGTGGTATGATTATGATATACAAAGTTACATTTAGTAAGGGATAATGTGTCGACTATATGCTACATGACATGCAACGAAACAGAGCAGAATTTCTACGACTCAGTTACCCAAGTCCATAAATTAAAAGCGTATGTATAGCGGCTCTCATCTTAGTTCCCGCCACAGTCGACTGGGTGTGCTAGGCCTTGAGAAACTATACGGCGTGGAGCGACCAGATGCCAAGTCTCGCACACGCGGCATAGGCGACCACAAAGGCGTTGCTGAACGAGAGCCAACACGAGACTGGGTTGGATTCTGCTCCTCTGTGTATCCCTCCAATATGCTGACGATGTGCTGGGTGTATGTTCCTAATTCCCGCACTTCGGGTGCAGACAACGGCCGTGCCCCGTCGGCATCCGCAAACTCCTCTTCATGTTCACGTTCACTGAGGGGTCTACCTCGTAAGCCCAGGTTCTGACTTGCGACGATGCCCTCGTAAACGCGCAACAGACAGTCTTCTATACGTCTCTTCAATCGGCGGAGATCATCGAGAGCATCCACATTGCCCCCAATGGGCAGCCACTCGTCGCATTCCAGACCGTGCGCTGTCGCTCTAATTTCGTGAGCGCCAAACAAAATGTACGTCATGGGATCCAATCTTGTGGTGGTGACAATGTACTTCTGGGCTTGACTTCCCTGCGTGCCAGCAACGGACAGATTTTGACGTTTCTCCATGTAGGCGTATAGCTGCCGCTCTTCACCTTCAGCCTCCCGGTCAAACTTGTCTCTCCTTCGGAAATTCACACTTGACGGGTGTATGGCCACGTTCTGAATCAAGCTAGTAAGTACCTATACCAACGCTAAGGGGCTGGTAGGCATACCTTGTCTTGTTGAGTCCGGTACATTACGTCCGATGTACGGACGGCAAATTTGGGTTGAGAAGCAATCGCGATTAGGCCAGCCAGCAGAGGCAATGACTCGCTATTGGAGTTTAGTTCGCGCGGGACCCCCCTACCCCTCGAAAACCTGAGGGATGTATCACCGGAAGACACTTGGATGACACCTGCATTATACAGAGATTGCAGGAGATGACCGCGAACTTTCTGGATCAGGAGTAATGTCGGTTTTGACAAGAAGTTATCCACGCAGAACCGGTTTGCCACGACGTATTGACCGCTCTCTTGCAACCGGGCCCATTCATTATAAGCCCTTAATGCAGCTAGCACATCCGATCGATACTGCTTGGGGGTGAAGGAATTCTTCTTCTGGGTGGCTTCATCCCTGACGTGCATGGGCGACACAAAAGGTTCCCGGTTAGACATGATGGCAGCCAGAGTCAACGCTTCGTCCAAACACCGGAAGAAACAACCGTACAGCACAAGCCGTGCTATCTGGACGTCGACAGGGATCTGCAGCAAGACTCGTCCCAGAGAGGTGAGATTCTGATCCTGATCAAGTGCGCCAACCATTTCGAGGTCTTTGATAGCTGAGCGTACGCGCTCCGATGCCGGAGGTTCTATCGCAGCGTCGAGAACTTCTTCGACCGACATACCAGGGAATTGCAGTGCCTTGACGTGCATAACAATATTGCTCAGGTCGACGCGCTTCATCTCCACGGTTTGGTAGGGCTGGAGCACCTCGGCTTGCTTCTTGCTTAAAAGACCGAAATACTGGCCCGGTCTGTGCCGTCCAGCACGCCCAGCTCTCTGCATAAGGTTAGATGAACCGACCCAAGCAGACACGAGGGATGTGATGCGACGCTCAGGATCATACCGTTGCTCCTTCACTTTGCCAGTATCAACCACGTACACGACATCAGGAATCGTTACTGACGTCTCGGCGATATTGGTGGCTAGGATGATGCGTCGTACGCCTTCAGGTGGCGGCTCAAATATGACCTCCTGCTCAGCTAGAGGAATCGTGGAGTGCAACAGATGGATACTGAATTTGCGCTGGTCCATGAAGTTGAAGGGCCAATTTCCTTCAAGAAGGAGCCGCTGCACCGTTGCGATATCGTCCCACCCAGGAAGGAACACCAAAACGTGACCCGAGTCCGAGCTCTGAAGCACGTGAGAGATAGTGAGTGCCACCAGCGGGTGCGGGATATCGAGGTCTTCGTTGATGGTATGGGCTGCTTGCGTTGGAGTCACCGGGGCGACCATATTCATCTCGCGATCTATGTATTTCACTACTGATTCCTCCCGGAATATCGAATTCGCAGAGGGGGCGGCGCGGAGTTGGGGTAGGAAATCGTCCAAGAAATACTTGTCAACAGGGAATGCTCGCCCGGGTACCTCCAGAACATCAGCGGGGCGCCCGTTCTCATCAGGGAAGTATTCCTGGAAGAGCTTGGGGTCAATGGTGGCGCTCATTAGGATTACCTTGAGCGGCTTATTCTTGGCCTTCCTATCCGCCAGAAGTCTCTTGAGGACTACAAGCAGCAGGTCTGTGTCTACGAAGCGCTCGTGCACTTCGTCTACGATGACGTGCGTCACATTGTCCAGATCAGTGGACCCCTCGAGCAGCGCCGACTGCATCCTCTTGAAGAAGATACCAGTGGTGCAGAAAGTGACTGACCCATGATCTCGCGGTGGCTTGGCCTCGAACCGCACCGAATATCCAATGGAGCCCTCCCCACATCTCTCGTTTCTCTCTTTAGCTACGCGTTCAGCAACACTGACTGCAGCTAACCGACGGGGTTGGGTGCACACAATATTGCAGTTAGCCCCTTCTCCACGGTCTATCCACTCATCCAGAATTAGCTGGGGAATCTGGGTGGTCTTGCCTGAGCCTGTCGTAGCCATGCAGATAGTTACTTCATTATTGCGAATGTGCTCGAGAAGTTGAAGAGCGACCGTGCTAACAGGAAGTGCAGCCCGGGATGTACGCATCTTCTCCGTAGCGGGATCAGACAAATATTCCTGGCGCTTCCGTTGAAGTTCTTTGGACTTTCTCTCCAACCACGCAGGAGACACGCTCGATCGTTGTCGAGACTGCGCTCGCGAACCACCCACGTCTGAGCCATCCGCGCTGCCCGGTCCGGAGACATTCCTTGGAACGTTTCGATAGAGGGTGCTGTCTGCAATTTGGTCGCATAGATCTTTGATATCGTCGCCTATCGAGTCACTCAAATGGAAGTGAACCTTCGGAGCCAGCCCCAAGTCCTTGCCAGTTTTCGCAGCCTCTACGAATTCCTTCCACAGGTCGGGGTCACAGCCCTCCAAATACTGCACGACATCCAAGTAGCACTGGATCTGTGCTGTCTTCTTGGCTGGTGCAGTGCCAATACCAATTCGCCGTCCGCCGACTGTCATCACGGCTTCCCACTGGGACCCTCCACGTCCGCTAGACGCCTTGAAAGAGATGTCAGGACTGCCAAACTTGAAGCGCCGACAATAGTAGTCCATGAATTGCCTCGCACGGTCGTAATCGATCTGGGTCCCGTTTGACAAAGGCACTGTGGTGGGAAGGGACGTTGAAGCGATAGATGGCGCGGGCTTCCTCTTTTCCAACTGTATTGCTGCTTTAATCTCGCGCCCATGAATATTAGGAGAAACATACCATGTCCCTATCATTCAGCTGCATCACAGCAGAGAGAGCGGCTAGTCGTATAGATTCCTTCCTCTGCGGAGCGTCGCCCTGACCGACGATAATTGGCTCGGCATCTACAACGACTGTGGTCCTGTATTTGTGTAAGTCACGAATCAAGCCCTGTGAGGACGAAGCATGCACACCTGAAATATTGACGTCCACCGATGATCACCTCCTTCGTGAGATACTCGGGCATTTGTCCATCAGCCACAGTAACAAAATAGTTTGCGAGGGCACTTTTTGGATTTTCCTCTTGATGTTTCTTCAGGGGAGTCTTGCCATACAATGAGCGAATGTACTCCTCATCGTGGACAGGCTCGTTCAACACGGGAAGACGCGCACCCCCGCGTCTTGAGTCTCTCGTCAACGAAGGCTGCCGAGAAACTGGTGCTGAGCCACCTCCTCGGGAATTCCTCCAGGAGTGACCAGCGGAAGAGCGCATGGAGTGTGCATTGGAGCGCCTCGAACCAGGAGGCGGAGGCATTTCGAATGCTGGGGACACTACCGATCGACCACTCCGGCTGCTAGAAACGTCGATCTTTGGTACCTTGACCGGCGGTACGTTCGGTGGCGACGAAGAAGAATCGGCGTAGGAATCAGAGCCAGGCTGAGCGTAGGCGTGCGCTTGCTGGGCAAAAGTTCGTTTAAGACTCGGATGACCAGACAACTGCGACGTTTTGCTGGAGTCTAATTGCATGAGGAGGCGAAGCCTTTTTGAAAGCAGCCTCTTAATTGGCATCAAGGATAACCGTAACGGTATCGACCTGGGGAAGATGTAAGTCATCGTGCCCAAGACACCGCATACGGGGATGCTACAACCCTCCCACCAAACGGAAAACCTCGAAGCTCTTCGAAGGCCTTGGAAAGAGACTGTTTAGAGCGTAAGGAGAAGGATCGACATAGACTATGTCTTTAGCTGTGGAGACGCGCTGCTCAAGCCGACACTCAATAGAAAAATCTCGTATTAGAGCGCTGCCGGCGTTGCCCGGAGTCAAGAAGATCCAATAATGTCCTGATTCGTCCATTGTGGCGGGAACGCACTCGGTGAGTACGAGCTTGATACGACACTACTAGTACTACGGTGGGCCCATTAGGCATGGAGAATCAAACTAATACATGCATTGCAATACAAGTCTAGTGGTCAAAGTGAGAATTTGGCCAAGCCTGTGCAGCGTCGTGGATTCCTTGCAAATATTTAAGCCTTACAGCAGCCTTCTTCACCTCCTCCCAATCTTCAACTCCCACCAACTGTTCGATTTCTCCAACGAGTTCTTTGATTTTGTCTTTCACGCAGTCAGCTTTGGGCGAGTGCGAGAGGAAGGATAGTTACGAGCTCACCCAGATTACGAGCCTTGATCTCATCGACTTGGTCTTGCTCGGTCGCTTCCTCCAGTTGCTCCCGTTCTTCCATAACTTCCATGATCAATTCAGGGTCATCTAGCTGATCCGACTCTGACGTCTCATGTCCTTTCAGCTTCAGGAGGTATTGAGTTCTTCGCAGGGGATCCAAGAGGGTCTTGTACGCCTCATTGATGAGCGAAGACATATGGTCCGCTAGGTCCTTCTTTTCCTGCAGAACAATGAATGTAAGGGATATGTCTGCACCTGGAATTCATGGCATACCCTAGGTTGGCCGGACCAAGTGTCCGGATGGCAAACTCTCTGGGCCTGCAGAAAGTTCCGCCTCAGGCTGGCCGTATCCACGGAAAACGGATTAGATCCAAGCTCTAATCCTAGCAACTCATAGTAAGAGGCTGAAGATGGGACCCCGCTGATGTACTGGCACTTGGGACACGCAGGTAATGAAGTCGGTAGCGGCGCAGAGCATTGTGGACATCTCTGGGGAAGAGAAGCTGAAGCGAACGGACGATTGAGTGGAAGCGGTGCTTGTCGACGAGCTATGTGCGTTGAAAGTTGCCCTTGTTTCCAGCGGGATGCTCTTGCAGCAGCCGTGGCCGCTCGTAAAGCAGAACGAAACATGGTATGCTTGGTAAAGTGTGACGTCATGCTATTATAACGGCAGGATGCTGAGCTCGCGCTAAGCCACAGCACTATCACCCGCCACTGCCATGGACTGACGGGGACTCCATGCTCTCAGACTGTACTCTGGCGCTGTTGTCTTCATCCTCCATTCCTTAACAATCGTCGTCACCATCGTCTGCGACAGCCATGAGCCAAGCTCCTGATGGGAGCCGTTTAGCGCGCCGCCCCCCTACGTGGATGCAGACAGGCGACCCTGTCGAAGCTGACGCTGCCAGACAAGCCATAGCGAAAAAAACGCGTAGAGGTTTCAATAGCTGGCTCCATTCGTTTTACCTTGGCAAGCGGGGCAAGCAGGGACTGCAACGTGGACTTGTAACTGAAGGACCCGACGATTCGCGAGAACCACCAGGAGCAGCGTCTTCCCGTGCATCGACTGCTGAAGACGTGCAGCTTGACTCCGTTCGTCCGCGAAATGAAAAGCCGAAAGACGAGTACCAATGGGCTATATTATACGAGAACCAGAGAGGGTAAACGCGCTCCTCATCATGCGGGACCATGCCCAAGCTCATGTACATAGGATCACCCTATTCTCATCCACATACTACTCCCGGCTCTCTCTGCTCCCTACCGACCCGCCGGCGTTCACTCTCCCGTACGCCGGCCCTTCCTCGTCAAGCTCGGGTCGGGAGGCGCGTCGCCACCAGCCTAGAATAACGAAGCTGTCCGAGTACCCTCTCCCAGATGGGACTTGGGAATGGGTATCTCAGTCTTGGATGGTTGACATGCGCGAAGATGGCGAGGTGCAGCATGACGGCTTCGAGTACAACTGGCTCTTTCGAAGGCACGATTGGCGCGCTCAAGTCGGGAAATTCAATGCTGGTGGCTGGGTTAGGAGGCGGCGATGGGTGAGGCTCATGGTCAGGAGAGCTGAAGCCATCCCAGGCCCGATGAGCAGCAACATCGAGATGGGGGATATCGACGATGCCGGGCCTGGCTCTGTTCGCCCTTCTCCTGCTCCCTCGGTACTTGACCCTTCATCAGACATCGAAGGGCCCGACAAGTCTATCATAATTGAAACCTGGCAGGGTGACGAATATCATGACTGGCAAAGATGTCATGCTGTCATGAGGCGACTCCCGCGGGACGGGCGTAAGCTGGAGTTGTGGGCATTGTGGTTAGGTCTGCCCCATCGGACAACAGTGTCGCCTGTTACATCCCCGCTGCCCGCAGGCGATGCTGCTGAGGAAACCCTGAAGCCGCGGAATAAGAAACAGTGGACAGAGGATGAAGGACCGCTGCCATCCGAGATTGCCTACACCAACCGTATCTCCAACACGGTCCCGTGTGCTCCTCTGGAATATATAGGGCCTGTCGTCCGGGCACATGTGAGTGTTGGGTGGCCGTGACGTACACTTCACTGTACTGACTTCGTTCTAGTTGGGACCGCTCCTCGAGCTGTTTGTGTTCCCGGATTCACGGGTACGATTCATGCGCCAGTTGGCTCAAGTAGGGTTGCTGCCGGACCCTGAATCAGAAAGTGGCAGAGAGTTTTGGAGTTACAGGACCGAATTTCAGGAGCTCATGCACCCGCCGAAGGATCTGGCCATGGGTAATGTCCCATCGCTGCCTCAAGATGAGGAGTTCAAACCCGTACGGGAACCTCGTGAATAGATACCCATCTACCCAATATTCACATACACACCATAGTCTCCGGTGGTTCTTGAATACGATACATGAGATAATGGATATTTAGTACTGTAACATATGTATATTGCCCGCTATTCGTACATCATAACGAACACCTTTATCGCCGTCGGATCCGCCTAATCACCGTTCTACGAACAGCATCCGATGTCCGAGCACTGGCAGAAGGTTGGCAGAAGCATCTCACTTGCTGTGTGCCAGAATGATCACGACCACGCCCCGACTGATATCACTAGGGTGCGGTGAATAAGTCGTCAGGACTTTGTAACATATGTTAATAACATGGCGCGCTCCGAAGCCCTTTTTAACAGGGTTATTAACAGTTAATAACATTTAGTTTGAAACGGGTTAATTACATGTTAAAAAGACATATCAACATTGTTAAAAACACTTTTGCAGTTTAAAATGCCTGGTAGGCCTCTACTGCACTCTCCGGGAGCTGTTTGACGTGCACTTTGCAAGCTGAAGTACATTAGGGGGTCTTTGCAACATGATGTCCCAGTGTTATTTGACTTACGGGTACGGTCCTCTACCGGTGCATGGTGGATTCCAGGCTGCCGATAGGGGGGGTTTTTAACACCCAAATTGGCCTTGCCTAGAGGGGTCTGTTAATAACATGTTATTAACCTGTTATTAACAGCAGTTTATAACAGTGTAAATAATGAGCGACTTTTACACCGCACCCTAGATATCACCGTAACGCGTCTCATAAATAGACGCGTCTGGCTCGCCCATGTATCCCCCCTTCCGTTAGACCTCTTCCTGACCTCTTCCTCCTCGCGCTCTCTCTAAGTCATCATGGCCGGCCTGCCTGTTGACTCCATCCAGCATCTATCTGACGAGCATCCGAAACCGGTCGATGTTCACTTCCAGTATGGTACGGCCGGGTTCAGGACCTTGTACGTTCCCTGCCATCGCTCAATGGCTTGCGAATACTTATGTGCTTCGCGGCCTCACATGACAGAGGCACACTACTGGACTGCGTGTTGTTCCGAGTGGGCATACTGGCTGGTTTGCGGAGCAAGAAACTGGATGGCAAAGTCATTGGGGTGATGGTGACTGCTTCGCACAATCCTGAGCCCGTAAGAGCACTATCACGCCATGCACAAATCGCCCAATAATCCCCGGCTTATGTGCGCCTACAGGACAATGGTGTCAAGCTCGTCGATCCCAGGGGCGAAATGCTGGAGTCGTCTTGGGAAGCCCACGCGACTGCCCTAGCCAACGCAGCCGATACGCCATCGTTTATCTCTGCTCTCGACACATTCATCAAGAACGCAAAGATCGATCTATCCAAGCCGGCCAGAGTCGTGTATGCCAGAGATACCCGGCCGTCCGGCGGTGCCCTCGTTTCCGCACTCGAAGATGGCTTCAAGGCCATAGGCGTGGACGCTCGCAACGCTGGCGTCACGACTACCCCCGTCTTGCACTACCTTGTCAAGGCGATGAATACGAAGGGGACTAAGGACGAGTACGGTGAAGACTCGGAGGGAGGGTACCTCCGGAAACTCAGCGGCGCGTTCAAAAAGCTGGTGGTAAGTGTGTACTGGGACTTATAAGTGAACGCGGCTCAGACTGGGACACAGTCAGGAAAGGCGCCCCTCGCGCCCCTCATCGTTGACTGCGCCAACGGCGTCGGTGCTATAGTAGGAGCTACTCTCGCGGAGCATCTCGGCGACACTCTGCCCATCATTATTGAGAACGGTGCTACGACGACCCCAGGTGCATTAAACAACCATTGCGGCGCTGATTTTGTGAAGACGCAACAAAAGCTCCCGCCTTCGCTGTCTTCCGTCCTGAAGCCGGGACAACGCGCATGCAGTCTTGACGGCGATGCCGATCGTCTGATCTACTACTACTTGGATGAAAGGAGTGTGTTCCATATGCTTGATGGAGACAAGATTGCTGCTCTTGTGGCTGCGTTCATTGTCGAGTTGGTGAAGGCTGCTGGGCTGGAGGGCAGGATAAACGTAGGGGTTGTGCAGACTGCGTATGCGAATGGTGCATCCACAAAGTACCTGTCAGAAGTAAGGCCTCTTTTTTTCCTGATTTCCTGGCGGCATCTCTGACTTGTCTTCAAGCGCCTTCCAGTGAAATGTGTACCTACCGGTGTCAAGCACCTGCACCACGCAGCGGAGCACTACGACATTGGAGTATACTTCGAAGCCAACGGCCATGGCACTGTCCTGTTCTCCCCTGAAACCAAGAAGCAGTTGACTTCCTATGAACCGTCTACGCCCGCCCAGTCCACTGCCCTGGGGCACCTGAACAACCTCATGGACTTGATCAACCAGACTGTCGGAGACGCACTCTCGGATATGCTGCTTGTGGAGGTTGTCCTCGCGCATAAATCTTACTCTGCAGTGGAATGGGATTCTCTATATTCCGACAAACCGAACCGACTGGTCAAGGTTGTCGTGAAGGACAGGAATATCTTCAAGACTGAAGATGCGGAGCGCAGACTCGTCAGCCCGCCTGGTTTGCAGGCGAAGATTGACGAGCTTGTGCGTAGATACGACGGTGGCCGGTCGTTCGTCAGGCCCAGCGGAACGGAGGACGTGGTTAGGGTTTATGCCGAGGCCACGGTCAAGTCTCAGGCTGATGGTGCGTTTCTGAGATATTGCTCGTGTCAAAATTTGGCTTATGCAAATGCAGAGCTAGCATTCCGCGTCGCCGGGCTTGTTTATGACGAGACTGGTGGCGATCCCGTCAAGAGACCGAAGGAGTTCTTGTGAGAGATGTTCACGAATACACTGTAAAGTATCACGAAAGGACATGACCGGCCGAAAGAACGATGGGAAGAAATACTGGATTGTACTTACACTGTACTAGACTTGTTCGAAATCATGACTCTTAGTATTCTGGATGGTCTTGCATGAACGTCCTCGGAACGGCCTTCAAAATGGTAACCGGGGCTTGCGGACGCGATCGCGCTCACGTCTTACGATCACCTCGTGCCTGAATACAGCTTGTCTCCGACTTGACTTTGCACTTTGACTTGACTGTCACCTTCTCACCCGCTCCCCGGCGGACACGTATATAAGCCACGACATAGCCCGTTTCCTGAAGTATCAGCTCTCCTCCACGACGCCGCCTTTCCCTAGCTTTCTACGACCCCCAGACCATGTGCCGCTTCGTTATTTACAAGGGCACGTCTCCAGTGCAACTTTGCCATGTTTGTTATGTAGGCCATCATGTTGAGCATCGGAGTGACTGACCTATGCGTAGCTCCTTACCCGTCCATGTCATTCCATCATCAATCAAGCATTTGACTCCCGACTTCGTATTGACCGACGGCGACCGATTAATGGGGACGGTTTCGGTGTAGGTGCGCCCGTCAACCTAGCCATTTCCATGTTGCGCTCGGAGGTTGATCAGCGTGGGACGTAGGCTGGTACGATTCTGTTCATGACGAAGAGCTGGGAAGTCAGCCTTGTATATTCACGTCCGTGACGCCGGTGAGTGTGCACTGGTGCTCTCAAGTGATGCATGTTCGACTTTGCAACTCTTAGGCATGGAACAACGTTAACCTTGTACGTCTGGCCGAGAAGATCAAGTCACCACTTGTATTGTATGGCTTGCGTCTCGTAACGGCCAGATCTTGCTACTGACCGTCTCGTAGCGCCCATGTCCGTGCAACCACCGCCGGATCCTTATCTCTTGACAATTGCCATCCATTCGTCCACGGAAAGCTTATGGCAAGTATCATATGTAGATTTTCCCAAGTAGGCAGCGCTCACTATGGATCTAGTTCATGCATAATGGTGGGATCGCCGATTTCCCGCGGATAAAGCGTAAGATCCAGCAGACCCTGCCTGACGAGATCTTCAATGTTGTCAAGGGGAACACGGGTTCGTATAAGAGTGAAGGGTTGGGTTTATAATTTATCTAACATCATGCCTGTAGATTCGGAATGGGCGTTTGCGCTCCTGCTGTCCAAGGTGAAACATTAAACTTTGAGGTTTCATGGCACTAGTTTGACACCACACAGCTCCCAGACGCCAATGCCCACAGCTTCACCACTAATACTCTCAAGCAAGCCATGCTCGATACCATCGCGCATCTGAATGCACTTGCCGAAGAGGCGGGTATCGAGGAGGTCCGTTCATCCTTTATCCCAACTTGCCCGTCTGACGCCCAGTGTAGCCGAGTCTGATGAACTTTTGCGTTACTGACGGCGAAAGCGTGATTGTTACGAGGTATATCTCATCAAGGCAGGACGAGGCAGCCTCTTTGGTAGGTTGCATTGTGTTTGAGGAACTATCTCGTTCTGATTGGGTCATCAGTGGTTCTCCTCCGGCACGACCTTCAGCGAGTACGCTCCAGGTGGACATTACAAGATGTCAAAGGCAGACAAGCGAGAGAACATCATTATGGTGAGTGCTAAGCTATTCCATCCCGGCGCTGAAGTCTGACGCTTAGCGCAGATTGCCAGCGAGCCTCTGACATTCGAGAAAGGTAAGCGTTCGAATCACCTTCCAATCGTTTGCCCGTCCAATAACGCCGTCCAGCTGATTGGATGGAGATCAAGACAAACAACATGGTGGTCATCACACCGAAAATGAACCTCTTGCAGATCCCTATCGTCGACAAGTTCTACGTCCCTCCCTCTGACCCGGCATTCCACAATCGCGGCACGAGATTTGCAGCGGAGAAGGGGTTATTGAGTCCGCGCAGAGCGGTGGCGCCTAGGAGTATGTTGGACTCTGAGAATCCGGCCATGGCTCCAATAGCTGTTGCATGAATTCCTGAGGTACACCGTTGATGTATGCTCGGTTCTTAGCCCACCTGTCGTGTGATGAGACCGTCCGCGTAGTGGCATCCTTTTGACTATCGATGGCTTCTTACAGATGTGCGAGTGAGCTCAGACCGTGAGGAGTCGTCTGACATGATGTACTGGCTAAATATATCCATAATGTCAGTCCGATATGGTGTAGTGGCTAACATTACCGCCTCTCATCGTTAACGGCTTACGTAAGCGTTACATAATCGCGGTAGCCCGGGGTTCGATTCCCCGTGTCGGAAACTTTTACTATCATTTGGGTAGTTTTGCAAAACTCTCTGTAAATCGACGTGTTGCGCTCAGTTCGCTGGCTCTTGCGTCAGAGTTTTTTCATGGCATTGTGTAGCACCCTTCTATGTACCCAACTGTGATTTTCTGTATTTTAATACGTGGTGTAGAGGATGCTGGACAGATGCCGGCGTGTGCAGGGGGTTTTGCAAAAGTTTGTCACGCGTGACATCCCCGCGAGATCCATCACGATTTTGTCACGATCCGCCTCTCGAAGTTTTGCAAAACAGCATCGCTATAGCTACATCCTCAATCTCTTCACAATCGGGCTGCTTGAGTAGCTCAATGTATGGTACACCAGTATAGTCCAAAAAAAATCCCGGCAAAAAACCATGGAATGAGTACCAGATCTAGGTTTCACACGGTCTGTAGGCGGTTGCAAACATCCTCCTCTTCCTCCCTCTCCATGACCACTCGATATTTCCCTAAACCAACTTGACAGAGGGTATCTAACAGTCTATATCTACATGCCTAAAAAGTCTCTGAGTTTTTTAATTTGGTATAGAGCTCTCTCTAGGGGCTGCGGTAGTTTTGCAAAATTTGCAAAACTACCCAAATGATAGTATTACTATGGTGTGCAGCACTTACTGAAATTACCTTGCGATCAGCAAGGCATCTCGCGCTGCGGGAATGCGTTCACTGTTTACATGTCTTTTGACTTGTTTGTATCTGTTGACAAGCCACTCAAGGCAATGATCGCGCTTTCCTCTACATAGGAGAGAGTTCGTGCCCTCCGAGTCGGCTCGCTACATGGTCGTCGTATAAGACGTCGGTGGTTCGCTTCGGTCTCATCTTACGTTCGTCGCATGTCTGACGCTAATGATCGACTCTGGATGACACTACAGTGCCTTTTGAGTGCCTTGCATAAGAAACTGAACATCGCATTTCCACGCGCGTTGTTTGTCCGCGCCAAATATACCCTTTTCGGGTATCGGCAAATGTGCGGCAAAGACCCATCGAGAGGGAGGCATACAGCTGGGGGCAGAGTATAATGATTTACAGCTCTTAGTGTAGTTGTAGAATATACATTTCATGGATTCTCTGAAGCCTTTTGAGCACTCTCGGGGCGTCTGCGAGTCCCTGTCCAGCAAGCGGTCCCGCGAGAGGCCTTCCGGACCTGCCCGAAAAGGGTATATTTGGCGCGAACAAACAACGCGGGTGGAAATGCGATGTTCAGTTTCTTATGCAAGGCACTGTAGTATACCATATTTCGGAGAAATTTGGACCCGTTAGTGGCCTATCTGTTACAGAAGTGCTCGCAGTCACTGGCTGTACGTAGTTACATTCCAATCTGTTAGCCTCACCTTCCCAGTAGATGGGTACCTCATTTCCCCTACCCTTTGTTTGTGTCTAGCAGGCCATCAGCCCCAGTGAAGAACGACAGATTTCTCAGGTGTTTAAAAGGTATTAAGTTTTTAACATGTATTTTACTACGTTTTTAAACTATCACCTTGACGCGACGTGAGACGGACTTTGAACGGACTCGCACGACAGCTTGCCTCTGGCTATGACATCACGATGCAAAGCGGGTCTTGTCGCCGACTCGCACTCACGTCTTCGTCTAAGTCATCTCGCGCTAAGTCCCCACTTGCAACGGATGGTCGCTGGCTCGTTCGCACCACCAACGTGTGTCTGTCTCATCTATATTCGTGCTCACCATCTCCTCCCGTTTGTAATGACCGTCTACTGGCTTTTCACGAGGGCTAGCATTAGCCAGGCTACAACATATGAAGCTACTTAGACCAAGGCTACATGCTCTATTTTGGCTCTCTGTCCACATTCATCTTAGCCATCTTAGTGTAGATGGTAAATTGGTCTTCGGATTATTGTGTTGCATTCTGGGTTCGATTCCCCACAGGTGCTTTCTAATTTTGATTCTGTATATGGCCAACAATATTGCCCGCAGATTGTATTTACCGTGTCAGCAATCGGCGAAACGATAGAGAAGCTTGGTATTTTCTGCACTCAGCAGCCGTTCCGCGGCTTACTTATTAGAGTAGGGTATCACCAATTTTGCTCCGCTAATGCTATGTCCTGATCAACAAGAGTGGTGAGTCGTGGTGCACTGTGGCCCCGAGTGGGGTATAATTACCTTTCCGGGCTCGGCTGCCTGCGCGAAGAATTCTGAAAGTTCTCTATCGTTTCGCCGATTGCTGGTATTTAGATGTATTTTGCTTCGGGACATGGTCCGAGAGACTCCGCGACTAAATCCATATAAATACCTCAATTGAATTTAAACTATCATCTCAGATTTTATATGTGTTTAGAGGCATTTCTCTTCAGATATTCCTCAGAAAAGCTTCTAAATACATGAGAAATCTGTCGTTTTCCACTGGGCATCAGCGGGAGCAGGCAACACATTTCAGCTATTTCCCACAGTGTTTGAGGCAGAATAACCCTTCTGGGCAGCAGTTTGCCAATTTGGGAAGGGTCGATTTCATATTCCCCTCAATTTTGAGAATTTCGACAATCCCTCTTGGGAATCGCATTTTGGCTAGAGGGATCATTTTTCTAATTTTACCTGAATTTCCCACATACGCTGTCACCGAGAGGCGGTGGCTAAGTGGCGCGCACCATAGAATCTGAGCATTCCTGGAAGGTACGCGATAACTGAACTCACTACACGTACATTATATCCGGACCCATCGTCTGCCCTGCCATCCCACCAGTCTCGCAAACAGTTCGTCCCGACCGCCAACCCACCTGAATATTTCTTCCCTCTCAGCTCTTGCGTGTCGCTCGTTGACCGAGTCCATCCAGCGTACGTGGAGGCCTTTCATCGGGCCTACTTTCTTCACTGCACATATGTCGGACAGCGCAATTACTACTTTGGCAGTCGAAGACATGAGCGGGGTGAAGAATAAAGTCGTGTTCGTCAGAGTAATCAGCCCTGGAGCTTTCGCATGCTGTGCAGGGAAAGCTATGGAACGTCAGAGGTGATGCCAACCGCCTGCCTCTCAGTGAGGTAGCGACGAAACTTACTGTGTGTTTCGATTTGCGCATCCGGAGTACTATACACAAATGCGAGACTAGGTAAAAGCGGTCCCGGGGGAGGCCAGGACCCGGACTGTGACCACTGGCACCTATGAGCCTCATGCATATTGATGAAGGTTCATCTCACCTGCTGGCCGTTTACCAATCGACGACTACCTTCAATCCACGCTTTACCTGCGGCGACTCGCTCCCCCCATTTTTTCCATTTCATATTATTGTTTCTGTCACCTGGCTGCTCGGAGAGACCTGGTGACGGGGCAGGAGGGTTGCCGCTGCCCTTCCGTTTATGGGGAGGCCGTACGTCGAGACCGAGAGCAACTCGATGGGATATCAAGTCCATGGCGTAGTCCGCATCCGTTGGCAAGCTACATAAAGGAGGTGGCATTCTGTGTGTTCGAGGCCGGTCAGACAAAAGTGACCGGCAGACATTAGGTATACACAGACCTAGCTCTCTCGCTCGCGGTCATGGCAGCCAAAATAGGCGTCACATGCCAGAACGCCATACCGCAAGCTGCGTATGCACCTTTCGCCAAGTATTTGGCAGGTACGCATGCTGTAACGAGGAACAATGCAGCGAGCACCTAACGATATTTTCAGGATGAAAAGTGAAACGACCGTCACAATTGCACTTACCAAAATGAATAACCAAGAGGCCTGAGGACGGCGCCACAGGAAGAGGCTATAGGGAAGCGCAGCACAGTTAGGCTGATGCAGGCCAACGCATTACTAACGCACTTCCGAATGCGCTCATGCGTGTCTGACACTTGGTCCATAATAAATATCACGGTACTCTTGATGTCTTCAACCTCTTCTTCCTCACTCTCCTTCTCCAATACAGTTGTGGTCTGTTCTGGTTCCACTTGGATCTCCTTTACATCTTGCTCCGGGGAGAGGGTGTCGCCACCAGCGTCAAAGCTCTTTTTAGTCTTGTACGCAGTCAAGCGCGTGACAGCAGCGAGCTTGAGAAAGCGCCATAGCTCGTTCATGGCAATCGTTGGGGGCGCGGCTAGCCGCGTCTCCACTTCCTTAGCAAAGGCGCGAGCTCGACCTACCTCTCGGCGACGCTGTCGCAATTCCGAGAGCGTTGGATATGCAAATAACTTGCGCCTGACAACCGCATATCCTACCCGGAGGAAAAGAGAGGGTAAAAGAAAGTTATAGTACCACAGCACCCAGAATAACTACCACTATAATGTTAGGACGTTCCGCTAATGAGACTGCGGTAAAACGTACTATGCAGTATTTCAAGCTGGTGTGGTACTGTCTCCAGGTTGCGAGATACCACAGTTTAAGGAAGAAGCGTTCATATTGAGGTGCCACGGCCAGGTATAGCCGTTGGGTGGCTAGTCTGAAGCGACCAATGGTAAAGGTGGGACGACTCGGTCTTTGAGGAGATAAGGAAGGTATTATATATTTCTAGAACTATGTCAAGTAATGATCCACTAGAATGTATGCTACGCACAAGCGCAATCCGCCTGGATAAAGACACATCTTGGTCGTCTTGTGAAAGCCGTGGCGGTAGCGGCGGAGGGGCATCCGTGGGAGTCCCGCTCGCAACAGAAACCCACTCTTCACTGCTAGAGCTGTCATGATCAACTCCAGGTATTCCGGATCGTATTTGTTCAGGCCCAGCTTCACTAATGGTCGGCACTGTTGATGTCTGGTCTTCGCCGCCTGTGACACTTTCCTGTATCCTCACCTCAGAGACGTACTACATTCGTTGTCATACAAAACCATTTTTAGTAGAAGCAAGGTGTGAAACGCACAGCAGAGAATAAATTGAGGAATCGGTCGATCTCTTCGTTATCATATATGGCCCTCAATTGCTCCTCGGAGAGTTCCTCTCCTTCGTCGGCAGGTGATGCTCGGTCTGGGTCCGGTGTCGTCGCAGATACATTCGGGACGCTCTCCGTGCTGTCCCTCCAGGTGTCACCAGGCTCCCTAAGGGATGGGTGGACGGGAGGCCTCAACCGACTCTGAGAAGTGGTTCGCGATGTTGCAGTTGAGGTCGCGGAGGAATCTCCCAAAGACCCTGAGGCGTTATGGTTGAGAGGTGCAACAAACCGAGGCATTTCATGCAGCTGTAGTGGCTTTGCTCGCTATGCGTGCGAGCCGTGAGGGGGACTGCAGGCACGCCATTGCCAGTGTCCGAGTCCCTGGCAGTCCATGACGCGTGTGAATGGCCATACACGCTTTGGAACTCAGCGCAAACTCCGCGAATTATTAGTCGCGTCGCGCGCCTTCAAGCTTATCCTGCATCCTTGCCGCGGCAAGATCAATCTCTAGGTGTCCTGCATAACCATAGGTTCAACGCGCTTCGAGCTGTTGCTGAGGCTAGCACTCTGCAAAGAATAAATCGAGTCTCTAGTGCATATACTGAACGTGTCAATTAACGGGTGATCAAATGTTTTTTTCTACGGAGTTACTGTCTCGGAGAGACAGCGGTTTTGGCTTGCTATGGTAGTGCCCACATGTCGTGTGCCAACATGAGACTGATCCAGCCTTCTAGGCTTGCTGCTACGCTTGGATCCAAGTCTTCCTTCAAAAAATTGCCAAAGCGATCGGTCGTGACCGCTGACATACCTCAATTATGCGATTTGATTGCTGAACCAGAAGAACCATTAGCACTGAGACTGTCGAGTAATCTTATGGTGGGAGTAGTCAGGTAAGCGTCTATGTAAATTCGTTAACTAAACGGGCCGCTTATATGACTCTGTGCCAGAGTGTATAAAGGTAGCGGCCATAAAACTCAGATTGCAGAATCGCGTTCTCGACGCTTCTCAAATTTCAGTCAAACAGGAACTCTTTCTTGCCGATGTTTCAACGTGCTTTCATTCTTTGAAGAAAGCAGTTCAAGACCTTCAGTTAAATAGTTTGCCAGTTGCTCAGCTTCAGATGGGACAGTCGAGCGTCAGGTCGGCTGCATCGTATCTCTACCATACGCTAGTGACTCAGCCTGCTTATTTTTATAGACCCGATACTGTAACGTTGCAAGCAGATCCGGGAGCAGAATTCGCCGTTAATTTTGACCACTTTTTCGCGGTATGCCTAGGCCTCTTGCCTCGTTTCATGAAGCTAACGTACGCAGGAATGGGACGAGGTTCTTGGACAAGATGGTAAACGTATAATGAAAGTGCCTACTATACCCGTCAGGCCGACTCAGTATTTTGTGTTTGGCTACCAGGTAACATGGATGGGGACCAAAATGACGGCGATTATGGCAAAGCGGGGGCAAAGTCGAGAAGGAAAAATAAGCAGCAGTCATTGTCACTCGCCGAAATTGCCAGAGCCGCTCCCCATACCCTCGAGGAAAACTTGGAGCAACTGCTATCGACGTCCTTCGATGCTTCGTTCAATGTGAACGGCGCGGGCGACCTTGACCCATCATCCTCGCAGATGGATGGCGGCTTTGGTTTCGGCTTTGATGATAACCCCTTCGGCGGGCCAGATGATCTGGACCTGGCTGGCATAGGGGAGGAGCTCGCGAAGGAACTCGGTGAAGGTTGGGGTGTCCCTGGTCAATCTCATATGCAGTAAGGCGGCCTCCTATGCTAGCAGCTCGACGTAATACTCACTTCTCCGATAGAGATGCTAATCTCGATATCGGCTTGGAGATTAACAATGCTGATGCTGACATGAACCTGGGGAATGACTTTGTATTTGGTCTGGACGAGCAACCTCCCAATCCCAACGGTCTTCAAGATATTGATATGCAAAATCGTGAACTACCCGATGATGTGGGCTCTCGTCACTGTTTCCGATGTCACATGCCACTGACCTTTATCAGGTTCCACATATAGGTGAAGGTCTGTTAATATGATATACTCGAATGTATAGCACATTGACGCACTACAAAGGCGTCGGCCCTGGATCACCCGACAGGACATCCAGACTAGCTGACAGCCCCGTACCTCTGCTCGAGCAAGGCATACATGAGACCGAAGGACAAGCACCCGGTCTGGTAGCCCCAGAACTCGTGTCAACGACTAGGAAGCCGAAGCGCTCTCGTTTACTTCTCGATACCCGTACGGAGCTGACGGATGAGGAGCTGCAGGTCTGTATCCCACCAGGCTCCTGCTAGGATTATAATTCAATCATATTTCAATATTCCAGGCGGCCCGGACCAATTATCTCCACGGGCAAAACCTTCTAAGAGATGAGCTGGAACTCAGGCGTTTCGAGAAGGACGGCGTGAAGATTATCGAGGAGATAATTTGCGGAGTTCCGCGAGCCTGTAAGGGCATCATTTCTCATGACTCTTCTCATATGAACATCGGTCATCCCTAGTCACCTCGCAAGCTCTAATGGACTTTTGGTCCCAGACCCTGAAGGTCCAAATTCAAGCTCGTTTTCCCATGATGGACGCAGACGGTTGATATTGTGAACCCTATGTGACTTCTCGAACTAATCATATTATGATGTCAGATGGTCCAGCAAGGAAACGCAGAAGAACCGCGGAGGCGGACGCCGAGGGACCTCTTAATAGACCTTACATCGGGGATATCGAGGGCCAGTTCGCGGACGTTGGTATTGGAATGGACATAGATGCACCTCCGGATGTGCAAGATTACATGCGTATGTGGTCCGGTTTTCACCCCCACCACCTAAGACAACCGTATTTTAGAGCAATATGACGGAGAGTACGGCGCAGCCTTCGGTTCGGGACGCATTCGTTCATCTGAAGTAGCCTTATTCTTGCAATTACTCAGTCAACGGATTAACATCCTCTGTAGGAACCTGGTGAAGCACGTCGAGCGTCCCGTCCCCCGAGTGGTCTTGGAAGTTACTTGGATCTAGGGGGAGCACACCTTCCATTAGGCAGTTCTCAACGAAGCTCCTTATTTCCTTGGGATAACGCTGGGCTGAGTTCTTCTGCCGCTGGAGGTCCATTCGGTTCACTGGGCTTCGGCAGTGGCAGGATGAGCGTCGGTCAGGTCGATATCCAGCTAAGGCGCTCTCGCTCCGGCAGCAGGAGGGCAAGTTCCGTGGTCTTCGATCGGATGGGTAGCGTTTTTGGGGACGTGCGAATGTCACCAATGATTGGAGATTTACAGAATGGAAAAGACGACGACTTCGTGTTTAACTGTAAGTCGTGCTCTTGGTTAAGACAATTGAAACGAACTTTCCTTGCAGTGCCAGGGGAAGATAGACCCGTTGTGGATGATTCTCAGATATCCGAGATGAATCTCATGACATTGGAGAGGAACTCCCATAACTTCTTAGAGTAGGTGTGAGATCTTCCCATGGTCTATCCAACTTATCTCTCGCAGATACACCAAGATGCAACTACAAAGTCTACCACTGAATGCCGATTCTCTGACCTTTGACGACGTCGTCCCGAAGGATACTAGTACGCCACATGTCGCGGCGGCCGCTTTTTACCATTGCTTAGGTACGTGTGTATTTCTTCCTCGACTGCCTTACCGTCCATAGTCTACGTCGCTGCTCCCTAACGTTTACGGTACTCCTTGCTTGCGCTCCGATGGACAGTTCTCGCTACCAAGGACCTCCTTCGCCTTGACCAACCCGTTCCGTATGGCGCTGTCAAATTGACCTTCAAGTAAAACTTGCCTTTCTGCTCTGGCCTATCCGCCCGCTTTCTACTGGATGTTTTTTCGGGAACCATTCTGGACGCTGCGCTGTGATTGTCTGACCCTGTGCTGTTCCTGCTCTGACTTGCTGTTTCTGTCGCCCTGTAAATCTCGGACCTCTGCTCGTCTCCTGCTATCGTTCTTGTTCGCTGTATTTTGCTTCACGTATAATTTCAATGTAATGCTTGTTACAATAGAATTTGAGATGTCCGTTGACAGTAAGGAACGATGCCGGAAATGTGCGGAGACGGGAGGAATGCAGTGCTTCATGATATGAAACCACGTGGCCAGAATAGAGAGCTGGGGGAAACGCGATTGGTCGGAATGACTTTGATCTTTGGATTGAGATGTTTGTTCGGCACGGCCGCACGTTATGGGGCCACCGTAAAGCCCTTGTCTCTCAAGCCTCGGCCATCACACTGCCCTCTCTCCCATCGGACCACCATGTCGCGCGCCGCTGAAGCTGCAAAGGCTGCCCTTGCCAGCATTGACCTCTCTGGCTATGACGCCGAACAATCCAGGCTCATGGATGAGCGTTGTATACTCGTGGACGAGCAGGATCGCGCGCTCGGAGCAGCGGACAAGAAGACCTGTACGTGGCTGTCGTTGTACTCTAGCTGAAGCTGTACGGACTGACGATACCCTATAGGTCATCTAATGGAGAACATTAACAAGGGTCTTTTACACCGCGCATTCTCCGCCTTCGTGTTCCGGCCGTCGGACGGGAAGCTCTTGCTCCAGCAGCGGGCGTCTGAGAAGATTACATTCCCGGATATGTGGACAAACACATGCTGTTCACATCCCCTGGACGACTTTCCCGAGGAGAAGGAGGAGAAGGACGCGCTCGGTGTGAAGGTGGCTGCTTCCCGCAAGCTGGAGCACGAGCTCGGTATCCCGCGGAGCCAGACGCCTATAGACCAGTTCCAGTATCTCACTAGAATACACTATCTGGCGCCCTCAGATGGAAAGTGGGGCGAACATGAAGGTAAGACAGTCTCGTGCGGTGTATTATTGGAACGTCCGAGCTAATCGGTGCTTGTCAAGTCGACTATATCCTGTTTTTGACTGCAGACGTTGATGTGACGCCCAACCTGAATGAGATCCGTGACTACAAGTATGTCGACAAGGCTGAGCTGCAAGCCATGTTCGACCAGCCAGGTACTTATTCTTACCTCTTACATGACATGGAGACATTGCTGAACACCATCTTAGGCAATTCGTTCACCCCCTGGTTCAAACTGATTGCGCGAGATTTCCTGTTTGGTTGGTGGGACGAGCTGCTGAAGCGGAAGAACGAGAAGGGCGAGGTCGTTGCAAAGAGCCTCGCAGGTGTTGCCGACGGCTCCAAGGTTATCAAGATGAATTAATGCATTCTCTATGTTGAGATAGACATCCTAATACTGGCATCCGCTTTTTGTGTAGAATGTAAAGTTAATTATCGGGGTCCCTGGTCACTGCTTGGGTGGGAAGTATACAGATATATTGTTCTATGTTGCCCGGTGGAAGATGAATGCTACATACTGTTAATTGATATGATACAGTTGACCAAAAAGGCGCCCAAAACACCGAAGATAGGATACACGGCTTCAGTCCATCTCGTCAGTCAAGCGTCCCCTTGAATATCCATATCTCCTTCCGCCCGCCGAAGCCCAAAGGACCTCGCCGTGCAAGGGGCACGCAGGCGTCCAACTTATATCCAAGCTCGTTTATATGTTTTAGCACATAACTCACAAACAGACTCTTATCCACATCGGCTGCTGAAACATGCGATGAACGTGGATAGGGCACCTTCTGATCGAGCGACCTACCTCCAATCACACCCCTTTTGAGCTCGATGAGACAAATATTTTCCTCCGTGACCCTATCGGATGCAATCCTGCGCGGAAAGGCATTGCGTAGCGCTGTACCGATCGAGTCGCGGATGGTACCCGGGGGGTCGACGATTGAGACTTTCTCATCGGAGCGGGAGAAGCAAACAGAGAAGAAGTGGACGTGAGGGTCACGAGCAGATTCGCCCCGGTCCACAAAGACCAGCCGTGGGGGTTTGCCCTAGGTGGACGTTGGCAAGGGGAGGAAACGAGTGGAAGGACAGACGCACCCGACTCCCGATGTTTACCGAGGTACTGTAATGATAGCCCTGAGATCGGGCACTTTAATGGGCTATAGCCGTCTAATCATGGACGGACGTACCAGACGTGCCAAGAATGAGAACATCCTACACAACATTCTTCGAACCCTGTATAGTGAACACAGCACGACTGAGAAGAGATAGTTCATAATAACTCGGCAAACCTACATGAGTTTCTCAGTACCGGTACTACTCCAGGGAGCCCTGCCGAAAACTACGCGCCATCGATGGTCCTTAGCAGAGTCGGTGTCAACTCCGTGAGGCCACATAGGAAAGACCAGTTCCCGTAAATCGTCTAGCATATTTTGGTACCGGACACCTTCGAAGCATATCTCATTATTCCCATGAAAAGACATCAATAGATGTACTATGTAGCAAGCGGCAGATCAGACATGATGCCCCACCGGCGTGGAGTAGCGATAATTTACCAGGCTCCCAAACAGACTTGGACATTGAGTTAGTCCTCTGTCGCGTCATCTGATTTACGGGTACCCTCGTAGAGCTCCGAGTGCTGGAAGTAGACCGTGACCGCGGGGTAGGAGGGCGCGGTGTCGCGGGACGTGTGTTACTCGCCGCTGATCCCGGGCGTTTCTTCATCGCTGACCTGAGCGGCACAGCTGTCCTCGTATCCCTTGCTTCTCGATGTTGCGTACTGATCCTCGAGCTATGTTTTGGCCTCTGGAGGGGCGGCTGCGCCACTGAATGCAGAGCGGGTCCGCCGTAACCGGGATAGACACCATTGGTCGGACTATGCAGGGGGACGGGAATGTTCTGAGATGGTACATGGCCAGGTACATGTCCCCAGGCAGGCGGAGGAGGATAAGCACCCTCAGGCGCATAGTATGCCGCGGGCTGCACGCCAGGGAAAGGATAGTATTGGCCTGGTGCGGGCGCGTATTGCTGCATAAGGCTATGACTCTTTCACGCGCGCAGAAGCGCAGGAACAAAGGAAAGGCAGAAAGGGCAGGTGAAAGCAGTGGGAGGGGGAGGACGGCATCGGGTGGGCCCTGCAAAAGAAGAGCTGCAACGTGCATTGCTGCTTGCCTTTTCCAGAATTACATACGCGCCCATCACCCCCGGTCGTGCCCACTGTCGGTGTCGACGGGCTGGCACATCCCCCGAGTAGAATACAACGGCACAAGGCATGGAATATGCGCAGCCTACATGGACGCAGAGAGCAAGAAGCACAATCAAAAGGAACGCCGTTGTCGGTCGTCAAGCCCGCGGGCTGAGGCGGGGTTTGCCTGGTTCGCTCGACTCGTAATGTAAGCGGCACCCACGGCCAGATCCGAGTCCGAGCCAGTGCTTACTGCTTATGCTCACTCTTCGCTGCTCTCTCCAACTTACTCACTTTCCTTCCAGCACCCATGGCTTCGACATTCGTCAACTGGCTGCGTTCCCCCAAGGCTCGAGAGTATTTCTTCAGTACGTCTCTTCCCTTTACCCGCCGATCATTCATTAAAGACCCGTCTAGGCACACATTTCTGGGGACCAGTGCGTTCTCACTTCTTGGTTCATCCACCGGCATTAAGACCGCGCCTTTATGCTAGGTAGCCAACTGGGGCCTTCCATTAGCGGCTATTGCAGACCTCAAGAAGGATGAGGAAGTCATCTCTGGGCCGATGACCACTGCTCTGGCATGCTACTCGTGAGTAGCACTCGTGTGAGCGGCATCAAGCTTTCCTTCTGATCTTTCACTCCCCCTCTGCTAGTATGGTCTTTATGCGTTTCGGTGAGCAACTTTGCTGCACCATCGTGAACTCCCACCTGACTGGAACACGTAGCATGGCGCGTCCAACCTCGGAATTACTTGTTGTTTGCGTGTCACGCCACGAACGCGACCGCTCAGTCCGTGCAAGGCGCAAGATTCGTCAACTACTGGTACATGGGCGGCAAGGAGAAGAAGGAGCCAACAGGTGTCGAGAAAGTGAAGGGGGAGATCAAGGAAGCCGCGGATATGACACGAGAAGAGGCCAAGAAAGTAGCAGCAGGGCCAGCCAAATGATCTGCGTGCGTTAGATGCGTTTAGCTTTCTTTGGACAGTTTATAGGATCTAAAGTTGATGAGATTACTGGTACATATAGTGTCCACCTAATACAAAACCACCCTGGACTAGATGTCGTCCTAGTGACGATCCCTTACCAAAACCCGTCGTCTCCGTCCTCGCCACCTCGTTTCTTCTTCCCGTTATTTCCTTGGGCCAGAGCTTGTCGCTCGTACATCTCCGCAATCTTGAAAAGCGCATGTATTTGCATATGAACAATGCATTCAAGGATAACTACTCACCTGCTCCGGTCCGGTAGCATCATCGGCAGACTTATCACCTCGCACTCGTATAAACCGAGGAAATCGCAACGATATTCCGCGTTCCTCCACCTTTGTTCCCATACGCATAAGCATTCCTGACTTCCACATCCCAGCGAAAAGCACTCACTAATCCTTGCGCTGCGGTATAAATAGGACTGAGACTCAGGTCTGCTGTCAAGACTTCCCAGACAATTTTGGGCTCGAACCACACGTCAGGCTTCGCGCCGCCGACCTTAACGTCGCCCCTCGGCTTCTGCATCTCCAGAGGCTTCAGGGTTTCGTAGTGGGACTGCAGCATCTCTTCGCTGAAGCCCGTCCCGATCTTACATATGGTCTGATATTCCTCCGAATCTGCGTCGTAGCAGGCCAATAGGAAGGCACCGTAGACATTGGTCCGTTTGCCCTTGCCGTAATATCCGCCCACTACCACAAGGTCCAGCGAGTCGCCAACGCCTGCCAGGTAATCCTTCTTGAGCTGCATCCCACTTCAAGTCAGCCAGTATCGCCTTACAGACTGAGGAGAGCCCACTTTTAGCCAGTTGACACTGCGTCGACTGGGCTCATAATGACTGGCATCACTCTCCAGCATTTTTACCATGAGCCCTTCACACCCGTCCTTCACGCTCTCTTCCAAGAAAGCCTGGATTTCGTCTGTGGTCGAGCCATCAGACGCTTTCGCGAACTGGAATTCCCCGTCGACGGGCTGGAAGTGTTCTCTCAGTAGCTCCCTTCTTTCAGCTAGAGGCTTGTGCAGCAATGGCTACGTTTTGACGATCAGCCTGGTGAACAGCACGTCAGCACCTTAGTATGTAACGCACCTCTCCATTGAGGTATAACAGATCAAAGGCGAACAAGCAAACGCGAACTTGAATGTCTTCCACTTTAACATCCTTACGTTTCCTTCTACTCAGCTCCTGGAAAGGCATGAGTTTCTTCGTGTCCTTGTCGATGGCTACGGCCTCGGCGTCCAGAACGAATGACTTCGTAGTATCTTTGATGCACTGAAGGTCGGGTTATCAATAGGTACAGCAAAAAAAAAGGGTAGTCAGCACGGACGCGGGGCAACTGCTCGACAAGATCGGGATACTTCTTGCTCATGTCCTCAGAATTCCGACTGAAGATGGACACTGTCCCGTCTTCTTTCTTGTGTACCTAGAAATGGCCTAAGCCCGATAGCTTTGCGAGGCCATGCCGTGACTCACCTGAGCTCGTTCCCCGTCGTACTTGTACTCGCAGGTGAACCGCTTGTTCTCGAACCTATCGAGAACTTCGCCGATAGCCTTGGTCGGCTTGGCGAGCATGGGTTTTAACGGTACGCCCGGTGTCAGCTTGCATCTCTCTCGTAATCTTTCCGTGCCAACTTCGAGCAAAGCAGGGATGACCTCGTCATACGAGGGTAATTCGCTGCAGATAGGGGCGAAAGTGTCGGTCCCTCGTTCATTCTGTTGTGAAAGACGACACTAACCTGTAGACAGCTTTGATGGTCTCAGCTGCCTCCTCCAGTCGAGAGGCCAGCTTTTCGTTGCTCCAGCGCTTGCCCGCTACGACGATATAAGTATGGTCCATCGATGGGACATGCGAATTCCACCTCACCCTTCTCCTTCTCAGCCAATACGGCAGCGTGGGCTACCGCGACGAGGACGGTGCGCTCGGCATTTCCTATCCTCAGCTTACCCTCTAAACTCCGCACAATGTACTTCGCCTCTTGTCCCTGGCATGCGGCGAGAAGCTTGGTGATGATGGACACCTTCCTGGCTTGTGACTAGAGCAGACAGTGTGAATCAATATGAAAGTCAGAGCTTCGACAACGAGGGACGTACCGAGTGGCCTGTACTCAAGGCAATTTCTTTCAGATTGGAGAACACGAAAGGCACTGTCAATGGTTTGGGCTTGAATAATGTCTTCTGGCTGTTTTTCGAGTTCTGTCGCAACCACTTAGAGCCCAGTATAAACCATCAGATACTGGAATCCCAGTACATACCATTGCTACCAGTCCCAGGTCACCTTCTTTCTTGAGTTCTGCCTTGACTGTTGCCAGACTTCGTCCTGTCGATTCAACGATTGCCTTGACAAGAAGGCTCTCGCCTATGCCCAGCTCAATGCCGACGTAGTCTGGACTCAGCTGTAAACCTGCATTAGAGCGTCTCATGCAGATCTACAGAACAGAACCAACCCGGTTAATGCACAAGTACACGCACTGGAGCAGAGACTTCGTGTCTCCCTCGGCGCTTCTCTGTATGACGAGGAGCAAGAAGGCCGTTAGCAGGGACGTCTTCTCTATGCGTTTTGTGGTGGCCTCGATTAAGGCGAATGTTTTAGCAAGTGCGGCGTATGGGACTCTATAGGTGAATATCACGAGCAATTCAAACAGTGGGACTGTCCGGGAACACGTACGGTGCACCGACTTTCCAGCCGCCCTCAATGTCGACTTCATCAGTACGCGATATGGCCTTCTCCGCGCTGCGCCACATATATGAGCATCAGCTTGGAGTAGGGACCTCGTCACATACTTGGCTGTGGCAACTTCATCCTCTTCGTCCTCTTCCATTTCATCTTCACCTTCGTCCGCTGGATCCATCGCTTCATCAGCACTGCTGTTCGCTGCGGGCCCATCTTCCGGAGCAGGTACAGTCGTCTCATCCTCATCCTCGCCCTCTTCTTCTTCGAGCTTCTTCTTCGACGTACGCGAAGATTTAACACCTTCTGTGCGAGTTCTACTTCGTTTAGAGGGTACGGGGAACTTCGCTTTTTCGCCCGGAATTGACGGGCTGGACTTCGATGGTGCACCATTGGAATATTCCACTTCAAAGTATCAGGGAAAGATATGTCAGGATTATACGTAGTTCTTACGAGGGGGTGGTCCGCCATCATCTTCATCATCTGAATCGACCACGCGGCGCTTTTTGCTCTTACGCACAGGCTCCGTAACTAAAGTACTTGGATGAGGGTAGCACGAGAGAGGTAGCACGAGAGAGGAAGGTGTGGATAACAAGCTCACCTGCTGGAGATGTGGCGTCCTTGCGTTTCGATTCAGCTGTTCGACGATGAGATGGCGAGCCCAGAATACTAGGACGTGCGTACCTTTGCCATGGGTTGGCTCATCCACATCCATCTCACTAGTAGAATCCGAAGAAGTTATAGCAGCAGCTTTGGATGGTTTCAAGTCTGCGTTGTACGCTGGCTGCTTGCCCTTCCTACCACCTCCCCACATATCCATCAGGCTTGATTGCTGGGGTGCGGTCTTCATGCCTTTTGACATCCCTATGAGAGCGGCTTCAATCAGGTCAGAACAGGTTTAATGGTATGGAGTCAAGGTGTGTACACCCACCGAGAGTATGTCGGCGACAAGCAAGCGATAGAGAGACGCGTACAAGCATCGACGCGAAGCGACGCGTGCCCAAACTCGCGTAAATAACACGTCTATTATCCACATCGTGACTTCGCTTAGATAACTTAAGCACTTCAGCCGGAATGTACCTGTATTCGACTTGTGTCACTTGCTGTATCTTCAGCTTGGTTTACATACGATACAAATAACTGAGCTGCGCAGCTACTTTGCGATTCTGCAGGCCACGGCCCAGTCACGTCGACCACCCGACTCTGGCGAGGCCATGACGCGGGACCACGTCGTTCACTCCTTTCCATCAACCCACTATAACCTTGCCAATAAGCAATTCTGGTCTCTCCAGCTCCTTTGTTGTCGTCCTTGATCGAACGTGATCGGCTCTGCTTTGCATGCTAGATGCTGATCTCCAAAGACCAAGAAGTGCGTCCTGAATATCAGGAAGGCTCTCAGCTTGCATCTGCCGGCGGTCCCTCAGGAGTCTCCGAACCACCACCTCCATTCCAAGACACAGAGCGACATGGCGCGATTGACATTGATTCGAACGATGAAACCTATGCGCCAGAGGGCGGTGAAGAACCTCCCCCAGACTTCACGCCATACGAGGCAGAATTCATGGTCTCTGGGACCGGGAATATCGTGTCTCACGATCTACATCTGAACCAAGATGGTCCGCACCCTCTTTTATACTCAAGGAGCTTGTCTAATCACGCGTTGCCGGGTGTGCCAACAGGAGAAGCTCTGTACAGATTCTTGCTATCGCAAGCGAATACTCCCCCGACCTACCAGCTGCATTGTCGTGGGACTCACCAAGAGACGCGAACGCGGTTTGTCAGCGACTCGGATGGCCAAAGCCAGTCCCGGAATCGAACCGAAACGGAGACAATCACTGTGACAGACTTCGACTTCTACGTGGATGTCGGACGAAATATCGTCTCTGGACCTGTCCACTGGTCGGTGGGTGACAGCGAGCCCGCCTATCGTGGGACAATGGTCAAGCAAGTAGATTTACCTGACGGGAGGAGGAACGCCACCCGCAAGGAAATAAAATCTGCTGAAACATGGCAGAAGGAACGTTCGGGCAAAGGGTTGCCTCCTTGGGTTGGACAAGATTGGTTCAATCGGCCTGGCCCGGACGGGCCTCACGATGGAACCGTCCTGAAATCTTCCAAGACGCTCCGACAGTGGGCAGATGAGTACTGCGCTAGCCCCAAAGATCTCAAGGAGTTTGAGTACAAGAAGGTCGAGACATCGTATACGTTTCTGAGTAGTCACTTACTTACACTGCAACAGGTGATATATGGCTGGAACATTCAGGCCTTAACTGATGCCACGCGTGCTGCCATCAAATCAACTGGTTATCACGGTTCCCTCAGTGTTGGTTTCGAGACCACTGTGGACAGGATTTACATCCGACCAGACAACGGACTTTCCCGTGTCCTCTCCAACAAATGGCTGAAATTTCTCCTTGTGATCACGCTGATATACCCATTCATATGGCTCTTCAAACGCTTCCATTCCCGTGGTGGCGGGAGATGGGTGGTCTGCGGGGGAGCGTACGCCCTTAAATGTTACCAACCTATCTCCGATAATGATGGGCAGTTTCCGAACACCACTGGCTTTGGCGATCCATCCATCCTCAAAACTACAATGACTGCTGAAACGGTTGCACCAGGTGGAGGGCTCCTCAGGCTAGTCGGTGTTCGGGAAGGGGAATGGTTCCATGACTGGGAAGGCGCTATCCGGTCTGCTGTGATATCGCGATTGCAGTCCAAGGCGCCGATGACTCATCCAGGGACACGCCCTTACAATAATCCTGCGGCCCTCATGCTCGATGGGTACTGAAGGTTCACTGAAGTGTCTTACCTCCCCAATGATCAAACTTCCAGACCACTTATCTCAATCGCGCTGCTCATGCTTTCCAGCTAAATGCGATTTGCTCTGTACGGAGTATTCCAGGCAGAATGAATACAATAATAATAACAGGCGAGAATATGAATCTACTCTCTAAATCCGCAACACGCGAGAGAATTTAACAGGTAAACAAATGGGTGTTATGCGAAATCATGGACAGATCGCCGCTACTGAAGTTGAACGTCCTGCGGAATCGAAGCAGACGAAGGGGACAACAAAGAACAGAAATGTCCCTTCAAACATATCCAGGGTCCGAATGATGTGGGTATGAATTGTAATGGTGATATGGTACATTGTGTTGGAGTCTTAATGCCACAGGCCGCGAAAAAGAGACGTCATGGAACGCAGTACAATGAGGACAGAGGCGGAAAACTGGACGCCAGAGGGCCCGAATGTACATCTAGCGTCGCCGATGTGTTGTGGAAGTCCCTAAAGAACTCGAGCGGCTGGGTTTGTGAAGCATCCGCGAGGACGTCTGGGGTTGGGATAGTTCTGTAGAAGACGCCGCTGAGGGCGCGTCGCCGCTGTCGATCGCGTTTTCCAGTTCGTCTACTCTGGACTGCAGCTCAGACTCGCTTTTCTCTGGGCCCTCAAGAAGCGCCAGGGCCGTCTCTAGCCACCAAACATGCTTTTTGATGAAGTGGACTACGACGGTGCCGCCCACCCGTTTATTCTCGTATCGCCTACGTCGACCTTCACGATGTGTCCACGCGAACTCGGGAGTCATTGGGCTGCCTGAAGAAACAGTATCTTCAGCATACGCGGTCTCTCTGGAGTACTGAGAAGTTACCTTCTCTTAAAGAAGACATGTCACTGCCTTCGACGAGGGCTTCAACACTTTGTAACGTCGTCAAATCAGGCACAGGGGGGGTATATCTCACGCCGAATGTCGATACGCTGGAATGAGCCCATTGCGTCCGCGTGGGCTCGTCGACGAACCATTGCGACGAAGAGTCCGTCACGTTGTTGAAATAGTCGATCAGGTTATCCTCTCTGTCGAAAAGGTTCTTCATAGAATTCCTGACACGCGTAGCTTCTGAGGGGAACAAGAAGCCGTGAGAGTACCTACACCAACATCAATGCGACATTCTCAATGAGTCAGGAGAGGCGACAAACTCACACTGTGCCAGCCCTGGGATGGTCGTATATCCAACATCGTTCATCCTTCCACCGAACCTGATCCGCGCGAGGATGCATATCCATCCACTTCGCGGTCTGCTTATCTTCAGCCCCCCGGGTCATAGTCCGTATCACAGGATCTCGCGCGATCCAGTCCACCAGACTCCAGCTCAAGGCATAGAGCTCCCCTGCCATAAATCGTCGCTTGACAAGATAGCCCCAGTAAATCAAAGGATCGTTCACCGAAGCTGGATCTGGAGCAGACACGACTTGCGACGGAGACGCCGAGACAGCGGTAGTAGATGTCTCGGCTCGAGGTGAATGAGGATTCGTATCAGTAGCGTTGGCTGGAGGCGACTTGGCGTGCAACTCGACCCGAAGGCGTGCTTCCAATTCCGCAAGCATCACGAAGGAGTCGTCATCCGTCTTCACAATGAAATCCGGCCGGACCCAACGCTTCGGTCTCCTCGAGAGAACATCCTGCCGAGCATGTGATGGATCATGCTTGGCTACTGGGGGCGGCACCGAGGACGAATTGGAGTATGAAAACTCTGGCGGCGGAGTAGAGGTCTCAAAGTAAACTGGCGGTACGTAGGCATAATTGGAAGCCCATGTGAAGAAGGCATGCGTCTTTCCGGAGTTCATGTTCTCCGCGATGGGTAGAATTACAATGTCATTGTACGCTGCAACCGAAGTCTGAGTATATAGATGAAGAGTGTAAGGATCTCTGTACGCACTCTCCATTTCCAGTCTTATCCTGCGTTCGAGACTCTTCTTTGGCTGACCCAGAATAAACCTCACAATCGTGCGAGAGGTCCCGTTCCCTCCATCACCGTCTATAGCGCCCTCCCGACTGCGAGGATGACTTGCCCACGTGCTACGGACGAGCATCCGCCTCTCGAAAGACGAGTCCAACGAGAATACACCGAGAAAGATGCCAGCCGGCGGCAGTGAGTCGAGGTTATCAGGAGGAAATGATGGGGAAGGATACTCCGCCCCGTGGTCTGGGGGAATGATACGGTTCCCCGGGTTCAGCAGAGATATGCGCTCGCTATTGTAAGTTGAAGGCGCGCTGCAGTACACACGCCAGGGCAGAGGCTCCTTATCCGGGTTTAGTATGTGGATGAGCAGGAGGGTGATGAAGATGCCGAGGATGGTTAGTAGCAGGAGGGTCAATAACTATGCGGACACATCAGCATACCATCGTCATTTGGATGAACGGCAGACGTACGATCGTGATAGGCTGACTTGGGAAAAAGGGATGTTGGACAATGCTTCGCACACACCGCTTCACTCTCCTCCACCATGAGAAGCTCCGTCTCCGCCGCCTTCGCGTCGGTGCGCCGAACGTCCACCATCGCCGTCTATCATCTCTCCACCACGGGCCTCGCGGAGTATTGAGCAGAGGTGACGTAGACTCGTACGGTTCGTCCTCCGAATCAGACGTGCAGGCGGAAGACGAGCCTGAAGCAAGGAAGTGAGGTAAAGGGGAGCCTGATCGCGAAGGCAGGGGCGTGTTCGTCGCAGTAGAGCAGACCGACCGGGACGACGCTGAGCTGGGGTGGTGTCGGTAGTTGTCCGCTGTCGGCGTGGCTCTTCGGGAGGGAGTCTGGAGGAAACTGTTCGGGTCGGATGAGGATGTCACGAAGGGGGTCCGGGGGCGAGGATAATATACGGACGAGCGTCTGCTTGGCGTCTCAGAGGACTCGGTCCCTGACGAGGCTTCATACTCTTCGAAATGGTTGACTCGAGACTGCCTAGCAGGCGGCAGCAGCCCCAGCGCGAACGTCATGTCGTACGACAATAAAATAAGCCAAGAGGCGAGAGAGCAGTTGAGAGATTAGTATTATAGGCGCGGGCCCTCGAGAGACCGAGAATATTATTAGAGCGCAGCACTCGTCGTAATATTTTTGCAGCGGATAGCGACGTCCGCGAGGGTAAAGACCGGGACGACTGCCACTGGCGCAGCCGGATATAAAGGAGAGTGGGACTGTAGCCGTGAGCAGCTGGGGGATTGAGGACGAGGCAGTTGAGCGTCGTCCCTGCCTCAGCTGGGCGCAATATCCGTGCGAATCCTGGTCTCTCTCGAAACCGCGCAGTGATGCATGTTACTGTGGCTCTCATCTCGACAGAAATATGCCATGTTTGTTCACTATTTAAACACATGGATAGTACAAAGCCTGATTCAACTTCATCGCCTCTCGCCCCCTTGTCGACCATAGGCTGTTCGTCTAGTGCAATCCATCAGCATAAACCTTCTTCCAACTGGGCCTTTCCTTCACAGCATCCCAGAACGCAGCCAGTTTACTCTGCGTGACTGGCTGGACTTCCGAGCCGTCGCGCTGTGGTGGGTTCCACTGGAAATCCTTCGGCAACACAAACCCATTGCCGATGTGATTCTCCAGCTTGCTGATTGCACCGTCTCCTTTGTCGGAGACGTTCCCACCAGCAAGGGAGACGAGCCGCGCAAGCCATGCAGCTAGATGCATGTCCGCGAGGGACAGTTGATCACCTGTAACAGTCCATAGCTCGACATCGCCACCCGAAGACTCTGATCGCATCCAGAGATGACGTACCTAGCGCAAACGGGCCCAGCATCTCTTTGTTCACTCTCGTCAAGACGGCTTTCAAATCAGTCTCCCACAACTTCTTGGCATTCTTGAAATACTCCGCCCGTTTGCTCTTACCCTCGGGACTCAGTTCGCTCTCGGACTTGCCGGCGTCTGCGAATACCTCAGCCAACTCGGCTATGCCAGCTTTCTTATCTTCCCAGAACTTCTTCGTCTTCGTAGACGCCTGGACTGCGCCCTTCTCGCTCTCCGCGATGTTAAAAGCAATGGCGTCTCGCTTGGCCGCGAAGAATGGTCCGAGAGACTTTGAGAGCTCCTGCAGTGACGTCTCGTCCCTGGCATTATACCATTTGGCAGCATTCGGAGACCCCTCGTCGGAGTGCAGCAGCTCGATGATATTGTTCGAAATCGCCGTAAAGGCAATGGTGGCCGGGGCCAGCGCTGGCGCTGGCGCGGAAGAGGTGGTATTGGTCCGCGAGATCGCTGAACGAGACTTGTCAAGAAACTCGATTATGGCCTGGAAACGATCCTGTCAGAATGGTATGTAATGCGACAGCGGAAACTGCCGACCTTGGTGTCTGTCAGGGCCTTGTATCTGCTCTCCGAGTCTGCGGACAAAGTCTTCTCAAAGGGAACGACGAGGGTCGGGACGGTCGCTAAACGGTAGTGGTCATGCCACCGGACTTGCTAGATATTGACTGCATCTCACCTTTAGGATTGAGCCTTAGAAATGCCAGAGCGTAGTTCTCTCCCTTTGCTGTTCACACTTAAGACGTGCTGCCTTATCCAGGCTCGACCGCAGAACTTACACAGATCAACCGACTTCAAGTCGACCTCGTCTTCCGCATATCCTTTCTCCTGCCTACGAACTTATCAACTCGTATCCCCTCCGCAATAGATCCACTCACAGAGCGAGAAGTACTAAGATCGCTCAACATCAGCGAAGCTATATTAGCTAGATTCCATTGGACGAACCTGCGCTGCACCATATGGACGGTGGAAAGTAGTAAAGCGACGCCTTGGGGACTGACTCAGACATAGTCAACTGTGTCGCACGCGTGAATGTCGTAGGTGAAAAAGAGGTGGACGAAATACAATCTGGACGCGTCCTGGTCCATCACTGCACGTCCGAAAGTGGTCCCATATGTGTGGGAAACATGACGTCTCTGGGGTTGGTTGTTTGTCTATATTTGCACAGTTCCCATTTTGGATAACATAGTCTTCTTCTATTCATTAACCACGTGTTTATCTGGAAAGTTCCTTTGGTGAGCGCGTTTCGCTATGCACTACAAAAGCGGACGCCTGCAAGGCAAGTCTCATTCTATTCTGCTAAACCTGTGGCGTGTTTAACCCACTTTCTGCGATCCTTGCCATGTCCAGCCTAAGGTACAGTCGATTCTGGCATAAAAGTGCTCTCGCAAGGTAACGGTCGATTGCAAGGCACGAGTTCTACGAGACCGATGACAAAGTCACGATCTCCGTGTTTGACAAGGGCGCAGACCCGGAACAAGTTTCCGTCAAGTTAGAGCCACGAAGAGTAAGTGACTGGCCTCTGATGACTCGCATGTTCTGTACCGATGCTGGCGCAGGTGTCCTATAAGAATGGAGATAAGGAACTCGTGCTGGAACCACTCCGAAGCCAGATAGATCCGGACGCGAGCAGCTACACCGTAGGCAAAGTCAAGGTGGAGGTCCGACTGGCCAAGATAGCCCAGGGTCGGTGGGGACAGCTACTAGGCGATAGTCCTGATCGTAAGCGTACCGCCTGCCAGTACTCGAATGGTGGCTAATCGTGTGGCGTTGTTTCGTAGCACTCGCCGCAGCCCCTGCACCGACCTCATCGGCACCCACCGCAACTCGGAAACAGCGCAAGAACTGGGATGGGATTACCACCGAAATTCTCAAGTCTGAAGAGGAGGTTACTCCGGACAAGGATCCTAATGCCGGGGGAGATGCCGCCGTGAATTCGTTCTTCCAGAAGCTGTACAGTGATGCGGATGAAGATACGAAGCGTGCCATGATGAAGAGCTACATCGAGAGCGGGGGAACGACTCTCAGTACTAACTGGGACGAAGTTGGCAAGGGCAAGGTGGAGGGCAAGCCTCCGCAGGGTAGTGAGTGGAAGAAGTGGGGCGCTTGAGTCTCCGGAGCTCAGTATGTCACAATGGTCCTTTCTCTCAGGGTCGTGGGGTGTCTGTCGTCGTGCACACATCAATACAGAACCAATTTGCACTCTCGTACAGCGCGAAAGAGGCGTGTAGAGTGTCAATGACAAGGAGTTCCCGACGAGCTCGCGCCTTGGTGTGGAGATGTGTCCATGGGATTACGTCGGCGTCCTGGGAATTGAGGTAACCCGGGCGCTCACTGCTCGAAGGCGGGAGATAACCTGCTAATCGGGTGCGGTTGCAGTACTGCTAGTAAGTGGCAGTTGGTGCATGTCGCTACGGTCAAATGTCGGTGTCAACGCCCTCCGAAAGAACGGTGATGAGTCCTGTTGCTGGTTGAATCCACATTATCCCATGGTCTAATCACGGCACCGCAGTCGAAAGACCCTTCCACGACGAAAGCTCGTAAGCCTTCGTAAGCTCCTTTCTTCAGGAAGTGATTGGCCACATTAATGGCCACAGCGGCCCCGGAAGCTATCGACTACAAAGAAGCACCGAGAGAAGAGCATCTCGTAGTGTGATCTGACTAAGCGCTGCTATCTTCTAGGTATTTGCACAGCCACACAGCGCGGCCACGAATTCGCAAGCTTTATCCGCTCCGGCTTGCTCGAATGGGTAAGGGTGGCTTGCCATTTCGATTGGTCCGGGCATGGTTGGTGGCGGTCCCGAGCTACAGTCGGACCTAGTCGTACACCATGAGGAACCGTGTATATAATCTGCGGCTTTCTGTGCCGTTCAGAGCGTTGTTCCTCCCTTTCGTTCCATTTTCTTTATAGATTGACCAGCCTTCCTTCCCTCCTTCTATAGAGCAGTCTTCGGGATGAATTCATTCCTTGCCAGGGGTAGGAGTGCCTCTCGGACGGATGCAGAATCCGAATAATGACATATCTTCGATTTACAGCCGCTTCACTGACTCCGGAAGAAATCCAGAGAGAAGTGCCATACCATTATATCCCGACAGAATGGATATGCATAGTATTCGTAGCCCTATTCGGTGTCACCGGTGGTGAGTGTCGTGCAAGTCATTCCGCGTCGCTAGCTACTAAGTACGTGGTCCGTAGTGATCCATGTAGCAGAAAGTCTCTTCTTCCGCATGTGGTGGCTCTTGCCCACGGCTGGCCTCGCGGCTGTAGCAGAGGTTGTAGGCTGGGTCGGCCGGCTGTGGTCCAGTCAGAACCCCACCTTGTTGACCCCATTCCTGATGCAGTACGTGCATCGATGACTTTCGGCCATTTCGACCAGTACTTACGAGCTTATGCTCCACAGAATCACTACGACTATCATCGCTCCGACACCGCTTGTCGCGGCTAACTTCGTTATCCTGGGCAGGATTATCAAGCGGTTAGGCCCCCAGTACAGTCGTTTGGGTCCCGGACTGTGTAAGGACATTGAACTAAATCTCAGGTTACTGTGCTGATTACCTCCCAGATACTATCATTTTCTGCTCTTGTGTACGTCCCCCAGGTGTTAGATTCTCCCCGGATGTTAAATTTGAAGTGTAGGACATAATTGCGTTAGTGGTACAGGCTGTCGGTGGTGCTTCGGCATCGACCGCAGCAGAGCAACATAGGAATGCGGACCAGGTTAGTCTGTCGTACTTCAGACGTTAGGCCAAGGCTGACGTTCGGCATCAGGGTGGCCATATCATGCTGGGAGGTATAGTGTTCCAGTTGGGTAAGTGCTAGGCACATTGTGTCATGAGTACCTCCGTGCTTATTCGTTCATTTATTCATTCCAGTGGCTATCTGTGTTTATGTGGCATGCGCATTCGAGTTCCTCGTCCGGTACGCACTCGATCGGCCGGTGCGCAAGGTGATCAGCAGTGCCAGACATGGTTCCTCGACTACCCTGGACGATCAGCGGGCTGTCCCCTCGCCGTCTAGAGGCCACATGGACCGGCCCCTGGCTTTGATGGTGTTTGGGTTGGGACTCAGCACCATCTTCATCTTTATACGGTAAGCACGGTTTCTGTCGCCTGCTTCTACAACATGCCCTAATATACTGAATAGATCCGTGTATCGAACGATCGAGCTCTCTGACGGTTGGGATGGGAAGATCATATCGACACAGGTTTACTTCAGTGCGTGCAAGTACTGCGATCGCCCGCATACTCGACTAACATGGTTTCGTCTAGACGTACTTGATGGTGCCATGATCGTCCTTGCGTCATTCACCCTGAACTTCTTCCATCCTGGTTTCCTCCTGCGAGCCTCCGAGGAACCCACGGAGCCACAGTTCGAGAGAGAGCCGAAGAGATCGTATCAGGCCTCGGTGTAGATGCTTTCTTCATCAATCTTTTGGAACGTCCGGATATAATTTCCGATTTTGCTTTGTATCGTATTGAATACTAGTATTTATCACGTTATAGACATACTTTATGTCCTTGTTACAGTGGAACATTCTTTGGAAATCGTGTATAGTACTCGTATCGTATAGTGTTGTGAACAACCATTAACCTCCGTGATCTGCTACTGGGCTCGAGTTGTTGGAGTTGTAACACGCAGTGAGAGTTGCCTCCAATGAAGTTAGTGCATAATTAGATCGACTATAACTGCTGATTAGCCTGCTATACGAACGACACACTAGTGGCCGCTGCCCAAAGCATACCGTTATAATCTACACCCTACGCGTCCATTCGTTTGGCATCTTCGAGCCTCTACCATGACAAGCCTTACCCTCATTGTTGCTGCCGCACGGAATAATGGCATTGGACGAAACGGAGGTCTTCCCTGGCGTCTTCCCGAAGAACTGAAGTACTTCGGTCGCGTAACAACACAAGCCCCCGAGGGACACCACAACGCAATTGTGATGGGTCGAAACACTTGGGAGAGCATTCCACCACAGCGCAGGCCTTTGCGCAATCGCATCAATATCGTGATCAGCCGTAACAAGGACTATCAAGTGTAGGTATAGCTCGTTCTATGACTCTGTAATACACTAACGATGCGTAGGTCATCCTTGGAGAAGGCTCCTACATACCTGCGTTCCGACTTAATATCGGCCTTTGACGGCATCGGAGAATCCACCGTAGACGGCAAAGCGTTACATCGTTGGTTCATAATAGGAGGTGCCTCCTTATACCGCGATTCATTAGCATTCCCTCCCCCATCACGCCTAACCGACCCATTTGTCGATCGCATTCTTATTACTCGCATATTAACACCGGCTTTCGACGACTGCGACGTCTTCATGCCTGATTTCCTGTCAGAAGCGGGAGACAAGCAAGGACGGTGGACGCAAGCTTCCCACGACAGTTTACAAGCATGGGTCGGCTTTGATGTACCTGCTGGTATACAGAGGGAAAACGGAATCGAATACGAGTTCCAGATGTGGACTAGGCAAGGGTTGTCCGGACTCAGTAATGAACAGGTTTCCTCCAACACTTCTTCATGACACTGACTCCGACACCATCCCCGAAAAACTCCCAGTGGACACTTGTCCATCAGGAGTAAAACGTCGCATCATGGACGGACGACGGAGGAGGAAGCAGGCCTCGGCTCAGCCTTGCCTCTGTAGCAGAGTTAATACACGTTGCGTGGCTTCCTGGTTGCAGCCTAGACGTACCTGCTTGTGCTTGGGATTCTTTGAACAAATAACGTATAGCCGTCCTTTCCGGCGGACAATATTGCATCCATCGCACATAACCTTGACAGACGAACGGACTTTCATTCCCCTCGTTAAGAGCTCCGTTGACCGCGCTAATGAAGGAGCCGCATGATTGTGGACATGCGGGACAAGGCCGGGCGTCGACGCGAGCCTAACGCGAGAGAAGAACAGCAAAGGCCTTGACGAGGAAAGGAGAGAACGCAACATGGCTGCAGACTTTGCGGCCACAAGCTTTCGTATTCACCTTCCTGCCAAAGTTAGTGTTCCCACGGCACGGATGACACTAGGAGATGTTATCGGGGCTCCTCAAATGGGGGGCTTCATCGACTTTGCCACACCACCGCCCACCCCGGATTCATATTCTATGCTCCCGTATCGACGGAGATTCTCTGGACGCATAGAACTCACGTTTACGCTTGATGGAGAGTGACAGACCGACGACTCAATCTCCGGGCGGTGGCTTGGCAGGAAAGCTGGCCATAATTCTTTTCGTGGTCTCGTTACTCTCGTTTGTAACCGAGAGCCAGCTAACCCAGGTAAGCATGTGCTTTTGAAGTATATGTTCTCATATTAAACATGGTGCGGTAGTATGTGCAAACAAGCGTGGGTTACCGGCAGCCCTTCTTCCTCTTGTGAGTGGTCCCCCACCTCGGACAGGAGAAACTGTCTATCACTATGCTAATACTTGAGCGCTAGCTATATTGTTCATAGCTCGTTCATCGTGATGTTTCCGCTGCATCTCATCTACCTGGTTGTGGTGACGAAACGACCCCCATCGCATTTCATTGCTGGTATCCGTCAAGCCCTGGTGAACCAGCTTGCTCCTACCCCGTCCAGGATCTTGGATCCAGTGCACACGGCCCCATTCCCTACTCGGCGGCTGGTGAAACTAGTGCTCATGCTGACCATGGGCATCACTGCACCGGCCTTGCTCTGGTTCATCGCGGTGTCTCTTTCTGCGTAAGTTTCGGACAGCTAGTCGCCCAGGAAACGCGCACTAATGTCGTGTGAACAGGATAAGCGACGTTACAGCTTTGTGGAACACAAATGCTTTCTTCGCGTACATCTTCACTGTGAAGATCTTCCGTCTTAACTGGGAATCTCGAAAGCTCGCAGCTGTGACGGCGGCCACGGTCGGCGCCGCTGCGGTAGTATATGGAGGGAGCACGTCCGAACCCTCCGACACGTCAGACCCGCAGCCTCAGGATAACATCCTTGCGTTAGCGCTGCCTAGCTCTCCGCTCTTAGGAGATCTCCTCACACTCTTCGCTTCCATCGGCTACGGCCTATATCAAGTTCTCTACAAAAAATACGTCGCGCTCCCTTCCGATCCGGAGTTCGAGCTTGTAGACGAATACGATAGGCTCCCAATTGCATCACAGGACGTAGAAGATGATGCCCTAGAGGACACGCCGCTCGGCCCGGCCTCCCAAGACTCCGTCTATCCACCTCCCTTTGGCTTGTACGCCAACTTCTTTACCTCCGCAATCGGCTTGTGCACTCTTGCCGTCCTTTGGATACCGATACCTATCCTCCACTATTTAGACATGGAGCGCTTCAAGTTACCCGGGAATCTGTTTACGATTGGTATAATCGCTTGCATAGCAGCGACAGGCGTCTTGTTTAATGGAGGTCTTATGGTAAGAGTGGCCCATCTTGTCCTATCGTGCACATCCACTAACAAGCAATTAGATCTTACTAGGGATCTGGGGACCCATAATTACATCAGTGGGGAATCTAATGACTATAGTTCTCGTATTCATTTCGGATATAATCTGGGGCGGCGCAGTGCAGACGGTCACCATTTGGTCCGCCATAGGGGCCAGCATAATTGTAGGGGCGTTCGGCGTGCTGGTCTACGACATGGGGAAAAGCGCCCGGGAGTAAATGTGGCATCCCGCCCTTGGATGGAGGACTGCAGGTGTCGTACGTATGGTAGATTGTATCGTACTAAATCTATGATTTGCGTTGACACCCTGTCTCCTCAGGAGCCTGTAACTGGTGAAAGTCCATGATGTTGGTCATGCTGTAAAGATCAAGCTGCCTCGGCAACACATCGGGTCCTCTCGTCCGCCATTCGAAGCGGAAGTACCGGTAACTCCCGGCCGCCCAGTTGAAGTCGAGAGACATGTGCACCGCCTTGACGTGGTCCTGTCTCACATGGGAATCTGGAGCAGTGACTGTCATATCAAACTGTGATTATGGTAGAGAATCCAGGAATGAAGGGGCGTATTTTCACAATGGTGGCTATAGCACAGACAAGCGAAGCGACTGGGACCAAATAGAGAGTAGATAATGACCCACGAACTGAGAACACACAGATTGACTTGAGCAGTGGGATATGGATGCCGAAAGTGCGATGTCAGGAAGTCAAGTCCATAAAATAGAAGCGACGCCATTGAGAAAGGAACTGCGAGAGAAACCATGCTCCTACAGCGAAGAAGATGCTGCGCGCTCGGAATGATATGTAGGGTATGCTGACCATACCCAAGGAGATGAGAAGACCCACTGGGTCGTCTGAGTTGGGACTCCTGAGTCTGCTGTAGACCACTTGAGTCACCAACCCCCGCCGCCACCACGAACCGCCGATGCACATCAGGTCGACCACCCACCCACCAAACGACATGGTCCAATTATAATCGTATACAGACAACACACCCCTACCATGTCGTATGGGGATTATTGGTTGGCACCAGGACCCATCAAGCTAGCGTGCTATGCGGTGAGATTGATTTCACAGGGGCTCAGTACGACCACTAACCTCTTCCGCTTCGCTTTAGTCATTTCCTTTCGCAGTGCCGGTCCGTCCAAGGGTTTGAGTAGTTCGAAGGCGCACAATAATTCTTCAGATACGCTCATGCATGCGCCGTAATTGTCGAACTCTGAGTTGACAAACATTAGCAGAACTCGAGAAAGCCATAAAGCAACGTACCTCCGCAATAGTTGGGCGCACTGAAGACCGTTACGAGGGTGCGGTCATTCCAGAATTCGTACCCGTCCTCAACCACCATATGCGCTCTGCATATCAAGTCCATATCGTACCGGACCAAGAAATCGTTGATGATAGCCTTCCCAAAGCAATAGCTAACCCCTCGCTCATTGTCCTCCCAGTCCAATGCTGTGTCTGAGGGATCCGACCACAGGAGGTCGTTCAATAGTCCGTAGTCGGGAACATCTGTCGGACGCTGTATCCGCTTGATGTCTTCCATGGAATGTAGTGATGGGGAAAGTCCTCCGTGAACACAAAAGATCTTGGAGGCAACAATGGCAGCAATAGGAAGGCAGTTGAAGACGTCAATGAATGTCTTCCACGTTTTGATATTACAGCGTCGTTTGCATTCGTCGTAGAAACCATACACTGTGGCTCGTTGAATATGGGGCCCATTAGGGGACTACCTGACATACCTCTCGTAACGTTTGCACATTCATGATTCCCTCGTAGCAGGAAGAAGTTCTCGGGATACTTGACTTTGTAACATAGCAGAAGGAGGATAGTCTCAAGACTCTGCTTCCCCCTGTCGACGTAGTCACCAAGGAAGAGATAGTTGGCGGCGGGAGGGAAGCCACACATCTCAAACAAGCGAATGAGGTCGGAATACTGGCCGTGGACATCTCCGACAATCTTAACAGGCGGCGACAGTTCTATGAGGGTCGGCTGACTTAGGAATACCTCTCGTGCTGCCTGGCATATAGCCGTGATCTCCGCATTCTTTAGACATAGGGACTTGCTAACTTTCCCTGTATATCCCACCTCCAGCAGTCGGTGGATCATGTCGTCAATGTCAAACTGCTTGATTTTCTCTCGCCCACTGGTGCCAGCGGATCCCGCAGCCTCCCCAGGGAGGTAACTGCTGGACGTGGACCCGGGCGTGGGGTAGCTGTTAGGGTTCGACAGGATGGTCTGCGCGGCAGGAATGTCGAGAGGGGCTGGTGCGGGTCTGGTGCCGAGCGATGGTGATGAAGAAGGAGACGTAGCGTTGGACGGAGACAAAGAAGATGAAGGATCGGTAGAGGTGGGTGCGGGGTGGGTCGATGACGATGGCGAGCCAGGGGCCCGCTGTCCGTTCGCAGGCACTGGGCCTGTCGTGCCCGCGGGGCTCGAAACATTAATGGCAGGGTTTCCATTCCCCTGCGTCTTGGAGCCTGACGAGTCGACTCCGTTCGCAGTCTTGGGTGAAACGGTCGAACCGGTGCCCGTCGCACGCGACAGGCTGCCTTGCGGGGTATTGTCGTTGCTCTCCTCGGTCGCCGCGTCAGTCAAGGATGAGGAATCGACAGCGGCGTCCTTGTCCTTGTCCTTGCCATTCTTCCGCGACTTCTTCGAGTTCTGCTGGCCCATGGGCAGGGCTTGAGAGTGGGATGACGGGGAGCCTGGCTGAGGAGATTGCGGTCTGGACTTGGCCCGTCGGCTCGTGAACACGGAAAGCAGTGTGGGCGCCAGATTGTAAGGAGTGGAGGGGGACTGTCGTGGAAGGAAGAGAGACAGAAAGCGTTAAGTCTGACGGTCGGCCGTTGTGGGGGCGGGCGGGAAGGAAGCTGTATATCAGAGACGCGGGACGCCTGCAACTTGAAGGCGTTGTTTGGTCATTTGTTGGAGAGTCTGCTTATGGCAAGTATCTCTTGGCTGTGCATCCCGTTCGACGTAACAGAGCTTGTGATCCAGCCACGGGAGTACGTGCAATGGTGGTTTGCATAGATGCATAGCACGACATGATGTAGTAGTAAGTAGTAAAACAGCATAGTACCCCGCATCCCCCGCTCGCATCCGACAACAGCCGCCTAGAACTTCCCGAATGCCTTCGCCGCAGCCTTGTTCTTCGCAACACGGAGAACGTTGAACCGCACAGTCTTGGACAGAGGCCGGCACTGACCTGAGGACATAATCTCAGACGGGGATAGCCTGAATACCAAACCATTACGTACCCACTGTCACGATGTCACCGACCTCTACACGGAAGGCTGGCGAGACGTGGGCGGCCAAGTTTTTGTGTCGCTTCTCGTAACGGTCTGTACAGCGCACAGCTTGGCGAAAGGCCGGGGAGCTAGACGAATATGCACGTACTGTATTTGGGGACGTAATGGAGGTAATCCCTCCGGATGATGATCGTCCGGGTCATCTTCGTCGAAACGACACGGCCAGTCAGGATTCGACCACGGATGGAGACGTTACCCGTGAAAGGGCACTTCTTGTCTGTCCAAAGACCGCCCCATTACAGCCCCGTCAGTTGGACGTAGGAAGAGACGGGCGTACCAATGTATGAGCCAGTGACGGCTTCCGCTGGCGTCTTAAAGCCAAGGCCGACATCCTTGAACCACCTCTTCTCTTTCGTCGAGATCTTCTTGCCGCCTATCCCACAATCCGTTCAATACGCCCATCCACACCACCCTGATGTTTGGGACATACCCTTGAACTTGGCGTTCTGGAAGAGGTGCTGCTTCTGGTAAGCCTTCTCAATCTGCAACACAGTAGACGTCAGTTTCGGTCTCTCGAGGACAACAATTCGCGCTCACCTGTTCGGCCATGGCTGATTTTGCTGATGTCGGATAGTCGGGGGGTCGGACGAGGGGCCTTGCACAGAGGTCTGGGTTTGCCTAATGCGGTAGTCTGGAGGAGCAGCCACCACAGACAAATACTGTATAGCTTTGCGGCTACATCCGAATTTAGACCCCTACCCAGTCGGGCTAGACGGATTTCGTCAGGGTTTCCTCCGAGTCCGTACTGCCATTGCTGATCATGTTACGAGCTTGCTGCTCTATACTTTACTTGCATCTTCCTGGGGCATTTTGCGTTCAAGGGTGATCAGTCTCTTCTGCGCGTCACTCGTCTCGATTACCCCAATATCCGCTAGCTCGTCCAGAGACCATACGCTGGGATAGCATGCGCACGGCTCTGCGATTCCGGATATGACTGTACTATCCAAGCGAAGGCGTGAATATGGCTGAGAGGAATAGTCATAATAGTACGTTGTCGTGTTGTGTATGCGGCAGTCTATACCGGGAACAACGTAGGTGAACATTGCTGCGCTTTCTGTACACAACCCGTTCACCGATATCGGTAGCTTGGATCTGCTGACGGTTCCCAACTTATAAGCTTTATATGCAGAAGGTTATGATCCCAGGCCTGCATGGTATTCTCAGCTCTCGCCTTGCTATATCGCGTCTATTGTCTCCGCAGCTCTGGAATGGCACAGAAAATCACGAAGCTGCTGTAAATATAACATGTCTCATCTATATCATAACATTCACTTGCAAGCTGGATCTCTGCCAGGGGTGATTGTCAAGCATGACGCAGTCGACCCGAAATGCAAGAGACAGGGACTGTATTGCATTTACAGAGTGACAAGGCTGTCAGTATAAGGTACGGGATATGCGAGTACAAGGTCGAGCGATGTGAAGTTGCGTCTGAAATAAGATGAGATCGCTGGGAAGGAACGGCAGCCGGCGATAACAAGGGAATGCTTGAGACACAATGCACGGGAGAACGACGAGCAGTTCGAGGCCGCCGTGGGCGGCAGCGACAGGAGGTTGGCCAAGGACGTCGCGGGCGTCGAGGACGGTGCCGAGGGGGCCGAGCGCATGAGGATGGAGCCCAGGCAGCGAATATCTATGAGTGTATGACGTTGCGGCAGGCGTTCTTCGCACGCGGAGACGCAAAGGCCTACGGCAATGCGTACCGTGTTTGCAATACGCCTTCGGGCGTTCTCTGTCCCTTCCCGCAGTGCTCGCTCTTTTCTTGCCTTCTGCGTCTACGATAATATGTGCTCATAATGCCTGACCGAAAGGCAAAAAGGCAGCAAAGCGCTTCCGGTTCCGCTACTGGTGAGTTGCGAGTCTGTTGTCGGTTTAGCCTGGTGCAGCACCCGCCTCGTGCAGAATGACAGAACTTTCGTGAAGGGCGTCTGGCGGGGGCGAGGTCAGGAATGTTGACGCTGGCCGGGGCACCCATGGGCTCGGAGTGCAGCGATCCTCTGTGAGCGCTCCTGCCGTCGAGCAGCCTTTGCGCCTTTCCGGTCCTGCTCGTTTACGCGTCTTCGTTCTCCTTTGCTTTGTGTGCTGTATCCTGTTGGCGCGATTGTTCATTTTCTTCTCTTCCAAGGCTCCTCTCTTACTGAATCATCTGTATCTACCGCTACTCCATCTGCTACGCCCCCCACGACCACCTCTGCATCGGATTCCGCGACCAATTCTCCTACAACCCAATCCTCGCCATCTGTATCAACTATTGCATCGACTGATCTTCCCATGTCTTCCTCTGAATCTCCATCCTCTGTCCCCGCCTCGACTACGGCGGATCCCTCGACGTCCCCACAACCAACAACGTCTGCTTCTTCCGTGGCCCCTCCGGGAACTACATCTTCCACTCCTCCACCTTCGACCTCCGCGTAAGTCTTCACTGCCTCCCGGTACCTTCCGGGGACTCATGTCCGAAACCACATGCTGACCTACTGCACGGCACAGCTCCCCTACCACGACAGCATCCAGTGCGAACGACAGTGCGTCGAGTCCGCCGACGACCACTTCGGATCCTCCTACCACCACTTCGGATCCTCCTACCACCACTTCGAACCCCCCGACAACCACTTCGGACCCGCCCACGACCACCTCCCAGCCACCCACAACTACCTCTGATCCCCCGACCACTACTTCCAATCCTCCAACCACCACAAATCCCCCGACAACGACCACTAACCCGCCCACGACTACCGAGATTCCCACAACTGCTACTGTCACGACTACTGCACCGCCGAACACCACTCACGAAACCACAACCGAAACTACAGATCATACGGACCACGCAACTGAGACCTTTACGACTACCGCGTCCTCAGACTCTGAGAACACATCCTCTCCGCCGTCCCCCTTGGTTGTAGTGTCCTCTGCTACGTACGTACATTATCACAACTTCATCGACAAGTTCTTATTTGTTCGGACAGGACCACCTTGCAGAGCACGGTTGTTTTTACGACGACGGATAGTGATGGGCACACCACTACGACAATCCCTCCCACTTTCACTGAGACCTACGTCTCCACCAATAGCAATGGCATCCCTATGACTGTTACTCAGGTGGTTGCGAACCCCACCCTGAGTTCGGAGGACAATAGTGTGCATACATCCGGGTATGTCTGTCATCCCCCTCGCCCTTCTGAGACACGACTTACCTTTCCTTGTACAGATTCTTCAGGCAAAAGGGGGCCGTCGCTGGTGTATTTCTGATCGTCGGTTTGGCGGCGGCGTCGATATGCCTGTTCATCTTCTTCCTCGTACGACGCCGACGGAGGACGCGGAAACTCGACCACGACGCTGCCGTCAGCCAATCGCTGGCCGCAGCAGGGTTCAATCGGGCGCCCCTCGACGATGGCGATGACAACGATGAGAAGTTCCCCCGACGGCGTACGCTGTCTGACATGGAGATGTCGCACTATTCTGGCGGGTACGGCACTGGAGGATCTATTCCCAGCGCGACCCGCCCGCCGTCAGCATATCTTGACGATCCGTCCACTGGACCGTCAGACAACGATGGCGCGACGTTCGATCCATATGCGGCGTATGTCGCGGAGGGTCCGCAGGCGTATCGGGGGCCAAGGACATACAGCCCCCCTGTGGGTGGAAGGGATGGACACCGTGGGGGGCATTCGGCCTCGTACAGCGCAGGTAGCACCGAGCCACTATTGGCTGCCATGAACCGATCACCAAGCGCCGGTCCGTTCGATGACTTGAGGTCCCCGACGCCCCCGCCGCCTCCTCGAAATCCGAAGAGGGTGACGGATAGGCTGAGGAATAGTATGGAAGGGGAGGAGGAACCGTATCGGGATGAGCCTGAGAGGGATTCGTGGGGGTCTGATAATGCGCCTAGTGATGAACGATTGAACCCTGTTATGCACGACCGGCTGAAGGGAGGCAGTAGTATCAAGGATAACGAAGATTACTCCAGGCCGGTTCTTGAGGTACGTTTCGAGATTATCCGTTCAAGGTGAATGGAAATGCTTATATGTGTATCCTCACAGGTAAGAAATGTTGTCAGCGACAAATGAGAGCCTTGATGGAAGGAATACATCGCTGCGAGGACTAGAATTGTATGTATAACCTCTGCGTTTGCCTTCACTACCATCTAGCATTTACGACCCTGCCCAAGGACGCTTATATGCTTGTTATCATCGACATCACGATCGTGACCCACCGCTTACTGCTGTCTTGCATTTGTTTCTTGGCTTCTGTTTGCTTTTGGACGCTCATTGCTCTCCTTGACAAAAATTCCATCCGATTTTTGTGATTCGGAGACGGACGCTCTCCGCGTACTTTACACTCGGTTATACCTCACACATAGATTGCAATCTGTATAACTCGTTCATTATATTTGAAGCTCTAACTACTGCCGGAAGGTGTCAACCTACTCCAGTTATCTTGGGTGTGTGGTTATTCCGCGGCTTATCCCACCCACTTCGTATCACGATATTGGGGCGGTCGCATGATATGAATGACTCTCAATCTTATCAGTCTCATGATAAGGCCTATATAAAGCCCATGAAACGAACACTTGACGCTGCTCATTTACGGCTGAGGAGAGCAACGCGTCGCCATAAGTGGGCCTATGGCGAAAGTACGACCCCCAGTTGAGAAACCCATAGAATATGGAAACGCCGGTGAATTCTGGGTTGAATACCCCTCAGGGCTTGTGGATTTGACCAGGGCCAGTCATCTACCGAGCAGTGCGTCGGATGCAGCAACCCCGCCTCCCTTAACCCAGGAGTTCCTCGAGTTTCCCGTGGACGGGCAACGAACCCTCAGGATCGACAAGAAGTCAAGTGCCATTGTCATTATTGACATGCAGAAGTGAGTCGCCACTCGCAGGCTGGGGGTTTCCTGAAGCTGACCGCGTATGCAGCTACTTCCTGCACCCAGAGCTTCGAGACCATCCCACCGGACTGGCATGCGTTGACCCGTTGCTGAAGGTGGTCCTCGCACTGAGGTCGCAGGGAGTGAAGATCCTCTGGGTGTAGTGTCCACCGTAGCCCATTGCCCTGCATAATCTTGACTGGGCCGATCAGGAATTGGGGACTTACGGAACATGAGTTGAAGACCATACCTCCCTCCCTGGTCAGAGGGTTCATGAAAAGCGGCAAGGGGGGCTTCGGTGCAGATTTAGGACGCGACTGGGGTAGACTCTTGATGAGGGACCAGCGCAATGCCGAACTTTACGGGCCCCTCCAGCAGGAATACATGAAGAACAAGGACGCAGGAACGGACATCTGGATCCACAAGAACAGGCGAGTTTCCAGGCGATATCGCGGTGATTCCAAACATTGAGTCGTAAATAGGATGAGTGCCATATGGGGCTACCAGACCGCGCTCGATCTGTACCTCAAGGAGAATGGCATCACGACCCTGTTCTTCTCGGGTGTGAATGCTGACCAGGTAAGCCCGGGATCCTTCCCGTCTTTGCCACCTCGGAATATTAGGGTAAAGCGATTGACGCATATCATCGCTCACAGTGCGTCCTCGGCACAATCGTAGACGCATATTATCGAGGATACGACTGTATCGTCGTCGAAGATACGGTGGCCACCACCTCGCCACAAGGAGGACTCGAAAATGTGATCTATAACTCCGGAAACGTGAGTATCGCACGATAGTTTTGGTACATCATCGCTCAAGATATACCAGAGTTATGGATTCGTGACAGACTCCACGAGACTCGTCAACGCCATATCAAATTCAGCTTGATGGATGTACATTGCTTGAAAGATTGTACTGGTACAGAGGATATGGATGCGTGCTGTTAGGAATACAGTGACGTGCGTGAGGAGTGATGTCTCGAGGCTCCGGCGATTGTGGTTGTACTCGCAGGGAATGGGAACCCAGAGAGTTGGGCGATATCATTCAAGCCAGACGTCTGAGAGACCTTTGGGGTCTAACCGGAGCGTTGACTTTGTAGTTCTCCACTCTTCTATTGATCAAGAGCGAGGCTCTGTAGGGTGCTGTCTCCGTCACCGGGGTCGTGTCGGAATCGGAGTGTGCGTGCGAAGATGGCGGCGTCAGAGGTCGATAATCATGTACCCCAACTTCAGGCTCTTGAGCCTGCTTTCGGATTTGAAGTGCTTGGACAGAAGGCCTGGTAGTCCTCTCCGGCAGATCAGAACTCGGTTCCCAGCTCTCCTCCGAAACAGGGTAAAGAGACGGAGTAGAAGGGGAGGGTGAAGGCGACCGCGGTGCATCATGGACCATCTCTACATTATGGCCGGCAGCGTCTGGTCGACCCTCTACCACAACAGCATGGTAATCACTGAACGGACCCTTATACTCCGGTGCAGGAGGGGCAAGCAATCGTTCACCGCGGTCCTCGACTGCCCCGAACTCAGGAAGGATGAGTCCGTCATCCATGCCAGCCTTCTCATCGAAATCGTCACCATGGAAAGTGTGAGGCCTGCTCCACCTCTGGTCAGTCCGGCTCACGAGCACGGTACGCATCAGGGGAGGGCCTGGTGGAGGTTCGAATGGATTTTCCGGGACGGGGGCAGGTAATTCTGACATGCCACCATCTCGGGCCCGTCGCTGTTGCCGTCGCAGGATGCATGTTATCGCCGCGGTCACGATGGCGATCAAGACGCCGATGGCCACGAATACGCCAGCTACTGCTCCAGTGTGGGAGAAGAACCTAGAAAAGGTCAGACAGGGCCATAAGAAGAGCTGCAGGATGACCTACCCCGAGTTGTCGGCCGATAGGTTACTGCTGTTCCCAGAAGCAGAGGACGCGATAGGGCCACCGGTAGCGACCGTACTCGTGATAGTCACATACGCGCCATTCGACTCTGCTACCGTGCTATACGCAGTGACTATGCGATAAATGGATGTGTTATTTGACGCCGTGTTGTTGGAAGATCCCGCTGAGGTCACGATCGGTCTGTTATTGGCGGGACCGCCAGAAGCAGGGCCTGTGACTTTCGCTTGCGTCGACGAACTAGCCAAAGACGCTGCAGAACCGGACGATGCTGGTTTGCCAGTCTCCGACACGCCTCCGTGCCTCTGAGCCCCACTTGTGGATCCCTGCGGGGAGCTCTGAGTAGCAGGGGGCTGTGCAGTGCTGACGTTGCTCTGGGCAAAGGACGAAGCATGGGAGGTCGTAGACGCACTCGAAGGGGTAGGTGGGACGGATGTCTGACTGTGGCTACCCGTCGTGTCAGAATGGCTGCCGGACGGTTGCGACGTGGAGGATTCTGTAGATACAGAGCTTGATGTTGACGCGGGAGATGTCGGACTGACGGTCAACATTGAACGTCCTATGAGATCACATATACGGTAGATGGTGATCTAGTTACTTACGACAATGGCGCCATATTTCCAACGCTGCCTTTACGAGAGCCGGAAGAAGCTCTGGAGGGCTGGATGCTCGGCACAGAATCGGGGAAACGGGTGCTTGACACAGAGCCAGGGGACTGGGTGCTCGACACAGAGCCGGAGGACTGGGTGCTCGACACAGGGCCGGAGGACTGGGTGCTCGACACAGAACTCGAGGAATCGGTGGTCGACGCCGCACTGAGGTGAAGCGAACTCGTCGTAGATCCGGAGGGTAGTGACCGGGACGGTCTACTGCTGCCAGTGCTCATGAAAGTGAGTCGTCAGACTTGGACGTCTTTCACAGTGGGCAGAGACTACAGAAGGAGACGCGGCGAACCCGAAGGATTATAATCGAAGCACGACCCCACACATCATATGAGCACTTCATTATGAGGGTGATTTGTTGCGGACGCTCACCAGTCCCCGACTTCGGGTGCAACTATCGCATACGCGACATCTGTCGGGGCACCCACTTCATCTTCCCGGGCTTTTATACAGCAAGGTGCTTCACTTTACGGAAAGCTACCTGGAAACCTGCATATGACCAGAGCATACGGAGCGAAAGCATATCGGTGCGCATAAGCGGGAACGTCTCTGGAGATAGCTGAGCGTCGCAGCAATTCACAGGGCAATCCTTGACAGGATCCTCCCCCACATGTCTTCAGCCATATGGCCCCGCGCAGGTTGCGATGTCCGAATGCAGTTGATCATCGGGGATCGCGACGGTTGTCCCCCGGTGCAGCTCGAGCACCTGCCATATCAGCGATCGACCCGAGGAAAGAACGGAATTGCCTCCGCGCTTCTCATCATCGTTGCACGCGCAGCGGGTCATACGCAAGAGAGTCCACGCAGCTCATCCGTCTATGTCGATAGAATTGCTATGTAAATGCGAATATAACGCGATACTAGGTCCTGATAGTAATGGAGGGAGAGAAATTCAAATGGGGAGGAAGAAGATTAGCATGAAGGGCAGCGTACACAGTCTATCAAGGTCTACATGCGATTACACAACAAACCCAAGGGATAATCAAGGCGATTAATGGTAAATAACGATAGCGTAACTTCCCTGTAATACATGTAATGTATAAATTGCATACTAGGGGGGAGATGAGCGATGAGGATACAGTCAAGGTGTGTGACAGTGACGTACACTAAGCGTTCGCTTAGGGTGGTATAACAGATAGAGGGTATGACTTGCAAGAGATATAACGACGACTTGAAGGCAAGCCATCAATCAATATGAGGTGTCCCAGGACTGGCATAAGGAAATACGACGCACCAGACATGGGACGAAAACAACCTCAACGTCGACTGGCCGGCAGTCCCTCAGCAGCATTTGCTATTTGCTGTGCCTGGGACGTAATCCTTGAGTCGTAGCTTGGAAGATCCTTTCCGTCGCCGACCACTAAGACTTCCGAAACTCAACCGGCTGGAGCTGTTAACTCGGCGTAGCGCACGATCACCGTAGCTGACGCCGCTGCCCGCCTTATCCGGATCTAAAGAGCCTGATTCGATGGCAAGAAGGATTGAGCGCGCGCAGAGAAGGAACGGTGCTTCAACGTTGTCTCCCGTCAATGACGATGTCTCGAGGAAGTGGACGTCTGCCATGCCAGTCTCTCAGTCGCGAGTCAAAGAAGGATTGACATCAAACGCACCATTCTCCGCAGCCCATCGACTCGCTTCCGCCCACTCGACTTCACGGTCATCCTCACGATCAGACTTGTTCCCAACCAGGACAACCACAAGATTTGGACTCGCCAACGCCCGTGCGTCAGCTAACCACCGGCCGAGATTAGTGAACGACTGCCGACTACAGGTCGATATGAGCAGGTGCGGCGACGGCAAGAGAAACGGATGCTCACTTCGTGATATCGTACACTAGAATAGCACCTGCAGCACCACGGTAGTAGCTCCGAGTCACAGATCTGCGAATTTGATGACATTGGCCACAGCAACGCAATTGAGAACGCTGCTACTCACCGGAACCGCTCCTGACCCGCCGTATCCCACAACTACAGCCCAAGAGTGAGCAGCCGCTGGACTTATCAGACGTTCTAGTGCATACCTGCAGCTTGATCTTCTTCTCCCCCAGCTTTACGGTCCGACTAGAAAACTCCACTCCGATCGTGTGTTGTGAATGATCCTTAACTGCGACACAGACATCTCAGTATCATGCAAGTCAAACGCGATTGCAAGCTCACAAGAATTGTGCGTGAACTGATGCAGGAGACACGATTTGCCCGTCCCCGCTTCGCCTACGACCTGACGTCAACTGCGAGCACATGAATGAACCCTGTCGCCGAGTGCCCGTACCGATGATGATGTATTTCATAAGAAAGTCTGTCAAACTCTGTGAGAAACAAACACGTTGCAGGAACAGGAGCACCCGTACCATAAGTTTCAAGAAGTTCCGTAGCGTCCGCGTCGTAATCGTTGAAAGCCATGATGAGAGGGAGAGGAAACAAGCGTTTGCAATCCTGCTTATGACGGCGTCATGCCTAACAGCCACAGCTCCGGATCGATTGGGCGAACCACGTGCGAGCCGCCTCAAACCAACCGAGCTTCGCGGTCACGCGGTGACAGTCCGCCACGTCCAATTCGGTTTCGCTCCATCTTCGACGCGTACCACTAGTATCCCCTCATAATCTCGCACTATCACAGCCCTCTGTTCTGCCTCCTGGTGCTTCCTGAAAGATGATTTTTGCTTGGTTACAACATGTACAACCTTCGCAGTCAAAAAGCCAAACACGACATATTCTACCGTACCCTCACCAGCCTTTCCATGATACCCAGACATCTACGACTTCGTCCGCTTTCCCTGCCTCGGAGTCCACAATGTAGTACCATGGATAGGCTGCGGTTATGAGGCACGCGTGCTGACCCACAATCTCTACCACTTCGCCAATTGCGAGCTTCCCCTCTTGGTGTCCCGAAGCCAGAGGCCCAGAAGGATGCGATAGGAGAATACCATGCTCTTGCGAGACTCGTCCCAGCCTCCATGGCTTACCGATAACATCTCCAAACCCTCCGCTGGGTCCTGTGTCCTTACTCATGGCGATAGCGCCGGCGTCGCACAACGCTTCATCCCTCCCATCTGCGCTGCGTCCAGGGTAGTACGAAATCACCGTGGCTAGGACTTTCTGTGCGACTCTATTCCCACCCACAAGATTTGTGTGCATCTGCTGGAGGTCCAATAGCGGATAATTTCCTGCCGAACTGTGAGATTTCTCTATCACCACTCTGAAGGCGACCATCTCGTACCTGCGTGTAACTCAAGCCTTCCGTGTAACAATGAGTCCAATTGCTGCCTTGCCTCTACCGATGCCGCATGCGCGGTCGGCGTGGAACCTACGGCGAGAACGAAACCCCCTTCCGGAACGTTGGCGGATATTTCGGCGTAGATTTTCTTGGCCGCAGACGCGGCGGAGTTTACAGCATTCACCTCGGCCGAAAGGAAGGACGATGCCTCTGGTAAAGATGTCGACGCATACGCGTCCCACGCATGGCAATAAAAGCCGAAGATCGTGGTCGCGGGCGAAATGGATAGCAGCTCTACGAGCGGCCTAAATGCCGTCGACGTCGGGGGGACGCCTGCTCGCCTGTCGAGGTTACCATGAGACGAAAACCCGCGCGAGGCTGTTGAAGCTCACTTTTGTCCCCCGTCAACCTTTACGAACACGGACCAACTCCTAGGCTTCTCTCGCTGCTGTTCGAACTGCTCCAATGCTTGCACCTGCTCCGGATGGTCTATCAAGAGCCTGACGATCCCTCCGTACTTTTCGAGCTCGTCCCACAAGGACGCCAGGTCTTGGATCTTGTTGACTCCGACTGGTAGCCCGTACAGTATCTTTGGTCTAGTCTCGAATCAGCGGCCCTACCTGCGCGATCGGCAGGCTTACGTCTTTCACGGTACCGTCTGCGACCAGGCCTGCCTTGACTATCGCCCACGCTTCCATCAAAGTCGAAACCACTACTGCCTCGGTTTTATCGGTGGACGAGACTAACTGCAGTTTGGTGCCTTCGGCAGTCTACGTAATTGCTATTTAACCTTCTCGGTTGCCTGAGCCGGAGACACTCTGAGAGTACCTTGTGCGACTTTACATGTGCTCTGAAACTTGCGCCCCAGTCCTTAGCGTTCTGGTGCATCTTCGCGCAGTTCTTCGCAAACACTGCTCGGTCAATGACCATGCATGGCGTTCGCAGTGTATGGATCGGCCTGCCCACGAACTCCTTGACTACCGCCTGCTTGTCCGGCAGCGTCAAGAGGTCAATTGGTGTCTTCGTCTGGGCTACCATCCTGCCTGTGCGTGTCTTGATACTGGATAGTGGTACAAGTTGAAGCAGCAGCCGTGGGGTTGAGCTTCGTCCCGTCTATTAAAAGGTCGATCTCCCCTGATAACGATCGAATATAGATCTCGATCGCGCATTCAAGTTCAAGGGCTTCCTTCCGCGTGCCGTCAGAGTGAAGCTATTCATGAAACGACTTGTCACTGGGTTCCCAGGTATTTACAGCAGCATGAGCGCGGATAAGGTACCAAGGTACGATGCAGTCCCAGTCCGTCGTCTACCAGCCTCTCTACGAGGACATCGTAGCGCGGCTCGACCCCGAATATGTGGCCTTCCACAAGGAGCACATGCTATACAAGCCGCTGCAGCACCAGCGGCCCTGGAATCCCGATATACGCAAGGAACCCAACGTCCCTGGCAATACTTCGCCGTTGCAAGTAGGCAGCGTGCGCGATCTCTCTGTGGGGAGATGTATGGCGAGAGTGTTTAAGCCTGAAGGTGCCCCTCCGGAAGGGGGCTGGCCCGTGCTGTTGTATTTCCACGGAGGCACGTCTGACCCTTATCACGGCTTTCCTTGGCGTCAAGATAACTTGCGTCTGCAGGAGGTTGGACGCTCGGCAATATCAACTCTGAAAATTCGAAATGCAGTAATCTGTGCAAACGTGAGATTGGCGACTGCCTAATGTACGTAGAGGGTCTGACTGCGATATGACTGTAGGCGCAAAATGTGTGGTAGTGTCCGTTGACTATCGTCTGGCGCCGGAGAACCCGTATCCTGCCGCTGTTGAGGATGCGGTAGAGTCGTTGCAATGGCTCTATACCCATGGCAAAGCTGAGTTGACGGTAAACACCAAGCGCATCGCGGTCGGGGGCTCCTCGAGGCACGTATTCCCGTGAAAATACAAGACGCCTTTTGGCTTATGTCCCTTGAAATAGCGGCGGTAATCTGGCAGCAATACTCGCGCTGAAAGCGGCGGAGATGACCCCGCCTATCCCGCTCGTCTTCCAGATGCTGTTTGTACCAGTCACAGACAACTTGGCTAATCCGGATGGCGACCCGCATGCTTCGTGGTACGAGTGCAGGAACACGGTGTGGCTGAGCCCGGCGAGGATGCTGTGGTTCCGAAACAACTATCTGCCCAAGGCCGAAGATCGCGGCAAGTGGGACGCGTCGCCGCTCTTTGCGCCGGACGAGTTGGTCCGCAAGACGCCCAAAGCCTGGATCGCGCTGTGCGAGCTGGATATCCTGAGGGACGAGGGGACGGCGTATGGCGAGAAGTTGCAGAAAGCGGGGGTGGACGTAGAGGTGAAGGTGTACAAGGGCGCGCCTCACCATATCACGAACATGGACGGTGCGTGTCATTCTTGTTGAAGAATATTCGATGCTCCTTGCTAATGGATGGATACTCGTTTTGGTCGGGTCCGATAGGGTGAGCATTCCGTCCTGCGATGCATTGAGGTCCGCTGACCATTCGCGCAGGGTGACCCAGCTTGGGCGGGACTTGATATCCGATGCAGTACAGGCCCTGGGCGTTGCGCTAGGCACATTGTGAAGCAGATATTATTCGGAAATGCTGGAGGCCAGCTGATATCGGTCATGTCGAGCCTGGTGTGACTGCTGCAATCGATAAAGTTGGCGGTGCCGTCGGCCCAGGGGGTATGGCATCGTCAGATCTGAGATCTCGATGACGATCGGCCGGGCCGTGAACTGCCGCGACGGTCGATCGCGCTTGCCATTGATAATCAGCAATTTCAAGTCTCAAGTACTTATGGCTGCAGTAACTCGCGCCCTCGCTAACGCGCAATGGCCACAGTCTACCAGCCCCTGCACGACGACATCGTCAGCCGGCTCGACCCCGAGTACGCCGCGTTCCACAAGGAGCACCTGCTGTACACCCCGCTGCAGCACCAGCTGCCCTGGGACCCCGCCATCCGCCAGCGCCCGACCGTCCCCGGCGGCTCTGAGCCGCTCAAGGTGGGGAGCACGCGCGATATTGCGCTCAGCAAGTTCAGTGTGCGGGTGTACACGCCCGAGGGGGCGCCCCCGGAGAAGGGGTGGCCGGTTATCTTGTACTTCCACGGAGGTGTGTAGGACAACGTTTGATGCCATTCATCGGAACCCCATTGAAGATATATAGGTGGGTGGACCTTGGGGAATATCGGTGCGGAGGCGGGTCTCTGCACGAACATGTGCAAGCGTGAGTCTCATCGCTTTGTGCGCCCTGGAGATCGTATGGGATTTATGTCTGGATGTTTCAGGCGCGAAATGCGTGGTGGTATCCGTCGACTACCGTCTGGCCCCGGAGAATCCGCACCCGGCGGCAGTCGAGGACGCGGTAGAGGCACTCAAGTGGCTCTACTCGAAGGGTAAGGCGGAGATCAATATCGATACGGATAGTATTGCTGTCGGCGGCAGCTCGAGGTGCGCGGAACGTGATCTCCCTTCCTGATTCATGCCGTTAACAACCGCCGTTTCTGCAGTGGCGGCAACCTCGCTGCAATCCTGGGCTTGAAAGCCAGCCAGCTCTCCCCGCCCGTGCCCATCAAGCTCCAGCTGCTCCTCGTGCCCGTGACGGACAACACCGCCGACGCCACGGGCGCGACGCACGCGTCCTGGCGCGAGAACAAGGACACGGTGTGGCTCGACGTGCACCGCATGGAGTGGTTCAAGCGGAACTACCTCCCCAATAAAGAGGACTGGACGAAGTGGGACGCGTCGCCGCTGTTCGCGCCCGAGGAGCTGGTGCGCAAGGCGCCGCGGGCGTGGGTCGCCGTGTGTGAGATGGATATTTTGAGGGATGAGGGATTGGCGTATGGGGAGAGGCTGAGGAAGGCGGGGGTGGAGGTGGAGACGCAGGTGTACAAGGGGGCGCCGCATCATGTTATGGCTATGGATGGGTAAGCGGAATTTACTCGAGGAGGTTGGCGGTGAGCTGATGGGTCTTGCAGGGTTTTGGAATTGGGCAAGCGGATGGTTACGGATACTGTGGAGGTGTTGGGCAAGACGTTTGGCACGATGTAAGCTCTGTGCGCCGAATGAAAGTGTCGTAATAGTTGGGGGCCTGTAATGAGGCTCTGCAGTTAAATAAGGAGCATTTTTGCTTTACAGTCTATCCTCTGAAACTGCGTTGGCAGCAGATTAGGCTCTTGGTGAGGAGTGACCCAGATAGGATGGCATATCAAGCAAGGGTCCTGATACAATTCAATTGCTTGTCTTGTTCAACATACTTGTAGTTTCCTTCAACTGTCTACTTCAGTAAGCCGCGATTGCCTCTATTTCAACGTCCACATCATTAGGCAGCTTTGCGGCCTGAATGCAAGTGCGTGCAGGCTTGGGGGCAGGGAGAAGCTGAAACGTCCGCCGTTAACCCCTTTACACGCCGCATACTGGCGACACTACTGACCTTCTCGTAGACCTCGTTCATGGAGCCAAAGTCGTCCATGTTCTTGAGGTAGACGTTGACTTTGACGACGTTCTCCCAGGAGGAGCCGGCTGCTTTGAGGACGTTGCCGAGGTTGGTGATGCACTGGGCCTGATGCGGCTGTCAGCAGAGTCCTGTACCCTGTCTGAAGAAGCGCACCGTGTGCTCTTTGATCCCGCCCGCGACGACCTTGCCGTCCTGACCGACTGGAGTCTGACCGCTAAGGAAGATCAGGCCGGGGACCTTTGTGGCATGGGCTGGGAGCGAAGTCAGTACCGGGTCGGACAGCAAACGGTCAGCTCACAGAGAATATGAGTGTGCTTGGGGTTCTCGTCCGAGTTGATTTTCTGTACGGAGGCCATTGCGAGCGACGGTGGAGGGACAGAGGGGCGAAATCGATAATAAGTGGCTGAAGAAGATTAGATCTTGGGTGCCCTGCGATCTGAGATCCGATCGGCGATGGGCCTGTCACGGGCACTGCATTGAGCGTCGCCCAAGGCCTCTGCCTCATCCATGCAGCGCGTCTTGCTCCGTGCCCACCGGACGCTCGTTAATTGCTGGACACTGACGGTTATCATCTGATGGCAGTGTTATAGCCGACAGGCACGTCTGAGTATTTGGCGCGCCCCTTATCTCCCCCAAACTTACTATCTAGTCTGCTATCAAGCCTTCTCCAGCGTCATGTGAGGCCGTATCGTTATAACTCCCCAGCCGCCCGGGCTGCCCATCGGTCGTCCACTTTTCCCATCATCATGGCCGAACCGTCCGTCGTGCTGGAAAAGGTCGCGCCTGGCAAGGACGTGGAGGACGCCGTGTCCGTCAGCAAGACCGGCGCGTCCGAGTCCGTGAGCTTCTCGCGCGAGGAGGAGCGCCGTATGATACGCAAGATGGACTGGATGATACTGCCGCCGTTGGCATTTATGTTAGTACTTTCAAGCTCCTGGGTCGCGCATTTCCTGACCCTCTGGTCTGGAATAGGTATCTATGTAACGCCCTTGATAGAGGAAACGTCGGAAACGCAAAAACTGATGGTTGGGACAAGGTATGTTATCCCCGCTAGTCAGCGTTCTTACTCTGACAAGCGGTTCATGTACAGGACATCGGTTTGACAGGCAATCAAGTAAGCAGACAACTGCGACACGATGCCCATTTCTGACCATGGTCATCTAGTATTACGTGCTTGTGATGGTTTTCTATGTACGTCCCATGTCAAGCTTCGCTTGAGCACCACAGCTAACAAGTATGCAGGTCCCGTTCTGCCTGTGAGCCTGCACCATGGTCCTGTGCCGGCAGATAGGACTAACTTACCCATCTCCGTAGATTTGGTACCCCCATCAGTCTTCTCGTGAAACGATACAGCGCTGCTCGCGTGCTCCCAATTATGATGTTTGGATTCGTACGTCCACTTGCTATCTCCAACGTTGATCTCTCTTACGACCTCACATCTGCAGGGCGCGATGTGAGTCCAAGGTTGTATCTCTGTTACCGCGCATTAGTTCAACCCCAGGAAACAGGGGACTATGCACCGCGGCGGCGAAGAACTTTTCAGAAGTCTTTGCGCTCCGGTGGTTCCTGGGTACCTTCGAGTCTGCTATGCTCCCGGGCGTTGTAAGCATCGCCGTGTAGTCCCTTGCCTAGGGCAAACAATCATTGACACCGTCGCAATCAGGTCTTCTACCTCTCCACGTTTTACAAGAGAGACGAGCTAGCTTCACGAGTCGGCATCTTTTACGGTTGGTATACACGGTCTGCAGACTTTGGTGCTTTAACGACTCACTACGCCCAATAGCCGCGGCCTCTATCTCTGGCGCTTTCTCAGGTGATCTCTGTAGTTGCACCTTTGTCCAGAGTGCAGTGTGTCTGATGCGATCCGACAGGTCTGATCGCGTTTGGTGTCTTTCAGCTGAAGAACTCGAAGTATCATGGGTGGCAGTATCTGTTCTGGATCGAAGGTAACTGAGGGCTCCTACGACGTCCTTGAGTGATCCACTAATGCGTGCGCAGGCGCTGGAACGATCCTTTTCTCCGTCTTCGCGTTCTTCTGGCTGGTAAGCCTCGTATGCCCCGCTTTTTCCAGCCGTCAAGATTGAAATACACATTTCAGCCCCGCTCGCCCGCGACCACGCGCTTCTTCACCGCGCGCGAGCGGCTCATCGCCAAAGCGCGCATCCTGTCCGACTCCTCCACCGCCATCGACGAGCGCCTCTCCTTCCGCGACGCCTTCCGCCCGTTCACCGACTGGCGCTACGGCGTCTGGGCGCTCATCTCGCTCTCGCTCGGCGTCCCGCTCGCGAGCGTGAACAACTTCCTGCCGCAGATCGTGCAGAGCCTCGGGTACTCGACCGTCAAGACGAATCTGTACACCGTCGCGCCGAATATTGCGGGCACGGTTGTGCTGCTGATCATGACGTTCTCGTCGGATTATTTCAGGGAGCGGTCGATACACATGTGGGTTGTTCTAGTACAAACTACTTGTCTCCGATGTGCGATATGCTGACAGAATGGGCTGTACGCAGATGCGTGCCGCTCGCGATCGGCCTGGTCGGGTTCATCATCCTCGGCACGATCGACGTGCTCGCGCACCGCAACGTCGCGTACTTTGCGTGCTTCCTGCTCTGCATGGGTGTACGCTTCTCCGTCTTGTCCAGCTATTCGTGGTACTCACCCGGAACGCAGGCACCCGCGCCGTCCGTGCTGACGTCGTCGTGGTACTCGAACAATACGACGAACGAGAGCGGCAGGGCGGTCGTCGCCGCCGTGATGGGTGCGTTCCTTCCTCCCCCCGTACCGGGTCCGGGTCTGACACGTAGCGCTTAACAGTCGGGATCGCGAATTCGTCGGGCCTGATATCGGCGAACGTCTTCCGCGCGCAGGATGCCCCGAAATACGTTCCTGCGTTGATCACCTCCGGTAAGCCGATTTACGTGTCGATACGAGGACCCATTTTCATCAAGTTTCGCGCCGTCGCAGCTTGCTTCGGAGGCATCTGCATCGTTCTCGTCGCATCGTAAGTTATCTCCTCGCTTTCCATGAGCCAGAGTTAACCCTGGGTGATCACAATAATAGACTAGGAATCTATATGCGGCTGGAGAATAGAAGGCGGGACAAGGAGCAGGGCCTGAAGCTCACGTCTGCGCAGGTGGACACGGAAGTGCTGGGCCAGGGCCCCGCCTCTCCGCTATTCCGTTATGTGTATTAATAGACTGGCTGAGGAGAGGAGGCAATCGATCTTATCGCTTTGTGTGTAGGATCTGAGTCGAAACGGAAGCTTGCGACGGTTGGCTAAGTTAAACGTTGTCCAGGGCATGTCGACTCTGGGGCAGCACTTACTTCAAATGTTTTAGGAGTCGCGGTGTAAAATTGTGTGTTCTGGCTTGTGAGCACCACAGTGACCTTCCCTCTCGTCTCTCGAGACAAATATCATTACTTACTGGGTCCTTCTTTTTCAGGCACGCTCACGGAGTTATTGACCACTTGATCCTACTCCTTACGTGACAGACAGCTGTTTATAACCTCGCCCAATCATCCGCTCGTACGAACTCTGTCACCCGGCGTCATGTGAGGAGCTACCACTGTATGAATGGCTAGCTGCCTTCCACGACAATGGAAGACCAGCTTTCCTCCTGCTGTAATGGTTGAGAAGTCACCCTTGCCGTCCGACGTACTGGTGCCCGAGCCCAAGGACGAGGAGTCCGTAGCTGTCGATGAAGTCCCGACTCCAGAGCTCAGAGGCTTCTCTCCGGAGGAGGAGCGCTGTATGTTGAGGAAGATGGACTGGAACATCGTCCCGGCTCTGGCGTTCATGTGAGTGTCACCTCATGTGTACTGCGTTGACCCCACGCTGACAGGCTTCTAGGTACCTATGCAATTCACTAGACAGAAGCAACGTAGGCAATGCAAAGACCGACGGCTGGGATAAGGTATGTCTTATGAAGGTACAGGACTGATATTAGGTGATTCATCAGCGATTTCACAGGATGTAGGCTTGACTGGGGACCAAGTAAGTAGGCGATTCCATTGCTTTCCGTATGATGTCCTGACAACTCGGGTCTCTAGTATTTTGTCCTGGTCATGGTATTCTACGTAGGCCGTATCTCCAACCCTATACTGGAACTCACTCCTCAAACAAAATATTGCGGATAGGTGCCGTTCTGCCTGTGAGCTGGCCTCTTAATCACACCTCTCCGAGTTCTGGATTTGACGCCCGGCCAATGCTAGGTTCGGGACACCGCTCAGCCTGGTCGTCAAAAGATTCTCGGCTGCCCGCGTCATACCCTTATTGATGCTGGGATATGTGCGTGGACGCCTTCTGTACGCAGCTTCCTGCTGACGGCATGGGCCGATTAATAGGGTGTGATGTTAGCCTCATATTTCTGGAGCGTCGGTGTCATCTCACCTTCTCTACAGGGCTCTTTTGACCGGCATAGCAAAGAACTTCTCCCAGATATTTGCCCTCCGGTGGTTCTTGGGCGCATTCGAATCAGCAACGCTGCCAGGGATCGTTAGTACGGAACGATATAGCTCATTAACGTGTTAATCAAATTCTATCAGGTCTACTACCTGTCGACCTTCTACAAGCGAGATGAGCTCGCATCTAGGATCGGGTTTTTCTATGGTATGAATGCTCTGGGCCAATCGTATGGGATACGCATCCTGACTTCAAGTTACAGCTGCTTCTATATTATCAGGGGCATTTTCGGGGGAGTCTTTTCATCGAGTTGATGGAGATAGAAGTGGTTAATGACATTGTTAACGTTACAATCCTACAGGCCTCATTGCATTCGGAGTGTTCCAGATCAAGAATTCGGCATACCGAGGCTGGCAATATCTGTTCTGGATCGAAGGTCCGTATCTTACTAGTATCACTGCTCTTACGGGCGTCCCACCCTCGGACTTCAGGCGGCTCGACAACTGTGTTCTCCATTTTCGCATATTTTTGGCTGGTAGGTTCTCCAATTCATCCCAAAGTCGGATCGGTGACGAGATTACTACAAAGCCCAGATCACCTCGTACAGCTCGATTCCTCACCCCCCACGAGAAGGATATAGCTGAAGCGCGCATTCTTTCGGATGCGTCCAATGCCATTGACGAACAGCTGAGCGTACGGCACGCATTTGGCGCCTTCAAGGAATGGCAATATGCTGTATGGGCATTGATATGTCTATGCTTTGGCGTCCCTCAGACCAGCGTCACCAACTTCCTGCCGCAAATTGTCGCTAGCCTGGGCTATTCAACTGTCAAGACTAACCTGTTCACAATTGCTCCGAATATTATAGGCACTATTGCTCTCATCATCTTGACTACATCGTCTGATCGCTTCCGTGAACGTACCATTCACACGTAAGTTGTAGGAATCTTCAAGCGAGGCAACGTTTGACGCGTTTCTACCAGTTGCGTAGCACTAGCCATCAACCTTGTTGGTTTCATCATACTTGGGCTAGTGGATGCAGCGTCACATCGCCAAATCGCGTACCTTGCATGTTTCCTCCTCTGTATGGGTGTGCGTGCAGATATCATCAAGGCGCATTAGCCGCTGATTGAGCTTAGTCGGCTGCTCCTGCGGTGCTGGTTTCCTCCTGGTACTCGAACAATACCATGAGCGAAAGCCGCAGAGCGGTGGTTGCCGCTGTTATGGGTGAGATTCTTGCTAGATAGCGACTAAGATTTATTGACGTCGAGCCTGACTCGCAGTTGGCATATCGAATTCAGCGGGGCTCATATCAGCCAACGTCTTCCGGGCTGAGGACGCACCTCGATACATACCCGCCCTGATAACAGCTGGTAAGTTGTTAGCCCTACACTGACTCCATCGTGCGATCTCCCATCGATATCGCTCCAATAGCTTGCTTTGGCGGAGTTGGCATTGTGCTAGTTGCAGGGTGAGCATGAACCTGCCTATGTGACTCGGACAACTTTGTGAGAACTACCGATTGTAGCATGGGGGTGTACATGAGGCTAGAGAACAGGAGACGCAACAGGGTTCAAGGTGTGCGTCTCACATCCACGGAAGTCGACACAGTAGCTCTGGGAAGCGAAGGATTCGGATCTCCGCTATTCCGCTACGTATATTAGACAGTGTCACCTACAGAAGGGATTCCATCAACGACGATGCCGTCATTATTCATCAGTAAGACTGTTGACTACAGATGGATACATGAGACGTTTCTGGCGATCTGACGAAACATTGAGGATGATTGCAATCAGCTCAAGCGCAATCTTTCTTACCGCTCATCCGAGGTATCTCCGGCTTGAGCTACGGCCTGAGGTATTATGGGGCCAGAGGAGAAGACCTCACTCGGCATGAACGACCAGGGAGGAACTGCGGCATGCCTGTGGACAAAGATCTATTGCAAAACAGGGCAACCTAAGAGAACAAGCACATAGTTCACCCGCAGCATCAACAATAGAACCTGCCTATATGCATCTGGTCATCGGACCGAGGTATGCAGAGATGCAAGAAGATCTGACGCCTGTGCGACACACCCTTTGAGAGTAGAACAGAAGCGACAAGAGGAATATCCTGTAACACAGAAGTACAACCTATAACCTTTTTTAGTAGTCTGAAGCCAGAATGTTCAGAACATTTGCAGCCCGAGCAAACCTGATGCCGCCACACGGAGCAGCGCGAATCAGATATGGGCTTGCATGATGGCGTCGGATATGAAGTGGGCCGAGATTTGGCGGCCTCCAAAGAATCGTCCGTTTAAGCCTTCCACGGCATTTTTGGCAGACTCGACTGAGTCAAATCGCACGTAGATCTCGCCCTAAGTAAAGACCAATCAGGATGGCTTTGGAACGAATATGATAATGGACTTACCTCAGAGTCCTTCTCGACTTTGATAGCATCTATCTTGCCATATCGTCGCTCGCACTCCCCTTTGACGTCGTCAGCCAAGTCCTTGTCCCAATCACGTTCAATCTCACTGCAGGAGCCGTCAGAGTGACACAGGCACAAAGAAAGATACAGTCGTAGAAACGCACTCTGCAGGGTTGAACATATTCCTTAGTAGTACAGATTTGGACTGCATCATCTGAGGTATGTTGGGACGCGAACTGGAAGTGCATGAAGACAAAATCAGCTATCTATCTAGGTGTATATGGGAAGAATTGCCACGTACACAGGCTCCTCTCGCGTAGGTGCAGGCTCAATCCTAGCAAGTTTCTGCATTAGCGCTTGACGTGATGCTGCATTCAAATTACCGCCTGCGTTTTCAAACTCGATTAACATGGGCTTTCCGGAAGGAATGATCAAGAGTATCTACCTCCGGCTTCATCGAGAGAATCCTGCTGGGTATATTTAACGGAACCCTTTTCGTGAACAGTGTTCACGCGAAGCTGGTGTGAAAGTTAATCTAAGGGGGATGAACGAAAACTGAATAACGCACTGTACGGCCAGCGAGCTCAAAGCCCTCCATCTGCTCAAGAGCCATTTTCGCATCCTCGCGCCTCTTGTATCTGGGACCAAATTATTCGGATTGAGAAGTGTATGGTCGACGCAAACTTACTGAACGAAGGCGTATCCTTTGCTGCGCCCGGTCATAGGATCCCTATGAAGATCCACAAATTCAAGTTCTCCAAACGGCTCGAATACCTGCTTGATGTCTGATTCGGTAAGATTAAAGTGCAGAGAACCGACATAGAGCCTGACAGACGGTAAGTAATGAGATCACGACGGGGATTTGGAATACTCACTGCATAGGTCCGTGAGATGCGCTGACGCCAGGCGGAAGGTTGAGGCTCCTAAGTAAGATAGTATGATCACACGAAACCAAGCAAGTCACAAGCAACTCACCCATCCCCTGCATGGGTCCTATTTCTCTCGGATTCAGTAAACTGCACTTTGATAGGAAGACCCATGACAACCGTGCCCGAAAGAGCAATAGCTTTGTCGACGAGTTCAATTGTGCGTAACTCGACATAACCGATACTTTGACAGGTCAGTCTCGTATCACCAACAATCCTGAGCACTCACCCCTTGGAACGTCTCGACAGCCTGTCCGTTACAATCCTCGCATCCATGACACTTCCTTCGCCGAGATGATCTTCGAAGAAATAGCCCAGATCTCGCGCAGTAAGCCGCGCAGCCAACTGAGAAACGAAAACAGACCGCTGCTCCGAATCGTCTTCTTTGGGTTCATCTGGGTTGAAAGGCTCCTCGACAGGTGCCTCGTAACTGGGAGAAGCACGTCTACGGCGAGTAGTGTGAGACGGAGAAACATGCCCAGTACAAGCATTAAAGAATGTACATACTTGATAGCAGCAGCAGCAGCGGCAGCAGCATCGGCAGGGAGTGGAGGGTGGCTTCTACCGCGGCTGCTGTGGCGGTCCCTGTCATCGTCTGGGGGTGGACGTCTCCTTTCGTCCCGACGAGGACGCAGCGGGTCATCAAATTCGTCGCGAGGGTCGCGAGGCCTTGGCGGCCTATCAGGATATCTGCGATCTCGGTCGTAAGAGCGGTCTCGCCTTTCAGACCTACGACGTGGGCTATCACTCAGAGGCGGCGGAGGCGGTGGCGGCAGTCCAGCTTCGGGAGGAGGAGGCGGCAGAGTGTTCTCGCCCGCGCTCTCGTCGCGTCTCCTCTTCGAACGATCTTCATGGTCACGGTGTTCCGGAGAAGCATCCATGTCGTCCTCACGCCTGCGACGCTTCTCCCGAGGCTCCCTGTCGTCCTTGTCATAGTCCCTTTCCCTGTCACGATGACTGTGTCTGCTTTCTCCACGCTCACGTTCCCTGTCGCCGCGCCCGTCGCGACGCCTGTCTCTGTCCCTATCCCTGTCTCTGTCGCGATGTCCATCTCTGTGGGACCTCTCCCGAGACCGGTGACTCCTTTCACTGTAGCGATCACGGCTGCGGCTCCTTTTCCTTCGGTCGTCATCATGACCATCCTTGTCTCTGCGCCTTTCGCGCCTTTCACGGTCCCTGTCATGGTCTCGCTCTCGGGAGCGTGAGCGGTGCGACCGCCTGGTATGCAAGGTATCGGTCGAGCGGACCCTGCTCGCGTGTATGCGCTTGTGATTAGTACGTACAGGTTGCAAAGCAAAATGAACACCTACGATTTACGGTCCGGCGACCTATCGACGTCCATTTTTCCGTTGGGAGAGGACATTATAGCTTCGGAAGGCAGCAAAATGCGCGCACGGAGCAATTCCAGCTACGACCTGCACGCTTAGCGAAAGCTGCACTGGCCCGAAACTTGCAGCGCAGAAGCTTGAACTGAGTCTGAATCACCGGCATTCGCCGAGCTGTGTCTCGTCGAACCTCCTTCAAATCCGATGTCGAGTCAATAAAATACAGTGATCCAGTGATACATTGTTCTAAATAATCGATGCAATCCCTCTACTGCTTGAGCAAGTCGGCCAATCTACTCCTGACGCGCTTCTCAGCTTGCGCGAGCTCCATTTCCTCAGCTTTCTGGTACAACTGGTTCAGCGGGTTGTCCAAGCCCTCCTTCTCCAAATCGTTCTCGATCTGAGAGAACTCCTTGGTGAACTTCCCGTTGAGAATCTAGCAAATATATTTAGCGAGTTGCAGGAGGCGACGAGATGACCGACACAAGTTTACCTGGTTGTACAGGATGTTCTTGAAGTGTTCGCGAGCAGCAGTGCCATCGAGCTTCAATGCTCCGCTGAGCTGACCGTATTGCGATACGGTGGAATGGTGCTTCAACTAATGGACAATAGCTCTTAGCAGCGAAGTCGAGTACATAAGAGAACACGCGATACAAACCTGCGTAACGAAACCTTCGTCGGCTGCTGCCTCGAAGATCTCCGCGGGCTCTTTGGACATCCACCTGGATACTAGGGTCAGTAAGGAAAGAGGCACGCTGCCGATCCTCTTACATTTCATAGCAAAGCGCTTCGTCCGAGCAACCGGCCTCCTTCAGTACACTGAAGGCTTCGCTAGAGCGAAGGAGTCAGCCGAGAACACAAGAGGACGATATAGTTTGGGCATACCGGAAAAGCATGATGATATTTGGCCAGAGCGCCTGCTCGGCCATGAGATCCATGGCGGTCTCTTCGTATACCGAAGAGGCGATGGCTCCCAATTTCGTAGCGCCAATGCCGCGAGAAAGAGCCAGAGCAACCTTCAGGGCGTTTCCGGTGCCGTCTTGTTCAGCGGAAACAAAGCAAGGGAAGCCCTTGCCCTTCTGATACAGAGAGCGAACGGATGACCCAATCATCCGGGGCGCGACCATAACGACATCTTGGCTGGGCTTAAATTTTAAAAGCTTGAAGAACACATTATAACCACTTGCGACGCAGATAGCTGCGTTATCCTTCAACCTCGGGGCGAAAGTCTCATTGAAGACACGTGGCTGGACCTGGTCAGGGATCAGGAGGAAGACAACTGTATGACAGGTTGAGCAAGCAGACAGCTTTATAAGATTCGAATGAGCTTACCATCGGCGACTTCAGCAGCCTTTGCGAAATCGTGTTCGACGTTGAAACCTTTGGATTTGGCGTCCTCTGCATATGAGTCCGGCCGGTTGGCAATGATGATTCTTTCATTCGGGAAGCCGGTATCTCTCAGATTCTGGGCTTGAGCTGCCCCCTGGTTGCCGAAGCTATGTATCTCAGGTCAGCATCGTTTATTAGAGCGAGTACGAAGATAGATGGCACGTACCCAAGGAAGACGATGGTCTTGCCGTCAAGCACGGCGAGGTCAGCGTCCGAGTCGTAGTAGCTGCGAGGGTGTCAGTGTTGCTCGTGTGCAAGGTAAGACGTATCCGCCACTGACATCTTAGCAGAGCCCATAGCGAGGACGGTTCAGGGTAAGTGGAGACGAGGGAATCAAAGGTTTCTGCTATATGTGCTGACATATCTCGAGCTTATATAGCGATGCAAAATAGATAGAAGAGCGTGAATAGGACGTTGGGACCGGAATGGTTGTCCTTGCTCAGTCCCTGTGACAAGCAGGCCACCGGCGTTTGCGGCCCGCACCTCCTTGCCACAACTCGTGATCACGAGGAATTCAGACAAGCTGCAGCTTCGCCGGCTTCCCCTGCTCTTTATTTCAGGCTGAGATGGCCTGCTGCGATTCGAAAGATAGCCGCAATTGCACGGCATTTCTGTCGCTGTCGGTAGAATGTCGCTGCTCCCGGGGAAAGTCGTCTGCATAACCGGCGCCTCCAGAGGCATTGGACGCGGCTGCGCTCTCGAGTGCGCAAAACATGGTGCTGGCGGTCTCATTCTGCACTATTATGGGGACAAGGATACACAGGACGAGATACAGTCACTGAAGCAGGAGATAGAGGCCGTCAACCCGAGCACGAAAGTTGTGGCTGTCCCGGGCGATATCGCGGACCCCGAGACCTCCAAGAACGTATGGCCTTTGTCTGCACTCTGACATTCACATCTAACGCGACCTGCAGGTTGTTGAAGAAGGCGTAAAATCATTTGGACGTATAGGTACGCCCCACTTTTCCCGTCAAGAGTTTCATTATTGACCGTTTGTACAGACGTCCTGATCAGCAATGCTGGAATATGCCCGTTCTGGGACTTCTTGTCTATGCCTCATTCCGTCTGGGAGAGAACGCGACAAGTCAATCTGGATGGCTCATTCTACATTACACAGAGTGAGTACCCAATAACTTAAACCCTTGGGATCAGCCTTGACATCATACATAACATTCTCTATCAGGAGTAGCCAACCAGATGAAAGAGCAAACGCCCCAGGGTGGCTCGATCATCGGCATATCCTCCATCTCCGCGCTCGTAGGCGGCGGCCAGCAGGTGTATGTGTCACAGACCATGAAATTATGCGGCCACGTAGACCTGATTTCGTGAATCCAGACACTATACGCCCACGAAGGCCGGCATCCTTTCCTTAATGCAGAGTTGCGCAGTCGCACTCGGACCTTACAATATCAGAGCCAACGCCATCCTTCCTGGCACTATCGCTACTGATATAAACAAGGAGGACCTCTCGGACGCCGCGAAGCGTGAGGGCATGATCAAGAGAACATGTCTTGGAAGACTTGGCGGTGAGTCCGAGGGACCTGGTAGCTCCAAGTGTGACCTGCTGCTGATGATACCCGTTAGCCCCCGACGATATCGCCGGTCCAGCAGTATTCCTAGCGAGCGATCTCGCGAAATATGTGACGGGCGCGTCCTTGTTGGTGGACGGAGGCTTATTCGTGAACTTACAGTAAACCGACCACCGTCGGTGGATCCGACCTGACCATACAGTGTAGATTCGTAGATTGTAAGTTAGCTGTGCAAATACCAGAAGCAATGAAGTGTACATTTCCTGTGCAGGACCGTAGAGATATCCGGCCCGTTCGGACAGCTCGCGCATGACCTCGCTTATAGGGGCAACACATCCGCCAGAGGCTCTCCGTTGACAATCGCAGGTTCTGCATCGATAATCACGGTCACCCATCGAGCCCAGCCACTGCTCGGGTTGCGCCAGAGATGATTCGTGCCCTTCTGAATGACGACGTCTCCGGGGTTCTTGAGATGCGTCTCCGCTCCGTCCTCCAAGACAAGCGTCAGCTCGCCTTGGACTAGAAGACATACTGAGCACGGGTGCGATATATCAATGAGCGGAAGGTGCATACTGAGGATGTTGTAGTCAACTGAGCTTGACCTGTGCTGCACCGGATATCATGAGTTAAGGAACGAATCCGCGATATCATGCCAGCCCTCACCATCGGCGTAGCTGCTCCTGGCCCGAGATCGGTGTAACGGAAGCCTGCGCCGTTTGGGACCACCAGGCCGTTTCCTACATACCGGACGACGCCATCCTCGCTTTATGGCGGCCCGCGAGCAGCCGGGTTGAGCAATGCGAATGTAGGGGGATTAAAACCCGACGCACTCAAGATTATTGTCTTTGCCAGGGATAGGAGCGGACGCCCATATAGTGCCAACTCTCAGGCCTTCATTGCCACCCAACGCCTTGCAACATGGAGTGCTCTTAGTAGGATCTTTAGGCATTGAGAAAGTGTTTTACCTGGGATGGGATTCCTGTATCGCTTTGTATGATAGTAGATCCTCTGCTATCATGCGCAGTGACGACGCGACGCAAATCTGGGATCGTCGGTGAAGTGGCCATAGTGATAGTGAACTGCACACCCTGCAGCAGTGAGGGTATCCTGGATTTAAGGAACACATCGTTCCATGACAAGAATACCGCGAAGGCTCCGGCCCGGGGGAAAAAATCAATAAATATATCAGATGGAAGCAGTTGTATAGTGCAAGTAACGATGACATGGAAGAAGAACCTTCGACCAAGTGGCCCATTATACAGTAGCTGACGAGCGTCGCATGAGCCGACACGAGCAAAACACCACTGCTACATCAACCCTCTAACCCGTAACACCCTACCCAGGGAGCCAGATAGGAACCAGACTTCAAGGAGCGGTATCTGCCCGTCGTGAGGAATAGGGATGATCAGCTTGAGTTCAGTGATAATCAATAGATCACTTACAATAATAGTACTCATTAATCAAGGGAATCCAAGCTTGCACTACAGAGCCGAACAAGTTCAGCAACGGAATATTAGCCGTTTTATCCACGAAGGTCTCCAGCTTGGGCCTGGAAGAAAGGAATAGTCAGTAATAATCAGGTGAACCGGTACCACACAATATACCTAGTGAATTCCCTCCATATCGACCCGCGGAGCAGGTACCACAGGATATGCCTGTCTCTCCGCGCGTATTCCGCACGTTCAAGTTCTGAGGATGGCGACGGCGTACGCCGGAGATTTCGCGACAGGATTTCAATCATGATGGAAGTCATAAATGGCTGATTAGAGTGGGGGTCTCTGGACAGCAGAACCGCTAGTCAGGGAAGGATGTGAGTGAGAAATCGCATATGACCGATGATTGGGACATTACCATAAATCAGCGGTCGAATGGCATAGATGACTTCAGCAAGCCAGTCTTTCGGGCTTGAGAGAGTCTTCATCAACGCTGTCGGGGTCTTTACCGCTGAAATGGTGAGGGCCTTAGGGAGCAGATAATCTTCTACAGGGGAAGGCATCGAAAGCGGGGGTGGGGTAGTAAGGAGGGTGTGAGGCGGCAAAGCGGTATGGTTGTTCTTGAGATGATCCGGGGTAGAGATGGGAGATGAGGACCGAGGAGACGAAGGGGCAAGGGTAGGAGAGGACGTGTTGGAGGGCGGTAGTGTCGATGGGTCGAATTCCCTCTCCGGTATTGGGGGCGTGACCAGTGGTCTTCGGGTGATCCGAAGCAGAACGAGACGCAAAACAGCTCTGGACAGAAACTGTGAATCCTGGACCAATCTCCGTTACTGGGGCTTACTTGATGGATTCCAACAGAACTATTCCCCGCCATTTGTTCTTGGCTGATGCCTTTCGCTTCAAGCCCATCTCAATAACAAGCTCCACAAATCGTATTAGCTCCAGAGCTCTCGCCGCCCATTTGTATCGGTTGTCCCGGTCAGACCATGCACGGGTGTAGCGTGAGTGTAGTGAAGAAGGGATGAGAGGTCGATATTTGGGATCGTTATGGATGATGCGAGACAGCAAGGTGTCATGGTATAAACTCAATGTATTGAGCAAAGACACGACTACACCCGTGTTAGACAATGAGAGCGGAACAGCGAACGCTACTAACGAGCTTCTGAGGCCAGCTCAGCATCTTTGAACCTCCCTGGCAGGAACCACGAGAGTGACCTTATGGTCGATTCAACGCTTGAGATGGTAGAGACATTGTGAATCAGAAATGACTCGTAGCGAGCAATGGCGGATGACATGGGCAGCGAGGCAGAGTAGCACCTCCCCCGAGAGTACAAGTGCCTCCAGAGGATCGGTATGCGGGGCAAGGTGTGCCGTGCAATGTGATTTCCCCTGTTGAAATTCTCACGCCACCGTCATGCCACAAACCGTGGATGCGTGGCTAACTGTAATCCATTGCGTTTATTACGATTGGGACCACCTGTTCAAATTTATAGACGCACTCGCCTCTCGATTCAGAATAAACATACAAGAGCGCGAAGCACCGATGTGCGGTACAGGCCTAAGGGCTCCAAAGGGTAGGATCGACAGAGTTAATTTACTCGCGTGCGCGTGCCGATAAGTCCGCCTATAGTCACTCATAGTCACCGCAAATATTTGAAAGAGACTCGATCCTGGACGTGATTACTTCGATGTTGCGTCGCAGTCTGCCTCGTGTTACACGAGTAGCGAGCAGGTCTGATCCGACGACTTCAAGCACTGGAACGTGCCCGCCTTGATTGCCCTTTTTGTCGACCCAGTATGTAAGGGCTCCTTGCAGAACAATGCCTCGAGCTCGGGGCCTCGCGGACGTTTATTAGACAACACGCACTCTGATCCTGCTTGCCTCTTACCTTTGACAACCACGCTCTCCGACGGACATCGCTATGAGCAGGCAGGGCATACCCGGAAACTACCTCCAGACGAGCCCTGTCAGGGGACAGCTCGAACCTTTGGAGGGCAATACAAGGACCGGGTGGCGCTACCTGCAGTGCACGGATACCCCCAACGAACTCAAGGTAACGACATGCCCTATAGTCTCGAGTCATGTCTACGACGAATATCGTTCTTCAGGTTCTACTCCCTCCAAGGACAGCTCTACTCTATGCCAATCTCATCCGGCGAGAACAGGCGGAACTTGCCAAGGGCACATCCGCCAATTGGGAGCTCATCATGAGGATGCGACATCTCAAGGATCGCATGATCCGCAAATGTATGAGGCTGGCCCGCGTGTCACCGCCAAAGCAGTCGGTCACATTCAAGACCGTCCAAGCTCCTCCCGATTTCAGGTTGAAAGAGCTGGAGAAGTGGTTTAAGGAGGAACGGATTCCTGTAGAGGATGATGCTCCACCCGTGCGTCCTTCATCGATCCAGGAGACGCGTGCTAAACCGTCCTGTGATTGTGATATGTGTCGTCGACGACGCGCCTCTCAGAGTCGGCCCACGTCCCATGTATCGGTCTCAAGAACTGTCCCAAGGTCACAGCGTTCATCTGTTCGCTACTCTTACCGGATGGGTACGCCGCGGCCTGTCTCTACCAACCTGAGTTACGTCGAAGAAGATACTCGTCCTCCCGGACCTGGCTACTCTGAACCCGAAAGGGAGCCAACTCCGTTACCTCCACGAGTCGCTTCACCAGAAAGGATCCCCGTACGTTCTCCGTCGCCTTTACCCCATCCGTACCTGCATGAGGAACTAAACCCGGCCGATCCGTCTACCGCACCTGCACCGGACATTCTCCAGATGCCAGAACCAGAAGTAGACCGGATGCCCGAACCAGAGACGACCCAAATGCCAGTGCCTGAAATCCCGAACCCTCTCGGAGAGCCTATTCCCGTAGACATTGCGGCGCCTTTGAATCAAGATCTTCCACCACGTCCCAACATCCCCCGGCGTCGGAGCAGCCTGAAGTCGGCTAATGCCCTCAACAGGTTCAGTAATGGCAGCGTCAAGACCGTTGCGTGGGCCATGGACCGTGACTGGCTTGATCAGGTCGCTAAGTACGAGGACGCGATAGCTGCGCTAGAAGGCACAGGTCAGTAAGCCCCAGGTCTACTCCTTACTCCATGTTAACATGGTGCTGGGCTGTGTAGGTAATGAAGTCGAGGAAATCAAGGCATCCTATCGAGTCCAGATCGGTGAAATCAGGGGCTTACGGCAACATATCTCCGATGGCCTAGCCAGATTGCAGCGCGAAGTAGAGCGACTACGGCTGAGCGAAGACATCATGCGTGGCCTGGAGGACCGCATCCAATCGAATTATGATGCTTTGCAAGATAAACAAACCCAGTATCAGTCGACTGGTATGTCCCATCTCGCGCTGGTAGTTCGTGGACGTCTTGGCACACCTAATGGATATTTACAGTGAACGCCGTGATAGAGGAGTCAAAGCGCGTTGTTGACCTCTGCGATCGCAAGAGGGTTCAGCAGAATCTATAATGTCGTTCCCAATCGTCAGACTGATCCTTCTAATAGCACGAGTTATACCGAGCATATACATATACTAATATGTGCGAAGCCCCACTCAAACTTGCTTGAGTCACTGTTCAGGGATGGCTTGGATGTGGAATACCAGAACAAATGACACTAAAGCTTGATGATCAGGACATCGAAGTTGACTCATGTCGTTGACTTGAACCGTATACGCAGTGCAGAAAGCGTACACACATTGGCAAATGCATACCTCCTTGTTCTCCGTCATGGGAGTAAAATTCAGACAATTCAAAATAGTGCAAGAAGTCAATTTACTAGATTAGAGGTCAAACATCATCTGATCATCGGCCAAATGAAGGGGATCTACGCATTATAGCGAGTTACGGGTATCTTACAGACGATACAAGGGGTATAGACGCGCAGCGCCGCCGCTCAGTCACAGAACCCATCCGCATCGTCTCGCTTAACAGTACCTGAGAGTGCCTATATGGATGGAAGACATAAGCACGAGACGGCACTCAAAGCACCAAGGGCATACTCACCGATCCAGCGACGCCCTCTACGGTGCTAACCACACCGCCAACTACACCACCGACTGCTGAAACTACAGGTGCCGCCACGCCTTCAACAGTTCCAACAACACCGTCGACGACGCCAGAAATGGGGTCCGTAGACTCCGTAGTGTTAGCCTGGCGAACCTGCAGTCCAGTCGTACCCTCTACAGTGTTAACCACAGGAGCAGCCACACCCTCAACGGTCTTAACTACGCCATTAACGACGTTCGTCACCGGTGCCAAGGGGCTGTCACCTCTTGCGCCGAGACCAGTTGCCCCCTCCACAGTCGAGACTATCGGGGAAGCAACACCCTCGACAGTGTTGACGACACCATCTACGACGTTCGTAACGGGAGCCAGGAGGCCGTCGTCCCGAACTTGAAGCCCAGTTGCACCCTCCACAGTCGAGACAACAGGAGCAGCAATGCCCTCTACTGTGCTAACGACACCGTTGACGACGTCAGTCACAGGAGCAACAGGACTATCGCCTCGGGCACGGAGGCCAGTGACATCGTCAACAGTGGAGGCAACGCCGCCCACAACACCGCCAGCAGCAGATAACACTGGCCCAGTGACTTCCCCTACAGTGTCCACGACACCCGACACTAGACCCTCGTCACGGGTCTGGAACTGCGAAAGGCCGTCAACGGATGTCTACAACATGGCGAAGTTACAACCCACCTGCGGGGTAGCGCTACTAATTGGAACAGCGCTTGACGAGGCTTGCGAAGACACGCTCGACTGCAAATTTCAGATCAAATGGAGGAACGAGAAAGGGAATATATTTCTTACCACTACCGCCACTGGAGCACGGGTGGCTGAGACTACTACAGATGACGCGTTGGCGATCACTGAAGATGAAGGAAGAGAGGGCGAGACCTGTCTAGCTCCGTCAGAGGGGATCATACGGCGCAAGGATGGGAGAGCTCGTTAACTTACGGAAGACACCGCGGAAGCGATCTAAGTAGGGGTCGTGGTGAGAATCGGGCCACAATGCTACCACGCGAGATGAAATTTACCTCGGACGTCTCAGAGGGAGAGATGGAGAAAGAGGTTGCCGTCGGTGGTGATTCGCTCTTTAGCACGACATCAGCGGACTGTGGACATGAATTGGCTGAGCTGACGACGTCGCGGCTGAACAGTATGCCGACGACATTACCTTCGAAGCTATGTTGCGAGCAACGAGGCCCTGCAGGTAGGATATAATCAACGGCAGATAGAACCAGCGAGTAAGAGATGGCGCACAAGTGCAGGGTGTCCCGCGACGGGGGCAGCATACGCAAAGTCGAGACCCACGGCTACAGCAGCCAGGACAGCAGGAGTTACGGTGAACAACATTGTGTAAAACGAGAGCGAGGATATGATAAAGAACGAACTGTCGGTGGTACAGAAGACACTGCGAGTGACGTTCGATACCAGACCGAGACGACTGAGGAACGACTGGGGGGATATTTCTGAGGAAAAGACTGGATACCACTGAGGCTTATATGCGGTTTCTGTCTATGATGCGTGAGTCCCTCGAAACGCAGCGGATGTCCGTCTGACATAACGTTGCTGGAAGAACTCCAACACCTTAGATGTTCGCTGTGGGGTATGTTTTAGCGCACCCTGACGACGAAGGGTCAGTGAAGCTTAACCGTTGGAGACTTTGACAAACGGAAGTGAGGGATGAACTTGACAACATACCAAATACGGTAACCGAGTGCTTCTTTCATTTACGTGGTCGCTTCAGTCGCTTGTCCCGTCCGAAACGTTTTCGTGAGCGGAGCTGTTGCAGCGATGGCGCATCGTACGAGAACGCACGGCCGACTGACAGAAAGTCCACGTAGCCCTATAGCCTAGCCCTATAGCCCTGGTCCATGGCCCTCGGAGGGCTATAGGGCTATGAGGCTACGAGTCCGTAGCCCCGGGCCACGGGGCTATGAAGACAAAAGTGGACGGGCTATGGGAGTCCGTTACGTCTATGGCCCGGAGCTATGTGACAAGGCCGAAGGGTCCCGCAGTGTATATATACTGTTGCGCGAGGTGCATTCGACGCCCTCATAGACGACGTAGGGCGCTGTAGACTATTTTTACCCATACAAATTGACTGTACTGCAAGACCTATTTATGTATTGAAGGATAATGGACTCGATAAACGATACAGGATGGAATCTGGAATCTGCAGCTTGTCGCGTATGTGGCATACAGGTCTCGCGCTTAGCAGAGTATTAATCGCGCACCCTAACGGGTCTACAACCGTCTGAAGTTTTCTGGATTCATACGTGACAGCGGCAACACTATTAGTACTACACAACTTGTTAACTTCGAAGTGGGCGTGAGCTACTGATTGCAGTTTCATTGTTAAATGTTTTCATTGACCAGTACTATACGTATTTTATAGGTACTATATAACATATTAACACTGTACCTACATGCGCGAGGGGGTCGAACGACGTGCAGCGCGTCGGAATGAGCATCAGTATATATACCCGCCACATTCACCGCTCTCGCTCCATGTTCTGTGACGATCAAAGGGCTCGCTTGCGAGCGCCCGAGAGGCCCCGAGGGGGCCAGCAAGCCGGCTTGCTGTCCTACCCCAGACAGGGCTAAGAAGTTACGAAGTCTATGTAGCCCGATGACAAATGGGCTATGGGCCATGGGCTATAGGGCTACGTGGACTTTGTGTCAGCCGGCCGGGTCCTCTGCATCGTACGGCTTCCTCCTTCCCAAATTTCGTCATTATGGTATTCTACGGATACATTCGGTGTCCATGACGGCTCTACGAGAGTCGACGGCAACGACGAAGAGGGTCCTATAGGTATGGCGGATATCAATGTCGCGACATATCAGTAAATCCGTCGAATCACCAGGCAGAACTCTAATGCACAACTCATCACTTCGGCACTACAGCATAGTAGTTCGTCTCCTTTTCGATCGCACCCACCAATACCGGACGAGACAGCCGTACAGGCATAAGGCAACCACGGCGATTGAGAGGACGACGTAGAACATATTATACGGGTATCCAGGTTCTTGTCCATTAGTAGGTACTGTAACGTTCATCGAGAAACAACCTTGGAGTGTTCGCTCAGAGAGGCGACAATACAATTCTTCTTTGATAACGACGTACCTATCACTGCCTGGCAGCATAAAACCGCTATACTGACGATTGAAAGAACCATGATGGCCTTATCACTTCCTTGCTTGGTTGTTGAGACAGAGACACGAAGTTGTGATAAATATGTGGGATGAAGCTGGCTGAGTATACGTTCATAATGTACCAGGGAATGCTGCAGAGTCAAGATATGATCTGCAACCGTAACCGTTTACAGCCATATCCAGCGAAACCAAGGGGTGTGCGTACCTTGCACGTCGCCCATGTACATCGCCACCTCGATTTCGTCGCCCGCACCGGTCCCCTTCGGTAGCGCACCTTCATTCAATAGACGCTTTTTGATCTGAGCTACCACCTCATGCTTAGTACTCAGCAGACGTGTGGACGTTGTCAAGAGTCTCCGAGCCTTCGCCATCCGACGCAACGTCATCGCAGTGCTCGACATCGCGGACTTGGTTTCGGTGGAGATCTGGGCTTTGGGAAGAATCCTCGACCGGATGGCTCGTCTCAGCCGCCGCACCAGCAGAGGAATGGTAGGTGTGGGATCGGCAAAGCGGGTCCGCGTGCGTTCCGCGGGTGCGAGTCGCTTCTCTTCGTCCTTAGGATGAGCGTCTGATGGCTTCTCCGGCATCTGGAAGTTGGGAGTTACCACCTCTGGCAAAGGACTCTCCTTAAGCCGCAAATGGTTATCAGAGAATACGAGGTCTTCAATTGCTGCAATCTCCATCTCTATTCCTTCTTGAAACGGGAAGAAAGAATCGACAATGGAGTCCAGGATGCCGTGTGCAATCCAATCTGGGATATTATACAGATGAGAAGAAGCAGTCGTAAAAGAGTTAGTGGCACCTACCGGAAGAGGCGTTGGATACGTTGACATCTTCATCCATTAATAGCAATTTATTTCGAACGCGATCAGTATGCTCTGCAGATATGTTAGCAGGATTTATAAGTAGTCTAATTAAATCAACGGGTAGTAACCTGAGATATCCGAATAGTGAAACTGGAACAGGGAAACAACTGAGAATCGTATAGTTACGTGCGATGCTGACCACTTACAGAAATAACACCTTCTCGGAAGACTACTAGATACACCATAGCTTCGCCGACGAAGCCTTCATCTTGAGGAAAATACGTATCGCCATTGAGTTGGGAGCGGAAGAAGCGTTCTTGCGTCTTGACACTTTCTAGGGCTTTAAATACGATAAAATAGTAACCAAGTTTTGGGAACAGTTCGAGTTTCTCCCGAGGATCTTGTTGTAATATATCTTCTAGAGTTAGAGGATGAATATGCAAAAGCTAAGCGATGATATTAGACGGAGTTTGCATCTCGCAAGCAGTCATCGCATTACCTGCCCAATAGCTTTCATATCTTCCCACGTTGGGCTGGCCACATCCAGCCACCATGCCCTCTGGGGAAAGACCTGGCGAGCTTTGCTGGCAGGTGTCGATGTACCGGAAGAAGGGGTAGTACGCCCTGGATCGACTCCGTTTTCCTTCCGTTTTCCTTTCTTCATTAAATGCAAGACAGTCAAATCCGGGAAAGACGAGGGACGAGACTTCGGATCAAGGTCATTTGGGATCATATAGTCATGGTGGGGGAGGATACTACCGCCGTTTCTCGTAGTCTCAGCCCTTGGACGAGGTGCGGCAATGCGCTCATAATGTCTTTGAACTTTCGTGGATCTCTTCAGCGCGGCTTCGAGATGATGAAGGACAATAGGAAGAGACGTCGTCCGTGCTACTCTTTCGGGCACAGGCCGTTTCGTAGCTTTCTCTCTCGCGTCTGAGATGCCAAGACCACTCGAGAGAGATTTAGGCAGATACAGAGTGAATTCACGAGCTGTGTAACGTGATTCTTCGCGAGCCTTGATGCGAGCAGCGACCTCGCGCTCTGACTGCAGATTGCTAGTCAGAGTTGCCAGGCTAGGCCTCCGTCTGCGTCGTCTGGACAGGGACTTCGGTCCTGTGCGCACGGATGACGCCGATGAGATGGAGGACGCGGTGGAGGAGACGGAGGGATTATTTCGAGCCCATCTTGCGATAGCATGCTCTACCACAGCAGCAATGGCACCTAGTCTCCGCCCAATCAGGGAACTGTCCGAGGAGCTACTGGAGGCAGTAGACGTGGTGGATACGGAGTCGGCGTCAGGCGTAGCGGGTCGGCGTGGGGGGTCACCTCTATAGATATCTGAACCTTCTTCGGAAGGCTCTGCATGCAGAGCAAAGTCCTTGGCCACGACAGCATGCCGTTCATCGACGGATGTCAAGTCTGTGCGATCGGGACCAGGAGACCGAACAACACCCAGCTCGAAGGACATGGCGATCAGGGAAGCGGAAAATGCCAGCACGCGTTGTCGGGAGTACAGTGGTATTGCCCTGCGGAAGGCAATACGGCGTGCACAACTCACCGTGCCATGAAAAGGAGCAGACGTTGATCATCGAATGCAGAATAACTCATCCGCATTTCGTTCTGGAGGCTACCTCTCTACTTTGGTTCCGGTTCCCACGCTCAGTATTTACATACCAGTACTGCTCCAATACAAAGTCTCGTATTCCCTCATAACTTTTGGACGCGCGCGATGCGAACACACCCCACCATTATTATTATCGTAATTCTACCTGTACAGCAACATGCCTACATGTTCAACATCATCATGAAAAGATGTCCCAACCTACCCCGTTCTCTGTCGTTTGGCACGCTGCTGAGCCTCGCTGGAACCGGGGGCCCCAGTGCGCTTGTTATCTGCACGATGGGTCTCGCCATCAGTCCTCCGGGGAGCAAACGGTCTTGACTTCTTTTCCTTTTGGCTGATCTTTCTCTGCTTCTTCTCGATGGCCTTCTTGACGGCGAGACCACCTCCACTGGAAGCAAGTGCCTCATAGCGAGCCTTGGTCAGCAACTCCTTCTTTCGCGCTGTTGGACTATGTTAGCAATGTCTTTGGTTGCGGCCAGAGGAGGGACAGCCTACAAGGTTTCATGAACCAGGCACCCTTCCCTTGCTTCTGCTTCTGTTTCTCTTCTTGCTTCACCCTCTGAAGGGCGGCGTGCTCTACTTCCTCTCTCCTGTCTTTGTTGACTGCGCTCTCCGCCCTCTTTACTGCCCGCTCAAGTCTGTCCACTTCGCGAGACCGCTCCTCCCTGAAGTCCCTGGGGGATGACGCGAGCAACTTCCGTGCACGCTTGAGGTCATCGCGTAAAGTCTTCAACTCTGTCTGATGCAACTCGGACAGAAAGCCGTACTGTTGCCGGAATTTGCTCGGATCGAATTCACCTGCCAGAGGCAAGAAACGAGGGTCCCTTGCTTCCTATTGCCCCGATATGAATGCAGTTCTAGATTAGGTGACGAACTCGAGCTCCATACCACTTTCTTTACTTCCACTACAGTCCTTCGTCGGGTAACGGGTCGTTTGGAAGACACCTCAGTTGGCCTATCACCAGTTGAGTCAGTATAATGAACTAGAGCGGTGCACACATACGCATGTTTGCTGGAGCGCTTGGGCCGCTCTTTTGGCTTCCTGATTGCCTCAGGTACTTCCTCGTCTCTGTTCTCCTTGCGATTAAGACGAACCGGAGGAGGCGAGCCATCTGTATCATCCGAGTCATAGTCGGAATCTGAAGCAGGTTGGGCTTGTGCCAGTTTCTGTTGCGCTTTGCGCAAAGTTCCGAACGGTAGGGATGACAAATCTAGAACACTTCGTCTGTCAGCGTGTGCAGTGAATCCTGCTATGGACAAGCCAACCATTTTGTATTGATTTCTAGGCCACATTTGAGTAAATCACCGATTGGGTAAAGATTGGCAAATACCATAGCATGCACATCATCCGGCGCCTCTTCGACCATCCCTTCGTCTTCGCTTGTCTCTCCAGCTAAAGCGTCTACTTCCTCCTCATCGACCCATTGTGCAACACGGGGAGCATCCAGATCACCCTCTTCATAGTCGTCAGTGATGCCTTCCGAGGCTACTGAATCGCTGTCCTCGTCCTCAGACCCGCTCGGTTCAGCCTCGGACTCTTGAGAACGCACGGATGAGTCGTATTCCGGACGCGAAGACTCGCGAACAACGGACTTCTGATGCGCTGGCTTGCTCAGGGCTACTGTGGCAACGCGCCTACTCGCAGGTCGTGGGCGTCGGGGCATGTTTGTTGCAGCCGGAATAGCAGAAAGCAGCAGATCAGAGGATGTCTTTCCTAGCCTGAGTGATAAAAGCGTATGATCGCAGACGCACGTGCGTCGCTAGCAGGCGTGGGATTTCGTCTGTATTTGGGTGAACCAACCCCTGTCAGGCTTGCCCGCTTCACCATCACGATCCCCATAATGCCCTCTGGCTGCTGCTCTCATGGCTGTCAAGGACCTCATAGGGCTTTACGAGTCGAGCTCGACGACTGAGACACACGCTACGGCGCGGGCCAGGGAGCGCGACACCTCGCGGTTCAATACGCGAGCGTCGAAGCAACCACTTGCGCCGGGTCCGCCTACCAGTCCTGCGAGGTTTATTCAACCTCCGTCAACTTCTCTATCCGCTTCCAGGCGGACGAAGCATGATATTGGCGAGGAGAAAATGCGGAACAGAGATGCTGTAGACGAACTATCTAGCAGAGATGTAACTGACGAACTGGATAACTCCTTCAATGACGCTCGCCGCGGTGACGCTACGCTGCTTTCCTCGCGTGTGCGTAACTGGTTGGCCTCCCGTACGCGTTATGATGGCTATGCGGGTGATGAGCCCGAGTCTCGCGCGCTCCTACCTCGCATGTGGTCAACTCTCGTGGACCCTGGGTTGCCGAAGGTACCAGAGTCTCATCCGCTTGCTGACTTCGATTCGAAGAGCGGCGAGTCAATGTCTACTCTTGTCGCATCGACGAGCGCAGTAGTATCCAAGACTTCGCCTGCCGCGTCAAGGTCTCCTCATCGAAGGGTGCCCCGATCAGGATCACACAAACCGGTAACTGCTTCTGCGGTATTCTCTCGCGCTGCACCACCTCTATATCTGCCCGAGCTCGACGAGTACCTATCCAGTCTGCCAAAAGCCTCTTTTACTTCTATCCCCGCAGCCCTAGGGAAGGGGAAAGGAAAAAAGATACCCATGTTTCCGCCGATGGATTTATTGGCGGCGTCAGGGAAGACGTTGGAGGACCTGGAGGATAATTCTCGAGTGCTACCCGGCTGGAGAGACCGCTCGACTATCTTGTCTACTGTCGTTAATCTCGTGTTAGGTTTCACGGTCAGTTGTCCCTCTCCCCACACCGTCACATCGCTGACCAGGCATTACAGGGTTCTAGTGCACTGGCTACATTCTACAGTTTGCAAGGGCTCATGAACACCGTACAGGTATTTGCGCTGCTCTTGAGTACTCTAGGTACAAATCCTATGCTCCGCGTTATGAAGTTTACGGTGCTGACACCAGCGGATTGCAGTCCCGCGACGCGGTGAAGAGCTCGCTAACTCTTGGCGTCAATTATTTCTTGGCACAATGTAAGATACCAGGTCTTTGGAGATGCATACCGGTGATAAACAGTTTGCAGACCAAATGTCCTCGCTCTAAACTTTACGTCTACGTTGCTCGAAGGACTTATATTCCTTATTATATTCATGACCATCGCTGGGATTCTCATATTCCTCTTTTGGCGATTCACTAGAGACTGTGATATTCGTCTCCAAGAAGGCCTTCAACGACCTCCAAATACGTCGTCAGGATGGGGCCTTGTAATCATTACGTTCATCTTGACCGTGATATACTTGCCGCTAAGCACCATGGCAATTCATGTTTTGGTCTGGTCTGATGACCTTTGGGTTGTGCCTAACCCGTACACCAATGCGACCACCAATCCTCCAACCATCGCCCCCTTAGGGCCCTCAGACGAATACCGTGATCCTTTGGATTTCTGCTGGACTACAACAATGCGTCGCAATGAGGTCAACTGGGCTCCAATCGTGTTAATCCTCGCACTAATGACACTAGCCGTGGTAAGTACCGTTGTCACGCTATTCATCAGTATCCATATAGAACAAGGACATTGAATGCACATTCATAGTTCACTATATGGTTCCCTATTCTGCTACGGCAAGTTATCAAGAGGACGGTTCCTTTGGTCGATCCATATACGGAACTGGGCAGACGCCGAAGTCAAAGTGATATGGATAGAGAATACCAAAGACTGCTTTCTCGAGATCGTGGCCCTCTCGCCTTCCTCTACAACGGTAAGAACTTTCGAACATACTTTTTCATAGTTGATGTCCTAATAATTGGCCAGGTTTCCGTCGTAATTATGAGACATACGAAGCCATCTACTTATTTGCGAAGCTCAGCACTCTTCTCATCGTCGCCGTTATAGACCCCAGCAACTGTTTCTTCCGGTCCCTTGATCACGACAGGGTTGCCATCGCAAGACAGATCTTACTCGTCGTTATAGCCATTGCCTTCTTTTTTATACAGTGCTTTTTCGCGCCTTTTTTAGATCCCGTCAATAATGCCAGCGAATGGGTTTCACGTCTCAACTACGTACTGACTGCAACCACCGCGCTCCTCGTGGCTATCAATGTGCCTGGGGCAAGTATCCTTAATGGAGCGGTTCTCTATATGTGAGTTGCATGTCCCTAGTGTCATACGAAAAAGCTGACACAGCAGTGCAGCGTATATATCACAACGTATGGACTGAGTTTTTGTTCGTTGCCTTAGCCGCTGCTGTAGTCAATAGACCGACGCTCACGCGTTGTCGCAGATTTTGCTATCATTAGCATGGGCTTCATGAGACGATTTATGAAACGTAAGAAGGTTTCCTGATCCTGCATTCCTATGCTGGCTGACCCAATGGCCCCGTTTAACAGGACTGACACGACGAATTGATTTCAGTGAGTCACTTGTGATTTTCTCTTCGCAAACGTCATTGACCGCCCTGAACAAGGCATTGATGTATTCTCCCCTCGGTTAGTACATGAGACGATGTCTGCATGCCTTGCACGGCTAATCATGGAAACATTAGTATCGACGTATCGCCAGGTTCAATTCACGCCAAGCGTAGGATCTGGCAGGAAGCCATCTCAACTCTTCTGCTCACTAGCGCTGAATGTGCGATACCCAAAGAACAAAGAATGGTATTCGCTCAAGCGGACGACCTAGAATATGGGCCATATCTATTGGATTTTAAAGGTTCTCCGAGCGAAAGACACGTGGAAAATCTGAAGGTATCCTAGCATTTCTATGATTCGACTTGTTTATAATTGCCTTGAAGATATTAAGAGAAGTCGGATCCCTCGCATACAACAAAGGGTTGGCGTTGACCTGTGGGCCCGACCATGAATGGTTTCAATACCTTCAGAAGGAGATCCAGCAGCATTATGTAGGCCCTGATTGTTACTGGCAAGCTCCCGGGGAAAGTCCCTTCTCGGACGTCTCGAAGTTCTTTGGCAACGCATGGTGGATACCCTTTCCGCCGACGGTGGTCTGTGTTTCTCGCCATCACGTCAAGCCGGATCTGACGTGAGATGCAGGTTTTGCGCTACGACGATGGCCCTTTGGCGGTTTTGCGCAGCGTTGGTGAACTTGAAGAATATGTCCGACAGAACTCCAGCATCCATGTGCAGCGGAAACGGGAGATTAGGATGGCTCTCAGGGCATTAGATGGGCAACGTGTTATCTGGCCTTACGAACATGTCCAGGCGAGTTTGCATTGCACCGTCTGGTGTCCTTGTCTGACTCGGAAGTGTAGCTCGTGGGCGCCCATACCCCGTGGTGTTTTAGAGGCAGGCGTTACCAGGCGCGCAAATCGGTCAAATACCAGACCTGCCTCTTGCGTCTAAAACATCGCGGTCGCCTACTGTGGCAAGGGTTTCAGTTCGGAAGTGGCTTCGACGTGGAATTGACCTATGGCAAGAGGCTGAAAGTCGATGGTAGCATCATCGGCTTAAATGATGATTACGACCTTACCCAACCCTTGGCTCGTTTCCTCGCCCTCAACCGAGAGCTTATCCCTTACCGACTTTCATCTCTCGAGGCTGCCCTGCATCATTACAGGGAACATTTTAAGCAGGAATGTCAGTACAAATCACACGTTCTCAGTTACAGGTTCTTGTCCTACGTATATGATCAACCCCGAGATCCTGTTGTTCTCGCGGAAAGCTCCTTCGAGTATGAGCGGGACTTGCGTGTACGGGAACTTATGGCTGGTAGCGAGATCGTCTTCCAAACCAATTGGGAGCGGATGGAAGTGGTCTCTACGTCGGAGTTGGCCACTTGGTGGTACATCTTTTGGGTCAGTGGTTCATGCGGGCAGATCCAGCTTGAGCTAAATCCGATTGCAGGACGATATCTGGCGCAGGAACCATGACACTATTACCCTTCTTGAATTGCATGCCTCCGACTTCAATCCCCATTACCCCACATCTCTCGCATACACCCCTTTACCCAGGCCTGCTTTGGAGACTTTCCTCAGGCAGAGAGGTCTTCTACACAATCCACCAAAGTGGAATGATTTCTTTGATTCAGGATTCCTCAACAAGATTTATCTTCGTATGAATGAGATAGTCTTCAAAGGATCGAGCAAGGTGCGCATGCCTCGCCACTTGGAACTTTCGCTGCGAACTCATGCCCAGAGTCGACCGACAGGTCATATGGTTTCATATTGGCAATGATCAATCCGAGTTAGACATGGAGGAACTTGATTTGCAGACCTTGACAGGACCATCTACTTTAGGGACGGGGGGTGGCACAGATCATGACGACTCTTCCATTCGTGCACGGCCAGTGTATAGATGGGAGGGTATTCTGGGTGATCCTCTCCGGAAACGGCGAGCACACAGGTCTTGGACATCCAAGTTGGGCGCCTGGTTCGGGATCACGCCGCTTTGGAGGGCGGGCACTCCTTCCAGGGGGCTGTCTTTAGACGTTCAGTTGGAGAACGGACGATATGTTCTGATGGATGGACAAGATGATGCTAAGATACCTCACGACTCATGATATGATACCCGTACACACGCTCAATGTACATCAATGTACTGTTAAGTTACAGGAATTCCTACTTACATCGCAGGCGCGATTTCCGGGATGAAGAACGAACTGGGGTGTGATCATCAGTGTTGTAAGTGATTGAGGATCTCCTTCCCCACTGCAGCCATGCTACTGTCTTCAGAAAACTTCTTCAACTGTTCAATACCGAGTTTCGTGCCTTTCTCGAGAAGCTCTCCTATGATGCCCGACTTCGGGGACACTGTCGCGGCTGCTTGCACAGGGGCACTGTGCTTGTCGAAGTGGTAAGGCCAGTTCTGTCTCATCTCCTCTTCCAGTGGCATGAGCTCAGCGATGAGCTCTGGATGCTGCTCAATATCTGCCCTCAGGGCAGGAAGAAGGGACTTCTGTTCCAGCACTGAAGGGTGGATGTGCTCATGGGTGACTTCATTAGTTGAAGTGGGATATTGACGTTGAATGGTATCAGCAAGCATGAATATACCAGTGGTGGGACTAAAGGAGACTGCATCAGCGCCTGCGAATTCAACACAAGGTGTATAAGACACACTTGTGAGGCCGCTGTTGGCCCCAAGGGGCAACTGGATCCGGTAGGGATGACAAGTAGTTCGGATCCAGGGACACCATGTCGCCGATATTCGCCTGACACTGAGCTGTCAGCGAGATAACTAGCGTGCGCTGTATCTGAAATCTTACCGCCATCCATGTAAGAGTGAGATCCGACAAATCGTGCTCTTTGAAACCGCCGCCTATCTAGAAAACTTCCGTCAGGTAACATATCGAGAGCATCTGAGTATCCTTACATCTGAATGAGACCCTGGGTTTTGACGTCAAGATACTGCAATTTCTGTCGGAGACTCGTCTGCTTACCCGTAAACCAGCACTGCATTATAGTTGGATCAGTCAAGGTGCATACGACCCTGCCCGTTCTTTCGTACCTGTTTTAGTATCTGTTTCTTCCGGCGTCCGCCTTCAGTCTGCTCGAATTTGGAGCAGTTCTAGAATAAGATCAGGCTAATTTCGGTGGAGAGTGGTGGATCGCCGTACGAAGTCCGCCCGTGTTTCATTCAAAGCTAAGGCTTGATAAGCTCGTTCTATATGCTCCCCTAGCTTCGCGTCACTGAAGCCATACAATTTCTTCACTTCCTTGGAGTGTATGGTCAACTCTTCGGGTAATCCGACGGATCCTACGGTATCGAAAACTCCAACGGATCTGACGCGGCTCAACCAATCGATCAGTGTGGCAGATAGCTCGAATATGCTCACTTGATAGAAAATGTGTCCTGGTCTGAATCTGCTCTCCTTTTACCAGGAGAATCTTTCTGTATCCACGGCGCAAGAATCCTATCGCACTCTGCCTTCTCTACGATGTCTGTTAAGCGTAAGCTACAGGCTGCGGATTGACTATGCACACCCTTGTCATCCTGGCTCTTAGAACGCTTCTGATACGCGATGAAGAGATCCGCAAATACATCCATGTCGGTCCGATCAAGGACGCCGATTTCCCCCTGTAACAAAGACGGTAAGCCACTGACAGACATGATAATGAAGTCATGTCCAACGACTTACAATTAGAGATGCCACCATGCGTGCAGTATAGGCACCCTTGAGTGCTGGTGAGTAATTCGCGTCCCATCATATCCGCATGGGCGTGACTCACTCTAGAAAACCCAAACAGGAATATCTAGGGCACCAAAGTCAAATGGAATACACCTTGAGGGGGGCAATAGCCTACCTCGTCGCCAGGTTGATAATTGCTGACAATAAGACGTCACTTCTGTGCTCATTACAACAGCTTAAATGATACATACTGCGCAATGAAGGCATAAGCCTCCTGCACCTTATCACCTACATACCACGGTCAGTGAGGTGCACGTTATAAAACTCGAAGCGAAGGACCTAATGACGAGCCAGTCGGTCCTACGAATGTACACGTCAGCTGGACCCGTATAGAGTAGATGGCTGCGGTGTGTTAACCCACCTTCCACGAGTTCCGCGTACCAGTTCTTGGCGCTGCCTATTCCGGACTGATAGAACACTATCTGAGGGATTGGAGGCTGGCTGTTGACAAGACGGGTTTCAAATTAGATCTGGTACCTGTCGGTTCCGAAGAGTACATACAAGCGCTCATCTTGGTGGTTGAACATCCTAGCAAGTCGCTACGCACATGCGGCAGGTAAGATCGATCGCTTTTGTTCGAAGTTCGTAGTGTCATCCGGCGTGTAGGACATACCAGGATGTTTGTGTACTTCCATCTCTGTTCCACTATGATCCCATCCTGCCAAGTCCTTTCAAGTTAAGGACCCGCAGCCTCAAGTCAGCCTGTCGTATAATGCCTTAAAGCTTTCGAAAGATGTCCTTACCCATCGCAGCAAACGATAATACGTTTCTTGATTCTGGAAGTCCAACGAGGGTTTTCTGCGGCCTCGGGGTCCGTCAGGGTCCTCCGAGGAGATTGCGATCGGTCTATGCTGGCCTTCTGGTCAGGGTTTGGAATAACGGACATCCTCAAGCTTAGTCGACGTGCAGTATACTAGTAGTACCGCGGGTATTATGGCACCCAGTACAGCGGTTCTGCGGTTATGTTATACGTCAGTGCGGGAGGCAGTGGCCATTGCCCTCATCATGATATCATGTTCTCAGCTCTGCTTCATACTAGCGGAGGTAGGGGAAACCGGTAGGCACGATCTCGTCGGACGTAGATGGAACATGCTACATATTTGAAACCAGCGCCTGTCCAGCTTGTGTCCAGCTTCTGGACTACCCCCCCAACAGGTACATTTCATACAACCTGAACCTCCTCGAGTACATTTATTATAAACAAAGATTACCGATAAGTACAATATCCGAGATGTAAGAAGGTCCGGTTTGTGTTAGGCTCTCTAAAGCCACAGCTATCTATGATAGATGTGAGAATAGCTACTTGCCGAAACGCATCTCGGCAAGAGCATATTCGTCTAAAGCTCTTCTGAAGTCCAGTTCGGTCAAAGCAGAAGGGGTAGTCCGGGTTCTGCTTTTGAAGGGATTCCAATTTCGCCGTTGATGTCTATTATGACTGCCGGACACATCAGAGGCGCCGCCCATTGGTAGAACTTGGAGCAACTTACGAGATTTCAGTCAGGCGTATTTGCCATGGAGGAAATCCGTATAGCTCTAGAGGTGCCGGGTCCTGCGTAGGTTGAGAAACGTAATGGACCATTATGAGATCCGGAGCTGGGAAGCCCTGGGGACCTAGATTGTTTACGTAGTTAACGCAAGTGAACCAGTACGACACAAGTACCTATAGGCACAGACCTTCCAATATAGAGTTTATATCCTCAATCGAAAGCTTAGCTTTATCCTCAGGGATCTCAAAGTCTTGGCTTCCGGCATCCTTTAGGCGTCGCATAATGGCGCGAGCCGTAGCAGCAATGGAGGCTTTCGAAGAGGCCGAAGACAACAAGTCAAGGGTGAACGGACTTGTCGAGGTTGTCTCTTCCGAGTCTGCATCTGTATTAGTAGATAGCACATGCGGAAAGAAGACTGATTCACGCTTGGTTCGCCGGCGTTTTACCGAAGATTTCTTTTCGTGCACCTTCGGAAACCGTAGCGTGATAATTCCAAAATGTTGCTTGGTCAGGTCACTACTCTTCACTGAGAGCGACATCGAGTCGCCCTCGTCCGAGAGAGGAGGCGTTAGGGGGTATTCATATTCTGAATCTGAGCTTTCGTATTCAGACACACAAGCACTCGCGTCGTCTAGATCCAAGGTCTGTTGCAGCTCTCGGAGTTCTTTGGTCAAGATACCTGGGCAGGCCCTCGTATCATGAGAAATACACAACCTGACACATGTACTCACTTTGACGCTCGTAGACAGTCAGGCGTCGGACACCCGCTATTTTTGCCCATGAGGCAGCGTCTCGCACTGACTGCAAACAGCAAGCAACCGTGTCCTCGTCCACCGCGTCATGTTCGACGACAAGAAGCAAGGCCAAATGATTCGGCAGGAGTCGGCGGGGTACAGAGAGGGGTTGGGGGGTAACCTGAGAGAACGAGATGCGAAGGGCGGATATGAATGTCACGAACGCATAAAGCTGGTGAATGAGCCAGAGTGCCAGGGAGGACATTGGCTAAGGATTTTTACAGAATTGGCCGGCCAAAGAAATAAAGGACAGTGGTTCTGAAGCCACCGTGGTCGCTGGCTTTTTATATGCGAGAGCTGTCAGGACATACAGAGAGTCAAAGGAGGCAACTCAGCAGCGGACATTCTGCTTCAAGTTTGGATCGGTCCTCCACGTCCCTCCACGTGGCTCGCTAAGATGCCTGATCGAGGCAGCAACTGCCTCCGAACATGTACACTAACCCAGTATTGCAGAGTCTTGCCTGACTGCAGCTGCAGCCGATTCTCATTCAAGGATATCACTTGTCTAGCTGACTTGAGTACAGACTGGGGGATCGTTGCGCTCAATGCAAACCTTACCTTCGCTGGATACATGCGTTTTACAGAGCAATTACCCATGAGTGACCAGTATAGGGAATTCAGTCATGTCCAATCTCGAAGATACAGACCTCATAGTCTCTACATCGTACATATCATAGCGCATCTTAATCCAAGAGGGTTGAGCACTAAGTGAGGCCGCTGCCTTCTTCCTGGAGCTGCCTCTTAATCTTGAGCAAGATACCCGTCTTCCAGTTGTCCAACCGGGTCACTTGATCGAAATCAACCACCGCAGCAGTGAAAGCCTGCTCATCGCCTGCCTCAAACGCGTCGATGAGCGCGTTGAGGAAGCGAGCCTCGCGAGTGGAGGTGAACGTCGTGTCCAGTTGACTGTATCGTGTCACATTCCTCTTGGCCGCAACGGAGTCCTATTATATTAGATCCCTGTCAGTGAATTTGTTCTCCGTAAATGGTGGAACGTCCTCACCCCCATCGCGAGCGCGCACAAGGTTGCTCTCAGCCAGTACTCCTTGACGGAATACTTCGTTAATTGCGATGTCAGCGAATGATCTGCCACCTGCTCATAGCGGGCTATAGCAGCGGGGTACTCCTCCAAGTCGGCATGCAAGTCTGCTGCGTCCTTGAAGCAAGCGTTCGCAGTGCTGCGTGAGACATCAGAACACGAGCAGATGTTTATGCGAGCATCGCAACTTACGCCTGGGCATCTTCTTGCTGGTACCATTCACCTGCCCGCTCGAAGCTGTCACAAGCTCGCCGAAGATCATTCAGCTCTTGCAAGTATATCTGACCAATCTCCTTCTCCCTATCCGCAGCCTGTCGGAAACGCCCTCCTTGAGTGAGATGTGTGATTGTCTGGGTTAACGCCTGGATGGCCACTATGTTTCTAATTGATACAAGTTATAACTCATGACGGCTGCTTCACTCACGCTCAGGGTTGACTCTCTTATACGCCTTAGCTGCATTCCACCACGCATTCGCGGCTTCGTTACCCTCCTTGCAGTTCTCTCTGCACTCCGCCTCCCGAGCATGCGCGTCGCCAGCTTCCTTGAACAGTTTATCGATCTTGAATGCGTTAGCGGCCTGCTGGTAGAGATCCCCGGCTTCCTCCCATTTCGTAGTGGATGACGAGAACCAACCGGTCGAAGAATTCGCCTTCTTATCTGCCTTCTCTAACAGAGACTGTGCGGGAGACTTGGAGGGCATAGTTGATACAGTCGCGATGAGGTCACTGGTAAAGAGGCCCGCAGGCGGTCCGGATATATTCGGTAGTCTTCCTGTGGCAGTACATACAAGCACTGTGTCCGGCAAACATGTACACTCATACTTAAGAGGGGAGCTACGCCCTATCTACCTATTCGTGATGTTTAAAGAGAACGATAGTCGCAGTCGGTGGTGGCTGGCTGGCGGCGAGTAAGTACTACAACTTCGCAGGCGGGTAATACGGCTGCCAGTCAACTTTCTCCACCTTGAGTTATCCCGAAGCAATCAGCCATAGTCCGATAGAATGAAAAGGGGAATGCTAACCATCTCGGGGACCAGTTGCTTCACCGAACTGGCGCCGACCAGTTTCATAGCGGTGACGATTTCGCGCTCTAAGATGCGAACTGCCTTCACCACCCCGGCTTCCCCATACGCCTGGAGAATGTATGAGATCAATCCACTGCAGCCAGACAGAAGAATAAACGTACGCTTTGAGCATACAAGAATGGTCGACCCATTCCGACCGCTTTCGCACCCAAGCACAGGGCCTTAAGTACGTCTGCACCATAGTGAGTATAAGTCCCGGGTAACATAGACGGCTGACGGACCTGTCCCTCGTCTAGCACCGCCATCGACATACACTAGATGCAATCTTTCAATGCATGCTTTCGTATGATGAAGTACATGGCCGATTACCTTCGCATTTCCCGAATACGTCCGGCCGTTGCTTCCTTAACCGGTAGAGCACGTCTATCGATGGTAGCGAACTAGAATACTATGTAAACATCACTGCTTACTTTCTGACTCCACAGTACTCACGCATCGAGTTGCCGTCCTGGATAGAGGCGGTTAGGGCACGTAAGAGACAAGGAGAGTGGTACATACCGCCATGATTCGAAATGAGAATACCGTCAACACCGGCCTCCGCAGCAAGTACAGCGTCCTGCGTAGCGGAATGAATGAGTATTGCAGAACGTATACCAGAGCACGGAGCTCTACCTCAACGCATTGTATACCTGCGAAAGGTCAGCGAAAGTGACATAGCGGACTATATTCACCTCACCCTTGATGACGATGGGCAACTTGGTAACTTTCCGTAACCAAGGGATGGTCTGGGAAGACGGTCAGTGACCACAGGGCCATAGTCAGCCATCATACATACCTTCTCCCAACTCATATTCTGGTCCACGCTCGCAATTAGGGCCCCAGCAGTTCCCATGATGTTAATGTTGCCGTCCTCCTCCTCCTCCTCTTGTACCTGAGCAGTCGTCCTGGGCTTCTCAACACCGCCCTTCGTCTCCGCCTCCGCTTCCTGAGCCTCCAGAATGTACGGCGCTCGAATATCCCTTTCCCGGTTTCCTGGAGTTATGGCATCCACCGTAAGGAAGATGGCTTTATAGCCGAGCCTTTCTGCCTCTTTCACGCGCTCTTCCGCGAGGGTGTCGTCCTTGTTCTTGTACAGCTGGAAGAAGAGGACTTGGTCTGGATGAATACGGGCCTGAGCAATTTGCTCATAGGAGAGGGATGCATTGGACGAGACCATCTGAATGATGTTCGTCTTTCCTGCGCCCCGAGTAATATTTGCTTCCCCTAGACAGGAGTCAGAGATGAACGGGTGGCAGTAAGGTACGCCTACCAAGAGGGTGACCAAGTTTAGCGAGAGCAGCACCGCTGACAAATACCGGTATTGAAGATTTGAACCCAAGGATTGTGGTAGATGGGTCAACTGTTTGAACAGGTCGCATGACCCGCGCGTGGAAGAATAATCGCTGGAATCCCCTCATGTTCTCGACATAAGCTACACGGCGTATTCAGCCATCTGTCCGGTGGCCGCTGCTACGGTGGACTTACTGATTTCATCGTCGGCAGCGGAGGAGTAGTACATTAGAGCCTTGTAAGATAGTACTTTCCGTGCTACGTCCTGCAGACAATAAGACCGGGTGTTGGAAGGTACCCAGTGCACTCACCTCCATTTCCAAGAGACTCAGAACCCTGCTGAGGGGTGGTTTCTCCCTTTGAGCCTGCTCTATCCTCAACTCATCCTTGGTCTTCGGCTTGTTTTCGCTTGCCTGGGCGACCTGCTGCGCCGAGGCGGTGTCGAGGTCTCCAAGGTGCTTCTCCTTGGGCAGGTTCTTGTCCAGGGCGTCTGGTGGATGTATAGGTTCGTACGCCGAGGTCGCATCACGTCCAGCGTATTTCAAGATGATCTTGGAACCTCCAGGGTGCTCCTACGAAGGAATATGAGCTGGGAGATATGAAGCGGGAACTGGAGTGACTTACGGGTAGAAATTCTGTAACATCATAGACCTTGTTCTTAATGATGACCCAGCATGACCTACGAACCGAATGCATCAGCACGGAAGGGGACTCGAAGGTGAAGTATGGATACATACTTGGGAGTGTTGTGCTCTGCTACCTGAGCTAACGTGAACGGCATGGTGGTCAAGAAACAACCTCAAACCCCAGCTGCGGTCTCGGTCTAAGTATGAGAAAAGCAGGGGTAACGGCAGACATGATGCGAGCGTTATAAGGAGGACGAAGGTATTCCGGCAAGATAACCAGTCACGAGCCCCTGCAACGGTCAGCTTTAGCTCGACGGTCCGACATGTCCGGGTGTCGTCGATGCCGCCGACGTTCCGCGCCCTCCAACAAAAGAGTCCGCCATACTTTGCGATTGCTACGCTGTCGAAACCATCACCGGCAGAGTCTTATTTGTGAGTTCCAATTACCAGGTCGTCGACGTTTGATCCATGTTAACAGCCAACTTTGACTCAGAGAGAAATCGCTATAGCTACATGCCTACCCAATCTTTCTGCGGACACTGCAACTGAGCGTATTCTCTAAATTGCAGAAACATGATCAAATCCCAACAATTTCACTGGAAGCAGCACCTGGAACGCCCCGGGAACTTCACGATGCTGGCTTCAGCCACCGGGCCACAACTTCAAGCGCAAGTTAAACTTGAACTGAAGCGCCGAAGAAGCCGTGGGTGTCACGTGCACGCGAGGATTCGCGCGTTGTTTGGTCGTGTTGACGGTCGCTATACGTTCGTGCCCGACCACCACCACAGGCACCGTGCTCGACTGGCCCCTCTCCCCGCCTCGAGCAAGTCCCGCAGCCATGGCCTCCCGACCGACGAGGGAAGCTCTCGAGTCTATGTCGAGACAGGACCTCCAGAAATTATGCAAGGTGAGTATCTTCGTGCCGCCCATTGTACCTCCGGGATTTGAACGCAGTCTGCGAAAGAATCTCGGCCTCAAAGCTAACCTGAAGTCGGATGCACTTATTGATCTAATACTGAGGGACTCAGAGTATGCACTGCTCATTTCTATCCTTTAATCTGGACCTCATTCTGGACGATAGGCCGCCTGCGGACCCCGGGGGGCCCCGGTCTCGTTCAACTTCCGTAGCAGTGGCTAGGCAGCGCGGTAGCCGATCTCGGGAGCATTCTACTGCGTCTATGATTGTACACTCCGAGGCCGAGGACGATCCCGTCTCTCCTGCAGAGGATACCGCCAGTACACCTGAGCCTCGTACAGGCCCCGTACGTCCCAGTAGGACTCGCAAAGCAAAAGAGACTCAATTACGCCTCGGTGTCGGGAGGCCGATTGCAGCGGGTGGAAGCGGTGCCCGGGCTGTGACCAGAGCCTCTAATGCTTCTAAGTCGAGGCGAGGGAAGACCAGGAGCTACCAGACTACCGAGATGCCCATACCGGAAGGTGAGCTGCTTTTGCCTCCCTGGGATATCATACTCAAGCGTTATAGAACCGGAGCCCCAAGCATCGGAGGCTCCTCCATTACGTGAGTCTGACAGCAACGTGGCCGCCTGCACCCCCACTCACAGGCAGAAACCACAAGCTGTCGAGCCTTCCCCTCCGGATCCCGGACCTTCGACTGCCAATCAGAGAAATGATGCGCAAACAGTCGCTGCGGTTCTGCCACCGGCTGCACCCGTTGCTTCGAGTTCTGCTGTCCCCTACGAAGGCATAGATGCATACGTTGCGAACCTTGTGGGTGCTCTATCTCCAGCCCTATACCTCAGTTCCTCACAGCGTAGCAGATCAAACCACTGGAACAAAGAGTTCAAAGTCAAGCTTCCGAACTGGAGCGTCTGACTGTTCAGGTGGCTGGGACAGAAGAATTGATGCGGAAGGTCGAATCCATGACAGCTGAGCTCGAAGCGTTACGTCTGAAGGTCGACAGCACGGACAAGCGTGTGACGTCGATACAGGAGCATATGAACTCTGCCGATGCAGCCTACAGCCATCTGCCTTCTACGCCGCGGTTTAGCACACCCAATCTGACCCCAGGTATTCCAAGGTACGTCACGGCCCGGTCATTTGAGATGCGATATTTGTTGACGCTCAAGTGTCGTCCTTCTAGACATAGAGTTATATCACCTGCTGCTAGCGAGGAAGATGATTCGGAGAATGCACCTACCGCACTGGGGAAGCGCCACCGGGGTGCTACGTGCTCTGACACCCATGGTATGCTTCAAGACAATCGGGGTAGTCCTCCAGATGAAGATCTAGCTGGCTCTTCCCTCCCGGAGAACAAGCGAGTGAGAGTGAGTGGACCAGAGCCCTCGGCAGATCCAAGCTCTGTCCCAGCAGACGAGGGGCATCAAACAGCGGCCACATCTTCGCATCCAGCAGGAAAATCCGAGACACAGATTGGGGCTCTATCCCAGCCGTTTCAAATGCAGGATGCGGAGGGGTCGCAGCCAGGTCCTTCCCAACGACTGACAACCACGTCGGCAGGCGCGTCTGAAAATCAACCCCAACAACCGGAGGGCTACGACTTCAGCTTCAATTCTGCCGCCTTCGATCCCATCACTTCCACGCCATATGTAGCGCGTTTCCCCCATCCAGAACTTCCACAGTCTCCGACACCGGTGCTTCCGCCGAGTGGTAGCAGCTATGGACCTGTCGATCGTAGTGCCAGGCGAGAACGTAACGCACTCTATCATCCTCTTGGAACGCCTGGCCGGCCCCGCACACGACCAATAGGTGACTCTTCACTCGGCTCTGGAGCTTTCATCAATCCAGCTGCCCTAATGAGGCCTCCATCGACGGGCGGGAGGAAGATATCTAGTAACGACATCGGCGCTAGTCTGGGCATGACTGGCCCCCCTGTGCCGGATACACCTGCGCCGCCGGTCAGACGGACGATGTACGGGACAGAGCTCGACGGTGATACTCGGTTTGGTGATTTCGGGGTCGAAGGGGTCGCCACTGGTTTCTGGAATCCGGCCAAATACAATCCTACCTTGGACGACTATGATTAGCGGTTTCCCTTACGTGCTCGTGAGCCAATGCTGCATTTCCACGATCGTTGCACTTCTTTAACGAGCTAATGAGCATTGGATTATCTTTCCCCGTTCAATGCTCTGATGAATGTGTTCATGTTTGTACTACACTCCTTTGTAGCCTATTTTCACTTCTGTTAAATAGCAATAGCAATCGCGAGCGTCCATGCTATGCGGTTCGAAGTATCCTACGAATACTCTGGTATACAATACTTAGTGCCCGAGGTATAAAAAGCCCAATGAAAGTAAGTAATAAGTTAGAGAGTTATTGTTGCATGACGCCAGTTACAACCCCGAATTGAATGAGATGATTTCTTCATACAGAAGAGTCTTTAGCTCTTCCTTGGATAGTGCGTCCTTGTAAGCTGCGATACCATCAGTGATGTGTACGGATAGCAGCGAGGGGGGGGGGGCGTACTGTCAAAGGCAAAGTAGTCGGGATCCAGAATAGCGCATGTGGGCTCATCCTCCGGATCATGGTAGGCCGCGAGATATGGATGCTCTAATGCCTGCTCCACGGTGATGCGCTTCTTGGGATCAAATGTCTACGAAAGTCCGGTTGTTGGTAAGCGGGATTCCCTGTTCCGCGGGAGTTCATCAGACTTACGAGAGTCCGCTGGAGGAAGTCGATAGCATCCTCGGATGCCTTTGGGAACAAAGCTGTGAATGGCCGGCGTTTCCGGATGGGCAGCGCGCGGATGTATTCCCGAGAACGTCGAGAGGTGATTGAGTAGTACTCATCCAGAGTCGGCGTGCCTGCAGAGGACTGTTCAATGAAAGAGGCAGATGAAGGGTGAAACAGGCTTACCGATGACATCCAAGATGAGATCTAGCTGATGGCTGTAATCCCGTCCGGGGAACAGGGGTTTCCCGGTGAGCAGCTCGGCCAAAATACACCCGACAGACCACATATCAATAGCCTGGCCAGCATCAGCCAATGAACGGCATCTCATCAACGCAACCTGATCACCTTTGTGTACCTCTTGAAGCTGAGCATGATCTCCGGGGCGCGGTACCACCGCGTTGCGACGTACTCCGTGAGCAAACCGGCATCTTTGCCATCAGGGCTCGCGCTGTTGACGCTGCGCGCCAATCCGAAGTCGCAGACCTTCAGATCGCAGTTGGAGTTAAGGAGGAGGTTCGCGGGCTTCAGGTCTCGGTGGACAATGTCCGCCGAGTGGATGGACTTGAGTGCTCGTAATGTTTGATAGATGAAATACTGGGAAGTCAGGCAGGTCAGCAAATACCGTTGTGGTCTTACCAACGCTGGGACTGACCTGGCAATGATCATCTGTGAGCTGCTGCGTGCGGATTACGCGGTGCAAATCGGTCTGCATTAACTCTTGAACAACTGCGACTACGGGTTAGAAGCCTGCATCACGATACAAGGGTGAGAACACTTGCAGTATATCTCCGTGAAATCTTCATATGATGGTGGCTTGACGATATCCAAGATTGATACAATCTGCGGATGGGAGGTTAATGAAACGATCTCCTGTCCGACGTCCCAGGTTCCCCACATTTTCGTTCACGCAGACCTCCGAGAAGAACTTGAGTAATTTGAGCTCCCTGAGCGTGCGTAGGCAGAACAAAGTGTGTTCGAAGGGCCGGACTTTCTTGATAGCCACTTGAGCCCCTGTCGGGACATGTAGGGCAGACACTACCGTGCCATATGCACCTTCTCCTAAAGAATTGAGAATCCTATAGTCATCGCCTAGGCGCACAGACTGTCAGACCACGGCACCACAGTTGTATTGGCTGCTACTCACCAACTTCGAACTTGGGGATTGGCTTCTGAGTCTTGCGGGACATGACGGACAGTTCAAAGCGTAGTGTAGGAACGAACGTAAAGACCAGTCAATGGTGGTTGAAAGGGAGTCGCTTGAAAGAAAGATGACACAAAGAACGAAGGATAGCAGATGGAAGCGAGAGATAAACCTACGTGCCGCGACTGGGGCGGCTATAGGAGGGTGCGTTATTGTTTCACAACCGCGAGTATTTATACGCAAATCGGAGAGACATATGGGATTGCTATTGGAACGATCAGACCTACGCACATGATGGATGTAGTCTGACAGTGATGGATGATGGATCTGAGTGAGCAGGTAGTTGTCCTGGACCACCAGCCACCGCCACACTGCCCCGAGTAGGCAACAGCAGGATTCTTCGTTGAGCTGATGCGCAGTCCTGTATCGGGACCCGATTGTCGGAAGTGGGATATATATATGACCAGATGGCGGTATAAAAAGACATACTCACCTTCGTACAGGGCTTTTTAGTGAACGCTGGCTCTGCGACGTCGACTTGGACTGCCAACTTGAATCGCGACTGCGTACTTGTGCCTGAAACTGGATGGCGATTTCGCATCTGTCTCGGAGAGGTATCCCGACTGAGGGCGCGAGCCCCTTGATTGATACGATGGTGAACCATCCCAACTTGCAATATCCCCGGGCACATGAACCACTCCGTAGTAATTCTCAAAAACCCGGTGAAGGTCCATGTGCATCACCCGTACTGAGGGACGGCGTCCCGGGTATGTACCTGAAGTAGAACTCGAATCTCAAGACATACGACCGGAGGCCAAGTTCACCAAAGGATCGCTTGGACGATTATCGTCTTTGTATTGCGCTGCTATGGAAGAAACTCGAATGGTAGCCCAATTGCAAGGTTTGCGTTGCCAGGACAGCAGTCAGCTGGCCAATAGCCCCACGCGGGATATGAAAACACTGTACAAAAAGGCCGCGCCCGCGCCATTTGTGCCCTCACTCTCCTTGCTTTCTCTCCTCCCGTTTGCCCTTGACTGGGTCTCTGTCTTTCTTTCGTTCCCTTGCTTTCATTTTGCTGTGCATCTCTCGCTGAATCTACCTGCACTATCTCTCTTTACGCTAACCCAATAACGATCGCAAGCGATTATGTTCTCTTCTGCTCTTCTCTCGCTGGGCCTGGTCGTCCTGCCGTTCGTGGCCGCTCAGACGGTTCATGATGTAACTGTCGGCGGCGCCGATGGTAGCTTAAAGTTCAATCCAGAGGCAATCGTGCGTTGGAGTGTTTTATTGCATTTCCCTCCGTGCCAACGAGCTTGCGTGATGCAACAAACAGTTCGCAAACCCAGGTGACCAAGTGGTGTTCCACTTCCAGCAGAAGAACCACACCGTCACCCAGTCCTCATTTGCCAATCCCTGTGGACCCAAGGAGGGCGGTTTCGATTCGGGATTGTGAGTTCGAAACCCCTGACGTTGCTAGCACAATGTCTGAATCATTTCGCAGCATGCCCGTAGCTGCAGACGTAACCGATAATTTCCCCACGTACACTATCACAGTCAACGACGTAAGTCTAGCCTTTAGTTCTCGCATAGCAAAACTCGAGCTTCTTTGTCCAGACAAACCCTATCTGGGTTTACTGTGCCCAAGCCGCCAATACTGCTAACTCCCACTGCGGCAAGGGAATGGTTTTCGCGGTAAACTGTGGTGCCGATGACGCCCCCAACTCGTTCACCAGCTTCAAGAACGCTGCTCTGGCCATCGGCTCCAGTCTCGCAGCGGCGGCCACTTCCACCTCTGCGGCAGCCAGTGAAACCGCGTCCAACACCTGGACCGCTGCGTACGGGGGCGTCACTGTCCCTCCTGCTCCTAGCGGCAGCGTCGTGACCCAACCGATAACTCTCGAGTCGTCGACCTGGACTACGGTTTACACGAGCTACCCCAACTCGCCCGCTCCTACTCCTGCTTCTGCGGAGGGCCAGGTGCACAAGGTTATCGTGGGGGGTCCCGGCAAGCTCACGTTCGATCCCCCTCGCGTGAGCGCGCAGCCCCGCGACACCATTGTCTTCGAGTTGTACGTGTGGATTCATATTGTTTCAGCCGAGGGGATGCTAAGGTATTTGTTCCCTCTTACAGCCACCAGAAGAACCATACCGTTACCCAGTCGTCCTTCGCTGACCCTTGCCGTCGCCTCTCGGGCAACTCCACCGGCTTTGACTCGGGCTTCTTCCCCGTCAGCGACGACGCCACGGCCTTCCCCACCTGGAACCTTACTGTCAATGACACGGCCCCCATTTGGGCGTACTGTGCTCAGGCAAACCACTGCGGCGCCGGCATGGTGTTCGCAGTCAACTCCGACGAGTCGTCGGGGCGCAACTTCACCGCGTTCCAGTCGCTGGCGAAGCAGCTCAATGGAACGGCGTCCGCTGCTGCCAGTACCGCTTCTCCTTCCGCAACTGGGACGTCGGGCGCTGGTGCTCTCCAGGTCGGCGTCTTAAGCGCTGCTCTTGGTGCGATGGGCGTGATGGCCGTGCTCTTCTAAGCACCATCACTGGTGACGGCGCTTCCGAATGGACTCTGCTGGACTTGCTTCATTTCTGGACACTTTTTGCTGTTATGTCTTGACGACGATATCCGGACGCAAGTCGATTCTCTTTTTTGGGTTTGTGGGTAGATACCAGTAGCACTAGCTGATCAGAATGCACAGACGTTCTGCTACTATGAGCGTGTGGCACTCTGTGTTGTCACGAGGCAGTCACAGTCAAGTTCGGTCCAAGAAAACAAGCAAAATACAGAGAATAAACAAGCTACACGACACATCCCGATCACGCTACTCCTACTCTGCCGCCGCCATAGACTCTCTTGCCTTCTTCTCTTTCTTGAGCCGTTTTCTCTCCCTCTTTGCCTCGTCATCCTCCTCAGCTTCCGCGTCCGCCTCCTTTGCAGCCTTCTTCGCAGCCTTCTCTTCCTTCTTCTTTCTCTTCCGCTCTGCCTCCTCATCCTCGTCGGCGTCATTTTCGACGGCCATCGAAACGTCACCGTCGCCTGCAACTGATTCCCGCTTTCGCTTTTTCTCCTTCTTGTCCTTCTTGGATTTGTCTTTTGACGGGCTGACGTCCTCAACCGGTTGGGCGGTGGCAACAGAAGGAACAAAGGCGGGCACTGGCACGACGGCGGCAGCAGGTGCTGTCGACGAAGACCCAGCGACGGGTTGCTAGACAGGATAGAAAACGACGTTGAGCAAACAGGGTTAATGTAGATCAATGCACGTACCTCGCGCGTGTAGTCGACGTAGTCACGACTCCACTCCGCGGGTGTAGTTTCGATCTTCTCTCCGTGCTTGCCCAGCTTGCCCTCCTTGACCATCTTCTTCTTCGTCGACGCGACGGGCCCGAGACCCCACCGCCGGGGGTAGGTATCGCGCTCCATGATGCACCGCTTGACCTTGGCCACGACGCCGTGATCGCATGTCGCCAGCTCGACGGTGGACATCTGAGCGATGGCTAGTGCGATGGCTTCGCCTGCAGGTGTCATCGGTCGTCTTAGGATGAAGGATCCGGGTCAGAAAATAACTACTGACCTTTTGTCGTCATGAGTACGACCTCCTCGTTGACTCCAATGTCTGCCTCGTATCGGAGCAGACCCGGAATCATGAGTTTGGCACCATAGCAGACGGCGTTGACGGCGCTGTCTTTGACCACGATCCGCTTGTAGCCCACCAATAGGCACTCGAGTGGTCGGATCACACGTCGTAAATACGACTCTGTACGGTTTCATGGATGAAGCTCGTCTGCATGAGAGAGATTTGATGCCACGCACCATCTCTTGTGTTGTCGTAAAGCCATTGGGCGTCCAGCACGTCGTGCATAGTCACAATGTCATCGTTCTCACTCATCGCCCCACTTCGGACACGACGCAGTTCTTGCATATGCCCGCCCACACCCAGCAGCAAACCCAGATGCACACATAACGTCCGGATGTATGTCCCGGCTTCGCACGAGACCCAGAAGACGCCGAGATTGCGCTTTTCGTCGAATTCGAGGAGTTTGGATTCGTGAATGGTGCGGATACGCAGCTGCCGCTTCACGGCGGAGATGAGGGGAGGGCGTTGGAAGAGGGCGCCGGTGAGGGTCTGGAGGGCGCGGGGGAGTGCTGTGGGATCAGGGAGGGCACTGTGGAGACGCAGTACGCAAACATACTCCTTCCCTGTGTGCGAAGCGCGGTGAGATACGAAGCCGGGAGGTCACGGGTGGGACGAACCTGCGCTCTGCTGCGACTTGACCAGCCTGGTAGCCCGATCAATGCAGACGATGAGACAACCGGTAACCTTGGGATCCAAGGTACCACTGTGGCCCGTCTTCTCGACTCGGAGAATACGTCGCAGCCACGCGACGACTTCATGAGAGGATGGGTTGGAAGGCTTGTCAAGGTTGATGACCCCGGACCTGAATGAGCGGTCAGATAAATAGCAAACCAGTGACAGAATGTACACACTTGATGTATTGCGTGATGTCGCGTTTCAGCGGGCTGCAGCCGGAAGGGATGGGGGTGAAATGGCTTGACCGAACGAGGAGCTTGTCATAGTTTTTGAGCAGCAGGGGCCATTGGGAAGTGTCGAGCTTCGGCTCCGCCTTTTCAGGCTGGATGCTGTAGTTGCCGTCGAGCTGCGCAGAGGCGACCTGCTGCCGCGTCAAACCGTTGGAAGTAGCCATCACCGCAGAAACGCAGACCGCTGCACGCTCGTACTTTGGACTTGGTCGCGAGGAAGACTTGACCCGCGCAAATTCTTCAGCCACCGCGGGCGCAATAAGCTCGCGTGGCCGCCATGTGCACGTGATCGAGATCTCGTCCATCAACTGTACAGTTCTTTAAGACCGCTGCAATTCGTCCGAGGCCGCGTCCCCTCAAGCCTCAAGCCTCAAGCCCCCCGCCTCCGTCTCCCTCGTCGTCGCCGCCCTCCTCCAAGATGGTCAGTTTGCTTGGTACCGCTTTGCTGAGTTCCCTTCTCAGTAGGCTTACGCCGGGCGTCTCGCTCTTTCCCTCTGTTTCTTAGCCCAAGGCCGCCTCCAAGACCCCTGCTGCCAAGCACAAGTTCGTCATCGACTACTCTCGTCCCGCAAACGACGGTGTCTTCGATGGCGCTGCCTTCGAGAAGTTCTTGCACGACCGTATCAAGGTCGATGGCAAGGCGGGCAACCTCGGCGACAATGTCAAGATTCAGCGTGACGGTCAGTTGGAGAGTTTGGTTAGTTGCCTTCACATATCTGACTCGATGCGGCGAAGGCGACAAGAGCATCACCGTGACGTCCAATATCCCCTTCTCCAAGCGGTACCTCAAGTACCTCACGAAAAAGTTCCTCAAGAAGAACACCCTTCGTGACTGGATTCGGTAAGCTGCTTCTCGCCCTCATCTTGGATTGATCCTGATGAGATCCTTGTAGCGTTGTCGCCTCATCAAAAGACCACTACCAGCTCAAGTTCTACAACATTGCGTACGTTCCTCGTGAGTCTATTGAGGCCTTTGCACTGACTTCGTCCGGTATAGTGGCGCTGGCGACGAGGAGGAAGAGGAGTAAATATCATCACCCTTGTTTCTCCATGGACCCCACCTATGTGTACATGGCACATTCATGCAATCTATGCTCGATTGCGACCATGCGTATATCGTCTCTCTGAACATGTGAAAATATGCCTAGAGTGCCACGGCTTTGGGCTGTCCGGTTTGAGGACGTTCCTCCTCTTCTATTACTTGTAACTGTAATGTAGCCACTATATGCAACGCATACTTCAACTAGATCTATGACTGACTAAAGAAATCGTGGTCTGTGGAGTCCCTTCCGCGTCTTCATCCTCCAGCTTCATCTTTCCCAAGATAGCGAGACCTAGTTCTTGCCAACGTACTTGCGACTCGACCAACGGCTTCCTGCGGAACTGGGCAGCCAGTGTGGAGGCCAGGTTGTTTCGCAGGACCTTGAGTGCCACATTTGTCTTCGGTGAAGCCCGGAACTTGATCTTGCGATTGTCCACGAATATCGAATCAGAGATGAGCTAAACGAATGTGGTCAGAGCGTTCTTAGGCTGTAGCGGTATCTGAGCAGCTGACCCTAAAGTCGCATTCACCGCACAGAAGCAGTATAGCGGCATCATCCACAGGGCCTGTCTCCCAGACGTAAAGTCTCTTCGAATGCCTGCGGAGCAAACCTTAGTAAAAGACTACCGAAGTTAGGGAAGTACGTGCATCAGCGTGAAGTAATGCAGATAGTTCACGCCAAAATCTCTCGGGTTCCGTCCGAAATTGACGGAGGTGGGATGGAAGGCAGCAGGCTGATTATTGCTAATGGTCCGCATCTGTCCATTCATCGGGTCGACGGCCAGGAGCTTCGGATAGACCCCTGCAGTGAGAGCAGCGCCGATGAGCGCTGTATTTTGCCCATTGCAATTGAATTCGGGTGGGACGGCGACGAAGCGCGCCTTGTTGCGGCCATAGCGAGCTCTGCCAACTGGTAAGCGCCAGCCATTTAGTACTCACACATCACGTACCTGCTCAGCTCCCGGACGAAGGACCGGTCGACTCGCATGAAGCCGGAATCGACGAGGTATCTACCGGACAGATCAGAACAAAGCATGGCTGACGACAGACATCCCCCTACCCGAGGAATTGTTGTCGAAGTTCTTCTATTTGTTGCAAGTTCTAGGAAGAGCAGCGAGTCGTTGGGAAAGCAAGGGACCTGTCTGATAACTTACCTGATGACTCAAGAAATTCGTCTTGCAAAACTTATACGCATATCCAGGAGCGCAGGCTCGCCAGCTTTGGAAAGCGTTATGGATGGTCAAAAAATCAGAGTTGTCTAGGGATGCGCTCAGGCAGGCGGCTCTATCCACAACGTCGTCTTACATACCAGTCTGGAATGAGCGTTTCGCCATGTCCGCCTGTTGCTCGAGCCCAAAGGGCGTAACGAATGGCGATTTGGAGTTGAGAGTAGCCGCGATGGTGAGCGCAGAATCCAAGCAGCGGAAAAGCGTTGCCATCAGAAGGAACTTGCCCAGATGGACGTCCGTGGGTAGTTTGCTCAATAATTGACCCATGGGAGTGATCTCTTCCGACGGTGTCAAAGCGCGAACCTGGAATCGTCGTAAGTCGGGGTGCCCTCAGGATGAGTCAAGCATAAGGCTTCACCTCAACTAATGCGGCTATCGCTCTTTGTACGTTGACAGAAGCCGGAGGATCCAGCGCCCTTGACAACACGTCCTCTATAGATGAACCTAACTTGATCTTCATTATTTTGATGCGCAAGGCAAGATCTGATAGGCTCAAGCGCAGCATTTCAGGAAGCGGATGTTCAGCGAGCTGAATGAACTCAGTAGGTGCCCAAGTCAGATCCAGAGGTGACTTACTAATGTATCGTGACGCAGTTTAGTGAAAAGGTGGAAGCACAGGCCTTCTTGAACACGACCAGCACGACCTCGCCTTTGTGCAGCGTTGCTCTTCGCAATGAATGTCTCTATCAGTCGACTCATCTGACGCTTCTCGTCATATCTACATATGTCAGAGAACTGTATCGATGACTTTGGGAAATAAGCCTACCTCATTTCCTTATGCTTGCCGGTATCGATTACGCAGGTGATGTCAGGTATGGTGATACCAGTCTCAGCAATATTGGTTGCTACCAATCTAGTGTTAACGATGGAGTGACAAGCTGGTCTGAACACTGTTTCATACCGATTACGATTTTTCGCACCCCTGGGGGAGGTATATTGAAGACAGCGCCCTGGTTCTCCGTGGAAATCGTGGAATGAAGAGGGAATATTTGGAAATCATCAGCAGCACCGAAGACGGGATGTTCGCCCAACAGCTCATTCAGACGCCTGATCTCTCCTAGACCAGGCATAAAAACGAGGATAGCAGCTGAATAATCCCGATATTGTGGGTCTTCAAGGCTGATCCGTTCTAACAAGCGTATGATGAGCTCATAGGGAATTAAACGCTCGTCAAGGAGATTGATAGTCGCGGCAGTCGCAGACGAATATCGCCTTTCCAACTTGACGTTTGTAGGACCTTCTTCTTCGTCATCTTCATCATTAGCCAATGCATCTTCCGACCAATCTTGGCGCGCTTTGCTACGATAAAACTTGTCATGACCTGTTCATCAAACAAGTATCAACCCACAGGAAGGCAGGATTCTGGACATAGCGTGGACGTACGGCGACGAGCATACGGAGAGCTCTCCTCTATAGTCCATTTCGTGAATTCTATCGCGTCTTCCAAATAGCGGACATCAACAGGGAAAGTGCGTCCGGGCACGTGGAACGTCGGACACCCGCCGAAGTAGTCGGATATCTTCTCAGCGTCGACAGTTGCAGACATCAAGATCACTCTACCCTGGTTAGCAAGCATTGCAGGATAGCGCAAAGTAACACTTACTTGAGGTCTCTGCGTTGTTCAATCAAGGATTTCAGTACGATCAGTAGAAAGTCAGACTCTATCGACCGCTCGTGAACCTGGATTGATGTCAGGACAAGGTCATTCTTTTCCGTGTCTTATGCCAGCGCACCTCATCGATGACGATATGCTGAGAGGAACATGAGTCTCAGCAAGGAACAAATTGTGGATTTTACTCTCACCGTGATTTCATCAAATGCAGTGCCTTCTCCGTTGGCACCCGAGCCACTTTCTAGCATCCGAAGTGCAATTCCGTTCGTGACAAACGCCAGTCGAGTATTCCTGGTTGTATTACTCTCGAGTCGAATCGAGTAGCCGACCAGGGAGTTCAGCGTGCCGACTGCGCCAGGCGGGTCGCCCAACTCAGCGGAAACTCGCTGAGCCAAGGATATGGCCGAGATACGACGGGGTTCCGTACAATAAATTTTGCAATGTTTACCCCTGGAAAGCTGATCTTCGAGGATGAAGGTTGGAACTTGGGTAGACTTGCCACTGAATGACCAGTGTTATGTATGTTAGAGTCGGCGGCAAGAAATCAGATATAACTAACCATCCAGTTTCGCCGCTAAGGACTAGTACTTGAGAAGATTCCAATGCGGAGACAATCTCATCACGATAATGCGCGACGGGTAGTCCATTGCGGTATTGCTGAAATATGAATTTGATGAGGAATGAGAAGCGCATGAGCGTCCATAGTGATACTAACCAGCATTTCCTGATAAGCCGGACTTGCTTGCCTCGCCTTGAAGCCTGCGATAATTTGCTCTGATGTGACTTCACTTCCATTTGACAAGTCTCGATAAAGGGTGGGTGCGGATGTAGTCGGAGTACGCTCGCTACGACCTTGGGCCTGAAACTATTTGTCAGGGAAAACCCAGATCCATGCTGTGTTGATAGTTACCTTGAGCTCCGTCGCAAGTTTGGGCTGGAGAATCGTTTGTAGTTTCGCCCAGACTTGACGATTCGTGACATGGTCGTTGTTCTTCCTCTTATTCTCGAGTTCTTCCCACAGATCCCTGAATGTAGCCGGCAACAGTCTAAAGGAAGTACGCCCCACGGACGTCACGGGAACCCCTGCAGCGAACCCATCCGTCGATGGAAAAGTTAATCCATGCAGTGCGACAGTTGCGACATAATTCTCCGCCTGCGACATATCGTGACAAGCGACGTCTTCCATAGTCCAGATCTGACTCTTTCCCCTCTCCCAGCCGATATTTACCGCAGCACGCTTGGCTCGACTAGACCCGGATATGCAGCTGTACGAAATCGCTGCATACCGATCGGATTTGAGCACAACCTCGGATAAGAGACTCTTCGGTGTCCGACCAGACCAATGTTTAGGCAGTGCCATATCACGGACTTGGATTGTAGTACCCTTGTCACTCGTTTCCGTGGTGGGCATTTCTAGGATTTCGAAAACACCGCCACCAACTGCGTCTTCGTCTCCTCCAAATATATCGGTGTTATCTTCCGGCAAAAGGGATGCCTCTGCTGAAACAACCGCGGGGTGTTCCTTCTCCACCTGAGGGTCTTTCGCTGCTGGAGGTGGTTCTGTTGGATCGCCCTTTCCACGCAATTTTGAACGAAGAGAGGACGCTTGCACCTGCTTACGTTGGATCCTGTACTGTGCCTCTGCGTCTTTGAAGTCGAAGAAGTAATGTTTCTTCACTTCTTCCAATCGTGATTGAAGGTTATTCAGGAAGGCAGGGTCAAAGCCTCCTTGACCTCGTTGTGCCTGCAGATCTGTGATTTGTAGCTTCAGGCGAACATACTCGAGATTAGGGTCATCAATCTCCGACGGATCTTTCTCAGTGTCTGAGCCTTCGTTGTGGCTGTATGATGCAAGAATGCGTGCCTTGGCAGCTTGTCGGTCGGTTTCAGCCGCCAGGGGTAGTGACGTTGGTCGTGGCTCGGGAGAGGACGCAAATTCCGAGGTGACCGGAGTTGCGGGGGAAGACTTGAAGGACGGAACAAATTCAGCCGCGCTGGCATTCAGCCTCGACTCCATCCCGTTTTGCTTAGGAGTCGATGCGCCTGATGATCTGACAGGGGTAGAGGCCCTACTCTGGCGGGAAGAAGGCGTTTCGAAATGGCTGGGTGTTTTAGGAGTACGGGGTTCGGTTTCAGGAGCACCTAGATATCTTCCTTAATGAAAAGAAATATCAGAGCATGAACATCATCAAACTTACGTTTTCGGGTCTCCAGTTCACCTTCAGGACAATGAATATAGAGCTTGCAATGGCAAAGGACATGAGCTATGCCAGTAATGTAGGAGAGGCGCAAGACTAGACTGACCCATTCGTATGCTTCATCCAGGTCTACGCCCCGGATGGCTCTAAGACATTGCTCGACTCTATCCTCCGTAAAGCCCAGCCGCCGTAGTACGCCGTACGTGATGGCTATGCGGGCGAGTGCTCTCTCCTCTGGCTCAGAGATAACTTTAGACGCTGCATCTGAAAATTAGCGTTTACGGACTACTCAGGTACAAGCTACGCACAGTCGTCGCATTCTGTTTCGATAGCTAAGGTCAGAATACGACTAGAGATGTTTGGATCCAGCTCAAAGCTTGACAAAGTCTCGGAGAATCGTCTATCCTGCTCTATTGCCTACCAAACCATCAGCATCTGCAGTACATAGACATGGAGGTATATCCGAACTTTGATGGTTCTAGTTATCTCTTTCTCCGTCTTCTCTTGGAGGCGATCCACCAGATCGGACAGCCGCTGGTCCTCGTCTGACTGCTTCACGGCGTCTTGTGCAAGAGGCTTTCTCGTCTCCGGAACCACAACCTCGGAAGGTCGTGGTACCTCATCCTTATCTCCATCAACAGAGTTAGACGTGACTTCCTCAGCTTGGTCCACAACCTTCTTTGGAACCGAGGTCGTAGCGAAGCCTCGCGCAACAGGTTTCAACTGCGTCTTCTTCTTCTTCGCCATATTAGTGGAGGGCTTTATAGCAGGGTCTTCAAAGAGTCTCTCGAAGACAGTCCACTGGATAACGAAGGTCGAAGTGCGAAATTAGTCTGCAGAGCCAGTTACGTTCGCAGCTCCAAACGGAAGCCGCTAATTTCTCTTGGAGGACGTGCAAATAAGGCGTGCATAGGACAAGCGTAACAATGAATGTCGGGTCAGTTAGATTCCTCGATCGGTGCGGTAAAGTGACTCAGTAGGCACCGTGTATGCATATAAGCTCAAGCTGTCCGAACGTAGTACCTGACGTGGCTGTGCAGAGAACTCCAGACGGGATTTGATCTTGAAGAGCAGTACATGCCAGTGCGATTCGATAGTACATACAATAATAATGCGTAGGTCTACAATATGCAGTGTAAGAGTCAAAGCAATACAAGAACGATAGCAAGTCCAGAATGCAAGTAACATATGTGAAGAGCGACAGTGCTCAAGCTCGCTGACCTTCGTTTATTCAGGCCGCATCTCTCCCGTTCGCGACAGAGGCTTTCCTTCTACCTGCACCGGTGCCCCGCGAGCCACCTCTTCGACCGCGACCAGAGCCCGACACGCCGTTCTTCCTCTTCTTCCCGCGTGTACTCGCAGCTTGCGGTCCAACGTCCTCTACAACGGATTCAGGTCCATTGTTTTGTGCTGGACCTGCATGCCCAAAGAATTCATCACCCTCTTCATTCCATAGATCCCTGGCCGGATCTTCTGAGCCATTAATGGAGGTTATCGTTCGAGTGCCAGTTCCTTGTGAAGACATCACAGAAGTCGCGTTGAGATTTGCAAGTTGGTCATCAGGTAAGAGTAACGACACGATCTCGTTCGGTTTCGCAACGTCCGTGAAACTCTTGTTGCCGACGACTATGTCTTGTACCTATTGAAGAACGTCGAGTCCTTGTTCACGCATAGCCACAAAGACAAACTTACGTCTTTCTTTACTCGTGCCAACTGCACTATTCTCTCGTCGATCGTGCCCTTAGTAATGAGACGATAAACAGTGACTTGTCGTGTCTGTCCCAGTCTATGAGCTCTGTCCATTGCCTGAGCGTCATTGGAAGGATTCCAGTCATGATCATAGAATATGACCGTATCTGCAGCAGTGAGGTTGATACCCAGACCTCCCGCCCGAGTACTGAGTAGGAAGACGAAAATCTCCGGCCTGGACAGGTCAGCATATGATATAACATTAAGGAGAACAATGGCTCACTTCGTTTGCCAGTCTATGACCATATCTCGCCTGTCTTCTAGCTTGGAAGAACCGTCCAAACGGAGATACTTGTATTGCCGGTATATAAGATATTCTTCCATGAGATCCATCATACGCGTCATCTGGAAATATATCAGGACGCGGTGGCCTTCCGACTTCAGCTCTTGAAGGAGGGCGTCTAAGCGAGCCAGCTTGGCAGAGTCGTATATCAATCTCTTCGCGTCTGGAACTTGCATAGTCGACGCAGGGAGTTGATCTGGAGGAGAGCTTCCAAACAAGCCAAGAGGCGATAAACCTGGTAGCCTGGACTGGTAACCGGAGTATGCATCTTCGGAATCTCTCAGATACGCTGGGAGGCCGTAAAGAGCAAGGGATTCAAGCGGCCCGTCCAAGAACTGTTCTTGGCGGTTTAAGAACGTTCTGTCCGCACAATACATGGTTATCGAAGGAGCCACCGCAGGTGGGACGAAGAACTTGAAGCCTTGTCGCGACAGACAGGAGCCTTGCCAAGCGGTCTTCGATATGGAGGGCAAGGCGGGTAATCCAGGTGCAATTACCGAGGCAATTGTTGGTAACGCCCTGTGGATGCGGAAGGGGGGACTTGCAGAGTGCGCCACGAAATCTGGATCACTGGGCAATCATGAATATAGAGCCGGAGCATAGAACTCTGGTGGACATTCGACGTACAGGACGCAGGTATCTTCGGCTAATACTGAGCGTTCTTCCTGGGCGGCTCGCAAGCGCCGCGTCAGCAACGGCGATAGGTGCACTTCGTGCGCTTCGCCCGGGGACATGTGCAAAAGTCGAAGAAATGCAAAGGAGTCGCTGACTGAATCCCATGTGAGTAAAAGGGACATCAGGGAGCAGCTCGGCATACCGTCGTCATACATGGACTTCTGGATCCAGTCGGTGCTCCATATATTCATGAGATGGGATATACAGTCAGTGGGTTGCCGAGAAATCGACTCTTCTTGCGGTATATCCAAAAGACCGCCTTCACGGTAGAATAATTCGGGGATTGTGTATTCGATGGGATTCCGTGATGAATATGGCAAGAAAAGGAAGTCTCCTTCTCTATTCAATGGTCCGGACTGCCCAAACACTGAGAACGAGAACGGGGCGACGACATCTGCACGCTCGAAGAGCTCGGGGTGATTGCAAACCTAGACATTCTTGTAATAAGTAAAGAATCGGACTGGTCGAACATCGTCAGGACTAACTTTGCGGAATTGCATGACCAAATTCATTAGCGTCCGTGCTGACTCGGCGTCTCCGATATTGGCAGCTTTCTCGAGCAATTCGGCAACAGAGACATTGGCTAGCAAGGCTCGGTACAACGCTCGTTGCCTGGCACTGAGGTCTACATAGATATCTTTCTCTATCTAGGATGGAAGCATGTTTAGTTTAGGGCACCCCGACAAATGCACCGTCCACCCACCTTGTCGCTTAGCTCATTCTGGACGTGACGCTTCACACGTCGCAGCATGAACGGCTTCAGTATCATGTGCAGCCGGCGAAGTTGATGCTCGTTTAGTTTGCTACCTTTGTTCTCAGCGGCATTCTCGATATCCTTTGAAAACCATTCATTGAATTCGTCGTGAGAATCGAACAGACTGGGCATGATGAAATGCAGCAGAGCCCACAGTTCTAAGCCAAGCAGTGAGCACATCATGTGCCCTGGACGAATTGCTCGGGGACGTACCTTGCATGTTGTTCTGGATCGGCGTTCCAGTAAGAAGCAACCGATTTCGACAGTTAAATCCAAGAAGTGTCTTCCACCGGACACTAGACGAGTTCTTGATGTTCTGCGCTTCATCCAAGACCATGTACTGCCATTTTACCCGCTGGAAGTACTGTTGATCTTGAGTCACCTGAAGTACTAAGTCAGCTCATGTAGTAAGGCAGGAGCGATGCACCAATACCAGCTGGTAACTCGTGATGAGGACATGGAACGGAGCATCCTGATTATAGCTGATTTCCTTTTTACTCCAGAATTTTCGCAGGGTCGCCCGGTCCTTCACATTGCCCCAGTAAGGCAACGCCTTCAGAGGTGGGACGAATCGGGTGATTTCTTGCTGCCAGTTGTGTAGGGTAGAGGCAGGAGCAACAACCAAAAAAGGTCCCCAGATATCATGCACTTCTGCAAGGTAGGCCAGCAGAGAAATAGATTGGACGGTCTTCGCAGAGAGCGAGAATTAGCTTGGTGCGATAGTGCAGACAGAAGACCTCACTTTCCCTAGACCCATTTCATCGGCTAAGATGCCGTTGATACCTTGGTCGTATAAGGTTGCCAACCAGTTAAGGCCTTTCAGCTGGTATTCCTTGAGCTGCGCTGTAAGCATTCTCGGCTGCTTGATGGTCAGCGGCCCAGACAAGGAAGTAGGATTCTGGAAATTAAGCTCATCCGAGTCGACTGATCCGATCTAGTGTTAGAGGTATTCATGAGGTATTGACGATGGACTCACGGTCTACGAGTGGTGCAGAAGGTGTGGCCACACCATCCACTGACTCCTCTCGACTTCGTCCTTCCGATTTCGCAAGCTGCAGTGCTTCGTTGGTCTTGCGCTCCAGCGCAGCTTGTCGGTCAAACTCTTTTGCCCTCAGTTTGGCTAGAGTTATGGCATCCTGAGCGTTACGCGCCGCATGTCGGCGGAGGTTTGTCTGATCGTCTGTGATGGACGGTTATAGTACCCGGATTGGGGGGCAACACATATATCTTACCATCGTCGAAGTCGATATCCTGTAAGGTACTATCGTTTTCGACTAGCTCAGCACCGGCAGGTGCTTGCGCATCAGCAGAGTCGCCCTCGACCTCAGCAGCTATACATGCATCGCCCTGTCAGCAAAAGACAAAAAGAATGGCCTAATGACTGACTCTTCAGTTTGCTCCCAACGAAATGACTGTACAGCTCCGTTTGACTAATCAAGAACTCTAATTTCCTCGCCTGTCGAGCAGCCTCACGGCGTTCCTCCTCGACCCGGGCGCGGTCATGAGCTTCCTTCTGTTCCCGCTTGCGGACATCCCGCTCCTCTTTCTCGTTCTTCTTCCAAAATACGAGCATCTCACGCATTAGCCTCTTACTTTTAGCCTGGATATCCTTATTTGCTTTAGCAGTCCGAGTAAATGGTCTTCGAGCTTGCATAGATGAGAGGAGGGCAAGACGTTTCAACTGCGCTTGTCTGGCTTGATACCCCATAGCATGGTATTTGTAGACCTGTGATAAGTTGAGGTTTGGCATTCTAACACGAATTTATGTTTCAATTACCTTTGCCACCTCTCGTTTGGCGATGTTCGTCCATACCTTCTTCTGCGCCTCTTCCAATACCCTGACCCGTTTGGCCATGATCGAATCATCGACCTTTTTGGCTTTCTTCAGAGGTGGTATGAGCTCGTCCAATTCATACACGACCGATGAAGTATTAGTCGGCGCTGGAGAGGCTGGCCGTGACGCAGAAACCGAGGGGGTTCCGTCGCGAGAAGCAGATACCGAACCAGAGCCGACTCCAAGAAGCTCTTGAGTATGCGGTGGAAGCGCATCGAGCTTACGCTTTGGCCCGGGTTTCTTACGATAAGGCTTGACCCCATCCCCACCCATCTCACCTGGTCCGGCGGGCTTCCCTTTACCCTTCGCTTTCGTGGACGATGCTGAGATAGATGAGCCAAGGGCATGCTTGGGGAACTCGAGCGGATTGTCGTTCGTAATGAACCTCTCCGATTCATCTACCAAGCCATCTGCGTTCTTATCCACCTTGCGCTTCTTTGCGGCAGGGCCGATTTTGTCAAACCTATTCGAAAGAGGCACATCAAGCTCACTACCAGAATCTGACTCGGGCAGCGCAGCTGGGCGTTTCGTTCCCAGTTTATTTTTACCCTTCCTAGATCCTGGAGTAGCCTTCGGATGGCCGAGGACAGATTCCTCTAATGCTGTGGCAGCATCCTCCGCCCCACGCTCTGCTTCGAAAGACTGTCCAAGTTCTGCGGGCTCTGGCGATATGTCTGGATCATCAGTGGAAGCAGACGGAGGTGAAACCGGGTTGACATTTGGTACGCGGTTCATGTCCTGCATCATCGGCGGCGGTGGTGGCGGCGGCGGCGGGGGTATACTAGCCACACGAGCCGCGTAGTGGTGTGACAATGACCGTGCGACGTTGGAATTCCGTTCCTGATGGATCAGGGCAAAGGTCAGAATAGAGATTGCATGGTGCAAAATTGACTGACAAGGCAACTAGCATCAAAAAATACCTCTACTTGTCTTTGCCTCTTTTGAGTTTCCAAGATGTAATCGCTGTACTCGGCTATCCAGACCTCCTCGCAATCTTCGAGGTCTGAGGACGCTAAGCGTAACTCATCCTCCGTAGGCTGATGGAACTCTACCACTGTAGGTTCCATCACATGGACCGGCGGCGAGGAAGCCCGGGCATGTTTACTTCGAGAGGAATATCGACGCGTGCCATTCTGATGACAGTATCAAAATGTGAGAACCAATAACAATCTATAGCACGTACGCGTTTCTGCCCAGGAGGCTGGTAGTCTGCATCATCGTCGGCGTTTCTCCGTTTCCTCCGGCCTGAGGGTTCTGTGTGTTCACTGTCAAAACCGGAGTTAGGGTCCTCCAGAGCAACTCCGTCTGGGCCTGCGCCAGGATGAGCATCGTGAACAAGAGGATAGAGCACATAATAGGGCTCACCAAGCAGCCACTGTCCATCATAAGCACTGTGTGCGACTGGATCAACATAAGTGCCCTGCTGATAGGCTCCTCTTGCTGCCCGAGGGGTTTCACGTTCGCCTGAGATTGGACGCCGCGGCGTCGGGGTACGGTCGCCATTCGATTGGGAGGTGGAGGAACGCGACTCATCGACAAGCCCTGCATCATTGGACGGAATAGAGGGACCCGCTGCCTGCGAAGACGGTGTCACAGGCGGCATCGGGTCGTCATTCAGGATTGACCTGAGTGACATGGTGCACTGGGGGTATCCAAAGAGACTTGGTCAAGTATACGGGACTGTCGTCCAGCGAGACTGACAGCGACAGCCTTCCGTGGGATTACAACAGGTCGAACCAGCACCCGCGAAGCTATGACGGACAGTAGTGCGACCGCTTCCTATTCTCTACCTCCCGCAAACAGCGTTCTGGCGGTTGTTGACGGAGGGTGGGCCAATGTCGCCAACGACGACGAGCACAGCAAGCCTGGGTGAAAACTGATGAGGAACAGCCGGACTCGAACGGGGAATCGGCGTCGCGCGTCTCATTATATTTGTAAACTGTTGTGATACCATTGACCTTCTGTCAACTCAAGCCTGAGCTGTCGCTCCATATATGGTAATTTGCTCATCCTTCTCGAAGGAGCACTCCTCCGCACGCGAGAGCGTAGCAAACACACATCGCACAAATTCGGGCTTTCATTTAGGCCAGGACCTCGAAACATGACCCGTACTTCATCCTAGATCTAGAGACGCTGTCGTTCAGCCCTATCTAGCTCAGGGGTGTGCCTGCAATAGGATCCTCTTCTGATCTTGTGTGCGTGATATATTGCGTACGCTTTAGCTCATTTCGAGCCTGCACCTTGCATGATTGCTGACGCCGTGACATTGTTACTTCGCTAAGGTATCGTATATCTGTATTAACCCATGTACAGCAGTTTCTAGCTATCCTCGCGCTCCTCTGTGCTCGACAGAAACACAACCACTGGCAGGACCGCTTACTCCTCATCGGGGTGCAACATGAGCTCGGGACGAACTTTCTCGTCGAACTCCTCCGGTGTTAGGAATCCTAAAGAGACGGTAGCCTCCTTCAACGTGGTGCCTTCTTTGTGCGCCTTCTTAGCGCACTTGGCGACGTCTGCGAACGAACTTCAGCATTGACTCCAAAAAAGGAAGGAGCGAGAACGCACTGTCATAGCCAAGTGTCTTGTTGAGGATCGTGGCCAGCATTAGCGACTCGTTCACTAATTGTCCAATGCGTTTCTCGTTCGCCTGAATACCCACGACGCAGTTCTTGGTGAACGAACGAGATGCTAGTAGGAATGTAAATCTCTCATTATACCAACCACTGGAAGGTCGCCTACCGTCGGATAATAATCGGATGCTTTGGAGAACGTTCTTTGCGATTACGGGTTTGAACACGTTCAACTACAGCCAGGTATAAATGGAAGCTCAGTAACCATACCCAGAAAAGCGCACCTCGAAGTGACCGTTGGAACCACCGACTGAGACAGCAACCTGGTTGCCCATTACTTGGGCAGCGACCATTGTCATTGCCTCACATTGAGTGGGGTTCACTTTTCCGGGCATGATACTGCTACCGGGCTCATTTTCAGGCAGAGCCAGCTCCCCGAGACCGCATCGAGGCCCAGATCCAAGGAACCGGATATCGTTGGCTATCTTCATCAATGAAACCGCGACAACATTCAAAGCACCATGTGCCTCTACAAGAGCGTCATGTGAAGCAAGTGCTTCGAACTAAGAACAGTGTTCAGTAGTGCAATTGAACAATGACCCAATGGAATCACCTTGTTTGGAGCGGTCTTGAATTCGATGCCAGTGATCTTCGAGATCTCGGCAGCGACCTTCACGTCAAAGCCCTTCTTGGTGTTCAGCCCCTACAATGGATATATAGTGAGTTTATTTCCTTGCCGTAGACATGGGTTCGTACCGTGCCGACAGCGGTGCCTCCTTGAGCAAGGAGGCTGAGGCGCGGAAGGACACCTTTCACCCGTTCAATTCCGTTCGACACTTGCTGCACATATCCGCTGAACTCCTGGCCAAGGGTCAGGGGAGTAGCATCCTAGATCAGAATAGAAATCAGATGTGTCATCTCACAGAAGCGGTTTGACTGACTGACCTGAAGATGTGTTCGGCCGATTTTGATGATTTTGTCAAATGCCTGAGCCTTCTCTGCCAGAGCATCACGCAATTCAGTAAGAGCTGGAATCAAGCTATTGGTGATCTCCACTACAGCAGCAACATGCATAGCGGTGGGGAATCTATGCAGAACGCCTATACAGTTCATGGATGCTCCCAATAGCGTAAATGACCATGAACTCACGTGTCGTTACTGCTTTGGCTCATGTTGACGTGGTCGTTGGGATGAACGGGCTTCTTAGAGCCAAGTTCTCCGCCGAGAATTTCGATCGCCCTGTTGGAGATAACCTGTGGACGAGATGGAGTCTTCGACGATACGAGGGGAACGTGGATAAACTTCATACCTCGTTAACATTCATGTTACTCTGTGTTCCACTTCCGGTCTGGAATACCACCAAGGGGAAGTGGTCAAGCAGCTTGCCGGAGATCACCTACGAGGGCGTTGAGTTCCTGCAAAGTCGCGGTTCGATCGTCACTTACTTCATCGGCTGCTTGCTGAATTGCCTGTCCGATCTTGGGGTCCATGCCATAGCTCACATTCACCACGGACGCGGCTTTCTTCAGCACACCAAACGCCTTGATCAGGGGAGGGGGGAGTCTTTCAGTTGGCCCACCAATGTCAAAGTTCTGGAGAGAGCTGGGACGGAGATATAAGGTGTCTGATAACGAGTCCCAGATACGCAACGCACCGCTGAGTCTGTGCACCCCAATACCGATCCGCCGGGACCTGCAATTCACCGAAGGTGTCGCGCTCTACGCGGTATGACTGGCTCGACTATGGACACTCGTCAAATCATGCACCGTCCACTGGAAGATAATTCTGACCATTCTGAAGGCGGAGGAAGAGAACAGTCGGGGGTACAGGGCCGACCGGGGATGGGCCAGATGCAGCTGCAGACCCAGGTATAGGAATCACATGACGTGCGTGTCATAAGATAGAACGACGAGACATACTCTGCGTGAAAGGCGGATACCAGCCATACCTTGAAGCGCGAAGAGTAGAAACCGCTGGATGGGCTGCTGCGTATAGGGTGTCTAGCACGGCGGAGAAGAGAGAGTACGGTGTACGGCGTCCTCCGACACTTTAAGCAACCCAAGCCCGACTTTCTCCGTCATCGTCTTAGAACCTGTTACCACGCTCTTCGACGCATCACTGACCGGAATATTCTGGGTCGTCGCTGCCAGCTAGACATGCAGGAAGATGCGAACAATGAAGCTGAAGAACCGGTCCACATATCATTATGCCTCTTCCTCAGGAGTTACCGCCAATGAAATGGTCACAACAAGCGGAAATCAAATGCATCTCGGACGTCCTCTTCGGATTCCGACTGCAATTGCGGTGAATTCCACGTGATTTCATATGTCATGATCACCTGTGCTATATCCTGGCGCGCTGCAAGCGCTCTCCTTGTCCTCCTCCTGTCACTCATTTCTCTACCTACAATGGCCAGCATATCGTCTCAGCTGATCCTACACCCTACGGTCTCCCAAAGTATCAAGCTCGGAAGTACTACTATCGGCCGAGACAAAGTAGGTCGCGTGCACGTATAACAGATTCGGATTGAGATGGGTCTGACTGCTTCACACAGTTGTACAGGGCCGTCCAATACTTCTCCAGGTTTCTGGCATGGTTTCTGCTAGCGAGAGGACACAAGGATCAGGCAGCGAGATGGAATGCCCTGAAATCCCATTTAGCGTTGGCACGCAAGCGTAAGTCACGAATCATAGTGCATTCTCGAGATGTGCTGAAGTAAAGGCGGGTTCCCCACAGTATTGCGCTTAGGCAAGCCCATGGAGCATCTTCAAGCGGCTCTCCGGGCGGTACAGGCCTACTCTGCGGCAGAGACCGGGGAGCAGATAACTACCATCGGCCGACAGCTGGCTTACTTCGGTTATCTCACGTACGACACCGTCGTTTGGGTATGTGGAGGCTTTACATCTCTCACGCGGAAGACGGTTATGACGCCCATGATGGCCCGTCTAACAGGCCAACGCAGTCAAATTCATCAATTTGAAGCCCGACACCGCTCAGAAGGTCAATAAGACCTCCAACCGCTTCTGGCTGGCAGGCATTCTCTTGAGCATCACCCACGGTCTTCTCAAGGTAAATTTCTTTCTAGGTGTACTATGTATCACTTCTCACTTGGTCGACTTGTTCCGCAGGCTGGCCGTCTAGCGAACGAAGCGAAGAAACTCCGATCGAGGTCGGGCGAAAAGGACGTCGGAGCAGAAGCGGACCGTGAGATGAGGCAGCGTACTCTCGACATGTAAGCGTTTCCCACTACTCATACACGTTCTATCGGCCTACTTACGATGTGTTCACAGGGCTCGGTCAGTAACGCGTCACCAGTTCATAATCGACATTCTCGATGTCTGGATACCCGCCGCGAACCTCGGCTTAGTCAATCTCAACGACGGCGTGCTTGGTATCTTTGGGTGAGTTCGGTGTTGGGAATATCCCGCTGCGTGATACTGAATCTTTGTCAGCTTCATCACTTCCGTCATGGCCCTCCGTCAGCAATGGCACATTGCTGGAAACAAGTGAACGCCCTCTTCTATATTTCCTGCTCCCGCTATTCCTTGCAGTTTTATATACATTTCGAATGTACCATCTCGGATAAGTTATAGGAGTCCTTGACCTCGCTAACTGGTCTTAATGGATAATGGCTTGTGCTTTACGATTACATCCACGTTGCCTGCTACCGATACTATGTGCATGGACCAGGCGGCAAGTGACAATGTCCACGATTGTGGCATTGACCTGGTACAGTATGCCGGCGGCATGAAGCAGCTGTGGCGATTGCAAGGTAAGTTCCTGCTTTCCGCTTCGCGTTCTCCGTCAAATCATTCGCGGCCATACCGCCAGGATCAAACACTCGAATTCTTGATGAACGCGCTGTCACATCGCGAGGAGGAAACTCTGATGAAGGCTGCCAAAGCCAGAGCTCTGAAAGAATGTGATCCCATCGTCCGAGGTCCGCTCTTCTCATGCACCACAACCTCTATTCACCTATCCAAACTCGCCTGATGTGATGGTATGACTATAGAGTTTGCTGACTGCGCAACTGGCCGTACTATCTCGGTAGCTTGGGCATGTAAGAGCAAGTATTCGGAGTTGCAGTCCTGTATGGGACAATTGTGAGTGCAGACATACGTCCCCCTGGGGTATCTGTATGTCCTCACTAACAGGGATATTTGCTGCTGGAATAGTACCAGTCAGGAAGGCATGGATGTCATCCGGAGAGAATATCTTCGACTCAGAAACCAGCAACACTCATGACACGACCCCAATTGTCCTGTAGGCCCGTGTCTAGCGATCCTTTTGAACAAATGACGAAGCAGTCGACTATCGATCTCTGTCTACCTTTCCCGTCGTCTGGCAAACTGCAGGACGACGTAGTTCAGTCTTTAGCGGGGCGAAAGCAATTCATCTCAGGCTACTGATGCTGTCGGGCCCATATCCCCCTTTCCATATCCCATGAGCTGTGCCCCCACGTCAAAATATGTCACTTCTGGCATAAACACGCTCATGAAGGATCCGTTGTTGAAAAGGGACGGGAGGTAGTGTAGATACATAATGACCGCAGATAGCACAGCACAGAATTAAAGACCTAGACAATACCCTAGGACAAATGTTATATATTGGCTAGCTTATGCTGCAGACGAGGCCTCTGTCGATAATGCATCCAGGGCCGAAACTTGCTGCACCTTCTTCTTGTTCCCCTTCCCTCGGAGCACGTTCTCGATGAAGTACTCTCCAGCCTGTCAATGGCAATGAGCATAGTGGTAAAAGGCACTCGAGGACCACGAACCTTATAGCTGCTTCGCACCAATGGGCCGCTGGCGACATACAAGAAGCCCAAGTCTTCAGCGACCTGCTTCCATCTGTCAAACTCGGCTGGTTCCACGTAGCGCTCGACCTTCATATGCCGCTTCGTGGGCCGCATGTACTGGCCGAAAGTAACTACGTCCACGTCAATCTTGCGCAACTCTGAGAGAGCTATCTGTGAGTCCTCGAGTCCCAAAAAACAAGGGAAGCACAAACCTCGCAGGGCATCCATGAGCTGGTCTTCAGTCTCACCCAGCCCGAGCATGATGCTCGTCTTCGTCACACGTACACCCTCTTTCTTCGCGTGCTCGAGAACCTGGAGAGTCCGGCGGAAGCTGGCCCGCCGATCGCGTACGAACGGCGTGAGTGCCTCGACAGTCTCTAAGTTATGCGCAAAAACGTCCAGCCCGGACTTTGCCACCAGTCCCACATGAGGCAGGGATCCGCCAAAGTCCCCGGTGAGTACTTCAACTAGGGTTTGAGGGGCCTTCTGCTTAATCTTGCGAACCGTCTCGGCGAGATGGTGGGCACCGCTATCCGCGAGATCTAGCAGGAGGTCAGGATAGTCCTTCTCGTCTCATGCACAGAATGCGCGCACCGTCTCGGTCGACCGTGGTGAGCACGATATAGCCCAACCCCCACCGGCTGATGGCTTCTGCAGTGTGCTCCGGCTCGTGAGGGTCCAAGGGTGGAGGTGTGCGTGAAGTCTTGACAGCGCAGAACCTACAGCCACGTGTGCATGTATCCCCCATTAACTGGCAGCGCACGGGCGTCAGCATCTACAGGACAAGTGACTCGGTGACGCAAGGTACTGACCATAATCGTGGCAGTCGCTGCTCTCTTGTTCTCCTCGTGGGTCGCACCCTTACTGCCGCCCCAGCAATCCCCAATATTCGGACATCGCGCTTCCTCGCAGACCGTGTGGAGGCCAAGACCGCGGAGGTCACTCTTTATCTTGTTATACGATGCGCCTGTCGGGATCTTGGTTTTCAGATGAGCAGGAAGTCTCGGCCTGTGCGGTATTAAAAACAAGCTTCCCCGGTTAGGCTAAAAGACCTACTGCTTGGTGTTGCCCAGCACGACTCGTTCCGGTGCATCTCCAGCAATGAAATCATCCAAGGACGGACCATCAGCTAACTGTTGACTGAACGTGGACGAAGAAGACGTCGCGAGCGAGCGCGAGCTTCGCCCGACATTCAGGAGCTTCCGCGAGGACTGCCGGAGTACACTCATGAAGGTCGAGCAGGGCAGGGCCGGGAGGGAGACGGCGGTGGAGGTGAGTCGGAAGGCCGCTGGGCTGAGAAAGACATCGGTGGCGCCGAGAACCGAAGTGGCTGTGCTTGCTTCCTAATCAAGCAGGCAACGATCGAAGCAGGCTTTGCGAACCTTTGCCACCCACTCGCCAGCCAGTACTTCGACTCTACGCTCGTCTTCTGAGACCTCTAGCATGCCCGTCAATATTAGGTCGCTTCCTACTCGTCCGCCTGTTGACGAATCCGTTGCAGGACCCCTACCCATGTCCGATGATTTCGCCGTAGCCCTTGGTGCATACCAGTAGCACAGACGCTTTCCCTCCACTCAAGCCTTCTAACCTCGGCTGCATTACAGGCCTCAAGGAAAGCTCTTTCGCCCATATACGGGAATTTCAGGCCAACATGACCGAGGAGGAACGCGTCCAGTACGTGTATGGAAGGCTGGTACGTCGGAACACGCAGTCGTCCTTATCCAGGTACCAAACTTGCAGCCTCCAGTTGGTCCGCCTCAGGATGGAACCGCAGGAACAACAAGATGTCATACTGAGCCGATTTACAGCAATCTGGCTGCTCAAGCTGCTGGAGCGATGGCGCGCGTCCGAAGACCCAGGGTCTGTCTATTCCTTGTTACTTCCTCACATCTCGGACAACGTGTACTTCCAAGTCTTCCTTGCGTCCCGTCATCCCGCCGCAAAAGATATGACCTTGCACTATGCTCAGCGCCTTGCGAAAGCAACCTGGTCGAGGGTAGAAGATAGTGACATGGTGTTCGACGCATGTCAGCATCTCTCGACCATGCTGGTATACGAGGACTCGGACACGGTCTTGCCCCGCGAGCTTACGGATGTCCTCATCGACAAGATAAGCGCATGGCAAATCGCATACGCTCATCTCCCGAACATGGCGCCCCTTCCCCGAGCTATTGGTCTGCTCAAACGTCAAGTCAGCTGGGTTCGTGAAGGGCGGAAGGTCAAGGAGCATATGGAGCGTGTACTGATGGCGTGCAACAAACCTGGCTGCACTGTCCCATACGTTCCGGGTACGGACACACTCCAGCAGTGTTCAGGATGCAAGACAGCTCGATATGTAAGTCTGTGTAACATCACCTGCGTAGCGTCGCATGACTGAGACTTCCTGCGAAGTGTTCTCCGGAGCATCAACGACAGCACGTACGTACAGTTCAATATGTTCGACCCTCACATTGACTAAAGCCTTACACAAGTGGAAAACGCACAAGCTGTTTTGTTTCCGACCAGCCTGGACGGAAGATTGAGATGACTGGTGTGGGCATGGTCTAATACGTTGTAACTATTGTACATAGTGCGATATCTGCTGAGCCCAATAGCCAGCTGGTCCAGAAATGTTACAATGAAACCATGAGTGGATTCCTCGATGTGTCAGACAGCGGTTGTCAGCAGAATCGTAAGGCGGACCTCTTCGGCAATGTCCGAGCGGAGTCTCGAGAGTGCTACTGCCTGAACCTTATTTTTCCTACCAATCCACACGAGCCAAAAGACACCCCCACCGACGTCCCGGGCCTCTACACACCTTCAGCAATGGTGAGTTCTCTCCTCTATGCATGCTTGCAGACTGGAGGCTGACAGTTATCGCAGGATTCATCAAAAGCCCCCGTCAAGCTCGCAAAAGTCATCAAGGTTTGCTTTGGCTGACCGTCATTCGAAGATATGCTCTCACCTCGACCCATTTCTCCTTGCTTTGCTTAGGTCCTCGGCCGGACAGGTTCTCGAGGTGGTGTCACCCAGGTCCGGGTAGAATTCATGGACGACACGAGCCGGACGATCATCCGTAACGTCAAGGGCCCGGTGCGGGAGGAGGATATCTTGGCTCTCCTGGAGAGTGAGCGTGAAGCCCGGTACGTCTCCCGCCTATCTTGGGAAGTCGTGATACTCACATACGTTCCGACTACAGCCGTCTGCGCTAGTCTGGTTATCTCGCTGTTCCCTACATCATTCCTGCTGTTGTCTCTGCATTTGTATCACTCAGGCTTGTTATATGATTCATGCTATGGTATGAAGTTCTCGCCCGCAGCGTATCTCGTGCGTCGCCAGCATGTATTCTCCGCTTCCGAGGAAGACAGATAGTGGCGCATCCTTGAGAGTTATGCCGCATACCGCTACATCGATTGTGCCAATCTGAGTTGAGCAGAAATAACTTATTCGCCACGTTCGCAACGGTGCGAGCTCTTCCGGGCTGTAGTCTCTGGATATGGGCATAACATTTGCTTGGAAAGTAACGTGCTTCGCGAGGTATCAGGGTTGTTCTCGCGAGGTGGATTACGATGTCTGTCTTGTTCTACCTTCTCTTTTGGCAAATCGTCAGCCATGCTACTTTCACGGCGTCTGCAACTGCCGAGATATGCGCACTTATATCGGAGGAGGCGGTCGGGCACAGGACTATTGGCCGCTAGCAAAACATCCCCTGCCGGTCTCATCGGGCCCAGTCAGCACGCCATCCCGCTGTCGCACGTCTGCTCATCGCAATGTTCCCCAGAGCCGCGTATGTCTCGCTCGTGACGAAAACCGAGTACCTGCCTGGCATTCTCGTGGTCGACCATTGCCTCAAGTCGGTTGGGTCGCGCTACCCGCTGGTGGTCATGGTCACCCCGACCCTCCCTGAGGAGGCCCGGAACGTCCTTGCCAGGCGGGGAATTGCTATGCGTGAGGTCGAACGGCTCAGTCCGAGGGCAGGCAGTCATAAGCTGGCCGCTCACGATGCCAGGTTCGACGATACGTGGACCAAGCTCCGGTGAGCAGGACGCCACGCGCATGACTGCGTATGTCTGACTGATGTCGGTACTCCAGAGCCTTCAGCCTGATCGAATACGAGGTATGGAGCCGACCGCGTACTCCGGGCAGACTCGTCTTACCTGGCCGCTGCAGCGCGTCGTCCTGATGGACTCGGACATGATCGTCCGGAGGAACATGGATGAACTCATGACGTTAGACCTGCCCAGGGGCTGGATCGCTGCTGCACACGCTTGCGCATGCAACCCCCGCAAGCTGAAGCACTACCCCTCGGATTGGTCAGTACCTCTTCGTCGACCTCTTAGCATCCTATAATGTCTGATATTGATATCCCGTTAAGGATACCTGAGAACTGCGCTTATACTCCCTTGAGCCATCCATCAGCTTTGACGAATCCAACGCCAATCACAGACTCTAGTCCTCGACCTTACCGCCTGCTTAATTCTGGTACAGTTGTTCTCTCGCCGTCCGAAGAAGTCATGAGGGATATTACCAATTTCCTGCACACTTCCCCCTTGGTCGCGACATTCTCTTTCCCTGACCAAGACTTGCTATCGGAATTCTTCAAAGGCCGGTGGAAGCCGCTTCCTTGGTGCTACAATGCACTGAAGACATTGAGAATTATCCACAAGCCCTTGTGGCGTGACGAAGAAATACGGTGTCTCCATTACATCCTCCACGACAAGCCATGGCATCGTCGGATAGGTGCCGAAGGTGCTGATGAACAGTACGAGGACATGCATAAATGGTGGTGGGATATGTTTGACGAGGTTGCGCGTGACATGCAGAAGTCAGACCCCGCAGGTTGGCAGCTCGTTTCTGCGCAGGTCGCACGGGCATAATGCCATTTAAGTAGTGCCATTCAAGTATGCGATCGTATAGTATGGGTTAACATTGCATACACGATACAGGATAATAATACATCTTAGATAATAATACGAAATTCTGTTCATCTTATGCTCGCCAGGCAACGTATACCTCGTCAGTCCGGAACCTAATGATTGATGAGCATGAAATAAGTATCTAAGGAAAGGCCCGGACTAACCGTTGTGTGCAAGTACTCTTTGAAATGGGCGTCGTAAGTCCCATCCTGAAACTCAAAAGGCCAGCCTGCGCGATCATGATACCATTGTCAATGCAGAACCTGAGCGTGTGTTGCTCAATACCAGTCTGCGCAAAGTACTGATCGTACCCACCGTTCATCCGTAGCGAACACCTTGCCCCCTCGCTCAGATGCCATTATGCCCATCATCTGCTGCAAGCGTTCATTGCCTTCCCAGCTGTTAGACGTAGCGAAACAACGGGTGAAAGTGAAGCGGACTTACTACCGACACCGCCTACAATTAGAACCTCCCTGCTACCGATGTGCGCCATGGCACGTTCAGTTATTTCTACAAGCATAGCAAAAACTGTTTCTTGCAACGAGAAGCAGAGGTCGGCGGGAGTGATGATATCTTCATCGAGAGTACTCTGAGCGTCCGGGCGGTATCGCTTGTCTTGTGTATACGCCTCTGCTGCAGTCAAGATCCCTGAGAGGCTCACGTCCATTCCTTTCGTAGTGTATGGCAGCGGTAGGAGGCGTTTCCCCCTGTCATTCTGTCAGCAGAGCCTGTATGGAGGAGTCCCCGTATCATACAGACTTCTTTGCTTCTTGTTCGATGTTATACCCAGGAAAGGGGTCATTGCTCAAGTTGATGACCCTTGCGAATCGGTCTAGACAGTTCCCCACCGCGATATCCAGTGTCTCTCCGAATATGCGATATCGCTGCTTAGAATACGCGATCACTTGCGAGTTGCCGCCGGAGACATAGAGGACGACGGGATTCTGTGCACCGGTGACGACCCGCCCCATTTCAATATCTGTGCATGAATATTAGAAGACATGGTCCTCGGAACAAGTCTGGCTGCTCACGGCCTACGCAGTGGTTTACCCCCACTAAAGGCTTGTCATATAGTAGGGAAAGCGTGCGGGCGACGAGAGCGACGGAGACTAGGGGAGCTCCCATCCCAGGACCTGCACCAGACCCCACTGTAAGCTGACACGGCGGGCGTACATTCTGAAATAGCTTTACCTTTGGTATAACATATGCAATCTATGTCATGCATAGAGATACCGGCCTGCTTGACCGCATCTTCGATCACTGTCAGTGCCCATTGTCGATGGTGCTGGGCTGTCTCCCTCGGAAGGAACCCCTCCCCCGGGGGTGTCATATGTGTATGGCGTATATTGGATAGCACAACAGACGAGCCGTCCGCATCGTGTTTTATTACACCAGCACCCAGTTTATTGGCAGATCCTTCAAGACCCAATGCATAGTACGCCCGATCTAATCACAAGATGAGCTGAATTATACACCTAAGTCATGCAATCCTACCGGGCTTCTTCAGCGGCGAGACTTTACGAAGTCGTCCAGGCATGTTGGAAGAACGAATCTGCTAAGCTCTGCGTGAAAGGTGAGAGTGCAAGTCACTGAGGCAAGTGCCATTGACATGACTCGCGTCGAAGTGCGGATGTTGCGGATGCCAGTGATCGACAGCAGTCGGCATATCTTTTAGAATTATCTGACATGCAATTGACATGGACGAACTCTAAATCTACGATGGAGTGGTGCACAAACGCATTGTCCATCTCATTCGCAGCGATATGTATCTGGCCTCCGAATGTATCCTCCTCAACTAAATACCACGAAGCTGCGCATAAATGCAAAAGATATACGGCGAATTACGTCTATGACCATACATATAACCTAACAAAAACTTTTCAAAACATGGTCAAAACCCGCTCAAAGCATGAACGTGAGCGGGTTCTCGAGGTAACCCTTAAAGGCGGACAACCAGCGCGCGCCCACAGCCCCATCCACCGTCCGGTGATCCGAGCTCAATGTCACCTTCATGATGTTGACAGTCTTGAAACCGCGCTCCTCCTCAGGTGCGGGCACCAGAGTCGGGGAAGTCGAGCCAATCGCAAGGATGCACGACTGGGGAGGGTTGATGATAGCCGTGAAATGGCTGATGTCGTACATTCCCAAGTTGGATACCGTGAAGGTGCCGCCCTGCAAGGAGACTGGTCAGTATAACCCACGCGTGATGGAATACGTCCTGCTGTACCTGATACTCTTGAGGTTGCAACTTGCCATCACGGGCCTTCTTCGCCAAAGACTTCGCCTCCGACGAGATAGTAGCCAGACCTTTCGAACCGACGTCCTTGATTATAGGCGTGATCAATCCAGTTGGCGTAGCTACGGCCACGGAAATGTCAGCCTTCTTGTACCTGCAACCACTTGTGAGCGTCATATTGCACTGCAATGTAAGTCTTCTTACTGTCGGATGACCTCTCCCAACCAGGCCGAGTTAGCCTCCGGGACATCGGACAATGCACAAGCCACGGCCTTGAGGATGAAGTCGTTGACGCTCAACTTCGCGGCCTTGTCCTTCTCAGACAAAGTCTTGTTAAATACTTCCCGTAACTTCAAGACCTTGTCCATGTTGATGTCGACCGTGAGGTAGTAGTGAGGGAGTTCTTGCTTCGACTGGGTCAGACGGGTCCCTATAGTACGACGCATGCTGCTGATGGGAACGTCCGTGTACTCCGGCAGAGCAGCGGAAGGTTGAGGAGTTGCAGTAGTGGCAGCTGCACCTGCGCTCGGCTGGTATTTCTCAACATCCTCGCGGAGAATCCTGCCGTTAGGACCAGAACCCTTGACCTTGGATAAGGGAACCCCACGTTCGAGAGCAATCTTCTTCGCGATTGGGGACGCGAATATCCGGTCACCGGCAGGAAGTTCGGACTTGGTCTCAGCGGGAGGGGATTCCTTCGGTGGTGCCGGATTCGACTCCTCCTGCTTCGGCGGCGGAGGGGGGGCGGCCTCTTCCTTCTTGGGCTGTGAAGAAGGAGCTGAAGCGGCCTCTGCAGCCAGCGCCTCCGCACCAGACAAGTCATCGCCTTCTTCAGCAACAATTGCGATCGGGGTACCGACGGCGATGTTTTTGGCCCCATCCTGGGCCTATAAATGAACTGTGTCAGGACTGCTACTGAGCAAGAAGAGGTGACACTAACGATGATTTTGGCGACGATACCATCGTCCTGCGCCTCGACATCAATTGTGGCTTTATCGGTTTCCTGTGCCAGACGCGGGTTAAGTAGACGCGACGGGCGGAATATACTTTAGGCGCACAATCTCGAGAAGGACGTCGCCTGCCGCAAAAGACTCTCCCTCCTTCTTTTTCCAAGACGCAATGCCGCCCTCAGTCATCGTCGGACTCATAGCAGGCATTGCGAACTTGGAGAGCGCATTCCTCCGAGCGGAGACGTGTATACCTAAGTCGAACAGGTCAGTGCCGAGGCTTGACGCCGCCGCCAACGATACGTACGCCGCGACAGAATACGAGCCAGAGAGGACGACATGTTGACCGAGAGAGCAGCGAGCGTGTGTGCAGCCAGCAAGCCAACTTTTACTTGGGAAGGAGTGACACGACTATGTCCGAGATGACAAACAGCGGCAAATTCCCGCCCACGTCTCTCCGAGGTATCGTTACGGCCGTCCCGCGTCCGACCCGCGTCCCCACCCTCAACACCGTGTACGTTCGGAATGGCAGCCGACCTCGTTCTCCCAGGACAGCCCATCCAGCTGCCCAGGGGTCCCGCCCCGCAGCTGGGCACCGGTGTCTACAGCAGGGACGGCCAAGTCAGAGCCAGTCTCCTCGGTGTCCCCCGCCAGGAAGGATCTGTCGGTCTTTCTCTTCTATGTTCGCTTACATCGGCTTGAAATGATATGGGACTTGTTTGGGCTCTCTATGTTATTTAGACTCTGACTATATCGCGAATAACGCCGCGAGCCCCAGTGCCTAACTCGATAGTGCTTGGTTCTGTCACTCGGCTCACACCCGTACAAGCTATGGTCGCGATTACAGTCGTCGACGGGGTTCCTTTGCCCCTCGGTGAAGAGTTTACTGGCGTCATTCGTGCGCAAGACGTTCGGTCCACAGAGAAGGACAAGGTCAAGATAGGTGATTGCTTCAGAGGCGGGGATGTCGTCAAAGGCCTGGTGGTACGTGTCTTGCAGCTGCTGTGACGGTTTGACCGACGTTATTGCAGATATCTCTCGGTGATGCTAGGAGTTATTATATCACCACTGCCCGTAACGATCTTGGAGTGATATTTGCAACGAGCGAAGCGGGTGAGTCGTCCAATTCTGTGAGAGCGAACTACATTTCACACCTATCTCCCAGGTGCTACCATGGAGCCCGTATCATGGCAAGAAATGCGCTGCCCAATGACTGGGAGACTCGAGAAACGAAAATGCGCTAAACCTGAGGGACTGTAGCTGCCCCACCCCTTAGCAATACACGTAGGATAGTCGAATAGAGAATACTATACTGTAATAAGATGACAATGAGGCAGAGCTCGTTTCCATTGTGCCCCGTCAGGACAGGCGCATATAACGAGCAAGGTGAGAACGCGCGGGCCAAACAGCTGCGCCACCGTCGCGTGTCGGCCTACATTCGTCGAATCACACGGAAGCAGCATCTCCTTCAAGTTCAACATCCCCGGCCGTGGGGGTGGTCTCTCTCGCAACCAGGCTCTGGTTTGGGTGTCGTATACCCTCTGGTTTGACACTGGATTATGACCGCTGTTCTCTCTGCGACTGATCCTCTCAGGCGGGATAGGATCATGGGGCACGATGATAATCAGATCAAGTATGCGTAGCGTTGCATGTTCGGGAGTTACAGACATTGAAACCTCATGCGTTGCAGTTTCTCTACCGTACCGACGGACTGGAGGGCGAAGTACAACGAGGTGGCCGATATGCTGGCAGAAACTCGCGCCGAACTCGAAGACTTCCAGAACTCCAGCAAGGAACTGGAAGAGGAGTTGGAAAGAGAATTGGAGAGAACAGAGAAGGCCCAGCAGGAGCTGAAGGTGAAGGCCGCCAGAGCCGAGTCCGAGAGAGACGAATGGAAGGTTAGCTCATGCCAGCCACTCCGCGGAACATCTGTGCTGACTGTTTCTCCAGAATAAGTTTATGTCCCTTCAAACTACCCATAATACAACCACCACTTCTCTGCAGCGCGAGCTGGACACGCTGAGACAGGAGCATCAGCACGTTAAAGTGCAATTGCGGGAGCTAGAGATGGGTAATGATGATCTGGAGCGGAATGAGAGGGCCATCTCTTCTAGCCTGGCTGACATCGAGTCGAAATATTCCCGAGTATTGGAGGAGAAGATTCTTTTAGAACATGAGCTGCTGGACAAGGCTCACTTGGAAGAGGAGTGTCAGCGTCTAAGAGACGAGCTGAGAGGTGGGCTCTCATTATCCCCGGCCGCAGGAACATACTGACACGTTTCTCAGATGCTAATGAAGAAATATCCGTCATAAAGGACCAGCTGGCTGCGGTACAAGCACGACAGGTAGTGACAGAGCTGTCTACCCCGCCATCGTCTGCGCCAGCTTCAGATGAGAATCTTCTTAGCACAGCGCCTCCGGCTGATCTACAGCTTTCCGATCTCTCGCCCCCATGTCTAGAGCCTTCAGCAGCACCGCCAGTTGCACCACCTTCTCCGCCAGCTGAACCGGATACGCCTAAGCAGACGGCGCAGCGGTCGCCGTTCAACCCAACTCGTTCCATCAGGCCCCCTGGCTCAAGCTCATCTCCTTTCGCGCGCTCAACCACCTTGCCAACATTATATACTCGTGGTACTCCTAAGACTCCGACGTCCAGACCAGGACTGGCCACCCGTACTTCATCAACGAGCACAACAAGTATTACTACCACTACCGGAACTGCCTCTAGGAGTAAAGGTGTCCAAATGGTGTCGGAGATGCGTGCACGGGTGAAGAATTTGGAACAGAAGATCCATACCCGCGTGCCTCGCTTGCGGATGGGCAGCGTGACAGGCAAAAATCCTGTGGCAGAATCGACGTCTAGCCCTATAGCAAGCACGTCGTCGCCTGTCCCATCCACTAGTTCTTCGACCCTGCGATCAGAGACTTCAAGAAGGAGTGCTGAGAGCTACGACAGCCAGAAGAGCGAAACGAAGCGAGTGGTATCCCCAGCAGACTCTACAGGCTGGGTCCTCATTATGGAGGATTCGCCTACTCCCGTGAAGGAGAAGGATAAGGAGCGCCGAAGATCATCAAGCCCCCTCCGACCCTTAGCACCCAGTGCTTTCCGTTCTCCGAAGTCGAGCCTAGATGAGACTGAGTCGTTCACGAATACAAGCAGAAGGAGCCAGTATGCCCTGTCGAAGAGTACTACCGGAATAAGGCGCCCGCAGTCCCGGCTATCGGACGGGAGAACGAGTGCCAGTACGGCTACTACTGCCAGCTCCATCCATACTCCCCTGTCCTCCCGACCTTGCACGCCGACGTTCCTGCCCCTGCCTACAAGCAGCATTCATTCAACTTCGAATTTGAAGAAATCCGTAGGGCCTGGGGCAAAACCACCTTCACAGCCTAAACGTTCATCATTGGGTCACAGCCCGGTCAAGGGTGGCTTCAGTTTCCGCGAGAGACCATACACCATGCCAGCGCCGCCCAGACCGGAGAGTGAGGCGTCTTCGTCCTCTGCCAGAACGTCGAGCGATAATCATGGGCATGGAAGCCCCAACACCGAGAAAGAATTACCACGATTCCCCCAAAGCCAGTCAAACGTGACTCTGCGGCCACCATCCAAGTTTGCAATGAGTTCCTCGTTGCTGTCGCAGAGCAGAATCGGACGGCCTTCCGGGGGTAGGAGAAGTGGCGGGGGTGATCTTTCCGATGACCCGTCTTCTGGTGACAGAACTCGAGGTAGATCTGGTAGCACTGTGTATGGTCGCAGTGCTGCTTGATTTTGATCGACGGTTCAGCCGTATTCTCTCACCTGATCGCGTCATGTTGCATGCTTTCGCGTCTGCTGTATTGTCTTCTCTTCATTGACTTATGGGAATTCTTATTATTTCACCCTCATACGGCAAGGGTTGTTCTTATATTCCACCACTGTGCTTTTAATCATTTACCCCCCTTCACAACGCAAAACCCAAAACCCACATTCCTTCCCCTACCGGTGCAATACGTATAATCCGTACATTCCTCCCGCCATTCCTTATGCCCTATAAACCATGACGATATGATGATATACCTAGTAGTTAGGAGATGACGGTGATGAAGAGATAGTAGTGCCAGTTGTGTCTTGTATATGAGAGCTGCTTGGCAATGGTAGTACTTAATGCGCTCATGAGTAACCCGCGTCATGCATTGTGGCGGTGGCCTCGACTTGCCACAAACCTACCACCATGTCTCCGCCTACCTCCCCTCTTCCTCGGTCGCTCAATCGTCAAGCGGTCCTTGACGAGGACGAATACACTGCTGCATTGTCTCACATCATAGCTCGTGACTTCTTCCCTTCCCTTGTACACCTTGACGCGACCAATGACTACTTGGATGCTCTGCGCTCCGAGGACCCGCAACTTATTCATGCAAGCGTCCGCCGCCTCGAACAACTTTCTACTCCCGCGACACGAAGCGGGCGGACCTGGCAAACTCCGTCGCAGACGCCGTATGGTCTCGGTCCGTCCGAGACACCTCTGCGCACCCCTCGGAGTGAAGCACCTGCCAAACGAGCTCGGTATGATACAGATATGAACCTAGATGCCTTCCAGGCTAGGTACACCTCCGAAGACAACTCAAGCTTTACGGAGATATTAGACGACGAGAATCGGAAGAGGAGAGAGAAGTGGAGCTGGGCATGGGAGGCACAGAAGAAGGTCGAAGCGCAGAAGGAGAGGCTTCTTGAGGACAGGAAGAGGAGTCTCATTGAGGCCGCTCCGGGGCCAGGAGTTAGGGAGAAGTTTCTCATCGAGAACCCAACGCCGGCAGGATTAATCACCGATGGACGCACGCCCGACGAAGAGAATAAGAAGTCGGATCCCTCTGACTCAAGTAAAGGGAAGGAGGTGGCTCTGCACGACCAGGGGCACGATGAGACTGACGTTATGGCACCGAAGAAGGACAAGCGTCCTGCTGGAGTGGATGGCTGGCATTTCAAGGTAAGTGCATGTCGCAATGTCTTGACGTACCCGCACACTTATCCTTCGACAGGCGAGGAACGCGCTAATGTTTCCTCCAGACGCCGATGTCACTCCTTACGATGCAGCGGGCTCGTCATCCAAACAGGATAGTGAACCCGTGGTACCTAAGGTCATCAAGTACAACAGTACTCGACTCCCTGAACAGGAGGCAAGCCACCGGGAAAGCCAGTCTGAACCTCCAAGCCCGACGCGCAGTAGGATTGACGCGGCCATAGCTGGCACACCCTGTACGTTCGTTACGGTTGCGTAGGTGTCCATGCACTCACATATATCAGATCGTCCGAAGTCTCCTACTATCAACAACTTCTCCCTCGTCCCTGCAGTTCCATCTCCCACACCATCACAGCTTGGACCCGCAGCTGTTAAGCAGCTTATGACGTGGGGTACTATAACAGCCACGCCGAGAGTACTGGACCCTGAGGACGACGCTGCCACTATGCCACCACCGAAAACACCATTTCATATCCCTGCCCCCACCAGTCGTGAAGCACTCTCTCATAAACTTTCCGCGAATGCTGCAAAGAGTCTGAAGGCTAAAGCAGGCTTGCTTAGCGGCTCGGGATCACGCGCGTCCGCTGTGACCCGGACCCCCGGCCCAATTACACCTGGGATCAGAGGAAGGAAGGGCTCTATGCCTCCACCGTCTTGGACACCTCGGAAGATCGACGCAACGGATAACCTCACACCAGCAGCTCGACGGCTGCTGGACAAGACTACCATGGGTACCGCTGCTGTGAGAAGAGCAGAAGCTATGGGTCGGACAGCGGGGTGGGAGGGGAATGGGAAGCGGGAGACTGATCTAAATAGAGTGCGATGGACACCTACGCCTAGTCCAGTGACTAGGAGATGATCGTGGTATTCACATATACGACATAATAGGCTGGTGCATATTACAGGGAATACGTGATCGTCCTACAGGCCATGCGTGAAAGTGAAGGAAACATAGCATCCACACATGCCGATGTCAGTCAGGACTCTGTAACTTTCTGTTTTTTCGACGCTGGTTGGGATTCAGATTCGTTGGCTTGATCGGTATTGGGTCTCTTTGCAGTCTCAGTCGACGCGGCAGAAGACGCCACTTTCTTCTGCTTCTTCTTGACCAGCACCCCTTTCAGAGAGTTCTTCGCGCTCTTCCCAGTAGAAGCCGTGTTGGCCGGCTTGGCCGGTTTGCTACCGGTGGTTACACCTGAGGACGGCTTTGCGCCATTCCCTGAACTCTGAGGTGTCCCAGTTGTATCGGTCAGCACAGGGGACGACTTGTTAGCCAAGGCTTCGCGAGCAGCTACGGCCCTAATAGGTATTACCATTTGGTCAGAATTGTGAGACTGTCGGCAGGAGTTTCACTCACTGTCTGAAGGATCTCAATTCTTCGTTGTCCTGTTCCTGGCGAGCGCGTTCCTCTTCTTCCTGCCTCTCTCGCACGGTATCTAAAAACAGTACTTCGTCTTCCTCGAGGGCCCGGAATTGATTTGCTGCAAAGAGGTAAAGCCATTGGGTTCAATCAGCGACCCGGGTGGCAGGAGATTACGAACCTAAACGATTCCGCTCTTCCCATTCTTCCTGCTTTGCTGCCTATACATCGTTAGTCGAGGAAAAGGTACGTGGGCAAGCGACATACTTTGTTTGCAGCAAGTTTCTACCGGTCGTAAGTCGCGCCTAAAGTGGTCAGTCCACGCAGGGATATGAGTAGTCCGCGGCTCACCTCTGCTAAGCTTCTCCCGTCGTACGAGTCTTCAGTAGGCTGTGGTGGGGGCTCTTGACCCAATCTTATTCACGACGACATTCAGCAATGAAGACCAGCAGCAGTGGAACTCTTCGACTTGCGTACCGTGCATACGCAGCTTTCCACTGTTCCTCCCTCCTCTTCCGGGTTGTCTCGATTTCATCTTGAGATACGAAGCGAGACCCGACCGTGCCAGATGAGAGCGACGGGATCGATTCTTCCATGGCTGCAAGTCGGTGTTAGAGAGCTTGGTGTATGCGTACCAATTATGCGGGACGACACCAAAGCCATGAACCGCTCGGTTCAGCGCCGAGGTTAGGGTCTCGGCACGGGTCATCGGGCGGACATAATCGGATGTTGGCCCGCATGTCCTGCGAGCCGCTGGCTTCGTTCACGGCGCAGTCTTCTGCTGGCGCTCGTGTCTGTCGATGACAACGCCGGTGGATGGACGGCAGTCCACTGCTACGGCCTCAGTCTCGAGCCTTGCCAAGTCCCAGAGCGTCAGAAGTCATAGAGGTCTCACCCCGTCATCTACTATCAAGACTGTCGTGACAGTGCCCCGTACGTACTCAATTTGCGAGGTGTTCTCGAGGCGCTTCACGTATTTACTATTATTCTACAGCATGGGCTAGAGACGAACCGCCGTCTCCGCACGAAGAGATATCTCTTTCTGTACCCGGCAGTGGTGCTCAAGGCTGGACATCCGAATCACGACCGTCAGATCTCGCGTCCTCTCATTCCTCCTCTGCCGACCCCTCAATCGCCGGACCATCTCGCTGGTGGTCTTTTGCCCGCGCTCGTGTCCATGACCATGACAGAGTACAAGAGGAGGCCGAAACCTACTCTCCTAAGACAGAGAAGAGGGGCCTCAAGTTGAAAGACCGCTCAATGTCATGGTTGTCGCCTGGTAGCAGGCGATCCCAGGATGGCAACTCTCGTTCACCTCGGGAAAAGGACTTTGCGACTCCTAAAGCACCGTCGCCCAAGCCAGAGCTTCAGATTTCACTACCCCCTCCTACCGCTCCTTTTACCCTTGCGCAGAATCAGACACCCGGTTGGAATACTCCCTGGATGACCCCGCAAATACCGGATGGGTCGCTCGGTCCGAGTTTTTACCGGACTGGAAATGGGCATGGACAGGACTACAGCGACGACCACGATGGTACTCAAGTAAATGGTTCAGCGTGGCAGCGACGCAAGAGAAAAATACGAAAATTCCTACTTACCAATGCATATGCTCCTCTGGTAGGTCCAATTGTCAAATAGTACTTTAGGTTTGACGCACAAGCCGTTTAGCTTTTCCGGTTCATCAATATCACGTTCACTACTGCCGCACTTGCCGTAGCGATACGCATCCGTATACTAGAAAAACGCAATAATATCATGGGCGCCGTAGGCGCATCTCCGTGCGTCTACATTGTTGTGTACATGGGATCACCGTTGAGTTCGGATTTAGAACGCTCGTGGTGATCTTCGCACCACTGACTCTAGTGCATGTTCTCGTCGCCATCTACGTAAGTCGTATTAAAACCCCTACGGTCAGCATTTGCTAAGAGTCCTGTAGGCGGAATATTTCAGTCGCCCATTAGGTCTCTGGCACACTTCATCGAAGCTAGCGCACACGCTTCTGGAAGTCGTCTTCATCTGTGCATGGTCCGCGGCACTTGCCCTTTGTTTCGATAATTTCTTCACCTCCATCATTCCTTGCGCGTCGTGGGGGAGTGTATCATGGTACAACACCATTCCCCGACCTCAGAGTCCTGTGCCCGATCTAGGCAGAAATGAAGGGGGTGTTGGTGACAGAATCTGCGATGGCCAGCTTGCCCTTATCTGCTTGGTCGGCGTTGGTCTCATAATGTACTGCATTAACCTTGTTATCAGCCTTTACAGGATCTTCGAGAAAGTGAAGTACCGCCCTGTTCGTTAGACCTTCCCTCCCTCACGCTCTTTCCGTGCTTTCTGACAAGATATTCACGCACGCTTTCTTGCAATATTTATCGTCTTAGTTTCGTTTCTCACTTGCTTGGAGTTGCTGCATCTGGAGATAGCTTCAAGCCTTCACATACACCATTGTATTACCATTGGATATCCGAGCAATATGCATACGTATCTTTTAATTAACTACGGATGACTCCGTCTGTTATCGCCGTATCGGAGTACCGCGCGTGTCAAGGATGCTAGTGCTTGATAACGCCATTGACACGGATACGGTCGACGTCGTGGGTTCTGATTCTCAGTGTCAGGCTGCCTAAGGGCGATGAAGGGAGGCAACTTCCACAAGGCCACGACTTATGGAGGAACCATTGCCGGCCCAGGGGTTTGCTGGAACCAGTGAGCCGAATGGCAAGAGTGCCTCGACCTTGGCCAAGAAAGACTACGCCATCGGTATCTGCCTGTTGTTAGTGGTGGTGTGCCTGTGGACATCGTCGAACTTCGTTACGCAGGTAAGCCTTTGCCCCGTCCTCAGACCGTTGAAAGTGACTTATATGCCATAGGATCTCTATGTCGACGGATACGAGAAGCCCTTCTTGTGGGTGTAGGCACACAATACGAGCTGATTCAGCTGTATGACCTCTGTGTAGAGTGACCTACCTCAACACGAGTGCATTTACTCTCTATCTGATTCCGTTCTCCGTGCGGCTGCTCCTCAACAGGCGTAGACGGCGGAAAGGCTTGCTGGAGCACAGGTGCCTACCTCTGCTACGCGTTGCTGGTGTAATGTCATTCACCGCGACAATAGTGCTCAGTATGTTGCAATCCCGACCGATGAGGATCATCTGGAGGTGCTGGATGTGGAGGTAAGCGAGTCCTTACACTGAACTTGTGAGGTACTGGTGCAATAACTGCTCAAGGACCGCGTCATCCCCTTAGAAATCGCGGCACCCAAGGGGTCAGCGCCCCTAACGACTTATGAGACAGCTCAGCTTGCATTCGCCTTTTGTTTCATCTGGTTTCTGGCGAACTGGACGGTCAATGCATCGTTGAATCTAACCAGCGTAGCGAGCGCTACTATTTTGTCGAGCACGAGTGGTAAGTTCCTTATTCGTTTGGTAATCCTCGCGGCGTTTGACATGGGACGCTAGGGTTCTTCACATTAGCCATTGGGCGTGTCTGTCGGGTGGAAACCCTTACTGTGTGGAAATTAGTTGCCGTTTTGACGAGGTAGGATCCTGGGTTTATCTGCAGCCTTACCTGGTATTGAAAGGGAAGTCTAGTTTCATCGGAGTCGTCCTTGTAGCCGTGTCCGACTCTGCTCAAACCTCCGCACCTGGATCGGAGCGCATGGACACTACTTTCATCAGCACCGTAGTGAACGTATCCAAACCTATTTTTGGAGATGCTCTCGCCCTTCTGTCCGCCATCTTCTACGCGCTCTATGTGATATTACTGAAGGTTCGGATTGGATCCGAGTCTCGGATAGATATGCAACAATTCTTCGGTTTTGTCGGGCTGTTTAACATTATCTCCTGCTGGCCTTTGGGTGTCATTCTGAACATTACGGGCATAGAGCCATTCGAGCTGCCGAGCACCCAAAAGGCTGTCGCTGCGCTGCTGACCAATGCAAGTCCCCCGTTTACACTCTTTTGTTAATTCTCTCATGCGTATGCTTTCAGATGGCGATAACATGGTCAAGCGATTACATCTATGTCCTGGCTATGCTGAAGACTACGCCACTCGTGGTGACAGTCGGGCTCAGTCTCACAATCCCGCTCGCAGTGATAGGAGATTTCTTCCTGAACAAACCCACCAAGGGACAAGTCATTATTGGTGCATTACTCGTGATTGTTAGCTTCGTAATGATCGGCTTCGTCGACGAGGCAGAGTCACATCCGGGCGAGGTGGTAACTCCAGATGAAAGCTTACTATTGAGGCCCGAATCTAGCGTTGGATCATAGGGCTTCATTGACAGGAGACCTCTTCGTCTACACTTGTATTATGGTACTCTATTCTTGGGATATTGTTGCTTTATCATGTACTATTCACACATCAATAGACCATTAAACTTCCATAATTGTTGCAGCAGGAATCAGTTGTACTCCGGACGTGCCAGTCGATAATTGACGTGGGAACCCTTTCCGATCAGCACCTCATCCTCCATCCTCATAACCGCTTTCCCGCTGAAAGTGCCAAGGTCGACGATCAGACTCGGTCTGAACTGTTGCTGGCTATATCTTTTACACAATCTAGTATTCGAAGGCGTGTGAAACCAAAGCGAGTCTCCGTATTCAAGCTCAAGGGATAGCGGTCAGGAAAATGGTACGAAAGTTCTTAGGATTCCGTCGGGAGTCGGGCAGCTTACCGCCATGTGAGGGACTAGCCTAAAGAGCGTCGACGACTTGTCAACGCTCACGAACCATCTGCTAAACTCTCGGCACGCAAGTTCGCAGTACAAGACAACGCCGTCCAACATGTCGACATCGGGGAACACGCAGAAATGTCGGTCTGTACTCTGTTTACGAGGCATATTTATGTGAAGCTTATAGATGTATACCTCGTTCAGGCAAACGATATCATACATGCCACGAAACCTGAAGATAGGCAGCCCAGTCTGACTAAAAAGGCGAAACTCCAGCTGAAGAAAGAACTCTTTCTACAGCGTAAGTTGTTTCTTTATAAGCCACAATGAGATGCCGATACAACGAAATACTATCCCTCAGGCTTAGAAAGTGGCAATGGGCCTTACTCCAAATCGCATGCCAGACGACTGAAGCGCAAATCTCGCGAAAAGATCGCAGGAGGCCTCGATGATCTGCGCACCGCTATAACCTCAGTAGAGGAAGCAATCCCCGTCGCGGTGCAAAATTCCGTGCAAGAGATATCGGAGGACATATCTGCTTCTAATCCGCCCAGCCGAGTTAAGCCTAAACCCGGACAGATCGGGGAGGGTAAAGCGGCACCGCTCAGCAAGACCCAGCGGAAACGAGCACTGTGCGTTAGATGTCTTTTTGTCGCGTATCACAGAGAACTCATGCTGCCAATGATTTGCAGTCAAGTCGAACAGATTCGACATCCCCTGATATTGTCGAATCCAGATTACGTTTCGAACCCTTTCGAGACCATACGCAAGCACGCTCAGAATACGCTTGTGAAACGCCAAGACTCTGTCTGACGTTCTGCCAAAGTTCAAGTACTTACCGAGGATGGACTACTCGCCGGCAGGGCATAATCTGACCAACACTGCTCTACTCCCGCTTTACCAACTTCAAGCGTATAGGTACCTCTCTGTCGTGGCCCCTTCTCTGCTACAGGCAATGACGGCAATAATAACTGGCCGGCTTCCGTATCGAGTTCACTTCAGAAGTCAGCTGTGTGTGGTGGGTGTGCGCCTCCACCACATAAAATTACAGCGAAGTACCATATTTACCTAGGGTATACACACGTAACAAGACAAGTGGAAAGTGTCATAAAATCCTCATTGCCAAAAAGCGAGAATTGTCATCCATGAGCGTGAAACTGATGCAAATTGTCGTGAATGTCGGAGCTGTCATGTCCTTCCTTCCATAATGATAACATCCAGGTATGGTCGTGGTATCTCTTCGTGCTTATTCGTCGCCGTCTTCCCCGTTCTTGCTCATTCCGGCACTCCAGACAGTGCTCCCACTATCGCCATGGCTTCTGCGGCTTCTTCTGGTCCGAGTGATCTCGGTGTAACCTCCCGAAGCGCCTTTCGCAATTTCCGCACTGAGCGCACGCTCGTGGGCATCCAACGCGGCCAGCTTATTCTCCGCCTCAGCTTGTTCCAGAGCCTCTTGAGTCAATGGTGGTTGACCGAGTTGGACGCTGGAAGAGTTGAGGGAGGATGTATCAGAGGTGGTCGCAGAGCGTGAGCGGAAGAACGAAAATCGGGAAGCGCTGCTGGAACTATTATGCGAGGGGGTCGGAGAAGTGACTCCAGGCTGCGGGGCCGGAGCAGAAATGCTCTTTTGTATGAGGGGTGGGGGTGTCACTGAGGGCTTCTCGATGCCCATGAGCTTCATCGTCGCGATCATTCTCTCCCTTTCGCGTCTATCTTCCTCGTCTTCCTGGGTATCCAGCTTCCTGGCGCCGGTGACTGCACTCGACCCCGGTTTAAGGGTCAGAGGACGAAGCGTGGGTACATCTTGTTTCTTATCACTTCCAAACATCGAGAAGCTGCGCCAGTCGAAAGAAAGGGAACGCCTATTTCTTGTGACGGGCCTGTTAAGTGGTTGATTCGGAGGATTGGTCGCGGTAGGCGTGGGTGATGTAGGAGAAGTCGATTTGTCCGCCGTGGAAGAGGTACCGAAACCGAATATAGCAGATTGCGGACGCGGCTTAGATGGCGGCGGGGGGCTATTGAAGGTAGTAAAGCCGGGCGACTTGGGATTTGGGGTAGGAGGTAGCTTTTCATAATCAACAGCCAGGACGTGCTCGAAACCTTCTTGCGCGATAATCCTGTCGATGATCTTGGAAGCGTACAGCGACAAGGCTTTGTTGGCGTCCTTCAAGGACTTGACTTCGTTGCGCAGCGTGTCCAAGTCGGTTGGTATCGTTTCCGCCGCATCGCCCGATGTCGAGGCCTTGCGGGAAGCCTCGGTGCTGCTTTTCTTCGACCGCTTGCTCGGCTTACCGTTGACAACGGAGCGGTCCCGGTCGTCGATCGCGTTTCCTTCGAGGATGTCTTTGTTCTCCGCACGTCCGAGCTCGGCGGCGAGATCGAGACCAGGCCCAGTAATGGGAAGATCCGCAAGTGATTCGCCGCGCGGACCGGGCGAGTGGGATTTCGAAGACGTCGAAGCGCCTCTGCGGTGGCCGCGCTTCCTCGCGCTTTGGGCCGCAGCTTCGGATTCATCGGGCACAAGACTCCTTTCGAGTTCAGCTTCCAGAGTTTCCTCCTCCGCGATTTCCTCGACTTTGTCAAGACGGCTTCGGGCAGAGCTACGCAGACTGCCTTGGTCGACCTCGCTGCTGTCCGGCAGTTCGTCGTCTTCGTCGTCACTCGAAGTACTGGCGGATGCCGCGGCTACTTGCTTCAACAGATCGAATTGCCCGTTCAGAGTCTTTTCCGTCAGCAAGATATTATAACTCTCGTTCTCCTCTTGCAATTCCCGATTCACCCGCTTGAGATCGACCAGCTGGGATTGCAAGAGTACGAGGGTACTCTGCAGGGAGGAATATGAAGTGGATAAAGTCGACAGCTCCAGCTTCAAGGCAGTCATCTCAGCTGGCTCGGTCTCCGGATCGTTCATATCCTGCTGCTGCTCGGGCTGGGGTGCCTCCTTTGTGGCATTAGAGGCTTCCTCTTCCTCTTCCTGTGCTTCGAGCTCGGGCTCGGACGCACTAGTAGTCGGCACCTCCTGTTTGCGTACCTGCGTCAGGGACGCAATACGAGACTTTAGATGTTGCTCGTTATCATAGAAGGCCTGTCTCTCGGCTTCGAATGTCGAGGTCTGTATTATTATAAGTCTCACTATAACTCGGTAACGCGATAGAACAAAGTACCTGCTCATTGTACCTACGCAGCAAGTCTCTCTTCTCCTTTTCCAGGTCCCGGACTTGACTTCGCAATTTCTCGATAATGTCAATCCTGGCAGCCATCTCTTCCTCCATGCGCCCTTGATCGGCGTAGAGCTCGGTGAGCCTGGATTCGGCCGCGTTAAGAGCGGAAGAGAGATTGTCATTCTCGGTCGTCAGACTCGTGATGATCTGCTCCTTATTTTGTAATTGCACCAAAAGCTGGGAAACGTCGTGAGCCTTGTAACACTATGCGCGACCGAGCTACCAAGCCCATACCTGCTCCTTCTCGTCTGTCTCGCGTCGTAAGCAGTCCGCAAGGGACTCCTTCGTCTCGCCATTGAGACGAGGGGGGGTGGCAGCCTTCAGTGATGCTCTCCGACCCGGAGCAAGCGAGCTATTTACGCGAGGGGAGACGGCAGAACGCGCGGTTGCCCCTTTGGATATCGAAGACGAAGGCGTATGGGTAGGTCCCGGGGTGCCTGCAGGTGAACGCCTCGCGCCCGGACGAGGAGGTTGTGAAGCGACGGCGGCCATAACTAACAAGATAAGGACGTGTAGAACGAAGTAAAGGGCGAAATAAGAGAGAAAGCCAGCCTGACCAGGTGCAGGTGAAAGAAAAGGGCAACGCTGGTCAAGCTGTCGTTAAGGAGCATCGCTGCCGCCAGCCAGTGCACGTTGCCACGTGGTCCGCAGATGTCCTTTCGCTTCCGTTTCGTCTTTGCGCCACCGACGCGTTTGTACAGTAGGTATCTGTTGCGTTCGTTCTGCTTGTCGCATGCGGTGTAGGGTGCCGCTCGCCGGGAAGATCAGCAGTCTTCATTTCGCGCTGAATTAGAATCGAAGTACTGTATGTGATGGAATTCAAGCCTACTACTGCCGATGCGCTTCTCGCTGAGATCAAGTCCGAACCATTACAGAACGTGCGTCTTCTCACTCTCGCTGTGCGTTGAGAGAGTCCTATCCAGCCTTTCTACAGCTGCTGACTACGGTTCGGTCGGAGAGTGAGTCGGATATATATTTTGCTGTTCTTCCAGATGTTAATCTTCTGGAGGGTTCAGCATGTCCTCCCGGATGTATACAGATTCCTGCCCTTGATGCTCACTTCTTCTCGTCTGTACGACACCATGCGTCTACGCTTTCATCCCTGAATCGTGGAGATGCCATTGAGATACAAGGATCGGCTGGTTCAGGGAAAAGCCACTTGCTCTACCATTTGCTCATTACATGTCTTATTCCCATCCTCCATTCAGGCGTGGAACTAGGGGGCTGGGGAAAAGCTGCTATTCTCTTTGACGCGGATGACACTTTCGATATCCTGCGGCTTCGTCAACTCATGGTGTCACGCATCGCACGTACGCTTACGGGACAAGCATCCACGGCACCACCTTTGAGCGATACCACCGTCAGGAGTGCGGAAGAGGTCGCCGATCCATGCCTCCATAACCTCCACATTTTTAAGCCAACGTCCTCGCTTCAGTTGGCCGCGAGTATCTTGCATCTGCCCGCCTACCACGCCAAGCATATGCAAGACTCCGAGATCGGGCTGGTCGTAATCGACTCACTGAGCGCATTCTACTGGTTGGATCGATACAGTGCGGAGCAGGCGCGCACATCCGCTCGATCCTCTACTCGGCCTTCTGCAAGCCCGCTGTCTTATGTTTTGTTGGCCCTGCAACATCTCCGCTTGTCACACGGTCCGGTCATTGCCTACAGCAACTGGGGGCTGCAGCCCGTCTCGACCACGCAGAGTTATGGACAGAATCAGGGGGTATCCTTGTATAAACAACACCTGCACCCTCTTCAGTCGCCTTTCCTAGACCCTTCTAATGATACTTTCGGTCCGAGCTCTGGGACGACTACCCCAACACTGCCCCTGACGCATCATATCACTCTGCCATTCGTTCCTATTCCCCCCTTTCCTCCCGATATCTCTCTTGCTGATGCTCGGGATCAGGAAGAGAAGTATAGACGGCAGATAATTGATAAGGGAGAGATTATGGCTATTGCGAGGACAGTCGGTAGTCCGCTCAGTAGCAAGTTTATCTTCACCATCTCAAAGGAGACGGATCCAGCGTCAGAACGCCCTGGCGCATAAGACTACTCAGACTCGTATCTTCAACCATCAACCAAATCTCTGCGTATTGGATCGGCTCACGGGCGTCTTGACCATCCTATGCATAGTCGTGGGTAGCCTCTCGCTTTTCGCATATCGTCGAGCTGGGAGACAGCACGTGGCACGAACAATAATCCAACCATCAGACGAAGCTTTGATTGCGTGGTGAAGACGATCCTTCGAATTCTTCAAACATCGCGCGCCCGGTTATTCCTCGTTCACCCGGGAAACTCGGACCTATAATGAAGGGCGTATGTACCGTGAGTGGGTTGTAGGTACTGAGTGTTAGCTGAGTCTCTTCCATTTCATTGATAGTCCGTGATTATATTATTATGTCAAGGATATTCTATGCGTATGTGTAAATGTGTTTCTACTGGTCTATTATAATAGTAATAACGTATAAGTGCACTACTGAAACAGATAAATTATGAGGTGATGCGGGTGTCGGATGTGGACAGCTGATAGCTAGTGATACAGTTGTGTGAGTAATGTTAGGAAAGAAAACAACAGCCGAATGTCCTCGATGCGATCTAGTGCTACAAGGTGGGCGCAAGCGAAGGCAGAGCATTAGAATATTAATCAAATCAGGCGGTACTATATAATCTGTCCAGCTGCGCCTTGAATTGCTCCTCCACAGCCCTCCGTCGAATGTTGCCCTTCGTGGCAGTACGAGGCAGGGTTTTGGGCGGTACGACGACGATGAAGTTGGGTGACGTGATACGCTCGTGGAGGTAACGCCGCGCATGAAATTGCCGGGTCTTCCTCAGGATCTGGTTCTTGAGTTTTGTGTGGTCCATGTCGACTGATGCAGGCTCAATGAAGAGCACCGGAGAGGGCCGCCCATTGCCCACTACTATACACTCGGAAATAAGGTCCCCACACATAGAGCGGACATTGTCCTCGATAGCCCTACGATTGATTACGCGGTCAACCACCAGTACTGCTCGTAATGGAAGGGAACTCACTTGGTATCACACCGCAGACTATTTTCACTCTTGATCCAATCATCGTTGCGCCCTCTTGATACATAGCATCCCGGCGCAACTTGAAGAAACAGATCGCCGGTGTGGAAATGGCCATCCGATTGTCTCAGTGAGCGGTCCGGGCAATCACCAGAGTTGCTGAGGATGACGAGCTCCAGTAAGTCAGCATTGACGGACTGGTGACCGGACTCGGTCTTTGCCTTGGGCGCTATCGGCAAAAATCCATAGGAGACGCCTTCCAGTGGTCGAAGGGCCTGGGCATAAGGGCCAGTGCCTCCGACAGACAAGAGCATAGCTCCGCATTCGGTGCTTCCAAAGAGGTTCTAAGGGGCAGTTGAATATGAGTAAATTGATCTATAGGGAACGACAAATTAAGCTTACCGTCAGTCGCAAGCCGCTCTTGATGGCCCACTGCTCCTCCTCTCGAGGCAGTGGTAGACCGCTATACAAGACTTGGTCCATACTTTGGAGTATTGCGACAAGCTTGGGATTGAGGCGGGAATTGCGCAAGTGAATACCAAGGAATGTGGCGAACTGATGTAGTCGATTCAGATTGCACCGCAGGACCATGTCCACAAGTTCATCGGAGGAAAAGGCGATTTGACTGGGTTGGATTGTGCATGATCCGTGTTGGAGAGAGCCAATGAGCACTGTAAGGAAGTAGGTCAGATATGGAGCAATGTGCAATAAGCATCTACTGACTGAACGTCTGGCCGATGTGGCACATGCTTCCCCTGCGATGTTGGTCAGTACCTGAATGAAAAAGCATCGGATATCACGTACATCCATGTCGATACGTCTTGCTTCCGGGGATCTGCAGGCAGGCTAACCTGACGTGCCTTCGCGATGATGGTATTTAACCACGTGTAGTTGCAGGGAACCAGCTTTGGACTTCCAGACGTCGATCCGCTGGTATGGAAAATGAAGACGAGATCGTCGCCGTTTGACGGCTCCGACAATACAGATAATGGCTGGGAGCAATCCGTGATTCGGGCACCATCGGTAGCGACGTGTGTCGGCAAGGGGCTGTCCCGCATGGCAGATGCGAATGATGAGTCGTATATCAACGCCTTTGCGTTGGCTTTATGCAGGAGTTCGAAGACGACGTCCGGATTAGGAAGGCGTAGACTAAATAACTGTGGAACATAGCCGGCGCGCGAGAGGCCGTAGATATGTAGGACATCGTCGTAGGTCATGCCACCTAGCCTAAAATATCCTGTGAGTCTTTGGCCCAGTGGTAGCACAGTGATAGACATACCATAGGCCGACAACTGATTTTTGCGGTACTCCGTCCGCTTGTAGGATACGACTCCAGTAGCGTGCAAATCTTTCGACATCTCGCCGAAACTGGAGATAACTGACCGATCTCCACGTTGACACCGCACCCACGGTATCGAGTACGGGAATCTTAAATACGGGGGCGGACGGGTACAGGGCCGCGGAAGCCTCGAGGATACTAAGATGCGATCGATGGTGCGGCATGAGGAGGAAGAGAAGGTGTTAGAGGGAATATGGTAGCAGCAGCCACTGCAATTACTCACCTTTATATAGGTTCGAGTTAACCTGCATGTAGATGAGTCACCGGCGCAGATTTCGCACAACTTGTGAATCTGTGGCAGTAGGATTGTCTCCAGTTGTCCAAGTTTCGGACAGCCCCGTAGGTCGCAGCCAAATGCCCGTCCTGAAACAGCAAGCGGCGGGGAATGCAGTGCTTCAGCATGACCATTGCGTGAAATTGACGAGATCTGCGGAAAACAGAGACGGGGACTAGCAGCCGATTCACTAATGACCGAAAGATCCTAAGATGGACACTAACTTGGTATGCCCTGTCGGGCGTAGTCAGAGGAAACGTTCGGGCCCACAGAGGCGGTGAAAGATCTAGACAGAGTCCCGACTATCCTGCGAACTGTTTGATCTGTCCCACAGGCAAACAGTACGGCAGATGGGACTCGGAGCGTCCCTTAGCACCAATCCGCTCTTGACGGGAACAAAGTGAAATACTGTTTTCCGCATTAGGAAGGCACGCAGGACGTGTAACGCTCACGTGACTGATTTATTGCTGTCCGTGACCGTTTCCGACATCATTCTGCAAGGATCGTGCACCTACAAGCTGCATTTTCCAGTTTACTGCAATCCCCTGCCCGTCGTATCTCTTTCTGTCATGTCGAAGGTTTCCGTAGGCTTGCTTTCCCCGGCATCAAGGGACATGATGGACTCGTCTATGGCTTTGTATCCTGCTAGAGTCATCATGACTCAACGGGCTGCGGCTGTGGGCGAGTCTGTGCATGCCTTGATGCCAACGCTACGCAAGGTTTTGCGCGCCCGGCTTCCCTCGAGCGTTTGCAGATGACGAAGAGCTTATCGCAAAGTGCCGGGGGGTTCCTGGCGGGGTTGCTGTGCCCCATCCTGCTTCTTGGTCCTCGAACTGCAAGAACGTCTTCCAAACGCGGACAGGATTAACTTCCGACTAGGACACGTGCGCACGCCTACAATTCTCCTCCGTGCCTGTCTATCCCTGGGCGCTCCTTGCCGCACTCAGTTCAAGCAGACACTTTTCTATGTCTTGTTCTCCATGTCGGAAGTTTGCTCGGGAAGCGCCAAACACCGAGCGTTGTTTGCCATGTGCTCTTCTGACCGGCTTGAACGAACGCGAAGATTGACTCTGATCTGATTGAGAATGGTTATGGCGTCCGACTCCGATATGGGCCCGGAACTGCGGCCTACAGGGGGACTGTCCGAAACCTTACCGGGTGCCCCAACTCCAAGCACCACTTCTAAACATAGAACCAGGCCTTCTTGCCGTTGGACAATTTCCTACCGTCGTGAGTCGCTGCATGTTCATCTCCATGCGTTTGTCTCGGTTCCAGCATGAATGCTTGATTGGGGCTTTTTTGCACCTGAAGCTGGTGCAGAACTGCGGGATACGCAGTGTTGCAACAATAGGTAGGTCTCCAAGGTAACGACAAAAATATGACGCGGTAAGTCGTATTGCGGTCTGTTGCTCGGTTAACTTAGCGTTGCAGAGCCTGAGCGATCGAACTTCCTCGATTCGCTGAATAATGCGACGCTGAACTCGCTAATGGGCATACTACTAGTAATGCACTCATGTCATCTACGGAAGGGTTTAGATAAGTTGGCCGAGTAATACCGTGTTTGCTCCGGATTCGAGAGCCATTACCTGGGCTGCCTCCTGCGATCCTTGGCCGAAGACTAATTACACCTTCATCCAGCAAGCTGCGGTTTCCAGCATCATTCGTGGTGTCCTGTATACTGATTCATTCTCGCGATGACGGCCAGAATTGTCCAGGGTCTTCTGAGCCCAATCTCTGCATTTTGATGCCCGGTTCTCCTCTGTCAAAGAACTTGTTAGAGGCCGGTGTCGCCTTGCGTAAACTTTCTCACTGACAAGTGGCTAAACAGTTCGCTCGTCGGATCCGACTTTTATTGACATCCATAAGCCGCCAATATCACGGATACAGGCTTCATGTTACGACCTGCGATCTATGGTGGGTCGTCCATGGGAATCATATGTCTCATCTAACCTGTATGATGCTGTCAGCTGCGCCCGCCTGTGATATCAACGCTCAAACCTTTACAAGCTGTCCCGCTTGTCGTGAGCATACTCGATGGGCTCATACTATTCGGACCGGTGTGTGTGTCGTACTGCTATGTTGCTCACTTGGCTGCTTGTGCTCCTACCATCGCTTTTGCCTAGTGGGAGGGTCGATATGCATGATTGTACCTTTTGGCATAGCTGTTTGTTTGACACGATCACTAGACCGGTATATTGCAAGTCAAAGGACAAGGTTTGGCATGTGCGCACAGTACAATTATGCATCGCTTCGGCTGAGAGTAAGTGAGCACGGCCCTCACTTGCACGGACTCGCGTGAATGGCCTCAAGAAAAGTATCATTCTTCAATGGACAGGAGAAAAATCTCAGGTACGCCACAGCAGCTATTGCACTGGAAACAATTTATCCCTGCGCGAAGACGTGCCATCATCCGGCCGAAGAAGGCTTGCGGATCCGCAACGGGGCGCTTCATCTAACGTCACAGTACAGGCAATACTTCTGTGGATGTCATGAGCCTTAATTGTATGCTGTTCTCCACAAGTGTCGATAAGCGGGCTGGCCTAGCCTTCGCACGTCTTGTGGTCCTGGCGTTTTGTACGGGCGCTATATCTGGAGGCTAAACACCCTAAACTACAGTCAGCAGTTCGCCGTCCCCTGATATCGTCAAAGTTATTCCACGACCAGCCTATGATGCATGCGCCAGGATTGGAACTATGATAGGTACTGGAATAAACTGGATTCAGACTTTTCTGACGCCGCCGGAACGGAGGACTTGAAGGCGTCAAGTACTGATGCAGCAGAATGAGCCGCGAAACCGATTACTCGCACAGTTTCATTTCGATGATTTTACGACTTGATGGTATGGATTCGTCGTTGCAGGCTTCTACTGAGTTTGTGTGTTACATTCACCTTTATCGCATATGTTCGCAGTGTGGCTGAATCAGGAGTGGGGCCGTGGAGGATCGGCGCAGGCACGTGACTGGAGTCGCGTCCGGCGCGTTGCGTCACAGACGTGGTACGTACCCAATCCTGCACGTCATGCTCCAACCTCCCCCCGCTCCCCGCTCGCGCATATATAAGCGCCTCTGCTCGCTATGTCTCGTTACAATTACCTCTTTCCTAGCCATATCCGTACAACATGCAAGCAGCTGCCAACAAATTCCAAGAGGTTTGTTTTGATCTGGTAGCTGCGAAGAACGCGCGATCACTGACTGGTACCCAGCATCTCGGCACTGTGCCGACTGCAACCACCCCCGAATATAAGCACAGAGAAGATGGCTCGAAAATGAAGGCTTTGGCCTGGTTCGGGCCCAAAGACGTTCGCATGGTCGAGGCACCCATCCCGGACATCACTGAACCGGAGGACGTCATTGTCAAAGTCACCGGGACCACTATCTGTGGGTCGGACTTGCATCTCTACCACGGAGAGATCATGACTCTTCAAAAGGGCGACATCCTTGGCCATGAGGTACGTTAGCCAGCATTTCGTAGCAAGTCTAGCATTTTGACATTCCTCCTCAGTTCATGGGTGTCGTAGACCGTATTGGCCCGAATGTCAAGAATCTCAAGCCCGGGCAGCGCGTTGTCGCTTCGTTCCAGATCGCCTGCGGTCAGTGCGAGTACTGCAAGCAAAAACTTTCATCCTTCTGCGACCGAACGAACAACTCATCGTAAGTGCCTGCGGTCTGATGCGAGATACTTCGTCATATTCATCTTATCCCTAGGCTGATGAACTATATGTACGGCCACCGCGATGCCGGTTTCTTTGGATATTCTCACCTTACTGGTGGATTCCCTGGTGGTCAGGCCGAGTTCGTCCGCGTGCCATTTGGCGAAGTCAACCTCTTACCCATACCCGACAATGTTACTGACGAACAATCACTCTATCTTTCTGACGTCCTACCCACGAGTTACCACGCCGTCGTAGATACCGGTGTCAAGGAGGGCGACGTCGTTGGCGTGTGGGGTCTCGGACCGATTGGTCAATGCGTAGCTCGTTGGGCGAAGATCAAGGGCGCATCACGGGTCATTGGAATTGACAAGGTTCCGGAGCGTCTTGCCTTTGCTCGGGAGAAATCTGGTATTGAAACCCTCGACATAACCGAGCACACGGATGTCGTGAAGCGATTGCAGGAGATTGCTCCCGGTGGCCTTGATGTCGCAATTGACTGCGGTTCGTATACTTTCGGCCTCTTGGTGGGTTCCAATGTTGATCGTGGTCTCGTTCAGGCTCTTTCCATGACCCCAAGACGATGCTCCACAAGATCCAGAAGACGCTCATGCTGGAGACGGATGTCTCGGAAATCCACAACGAGATGATCATGTCCGTTAAAAAGATGGGCAGATGCGGTATAATTGCCGCATATGCTGGTTACACCAACGGCTTCAACATTGGTGCTCTGATGGAGAAGGGTGTCAGGTTCATCGGTAACGGACAGGCTCCGGTCCACAAGTGGTGGAAAGAGATCCTGGACGAATACATCATCCCTGGCAAATTCGACCCCACTTTGTGAGTGGCCCAAATGAGCTTGCAGCGAGAGCGAGTACTGACTGCATGCATCAGCATGATCACCCACCGCGTGCCCATCGATGACATGGCCAAACTTTACGTGGCGTTCGACCAGCGAAAGGGCGGCGTTGAGAAGGTCTTCGTTGAGACCAAGTTCTCTAACCCACCTGCACCTGGTTGCCCGAAGACAACCCGTGTTGAGGAGTGGGCTCAATGAGGGGGAGTGCTGTGTTTAAAATTATAAGCAAATAGGTACTTGTATTAAACGAACTGTGTATCCATACGTCTTAATGTATTGCGTAATTGACATATCCTGTCAGCTCATCAAATGAATGATTGACCACACCTGCTTGTGTCCTTCCTCATACTTGGGATATTCGCACGAACACCGTCATCGTCAAGGCGGCGATGTCGAGTCTGAGACGGGCTGATAGCGCTGGGACGCTCCGAAATTAACAATGTGTAAATGCTAATGTGTTTAACTATCTGTTCATCAACGTGCGTCTCGCAACTGGGTGGCTGGTGACGTTCGTTAATCCAGGGCATGAGGTGGGATGCTTGCATGCGCCATGGATTTACGTACCACATGCGCATGAAGATATATAGTACCAATCGTATAATAGGTGGCCGATGCAAGGTTGTGATTATCTTCGGTAGCCCCTCCCGACGACAGTGCATTCAAGAGATGGTGTCCATGCTCACTGCCATCCTGAGGGGTGCGGTCATCGTCCTCTTCACCGCGACCTGCGCCGAAGCGAAGGCCACGGTGAATAATCAAGTCACCCTTCTCGAGGAGACAAACTCGTCCCTGCTCCGATACCCGACCCAGTTCACACAGAACATAGTCCCGAAGAACATCCATTCTCATAATGACTGTATGACCATTGTTTGCTTGGTCACCGACATCCACCATTGAACGTTCGATCCCACTAGATTGGCGGGATGTCCCTCTATTGACAGCTTTGAGTTACGGAGTCGGGAGTGTGGAAGCAGACGTCTGGCTGGTCAACGGTACCCTATATGTGAGTTTCAAGCTACCGAAACCCCGAACGATCATTCTGAGCCGTGCTCGACATTATTAGGTCGGTCATGAGGTCGCCGCACTGACCCAGGATCGCACTTTCGCATCTCTATACGTGCAACCTCTTGTCAAGATCATCCAGGGGCAAAATCCCAAGAATGTCCTCACCGCAAATCAGACGCAGCCGAAGTTAGCATTGCGGACTTCCCCGCCTGGCCTGCTGAAAGCTGACAGAACTGTACAGCGGCGTGTGGGACACAGCCTCGGGTACCGCTCTGCAATTATTAGTGGACATTAAGACAGATGGTGTCACGTACGTGGATTCTGCTATTGAAGCACTTCCAGTAAGCTCACGATCCTTCCTCAGAACACTGCCATGGGTGCTCGAAGCCCTCCAGCCACTGCGATCTCAGGGGTTCCTGACGACGTACGCTAATGGAAGCTTAAGCACTGGGCCGGTAACGGTAGTAGGAACTGGAAATTCCCCGCTTGAGCCGATAAAGGCTCTGGAACCTAGGGACTACTTCTTTGATGCACCCTTGACGCAGCTGAGGGACCCTTCACTCAATACCACCTGGGATTTCACGTTGTCGCCGCTCGCGAGCACCGATTACGGAACCGCAGTGGGATGGAGTGGTATTGGGGATATCAGTGAAGCTCAGCGAACAAACATCACGAAATTTGTCGACGATGCTCACTCATTCGGCATCAAGGCAAGGTTCTGGGATACCCCAGGATGGCCGATCCAGGCAAGGGACAATGTCTGGAGGGAGCTAGTGAACGACGGTGCGGATTGGCTCAACGCAGACGACTTGGAAGCAGCGAGCCAATTCTGAAGGGACTGAATGGTATTAAGAGGTGCTCAAGCATCTGAGCGCGCTACAGGATTTGACGAGCTAGCACGCAAGTCAAGTAGACTACGATCAATACCCAATTTTTGACGTTTTCTCCATGGCTGGTCGTTCCACTTCGGCTGCGCCAAGGCTCCTTTGGCTAATCGTAGAGCGCCGCGCACCATGCCTGGTAACGCCTTGCCTACCTTGTCTAGACGTCCGAAGGTCGCGACTCTCTTCCCATCGGCAGCAGGTACCTCTACCTCTCCTTTGAGTGATTTCGGATCGGCCATGAGTGTTTGCTGAAATAATTCAACATCAAATGTGAACACATGTCCGATGAACGGGGACGTACGACATAATCATCTGCCTTGCGGACAAACTCCTCTCGGTCACCCTCACCTCTGTACTTCAGAGCCTTCTGGACACTCAGCCGAGTTAATGTCCGTAACTCCCCACGATCCTTGATACCTAGGGAAATCTCCTTCTCTAACGTCTCTGAGATGCTAGGCACACCAGTCTCGAGCAGTCGCGAATGAGACTCTGTCCGGACCTTCTTGGATAGTAAGTCGTATCCAACCGAACGCGCGGCCATCTCAAAACGCAAGTCTCGAGGATTGTCGACCAACTCTAGAATTGCGACTGGAGCATTGTCGCCTGGCCTGTTGCCATATTTATGGATGCGAGTGTAACCACCTGGCCGCTCGGCGTATCGCTGAGACAGAGTCCCGAACAGCTTTGGCAGGAGAGACTGGTTGAGGACGAACCCCGAAGCCTTACGGTAAGCAGGGATTGTTCCGCGCTTGCCCAAGGTGATTATCTTCGAGGAGGAGTGGTGAAACGTGGACGACGGAACAGGACTATGGGGGACGAACCTTCTCAGCCAGCCTCGCAGTATCCCTCGCCTTCGGAAGAGTGGTCTTTATTTGCTCATGCTCCAGCAGGGACGTGACCAAATTCCTAATAATGCCCTTAGGTCAATACTCGCTGAGACCTAGGGTCCATGTCATTACCGAAGCATGAGCATTCTGTGGGACGACGTCCGCGAAAACTTCCGAAACGCTACGCCATGTTTCATGGTGGTACAGAAGAAGCCCTGGACGACTCAGGCGCTGATGTGCCAGTAAGAGAGACAAAGCGTATGTTATTGTGCGCCTTCCCGATTGAGCGTCAACGTAGGCCAGAAAACGTACCGGCACTTTCCGGTACTATTGAGCCCGAGTCCAACACTCGAAGTTGATGCCTTCCCAAGTCCCGACCAATGAAAATTATTTTGACTGAGGTGATCTAAATGGCAAGATAGTTCGAACCTTAGATACTAGGCGAAAAACGTATACTACGCCCGCTGTAAGTCAGCTAGTCATGGCCGTCTTCATATTCACCAGAGACGGTTTCACGCTGTATAAATCTTAAGTGGCAGCCCTTGAAACGTATGTGTTTGCTATGTGAGCAGGTGACGTTCTGCCGCCAACGTCCTGACTTCGTGGTGGAGAGGTGGGGTCAGGACAGCTTACTAGAGGTCACTCTATTGGCGCAGCAGGATGGTCCATCTCAAAGAAGATGACACTAATACCCCAAAGCTGAATAACCTCTGCCCGGAAAGACAACCACGAGGCCGGTTGAATCCCTCGTTCTTCCACAATATCACACAGAGACCCCAAAGACCTGGGCAACTAACCGAGCTTGGAAGCGGTGAGATGAGTAAATGTGACTGACCTGCGGAGACAAGCAATCGCCGGGTAGTCGAACAAACTGGAGATCCAGCGGTTAGAAAATCCCGAACGAAGCTCGCCGCCAAGGTACTCAGTCGACCACAACGCCTGCAATTTGATCAGGCTAGAAGCGACGAGTGAGGTCATGCACACATAAACCCGGGCGCCTGTTGGGGTGCCGCACCTCGGGATGCTGAGAACGGCAGAGATGGGTCGTGTTAACGATATTATGCGCTGATCCTGATAAGTAGAGCTCTCACCGGAACCAACGTGTTGGCCGCTACCACGAGCCACTTAGTCAAGGGATAACCACCGTGGCTAGAAGCAACGAAGCCAGTAGCAGATGAGCTGAGAGAACCTAGAAAAATCATTCACTGCGGAAGGAGCGGTGGTCGGATAAGATACGAAGAGGGAGATTCTCAAGATCGTGGTCTAGGCAGCCAGTGGCTTTGGGGGCCTGCTACCCAAGATAGAAGCTCTGTCGCGCCCTACAGGGATGGCGGAGTCCCTAACACCAAGAAAAAGATTATGAACGTCAGCCTCAACCTTCGTTCTGCCTGCACCGATCCGCCTGCCTGGGCCGTCATCACTGAAGTCAAAGGTTTCTCCTTATTTGAGGCACCTCAAATCAACCAAAGCCGGAAAGGCACCTAGTTGTGAGTCTTATTCCTATAGCGCTTCAGCGGTTCTTCCAGTGTATACTTGTCGGCTGAGCAAGGAATTTCATTGAAGTAGGTATATGTCCAGAAAGGGATCAGGTGAGGCTGCTCCTGGAAGTCGGACTTGTATGTATTTGGAAAAGCACAGGCGGCAGTGATGTGTGTTGACAGAGCTCCGAGCAACAGGGACCCCTACACCTGGATACATCATGGGCGTACGCCCCAGGAACAGGTCTTATTGCCTGCGGAGATAAAATAATTTCTTGCCATCCCAATATTGACGGGTGCCTTCAAGTTCGCTGTGGCTTCGAACGTCGCCGAAGCCTGGGACAGGAGCTTCGATAGCTAGTAGTCGTAGACGCTAAGCGGCTCCTGCATGCGTCCCAGCAATTGATGCCAGCGAATTACTGGGAGTAGTCATCAAGTACTTACTGTATCAGTATGTATGTCTGCCTGTGAGGTTCAGGTTTACGATAATTGGTAGTTATTATTAGTTCGGCGACCAAGCGGGTCCGGCACTTCCCGACGACTCCCGTCAACGAGTTGCAACATTACGCACAGAAACGCGTCTCCGCTGGTTCGCCATGTCCTTCGCTCGTCTCGCTCTCAGAACTGCCTCTAGGGCCACATACCCGCGTGTATACCCGCGCGCGTCACTAACAGTTGCCAACCGCTGGAGCCGCTTGCCCCAGCGGGCCAACTTCTCTGCCGCTGCGGGTCTCTCGAAAGATCAAATTGAGAGCCGCGTTCTTGAGGTCCTCAAAGGTTTCGAGAAAGTTGACCCTTCTAAGGTTCTTTGTTTCTACAGATGAATCCTCGTGTCTGGTCTAAATGTCCCCTTCACGTTCAGCTGAGCACTTCGTCACGGTTCTCAGAAGATTTGGGTTTGGATAGTCTGGATGCGGTGGAAGTAGTTATGGCCGTGGAGGAGGTACGTTCATGAGTTGAGGCCCCTACTGGGCTGAATAAGCTTACTGGTGGACAGGAATTTTCGATAGAAATCCCTGACGCCGAGGCCGACGATATCACCAGCGTCCAGCAAGGTAAGAATATATTATCTGACTGTGTTGCCAGCTCTGAGTTCTCCGTTGCAGCTATCGATTACATTGCCAAGACGCCCGAAGGTGCGCACATAAGCTCTCAACCTTTCTTCCATAACTCATCGTTCCCCAGCTCAATGAACTCGAGCATTCTTCCAAAAGTCTGCATTAAGGCACGACCTAGACCATCATCATACTCCTTCGTGGCGCCTTCTGCCAAAGAAGAGTATTAAGGTTATTGGAGTGCGGGGGCTTTATCCGGATGTGGTTCTGGGTCAGGGTACAAGCGTCGCAGAACAATGAGAGTATAATAGCTGATAATCGCGAAGTTAGAGGAGCGTAATCCTGATCACGAATCTTGAGTGTTAAGCAATAAGGGTCCTCGGTATCCGTGATCCGTACGCATCTGAGTGTCTTCCTACAGATGGAGAGCGGCAGTGAACTCAACTTTGGTCTGTGGTCGGCCGGTGCAACCCAGGATATCGGCGGCCCGGGTTCCGTCACTCGACTGCCCCTGTATACAGATCGAGCCGCATCCCTTGCCCGACTAGAGGCGGAGAAATATAAATACTGACATCCTCTGCACGAATCATGTCAGAATCTGGGACACATTCGACATGGCACCGGTCAAACAAATGCGAATCTCCGACCCGTTCCTCAAAGTCGGCTGCACTCTCGGCGAAGGTGATTATATCGGCTCACATATCGCGGACGAGTACACCTAGTGACCGATCCCCTTTAGGTCCCCTCTATGACCCAAGCACATCCACGCTCTACTTTGTCGACATTGACGAGAAGAAGGTATTATTCACGGATCGGAATGCGGATATCACCGTTGCTGACAATGCGTAGGTGTACCGCTTGGATACGAACTCCTCACAGTTATCAGTTGAACAGTTCGACGAATCGATCACTTGTCTAGCCCTGCGCAAGAGTGGGGGAGGCGTAAGGGTATAATTGCTTCGCCCTATCGCTACCGCTGACGGACGCCGTAGCTGGCTTGCACGACTGCGACGGGCTATGCCGTCTTAGAAGATTCTCAGATCAAATACCTGAGTAGGCCTATTCCTCAAGACCACTTACCATATACCAGATTCAACGACGGCGCATGTGATAGCAAGGGCCGTTACTTTGCCGGAACTGTATACTCCAAAGAACACGATGTCCCTGGGCGTCTCTGGAGATACGATCCTGCGGACAGATCTTGCGTCGTGGTAGACGAGGGTCCTTTCACGGTGCGTCAGTAATGACAATAATGGCCAGTGCTACTTTCCCATGGTGAATACCACAGGACTCCAACGGCCTAGGCTGGAGTCTGGACGAAAAGACTATGTAGCAACGATGGATTCTTGCAACCAGCAGTCTCTAATCATCCATACAGGTACTTCGTGGACTCGCTCAGGAACATCATCTATGCATATGACTACGACGACGGGTTGCTGAGTAACCGTCGTGTCTTCATCGACGCCCTGGCACAGGGCCAGCCGGAGAATTCATTCCCGGATGGCCTGTGTATTGACAGCGAAGGCGGTATATGGAGTGCCAGGTACGTTGTGACATGCTTTCATGATACGAAGCCGCGGTATATGCGATACTCTTCCTGCTTTAGATGGGGAGGCTCTCGGATCGTCCGGTATACCAAGGACGGAGTCGAAGACATGGAAATCCACTTTCCTACTGCGCTCAACGTTACCGCCTGCTGTTTCGGAGGTAAGCGGTCTTACTTTGAATTTGTCCGCCCGCTGTCTAAGCCGTCATTAGGTCCTAACGAGGATCAGCTGTATGTAACTACTGCTCATTGCGGTGCGGTAGGAGGTGATCCAAGTAGACAAGCATCCTACCCTGACTCTGGGCATCTTTTCGTGGTAAACCTAGAAGGCCAATACACCGGTGGTAGATGGCGCCACGCATTCGGAGGATAGGAACGTATGTAGCTGGGATGCTTCTTTTTACTTACGTTGTTTATGGATACGATGCGGACTTCTACCGTTGTGATCGATATTCATTAGTTTTCACATCGCCATCAAAGCCGCGGAGTTACCCTGACGGACAAAGCGATATTCAAGAGTGCCAGTGGGCGCCGTGTCCGCGTTTTCGACTTCCCAGTGCGCCGCAGTCTTGCAGGGGAGATAGATAGATCCAGGGTACAACGAGTACGCCCTGAAGATGAAGATGAAGTCATGCATGGCACATACGGCGCAAGCAACCCTAATCAGGGCTATTGTGGCAGGCTGCATTAAGCCACTCCTCGTGTAGGTAGTGGACTTGCGGGAAATCAGGAGAATCAGAAAAGTGTCACGCCTTACTATATGGTCGATATGAAAGACTCTCGATCGTCAGGAGAGATTGAGAATTGTATCATAGTTAAAGGAGATAACAGCTGTCCCGTATGTGGGGTGACATCCTTTGTTGGCATGATAGGCCTAGGGCAAGCCCTACAAATGCCGAGTCATGACTGCTCCGAGCACATGCCTGCAAGCGGTAGACACAGTTTGTGTGCTTTACATGTACTAGTACTCGCCAAAGCCGTCTGCCTTGAAGCCTTCGATTAGGCCGCGATTTAGCGAAGCCAACCACGAAGTCCAAGTCTGGATGAACTACAATGCACATCTAACACATCGGGGTGATAGGTGAACTCAAGGAAGGTCTCCTCTTAGGGTTAGGAGCATCACATTGACCGGCGAACATCGAGAAGGAGAAGTCTATATCCAAATGCGTACAGGCGTTAAGGGGGACAAGGTCCGAACCCGCGGAGACAGATTGTTCGACCACGGCGGTACATCGTGAGCTGCGAAGGGTTGGTCTACACTGGTAGAAGGGAATGTAGTAACGTAGTAAGCGTAAGCGGTGATTATGAGTCAATGCCGCGAGTAGAACTGTCAGAGACTGTCTGCTCATCGAAGAGGAAATGCCGAAGAAGACTTACAAGTGGCGGGAATGTGGCCGAAATGTGGCCAATGGCCATCCAACTTAAAGACCTGCCTAATTTGGATGCAGCGGTGATGGCCCGGCATGCCCCGAGAGCCAACTGTGCAGTTCCATGTCACGGTGGCTGTCACTCATACGGCTTCTAGAGTGCGTAGAGTACGGTTAACGACTTCAAGATCTCAAGGTAAGCCTACCGCTGTGCTGCTGCCCGGAGCTCGTTCTCATTGTTCTTCATCACGCTCTAGGTTGGTAGTGCTCGTGCTCGCTGGCGAGAAGACGCGTTGACGACGTTACTTTGAACCGCTAGACTCTCGCCATGGCCACTTTCTCCTCCAGCCCCATCGTAATTGATGGCAAGGGCCATCTCCTTGGCCGGCTGGCTTCAATCATCTCGAAGCAGATTCTTTCTGGCCAGAAAATCGTTGTGGTACGGTGCGAGGAAATCAACATCTCGGGGAGCTTCTTCCGCAACAAGGTACGTGCCTCGCATCGTATCAGGAGAACACGACTAACCGTCAGGTTGAATCGCCTCGCTCGCACCTCCTTTAGCTCCGGTACCACAACTTCCTCCACAAACGCCACATTGTCAACCCCAAGAAATCTGGCCCCTTCCACCACCGCGCCCCCTCCAAGATTTTGTTCCGTGCCATTCGTGGCATGATTCCCCACAAGACCGCCCGCGGCGCAGCTGCCCTCGAGCGCCTCAAGTTGTTCGAGGGTGTTCCCCCACCCTACGACAGGAAGAAGAGGATGGTCGTGCCGGAGGCGTTGCGAGTGTTGAGATTGAAGCCTGGCAGGAAGTACTGCACGGTCAAGGTGAGTCCTTATACTCTGAAAGCGAGAGCGTCGTTTCTGAATGCTCATATAATGCAGCGTCTGTCCCACGAGGTTGGCTGGGGCTACAAGGACGTTGTGGACCGTCTGGAGGAGAAGAGGAAGGTGAAGGCCCAGGCCTTCCACGCGCGCAAGGTACGTCCCATACTACTCGCTTGTACTAGCGGGAATGTAATACCCTTGCTATCCAAGCTTGCCGCTGTCAAGCTGCGCCAAAAGGCTATCGCGGACAACACGTCGGAGAATCTCACACAGCTCGGTTATTAGGCGGACGGGCATCTCAGCCTCCTTTACCCTACGTTCGCTCTCCGCTACCTATGACCAGATGCTATGAGATATTCTATGTAACACTTTACTGCTCCACTATGCAGCGCTGTCGGGCGTTATGTCGAATATGATGCGTCGTTCCTCGGGCTTGCGCATCTGTATCATGCTTCGAAAGCAGGCAGCCAATCCGGCGTTGTCGAATCGCAACCGTGGAGGACGGTATGTACTGATGCTTCCTACCCTGGGAAGCCACAACCTGTGAAACCTGTACTGTGTACTGCATCTTCGCGGAGCGATGCTAGCATTATTCTCAAGAGATGTACCTGGAAGGATTTACATACTTTTATAACGTCCTTAATGTGCGGATTGCAAACATGCGCGAAAGCAGTACGATGGGGCGGAAACTAAGCGGCGACAACAAGTACCTAGGGTAGACGGAGCATCTGAGACATGAGAGGGAGATGAAACAGTATGGAACAGGCGAGCGACAAGGAAATGTCGGAGGTTAGGCGCATATCGGCATGCAGTTGTACGATATTTTGGTAAGACGGCGATCAAGAATGGACATGGGGGAAGGGGGAGGTGTACATGGTCCGTTTATATACTTGCATGGAACACTGGCCTGCGCCAGTTGGTTTGGGGGCTATTCGGTGACAGCTTCAAATCTAGGGCTCGACGCCAGGACGATGCGCGCGAGGGGGGCGACCTGCAGAGGTCGAAGCGTTCCGTGTCACGGAATGGGTGAGGGTGGCGGGACTAATCTTGCATCTCTTGCTGCTGCTGCTCTCTCCCGACGCGCCTCTCCTTCTCGCTCTCCAGCTGGTTATACAGTAGGAAGAGGGCTTTCTCGTTTGCCTCGGGAGTGCCCACGATGGTGAACATCCTCTCGCCGGTCTCGTCGTGGGGTGCCTTGGCTATCGAGATCTTGGAACCAGACAGACGGCGGATTTCCGTGATCTTGGAGCCGCCACGACCGATGATGCAGCCGACCATGTCAGAAGGAATGGAGATATTCTGGGTCCTCAAGTTCGCGGGTTGTGTTGACGGTGATCCGGGAGAAGGGGGAGTCCCACGCCCACGGTTGGCGTCCCCGTTACTTCGGCGGCCGGCACCGTTGTAGTTGGAGGATGAATAGGCGGTCGATGAACGTCTGCCTCCTCCGGATCGGTCGTCCGCGGCACCAGGATGGAAGAAGACGGTGCCCTGGCCCCTCTCCCAGTCTTCCAGAAGGCACTTTCCGATCTCCTGCAAGGCATTCCCAATGGCCTCGATCGGTCCCTGGACTTCGACGATACGTTCCGTGGACTGCGGAAGCATTTCCTTGGACGCAACCATACGTACGCCGGTGCCGTCCTGGATAGCCTTGATTTTCTGACCGTTGCGACCAATGACGGTGCCCATGAGGTTGTGCGAGATGAGAAGGCGGATGGACGTGTGGGTGGAAGACGGGGAGGAGATGGATATCGGGGACGTGGGGTTTGCGGCGACGAGCTGCTGGATGATCAGGGTGTAGGCCTAGATATTTGGGCGGAACGTTAGCACACTACAACGTAGACGCCGGAGGACGGTATACCTTTGCGACACCCTCGACTGGCCCGGTGACGGAAAGGACACGTTCATGGACACCCTGGATGACCTTGCTGACGCCCGCCTTGACGCCGGTCTGTTCTCTGAGGTCGGCAACATTTTTTCCGCCCTTGCCGATGATGACGCCGGCGTCTTTTGTGCTGACCAGAGCTCGCAGAGTGAGCGTATCATCGCTGCCGGGAGAGGGCGAACGCGACATCTCGGGGGACGCTGGAAGAGATCATGGCAGGGTGAAAAAAAGACGCGTCAACACGGAAGAGGACGACAGACGAGACGGAAGACACTGACGTGAGTCTCGGGAACGACCACGGGGGGACTCGGACGACATTGGCGGGGCGGGGAGGAGGGCAGAAGGGAGAAGGAGAGCGTCGGGGAGGGGAGAGGGCAGACGACGGGCGGCGATGTTTGAGCGTTGAAGACTGCGGGAACGGGCCCGGCGGTCTCGACCTGGGCGAGTTAAAACCGCTGCCCGGCCGAGCGAGCGCCCCGGGTCCGCCTGCGCGCCTCGGCCTCAGCTTCTCGGAGCCCGCCCGGCCGCCCTCGGCCCGACGCGTCTAATCTGGGCTCGGAGTGTGTACGCGTTGTTTGGCCACCGCGTGTCCCGCCGGCACCGAGCCTTGCAGCGATGCGTCCAAGAGGCCACCCGTCGCTGCCACACCCGCCACATCCGCCACATCCTGCGCACGCCGTCGCTGCAGCCCTGCAGAATCCATACGCCCAGTATTACCAATCGCCGCAGTACTCGCAGGCATATCTCAGCGCTGTCGCCAATTCCGCTTACGCTGGAACAACCCCGCAGGGCTATTCGTTTTCTTCCGCGTACGACCCTGGCTCTTCGAGTTCGACATCTTTCTCTGGATACTCTGCCCGAAATGGCCAGCCGGGCGCACCGAACCCGTCCTTGCAGGCCTCTCGCCCCCCTCCCTCTGCTTCATGGTACCAGCCCGGCGATGCGCGATGCAGGTACAAGAATTGCTCGTTCATGGGCTCCAAGAAAAGCGTCGAGATCCATATGATGGACCGCCACCTCATATACCCGCCCGGCTGGGAGAAAAGACAGAAGAATGACTGGGACGCAGATCCGAGTCTGAAAGGGTGTGTAGTCAACTCACGCGTCACTCTCTCATTTTCACATGTAGCCGTGCAGGAAACCCGTGCCAATCCCAGGAACCGGTCTGACACTAGATACACCCGAAGCACTCGACGCATGGCTCGCCGAACGCAAAAAGCGGTGGCCTTCTGCGAGCAAAGTCGAGGAGAAGAAAAGAAAGGTCGAAGAGGCCATCGAGCGCGGCCAGCTGGACCCCAGTCTCAGCCTTGATGGCAGGAAGAAAAGGCGGCTAGATGACGGCGGCGGCGGAAGAGGTCGGGTCCGAGGCAGAGGAAGAGGAAGAGGAGACAGCGGATGGGGGAGGGGCAGGGGCAGAGGTGGTGCCTCGGTACCAGCAACAAGGGAACCCAATGTCTCCGGACCTCTCCCTCCAGCTGGACTGCCTCCTAAGCCTGTAACGGTGCAGGATAGCAATCCAACTGATTCCGATTCTGACTCGGATGATGCACCCGAAGCGGTCTCTTTTAAACCCCCTGCCGGTCTCCTAGACTCATACGCGTCTTCAGAAGATGAGGAAAGTAAGGCCAGGGAACCTGTCGACGCTGAGCCCGACCCTCCGATCCCAGCTATGACGCAGCAACCTCCGGTTACTGAGCCTCCCGCTAAGCCTGTTCGCAAACCTTTCGTCCCCCAACCGAAGAAGCCCCCAAATAACCCGTTCGGCTCTCGGCCATCCCTATTAAGGAGGGTGAGTGTATCGCCATATCGTAGTATGTCTTATGATTAACCTACCTCCCAGTTACTACTCCCCGAAATCCGTGTAACGGTGTCAAATTTCTCTCAAGCCATCCACTTCCTCGTGGAAAACGACTTCTTGGAAAATGTCGAGATGAAGCCAGGACAAGCATCAGAAAAGATGATCGAGGTCATCGGCGAGTCAAACATTGCTGACCACACCTCAGGGGGTGCTGAGAAGTTGGACGATGCATAAGCTGGGAATGTACCGTCCTCATTACTAGCAATGTCCAAAAAGTATAGTCAATAATACAATTTACTAATGCTACAATCTTGTCCACCCGTACGATGAGACTATCACCGGCTTTCACCGCTCTCTTCGCTGTCACTAGACTCGCTGCCATCTTCATCCATACCGTCCAACTCTTCGGGATCAACCTGCAGCGTCCGCTTTTCAACTTGGAACCCGAACTTAGTCAGGCCCTCGCTGATCTGGTCCGCTTTGCCAGGTGCGGTTGCGACGACAGCAATGGATGACGAAGCGTCAAATAGCGGGAGGAAGTGCTTCCGCAGGGACTCCAGCACGTCCTCTTTCGTGATTGCCTGGTACTTCTCCAGGAGCTTGACGTTGTAGTCCTGTGGCAGACCTTTCAAAGCCTGGTTGGAGAAGGACACGGCGGCCTGGGATGCAAGCATGTTAGAATGACATTATGATGCAAGGGACTTGTGTCGCACCGCTCTGCTAGCTGTTGACACAGCTTTGGCCACGCCATACACAATGCTGCTCTTGGCCGCGTCGATCGTTGTCGAATCCAGTTCAATCTATACAATGAAAGGTGAACACTGCATCAGCGTTGTGAGGGCAATACATCTTACTGAGCCGTCGACGAGACCTCGGACTACTTTGCCCGCCTGTTCAAAGCCTTGGATAGCATTCGAGCTCTACAAATGAACGTCAGCAATGTCAGCCACTCCTGACTATGCAAGCGTACCCGGTAGAGAGAGAAGCTGATCAACCCTGCTTCGGTATCTGCTGAGACGTAGGCACCATACGCCAGACCGGAGCCACGGATGTATCGCTGCAACGTGGAGCTATGAGTAAGACCATGCTGTCTTTCACGAAACGCACTGACCCAGAGATAGCTTTCAGTCGCGTTGAGAACTTCGGATGCTACCCTCAGAGCGGGATACTCGGGATGAGCGAAACCCTGGATTCCCTTCGTCGTATGTGTGACGAAGGAACTTTCAATGGTTGGAAGGCTGACGACAACAGCCTTGACTCATACATGAGCAGTTATCTGCCATAGGAGCAGACCGTGACGTACCTTCTTTACAGGATACCGACCCACAGGACTCAGCGACTCTTGCGAGAGTTTGACAGGCGCTAGAGGGGTTTCCTATAGCAAACAATGAGCAGGCATGCCCCGGCAACATAGTTAATATACCTACAGGTATGATGCTCCCAAAGTGCTTCCGCCATATGCTGCGGGGTTGTGGAAGGTCGAGAATGTTGCCAGCCACAGCGAAACGAATTCCAGACGGCTCGGTAACTGAATTATGCGTCCCAGGTGAGGGCCCTGTGCTCCAGTGCGGATAGTCAACTCACCATATTTCCTCAACTCCTCAAACTCCAGAGCCACAGCTTCGGGTGATTCCTGTAGCCGCTGGGTGATACTCGGAATAAAGTCCATCTGAGCCAGGAGCCCTCCAGCCCGCGTGGACGAGCTCTCATCGTAGATGAGGTCCGTCTGGAATGATTGCATGACGGTGCTGCCGTCGCGCTTCAGCTCAGGCAGGGACTGCTGAATCTTGGCCACAGTTACTTGGAGTCTATCGATAACACATCAGTGAAACCCCAATACATTCGACCATGGCGATGATTTCACCTTTCTTTGTCAAACTTGCTCCCATAAATCAGATCCTTTAGCCATGCAACCCCGTTTTCATACATCTTGGCCTCGGTTTTGATGCTGACACGAAGAAGCTCGGGGAACCCAGACGGTATAGCAGTCCCCAGATTAACTTCGTACGAGACAGTCTCATTGTCGAGTTTGTTCACGACTTCCTCGTGGGTGAGCTCTTCACCCGTAGAACGCTTGATAGGCAAGGAGAAGAACGAAGCCAGGTAAGCAGAAAGGTACCTGTAGATCCATCAGCCCTTAGTTCACATTGCGAGGATGAGTATTACGTACGGACGAAGGCGATTCGGGAGCTTGGCGAGGGAGAAGTATGCGTGAATAGTGACGAACTCGGACTAAGAGAAGAGTGAGATCAGTACGAAACAGCTTGGACAATGCTATACTCACGTGCACATGGTCATATTGCACAAAGAACGGCAGCTGCTGGCCATCAGTACTTATGTGCTTGACTAACTCCGGGTCGGCGTCGAACTTGGACGGCAAGCGGCCCTTACCACCCTCCTGTATACTCTTCACAGTTATCCAAGAGATACTCTTGACGTCGGGGACCGGGAAGGCAGTCAAGATATCGGTGGGGATGGGTTTTTCATGCTCCTTCTTTGCCTCTTCAAGCTCCCGCGCCTTTTCCTTGAGGCCTTCCGGCCCCAATTTCTCCTTCTGAGCAGCGATGCGGACTTTCTCGTCTACTTCGAGCTTGTCAGCCATGGCTGCAGAAGGTTTCCCGACAACGGTGACACTCGGAGGGTCAATATAATACCTGAGTGAAGATCGTTTAGTACGGCTATAAGAGAAGGCTCGGCAAAACACTAGCCTCTGCAGGAGCTTCACCCAATCTTGGTTCGTCCACTTCTTCAGAGCATTGTAGTAGTTGATCTCGTCCATGGCGGGTAACAACTCCGACGCATCCTCCTTCCCGTAGAGGAAATCAGTGATGACTGTTCCCGAGAACGTATCACCCTTGGCAGACTCCAGTTTGCTGAGGAGCTAGGAGGCAGAAGTCAGCCAAACCTGCTTTGCCATCTCCAGTGCTCCGTACCTGTCTCTCATCGCGATTGATAACCATAGACATCCGTTCCATATCGAAGCCCTCCTGCGCGATACGTTTGAAGCTTGACCGCAATCTCTCGGAGAACGTGTCGATATGTTCCGTAGGCACAGATCCAATGTATATAGGGAGATCGACATGAGTAGCGCGAGTGTCTTCACCAAAGTAGATGTATGTACTTGGAGAATGCGCCACGTCAGGCAACCGTGCAACAAGATGGAAGAAAATGGGTACCATAAGGGCGACTCCGTCTCGATATATTCCTTATTGAGAGGCGCTACAGGCGAAGAAGTCAGGTACGTGCTGAGTATATCGAGCGCCTTCAGAGTATTCGGCGTGAGCTATCTATGTGTTGACACTGCAAAAAGCAGAAAGCATACCTTTCTCTCGATGAAAGCATTTGGAGGTGGTCCCACGTAACTGATCATGACCTCTCCTACGCTCTCGTCCTTCTCGGGGAATTCCACATGTTCTACGACATTGGCCTTGATGCCAGGCCTGATCGCACTAGCGGTCTCCACAAATGGCCTCTTCCATCCTGGAGGCTTGACCCCTTTATTTTGACCATGCTCCACGATCCGTGGTTCTACTTGCTCCTGCAGGAGTTTCAACAAGGAATTCGTTCCACTACTTAGCTTCCCGCAGATGATCAATGATAGATTGTGAGGAACATAATAGGTGCCGTGGTACTTCCGGACTGCGCATTCATTGAGTATGGAAGCCGCCACGCCTGCTGCCACAGACTTACTCTGTTCAATTGTAAGAACTCGGAGCGCTTCCATGAGTCCTCCCGTCTCACTGCGGTATGCGCTACCGGGAGGATTAAGCAAGCGCTGCATTCTGAGGGACGTGAGTGGCTTTGGTAGGAGTGGTTAAGCCATGTACACGAACTTGAGGGCCATGAGGTCGCCAGCGGTATTCTCGCGACCTTGCATCTCGCTGTATACGACTCCAGAGTCGTGCCCTTCGCCATCGACATGGTGCACCTACGGAAATCAGGCAGTCAGCACCTCTGGGTCAAGGTAAGATAATTCGCATATTACTGACTTCCGTGACAAAGCCAGCTTTGGTCAGAGTCGGGTACAAAATGTGGTCAACATAAATTGGCAGCAGCTGGAGGAAGCCCTGCTCGCCGGCAGTGGATACAGTATATGCTGTGTGGTCAGTATCCGTCCAAGCATTGGTGCCGTTGGAGAAACCACGATTGGCAAGGTGATCAATGATACCCTTGTACGGGTATTTCTCCGAACCCATAAACACTAGGCTTGGAGCATAAGAGTCAGGATATCTTCAGCGGAGCTAGGAGCATGGTCACGCACTGTTCTAGAGTATGGGGACAGCCGCTGTCATCGAATACTGAACAGAGGATCAGATGTGGCGCAGCGGAAACGAGCTCATGCACGCACTTTCGGTCGCAACGACAAAATAACCATTGACAATGGGTGCTGCAAAAGAGTTAGAGTCTATACATTCTACGTCTGCCAGGTACAGTACGCACCTTCGTAATCCAGATGTACCACCGTGAGTCCCGTAGTCCGGCTCTTCCACTTGGACACGACCACGTCCGAGAAGTCCAATTTGAAGCGCCGGACCAAGTCATAATTACCTAGGGTTTGAACAGCTTCAGCAGCAACAGCTGATCCATTTACGCTGGGAGACATGGTATGTTCTAGGTGGGCTGAACGTTTGGAGAGCTGACCGAGGGAGGGTGGCGTGACGCGTAAGCACGAAGAGGGGACTTTAAACTCTTTGTGTCGGCCGGAAGAAGAAAGCAGACCGCCAAAACGTTGCCTGAGTGGTATCAAAGCACGAAGCATGCAGCTGATTGACCGATATTACAGCAGCGACCAACCCAAACCGCCGAAGCACTGACCGAGACGGTTTGGAGGACTTAGCCGCAAAATACCTTGACCTCCCATAACCGGCCGCCCACGTGAAGGCTTGCGATCCGCCGGCAACTCTCCGATCGCGACTTGGAACGCGCCCTCTGCTTCGAGAGTCTTTAAAGTCGAGAGATCAATCCACTGTTGCAAACATTCTTCGGGGTCGCATATCTTTGAGAAAACCCTGCTGGAGGGCTTCACTTGCTTGGCCATCTCGCCTGTATTCATGCCAGGCCTTTGAACGCTCCCGGTCACGATCCAACAGCAGGATGTCACAGAAGGGCGGGTATCAGCTCACTCCCGAGCAGCTGGCGTTACAAGAGGAACGAAGGCGCAAGAAGCTAAATGCTCAGTCGCAGACTCCGAAACCCCCTCTCATTAATGAGGAAAAGGGGCACGTACTACCTCGAGAATGGCTCAAGCTACCAGAGTCGGGTACCAATCCCATAGCACAGCGGATCAAAATCATGACCTGGAATGTCTGTACCTTCTCATAACTGCGTATGAGTGAGGTGCGATGAAATCTATAGATGCTAGCGCAGTGTCTCGTCCGTAAGTCTCCGCGGTACCACAATAGCTGAAATCGATGTCAACATCGTTCAGGCCGTGAATTATTCCCGAACAGCGACTGTCTGAAAGCAGCTCAACGAGAGCACATGCTATACTATGAGATTGCATCGCATACTGCTGATATATTGTGCCTCCAGGTCAGTCGCGGGCCTTCGCCCCCGCTCTAATACCCAACTAATACCAGTGCTGAATGGTGCCTCAGGAAGTAGACAGACTAGAGAAGCTGCTTCCCGTTCTAGAGGCCCTCGATTATGCTTATACATACGCGGCAGGCCCTAGAAAGCTTCACGGGTGTCTTATCGCCTACAAGAAAGATAAATATGAGAAAGTGGCGGAAAAGGTAATCGAATACGACCAGGAAGATGTCCGAAAAGACGGCGAAGAACGGGCGAGACGTGGAAGTAGCTTCCGGACGAAGAACATTGCGAACCTTGTAGCTCTGGAAGGGCTTGAATCAGATTGTGCTGGCATAATAGTTGCTACAACGCATTTATTCTGGCACCCGAGGTACGTTGGAACGCGAGTGACAAATCAGACTCTGGTCTTTAATACTTGCTGCTAGGTACACGTATGAACGAGCTAGGTAATCGTCTGCTCTAAGGCAGTTCAATCACTCTGAATAACGGGTCTGCGCTCCAGACAAGCGGGTATATTACGCAGAGAAGTAATTCGGTTTCAGCAAGATGAGGGCCACATCGAATGGCCCTGTATTGTTGCAGGTGGTGAGTAGGTGGCGAGCGCTGTTCCTTGCTATCAGCCATGGTCAACGTTCGGTGCAATAGACTTCAATGCACCACCTGACGATGCTACATATTCTCTCCTGGTCGGAGACCCCGTCCTGCCATCTCAGGAAGAGCGTCTATCCTTTTCGCGCGTCGTGCATGCAACCATTGATCCGACCGTTCCTGCGGACGCAGCTAAAACATCAGCGGAAGAGGAAGACGAGGGCGCCGTTCAGCCTAACGAAGATGGGGAAGAAGAGACGGATCCAGATCGCATCATTACGAACGCCAGGGCAGCGGGCCCGGAGGATGGTCTGTTAACCACCGCCGAACTGACCGAACTCTACTCGACGCATGATAGCCGCCACCTGAAGAGTTTGTACGAGGAGGGACTCAAGTCAGCTAAATCGATTGCGAGTACTCAAGGCAGTGCGCAAGATATCCGGACGTTTGGAGATAGATTCGCTCCAAGAGAGCCGGACTGGTCGACTAGACATGGTCTGTACGAACCCGAATGGACTAGCTATACCTTCTATTGGCATGCGACCCTAGGTGAGCGACACCGTTACCTTTTTCATGTTCTTTCTCACCGTTCATGAATACAGATTACATCTTTGTGATTGACCCTCCAAGTCGCGTTTCTGCGGTATCAGGGCTGCTGAAGCCATTTCGTACAGAAGAACTTATACCGGGTATCCCCCGCAAAGGCATCAGCGGAAGTGATCATGTTGCTCTCGTTGCAGAGGTGACTTGGACCGGTCAGCCTTAGCCCACTGGCATGGACGGAACCCTCTACGTCGAGCTGCTACTCGACAGTCGACAGTCGAATAGTACTAGTAGATGGGCGATTAGAGTCATGCAAGTGATATATATGTCGTGGTATGGAGCGAAATGTGTCGTGAGATTACAGGAAAAGATGGGAATCAACTTGTGAACTGGTCAGAGAGGGATAGCAACAAAAGAGTGTTCAAAAGCGTAAGTGAATGGAATGTGGACGAGCAACATTAAGATCCCCCGTACTCTATGCCGGTAAAAGACTACCAATAGTCCTGATCAAGACTCGTGACATGACACACCTCTCTCTCAAATTAGATTACCCTCGACCGACCGCCGCTCTGTCCGAGCCAGCTAGCAATGAATCGAACAGCCCTTGAGCTGCAGACTCGTTCCTCAGCTGAATCATGTAGATGATACCCGTCCGGGCGCCCTTGTCGCTCAACTCCACGGCGACACCCGTCTTCCCCACCCGTTCGACACCGTCGCTGAGTACGATCGTCGAGATTAAGACAGTTTTACGTTTGTCGTCGGCCTCCACCACCAGCTGCTTGACATTGGTAGGTTGTTGATTATAAAGCTTTAATCTAGCGGCGCCTAGGCTCTTCCATTGCGCGTGATGTTGCTGGAGGAATACTTTACACTTCATGTTGGCCGTAACCGAGGACGTGACAGGCCCTTTCGGCACTTCTTCCTCGATGGGAGAGGGAGGGGGACTGGGCTCCCGGAAGGACGCCGACCCAGACACCGCCACCGAAGCGACGCGCGCGTTCAGTGCAGATGGTAATAGTGGCCGAGGTTGAGGTTGATGTAATGTCTGCATAGACTCGCTCCGAGGGCCAAAGCCCGGTCCTCCAGGCAAAGGCGGCACTGGGGGTGCGCGCCCGGGATCAAACTGAGGAGCCATATTCGGCGTTGATGCGACTTTCCTGAGCTGACCGGGAGGACCGCCTTGAGAATATGGATCAGACGGCGGTCGCTGCGGAGGTGGGTACGGCCCAGGTGGTCCTGGTGGTCCGCGAGGTGGCATCTGGCCAGGAGGGAATTGCTGCGGGGGAGGCGGATAGGGTTGACCACCCATCGGTGGGCCATTGGGATATGGACGCGGAGGGCCTTGCATGCCAGGTCCCATAAATTGCCCTGGCCCCGGACCTGGTCCCCTGAACTGTCCCGGACCTGGACCTGGCCCCATAGGGTATCCTGGCCCTGGGCCGGGTCCCATGATTTGACCGGGTCCTGGTCCTGGTCCCATCACTTCACCAGGTGAAAACCCCCTAGGATTGCCTGGCAAACTATTGCCAATGCTAGGACCTCTGCTAGGCGCAGCACTATGTACCGAGTTGATACTGGTACTCCTGGAAGGCGGCATGACTTGTCCAGGAGAGAAGGACGGAAACGCTGACGGCGCGCCCGGGCTGGGACGATCCGGAGAAGTAACAGACATGTTTGACATGCTCCGGTTGATGGACTGCATGGACTGCTGAGACGGAGATGCAGAGCGTATGGGAGACTCGATAATGGATGCCGGCGGTGATATAACGCGCTCGGATGGTGGAGGAGCAGACGGGGATCGGGAGAACGTACTGGATCCAGATGAGCCGGTAGGCGACAGAGCAGACTGTCTCAAAGGTGGTACAGGAGGGGGCGGAGTCTTCGACGCAGGAGCAACTAAGGATCATGATGAATGAGGCTAAGGGAGCTTGTATATGGATTGTGAACATACCGCTCGACGCAAAATCGATGCATTCTTTCATCTCAGCGACGAGCTTATCTCGTGCATACACGGACTCGGTACGCATGGTCAGCACCTCCTTCTTCAGTATCGTGACTTGTACCGCGGTATCTGCGATGGAGTCAGCATTCCGTGCTGTAATACAGTACTGCCAGAGGACATTCATGACGAACTCACCCGATCCCGGGACCTCTGAGACCTTCAGATGCTTGCCAGCAAGTGGAGGGTAACACAACCACATGTCTGCACCATTGGCTATGGCCTGCTCATCGGGGAGTATCCTTTCACAAATCAAGAACAAGTCCGTAAGCAGAAAAATGTGCCCTTGCTGGTGCACAACTTCGACCCCCGTAGCCCGGGGAGTAAACTGAATCATGACATCACCAGAGAAGCGTAATTCTCTCGTGTAAGTAAGATTAGGGGGTGAGATTTGTAGGCGGACTTGCTGTTGAAGGGTCGAGATGAGTAACAAAGACGAAGATACCGCGAGGAGAACATACCTTCGGCTTCATAGTGAATATATCCAAGACCCTGTCTACTGCCAGTCTACGCTCAAGATCCGTGACTGGAGTCGAGAGTGTAGACGTAGAACCTCGATCAATAGACGTCGAGCCGGTGTCTCGGCTTAGCCGTTCTCTGCATAATAGCGTAAGCTCATTCCATGCATAACGGGCAAGCGACGTACCCGCTGGAAAAGCTGCTCCCTCTCGCCGAGCTGCTCCCGCTAGTACTACCCCGTGCGTCGCTGAACCGCGCACTGTCTTCCCTAACCTGGGTCCGCATGTCGATCACGACCTCGTCCTCGCCAATCTCCAGTTTGCTCTCCTGTGCCTCCTGTGCCGTGGTATTCTGGCTTACGCCTGATTCGCGTTGCCCGGCAGCCCCTGGAGGTCTCATTTCAGCCCGTTCGTCAACGATGCCCATGAGCTTGTCCAGTCTCTCCACGGCGCCAACTAGCAGCTTATGGTCGCTCCGCCCGGCGGTTGTGCTCTTCAGCAACCGGCCGTATAACTTCCTGTAATATTTCAGTCGGGCTTTGGGGAGAAGGAAGAGTTGGTCTAGTGTCCACAACGGCGGCGTTGATGGGTGATCCGGAGAATCAGGAGGAAGAGGTGGCGGGACAGCGGCAGAAAAGGTAGCTAGCACGACCGGGAGGCGAGTATTAGAGGTCACTGGAGGCCAATCGTCGAGGCCGCAGTAATAGGTGTTGCAATATGAGGTATATGGCCGCTCAAGATCGTCAATCTGAAGCATGGAAAGGATTAGATCGTGAATATGGGGGGAGGAATCCAGTTACCCAGCGCATTAGTAGGTCGCCGAGAGCTTTGGGAGATGAGGGATTGGTACCGATGTCATTCAATTCCTGCAGAGAGCAACGTAAATCGCGCAAACTTTCTACGGGAAACTAGCGCGTACCTTGAGCAGACCCCGATTCGCCTTGTAGACGGCTTCTATACTCCGGAACATCCCATCTAACTCTGGAGGAGGTAAGTTGTTTCGGGACCATGCTGCGGCTACTTTCTGCAGTGACACGACAACACTTCAATATGAAGGGTGGAAAGTGAGCAACGTAGTTCGTACGCGTATAACGCCTGCCAGCTGATCGACGTATAACTTCTCAGTCTCGATGAGATCGACAAGGGGATTGGACTTTTTCGATCTGCCCTCGCGTCCAGGAGAGGAGGGAGCGGAGCCTACAGATGATGCACTGGGACTGACTGGTGTCAAGGGAAGTTGACTGGAGCCTTTTTGATTTCAAGACGTGGTGTGAACATGACCGTAACCACGGAGTATTAACTCATGCTCACCCGGTCCGAGAGAGGTCTCGCCATACGCGGGCGTAACAATCGGAGGCGGTCTCAACCCCGGGCGTCCGTCGCGTTCTCTCGGGTCAACTTCGCCGTCATTTTGCATGATCTTGGGCGGGGGAGGCGGCAGCGGGAGGTCGGTGATCTGGGGCGGCAAGGGGGGCAGCTTTTCGTCCCTGGCCGGCGCCGGCAGAGGCTTGAAGGTATCGACAGTCTGCCCGTTCATGTGTACAATGCCGGGGCCAGGAGACGGACGTAAAAGAGAGACGAGAGGCCCTTGACAGGCTGGAGAAATTGTTTGCGAGCGTGACGGAAGGACGGTCAAAGTGAGGACATGAAGGGACCTGCCAGCCTAGACCGTCGTTCCCCGAAGTCAATCCTGATGCCATCCTTTGGCCTGACACGTGTGTACGCTCTCTGCCCAGCATTTCGCTCTTGTCCATAACTACGAGCTGTAAGAGCTGTCTAAGTCTTGCTTTCTTGACCTATACCAGTACTACATGTCTGGGATACCGAGCGGTTAACGTTACGGCACCCTCTGATTCTACACGTCGCCTGCTGGCATTGCGCACTTCACCGAGACAGCTCGACGTCGATCAATACCACCGCAGCTCTAACCTCGAGTCCAGTTAGAGATACAGCGATGATAAGATTTCGACCGACATCCTCCTGATGTCGTTCGGTTCCGCGACGTGTGTCGATCTACAGGAACGGTCATCCATGCCCGTTTGCAGTGCTCCGAAGGACGACTGCCTTTACCATCCCTTTATGAGAGCATCTACGTCACTCAAATGGCTTTGCTCAAACAAATACAGACCACGGAAGTGACTGTACCCCGAGGGGCTGTGGCAGAAGTTCACCGGTTGACCAGCCGCTGGTTCGCGCGCGCGACGAACCTCCACGCGAAATGCCCTGGGATCCGGATAAGCTGAAGTCTGTTTCTTTAGATGAAGGCTCCCTTAAGCTTCATCGGCCTCACCTCGTCATCTTCGCGATGACGCAGGGCGGGTTCCGATTGCGAACCTAGATAAGGGCGGGTATACATAGGCACTGACAAGGGCCACGTCAGCTGCCATCCATAGTCCTCGCCAGCTCGATAACTGACTGCAGGATGCATGCTCACCAAGAACAATCTGACGACGAATTCGAAGTGCTCCGCCCTAGCAGCACCAGCGAGGCCGCCATTGGTCATCCCGCACAGGACGGCAGCAGCACCCAGGACATCACGCAGATCCTGCAGGCGCATATCGACAAGCGTCTCGATGACATCCAGAATCTGACGAACAAACGGTTCGACGACCTGGAGACACAGTTTAGACAGATAGTGCAAGGGGAGAGCAGCAGTGTCGGGGCGGCACAAGCCAATTCCGAGTCGCTGGACAGAGGCTTGCAGCTGTCGCAGATAATGCAACACTTCCTGACCCAGCGTCAGAACCATGTTCAGGAACTTGGAATACTCTATCGTATATCAACCTCCTGGACATGGTCATGGCTGGTAATATTACACCTAGGACACTCCAACTGGCTCGTCATGTCCACCTCCCCTTCGGCGGCTCCTGCCCTGCAGCCCTTCTCCTCTCCGCCTCCAACATTTCATCAAACCTCTTCTGCTCAACAACCCTCTCTGGGTCCTGGTCTTCATCGATCACAAGCACCTGGACATTGCTCCCTGATGGTATCCTGGTCCCAGGGGTTCCTTGAGATGAACTGGGGTTTGACGGAGGAAGGGAGCGGCGTCGAAGGGCTTCCCAAGCTGATTGGGATCCCTGACCAGCGTTCGCGGCTCGTATTTGATCCCATTTCGAAGTCGATCGTGAGGAGTCCGACTCTGCTTGTGAGCTCTGCCGTGGCTGGGCATCCGTAGATATCGAGGGCAGTGTTGCCGGATATTGTGTTCCTACACCGGTAGAAAGGCATATCATATACTCGGGCCTGTCGTAACGTATTATGCAGTAGTGAAACTCACCAGTAGATGGCTGGTCAGCGTCCTCCATACGCTCAACCATGAAGCCCTCCTCGACCTCCTTGCCGGGCTCCATGCCGAGTCCAACGGGATCGTCCTCCTTTGCCCCAACACCCCAATCACTGCGGTTCCTGTGTTCAACAGGAAGTCTGACTTTGACCTGCGGCATTCCATCGATCCTATGGAATACGTTCTCTACCGCACGTTCAAAGCCTGCAGGGTTCTCAAGTGACTTGGCGAATCGGATGTGAGACCTAATGCGGTAGGCTTCGCCAACACCGTAGCCCAAAATGCCGGTGAAGAACGCGACGGTGCTGACTTTCACGGGCACAAGTCGCAGGTTGCGGAAAGCGGGTAAACGAGCGGCGAACGGACCAACGACATAGGGTAGGAGCGTCCCGGAGAGGCCAAAGCCTGTCTGGGTGGGGGCTGATTAAACCATGTACTGCAAGTGCAGTGTCAGAGTAAGATGCTGACTGGAGCGTACTTGGTCCAACCACCCAGAAATCTTGTGCTCTGCTCATAGTCGTGCGGGGTGAGGTTACCGTTCTCGAGTTCAGGCTTGAGCAGCTCTTCGGTCCGACGCCTGCCCTTGAACACGAGCTCGAGATATCTGGTGGGATAGGAGCCTTTGGGCTCTACGGGTATTTGCCCCGCAGCAGATGTGGTCGCATGCTCGCTCATCGTTGCGGCATACAAGCAAGCTCGATATCCAGTGCACTGTAAGAGCAGGGGGATGCTAGACGCTTGTGTTTACCGTTACGTGACGTCAATCACCGACGCGTCGACGCGACATGCGCGTGACGCGTGATGGCTCGTTCTGCGTTCGTGAACACATACATATCGACCAAGGTTACAACCTATACCTCGAAGCTAAGGAACGCTTATTCCTTTCCTCTAGATTTGTGACCACATGGGTCCCAAAGAATCCTGGTTCTGCACGAGTTTTCCGCTATACAGCACTAGTACTGACTACAATTTGAATATACGTCTGTGTGGCCCGCACGAGAAATGGCAGCTCAAGGTACTCGGGTGCAATCAGCCTCCCCAGATATTGTGATACCGGTAATGTATGTCCTGCCTCCTGGCCTACCGTGACAAGAGACGCTGGCGTCTGATCGGACGCTAGCATTTCCTGTCATGCGTATGGTCGAAATAAATGATAAGAAAGTAGGTCCCGATGTTTCTTCAATCATGATTGGTATCAGACGCTGTGCAGTTGGCAACGCTGCCGCGGAGAAGACTCGGGATTTCATCCCTATGCCTCGAACCTACAGACGTCAGCCAGTTGGTCTTTAGTTCTCTCTGTCACAAAGCCTCGAGCTCTGGTAACCCTTACAGATCCCATCTTGCTTGGGATAGCGCACGAGTAGGGGACCCATTCATACAGTCTGAAACATCAATCGACCTTCACAACCTTTCGGTGGCACTTCCTTCTGATACTGCCCCGCATTCAGAAGTGATGCGGTGACGGTCACCATCGCTTTTCAAGCCCCAAACCCTCCTTTTGGTAGGAGTTGAAGTACATCTTGTGGTAATGGCCTCCATAGTGGGGGTCGCGCTCTGGTCTGACTATTGATAGGGCATAGCACACGGGAGCTTAAAGTTCCAACTGTTCGCCACCGAACCGGACCCGGCGAACTTATTCAAGACGGGCTCGAGGAGAAAGTACGTCTTCCCAGCGGCGCCCACGCAATCGCAGGGATAGGTAGGATGGTGAGCCGCGGCATGCTCGCTTCTCCCGTACCTCGAGGCAGATTCGCCCACGATTGCAAGACGGAGCTAGATCACCTCCGAGGTTCACTAGGCCACGGGCCACCGGGTCAGAAATCTTAATATTATAAACCGCCATCTCTGATGGGCGACGAAGTCATAGCTCGGCCAGAAACGCGGTTGTCGACGCTCCGTCAGCAATGGAAACGGATGAATGACACGGGGACATCATCACCCAGCCTCCCACAGCACACAGTGACAAGGGGGGGGGGGGCGACGATTCTCTGAGTTCGTCAATGTCCATAATAAACCTAACACTACATGATAGAATAGTAAAGCGGGAGTGTTCTAGTGTATGTACACATAACCACAGGAAAGCCATGACACCTGAGAGAACGAACAGAAAACAAAGTATGCAATGCCATATTGATACAGTAGATTATGCCACAAATATCTCACCTCCAAACCGACTTCAACACACCACGCTCCCCCCTAGGCTCAAAGGAACGGGCCATTGCGAGCGATCCTCGGCACTTCCTCTCCATTGGACCAGCTGGCTCGGTGGTCACTGCTGCTGGGTGGTACCCCGCCGCCCGAACCCATAGAGCTGTGACTCCGTCCGCTCAATATGGAATTCGGCGAGTCCGCATTCAACAGGCCATTGAGGCTCGAAGGTGAGCCCATGGTGCCTGCCTCCATGCTCATGTCATGTAGCCGCCCCATGCTGTCTGAACTCAAGCCTCCGTTCGGAGGCAGCGGAGCACCCCGCGTGCCTTCCCGGTACTCAACGTCGTCACCGTCGCTGCCAGTGACGCTGATACTGGCTGCACTCGTGCTCCCGTTGCTACCATCCTTTCCGAAAAGACTGGCGTGGGAGAAGGGGTAGAGGGGAACCGGTAGTTCAAGTGGTTGTCGTTGACTGGTCATGCGGACTATCTCCGACATTAACCCCTGCAGGAGTCGTTCTTGACGAGCTACAGAAGGAAGTGTGAATATGTGAAACATACTGCAACTGTGGCAGACTAAACATACTTCCGATAGGCGACCGATTACCGTATTCCCGCATCGCAAAGCTGTAAGCAAAGGTTAGTGAGAGATAGAGGAGGGAGCCCAGTTGAATTTGACCTACCGCAACATATTGATCTCACCCCATACTTGCGTCTCCCGTGGCGTATCTCCCATCTGGATGTAGTATTTGCACATCTGAACCTGGACCACTGCAGCGAGATACCAGCAAATCTGAGCGATGGGTGTAAACTGGGTTAGACCGGGCGCACGACGCGCAGCTTGACCAGACATCATACGTACAGTGACAAATGGGTGTAATCGGGTCATATCTAACGGGGTTGACGATATAAGGTAATAGAAACTGATTATCTCTTGAGCAGCGTGGACGCAACGCAGAGTCGATATCCAGGTCGGTTTCCCGAAATCTAGGTAGGGATTGTGGAGAGTGATGGTGGCCCTGTGAGGTTAGAACCGTATGATAAGCGGATCAATTGACTAGACCATGTCACCTCGAAAGCGCTTACGCGTGAGGTATTATGTGGACCATGTATAAATCTGTATCTACCGCGCTTCCACCTGTTTCCTCGAAGGCAGGCCCGAACACGCTTCTGTGGCTGGGAGGCAGATGGTTCAGGAAATCCACACATACGAGTCTGTCCAACTCTTCAAAGCCGTCCAATTGGAAAGGATCTTGATTTTTAGACGGCGGGGAAGCCGCTCGTAGACTGCCGCGCACGTTATAATCCGTGACGCGGCCGAAAAGCATTACAGCCTTCAACAGGAGTAGGAAAGAATCGGTGAACTCTGGGGGATGGGTGATAAATACGTCCTTCGTGACGAGGTCTTGTGGATTATCATGTTCAATTTGCTATCACAGGGATGACGTAAGAATTTGGAGGTATGCTTGAGTGAAGTACTCACGTCTGACTCAAAATCCACGCGACGCAAGGGGAATTCGGTGCCGATATCTCGCTCATCGACAGCGTGAACCCAGCCACCTACCGAAGCAATCCGGTCGAAAAGGATGGTCATCCACCATGTCCTTCTTCTCGACTCCAGATCTCTACGATCCTTGGGGGGCGCCAGATAGGCTCCTGGAGAACTACTGCCAAGCATTGTAAACGTCCCGGGGTGATTTAGTCTGAGGGGAATTGCTACTCTTGTCTGGAATCCGGCAAAAATCCAAACTTCCACCCAGCGCCCTTCCTGGTAGAAATACCAGGACAGGAGCAGACAGGCTTGCATTACAGCAAAGATATCTTCTCCGCTAGCCATCGTGCGGTCTATGTACTGCCGGGTTTTACCGGCGTGATACTCAGCGAAGGTATCACGGCGGCTCCCGTCAGGCATTGTCTTCAAGCTTTGGGGGGACCAACGTGATGCTGAAGCGCACTGTGAAACAGAGGGGTAATTAGCGGAAACGATAACTGCTAGAGCAGGCCTACAATTGCATGGAGGATGGCTGAATGTGGGAATCCAGGATCGCGGGGATGCAGGTGAAGAGATGTTAAAAATGAAGGCCGATGCAGTATACGGGAACCACAAGGGTCGCACTTGAAGAAGGTCTCGACGCTGATAAGTGACGTGAGACTTGGTTCCATTGCTCCAATCCCGAGTCAAGCACTCACTAATGTGTAAGGAGTGGCGGCTCGGGCAAATCAGGGTTCCATCCGGCATGTATGAGATCTGTCAGGGACTCGGCGCTCGATAGCCCTCGACAGCGTACAGTCCGAAGCTCGGGACTGCCACTGTCGCTTCGGATACTCATATCCGGACTTCCGCTCGGGATAGAAGAGATCATATTGAGCGAGGCATGAGGTAGGGCAATCCCGGAAGGCCCGGCGAGCGCGCTCATATCAGGAGTCATCCCGCCATTTGATGCTCGCGACAGTGATGATCTGGGTCGCCCATGAAGTACTCGAGGTGAGTGAGATGGGGAAAGGGAGCTGGCGGCAAAGTTTGAGGTCTCACGAAGGCCACCTTCGCTCAGCCTGCGCTTCAGACGCACTATTCACCTTAGGCACCTCTCTTGAATGTCATGAGGTGCGACAAGAACTCACCAACTTCCTCCTCAAGCTGTCTAATCCTTTCTGCGGGATCTATCTCTGGAGCTAATGGCAGCCCTTCCACGGGATCGTAGGAGCATTGGGGTTCCGTTGGGTGACTACGACATGACCGGCGTGTGGCGGCTCAGCATAGAAAGCAAAAGTAAGGTTCGCAGGGGACATACACGTAGCCTGGAGGAGGCGGGACACTGATTGTAGCCTGCCATTGTCTTCTCGAGTGGTTAGCTTCCGCTGGCATTGAACTAGACGGACGGCGCTGACTTTACGCATGTCCCGCAATGAGGTCGGGCAGCGTCGCATTTCTGAAACGAAGGTGAGACGCATAGAATTCCGGTAGTGACAATTCTCACCAGCTTCCGCTTCCGGCAGGACAAGCATGCCTTCAGACGGTGTGCCCATCAGGAGGTGTCTCAGTTAACTAAGTGATATCCTCTCACCTGATTCCGGCGCAGCGCAGGACGAGAAGAGCTGGAGCTAGCTGCCTTGGGCATGAGCGGACTATGCGTGGCGTCGAGGGAGAATGGGGAGGGATAGACGGAGAGGAAGGGAGGGGAGCGGAAGGAAGGAGCGAAGTATATAGACCGGCCCTCACGACGAGTAGTACATTCTTTAAGTCAATAGATTGCCACGTGCTTTTGCGGAAGCGCTGAAGATGAAATCGGAGCCCGGATCTCGTCCCTGTGTATCTCACTGGGCGGGGAGTCCCCGCAAGCCAGATTGTTGAGTAACCAGGGTTGCCGCCCTTGTCGGAGAACAGAAATCTAACTCAAACACCTGCAGGGTGGAACGCCAGCGGCGCAACGTTCGTTATTATTCGACGTGCTTGAGCTGAATCCCGAAACAACAGCGCCTCATGATAATATGGTGGACTCTGTGGCGCATGTTGCATTCTACTAGAAGGAATGAGACTACGCCCCACCTTCAAGCTTCAGGTGCCCCAAGGTTATATTCACAGTATACCAAGGAGCGCCCAGGTTGCCGAAGTTATCGCCGCCGACCTGATCACGGTAATCTAAGCTTGTTGAAAGAGGCACGGTTCGATCGATCCACTCGTGTACATGATCTCAGTAGCTGAATCTCGATATTAATTCTCGAGCAAGCGGTCCCCTCGCTATTCGGGCCCCAACTTGCAGCTCATGGTCTACGAGACGTCTTTACCTCACCACTAGAGGTTGCAGGTGCCATGTTGAACAGCGCCGCTGTGAGATATGCCAACGGCGGGACTCCGTTCAAACACCAAATGGAGCAAGTATGCATCCGACCGGTCGCAGGGATCACACACCGTTACTTACCTTAGTTCTGTAGCTCACAAGTTATCACAGGCGAAGCCATGATCACACCGCGAAGATCAGCAACGACTTCTCATTCCAATCAATGATTGCGCGGCCTCGAAATCGAACCCGGCCATCCAATATACACCCCGCCCCACTTGTTCGAATTGACGGGACGCCGTTTGCAAGGCTGAGGCGCGACATGCATTCCGCCTGAGCAGGGTGAACTCCCGTCATCGTTTTACCATGGCGCAATTGCTACCAAAGCCGCTTTAAGCCCGTATAAGGCTCACTAGGCTTCCGGATATAGCGACGGGCGAGGAGGAACGTCCGTCATAGTCCTGCAAGAACAGGAAGGTTTGATTATTCGGATCACGTAAGTCATGGAATGTTGCTCCGTATAGTTTTTTGGGCGAATCTCGAGCAATAGCAACTCTGTACTTGCGAGTTGCCTTTAGGCCACCGGATATCATGCCTTTTGTAGCAGGGTACATGCGTCAGTCTCTGAGGGGATCAGGTACAACGTTTGGGTTACCACAAGGGCTTACGCGCATCTCCATCCCGTCCCCAGGAACCGGTGCAACCTGCAGGATACATGGCCAGAACCTTATGAGAGGTCTCTCAATCGACCAACTGTCGTATGCGCCACCCATGATTTCGTCTCATACGTGTATTCGCAGGTCAACCTGTAAGCCACGAAACGCGGTAGATTTCACACACGCAGATACAAAATACAACATTACATAGTGATCGTGAACTTGAGATCGAGAACAGCCAGACAGCCATGACAGCTTTCCTATGATCTACGCATAACCATGTTGAACTTCCGTTGCGCACGGTGGATGCAGAGTGGACCAACTGACATGATAGTAGCCACAACTCGCCTGGTGTGCGCAGCATGCCTGAACTCGCAGAGGTAGATGCCTGTATACTCTCGATTAATATGGTCCGCACTTGGATGGCGTGAATCAATCTAGATACCTTGCCATGTCCCGAGGTTGAGACGTCCGTCCGTAATTGGCACGGAGATAGTTGGTCCGATAAGTGAGGTTTTCGTGTGAGATACACTGTATCGCAGTGGTAAGATCTCCAAAGGTACTGTAGTCCTATGACGGCGATCCTTACGAATCACTGTTATTAGTGTAAGGAGAGCGGCTTCTTCTCTTCAGAAATAGGCTCTTACTCTGGTCCTTCGTCGGTATGAACCCAGTTTAGTTTCTCTGGCACGACATGGTCCAACGCCATGTTCATGTCTGATGACGGTCAGTGGAGAGCGGCGTCACACGGAGGATTACCAGATACCTCGTCGGACATCTACAGGATTTTCCCAGCATGAGTGTCATCCCAAAGACCGGGGATCATGCCTTACCGGGATCAAAGTTCTCATTAACAGTCAGCGCTGCCGAAGTGTGTTGTCTAAATGTCACGGTGGGATGAGGAGATCCGCCTTGGCCTGCAGCATAACCAGACCCAGTCAAATGGCAACCTACATAAACAGGAACAACATTCCAGCCTTTAACATCAACTCATTAACCCCGAAACACTCCGTACTAAGGAGCGAAATGCTCGCCTTGACATCCTTCAATCCGGGTTGAATCTGAGATAGCACCTCCTCAGTCACCAGATGGCATCCCTTAGCACGCCTTGACAAGGTGAATGTTTTTTGCCAGCCCATAAATGATGTAGTAGCTTTGCGGCTATTTCAGAGAGGTTTATGAGGGTTTCAAGCAGTCCTGGTCCCTGCAGGTGTTTCAGACTTCAAGTGATCTCCTGGAGTTGCAAGATCCTCAAGTCGATAACATAATGACGTCAGTCTCGTTATTCGGATGACAAGAAACCGCCGGTGGGTAAGCGCTCAGAGTTCAAATTTGTGGCATGTGGGAGTTGATACGGAGTTCAATAATGTTCTCGAGTTTCGGGACTCTATATGAGCTACCATATGATGCCAATACCCTTCCGCATGCCACGGATATGTGTCGATAAGACGAAGGTGCATCGAACGGCCGTTCTCATTATAGCGCATGCTCAGTATCGAAGACGTGATATCAGCCACGGCTCAAATGTAGGGCCTCCTCTATCCAAACACCACGGGTCCAATGCATTCACCACGCTCTCAGAGGTAGTACTTATCAAGTCAGACCACTTGTGACGGTTTGACGACGAACGGTGGGTCCCAGCTCGCGGGCTCGGCCTCCTGCCAGGCCGAAGGCCCTTGCAATGCTCGATCATCGTTATAGCACCACGAGACGCCACATACGGCGTGATGTGTCAACCACCCAAAGACGGGATGATCGAAGGTGGAAGAAGAAACACGACTGGAAAGCCAAACGATAGATGTCGATCTAGTCCTCCTGACCGTATCGTTTGCTCCGCTCCACGCCTCCCCGGTTGCCGGGCACGTTCCGATTGCGGCAGTGGTTGGCATAATGTCCTTTCTCGCCACACTATCAAATGATAACCCTGTGAGTTATAAACGAACCATACAGACTGTTTCCGGCATACCTTGAAACATAGTACATCGTCGAGATTCCGACGAGGCATCGGAGGCGCGTTCCCGACACTGGGACCCATAGCACCAGGGAAGCCACGATCAAAATCTGCATACCGACCATACCCGGGAGGTGGAGGGCCTAGTTCACGTGAAGAGGGCGGAGGGGGAGGTTCGTAAGCCTCTGGTGGTGGCAGTCCAGGTTTCGGGCTGCATATTTTACGTTAGTCTGACTGAGACTCGAGGCAGTGCGGACGAGCCTGTACTCACTGGCCGCGGGGGCACTCAGGACCCAGAGGACAGAAGCCCGTCAAGTAATTTTGACAGGCAACGCGGCGTACATGTTTTCGAGGACATGTGGGTCCTGGCGTTGATAAGTCACGGCGGTCTAATTTTTTCGCACAATTGCTCACCGAGCTTGCAGAAACCTCGCTTGTAATCCGGACACTCGACGCGGCGCTCTTTCGGATGCGCATACAGGCACTCATCTCCAGCAGAACAGTAACCATACTTGGCGAACCACCAGCATTCTGGCATACGCCTAAGGTTGTACTCGTGCAAGAACTCACAGGCATCTCCCTTCTTGCATAGTCCACGCAGCCAATGCTTACACACGGTCGCTAACCGCTCGCGATCCCGGGGATGCGTAGGAAGTTGTTTGGGCGGTTGGAAATTCAGAGGCGAGGGCGTGGTATGGCGTAGCGGACAATGTAAGGGTCCAAGTGGACAACCAGCGGGAGTGAGCGAGAGACGGCATATCTGATCGTCTACGAGGAGGTTCAAACTTCAGTATCAGGCATAGCATGGACTGGATCTAGAAAACGGCACCTTTATCAAGCTTGAGACCTAGCTCGTTCTTGATGTAGAGCTCCTCCTGAAAATTGTTCTGGTGAAACTGCGGTTGAACAAGGTCCTTCAGATGCGCGGGTCCGACGAGCGCCATCGTTGCTGCCGACGACGAGCAGGGCGTTAGCGGTCAGGGTCAAGGTCGCCTGGCCAAGTGACGCGGCGAAGATTATGGCATGCGAGAGGCGCGGAAGCAGATCGTGTCCGAATAAGGAAGGAGCAGCCCCGGAGTTCCTGCTGCTTGGCCGTTGGATAGCTTGTCGCGAGCCTGAATTGGTTACCCCTCCTTTCCATGGCTATTAATTGGGCGCACCCACATTCTCAGCGGCATCCAACCCGCCCAGGATGTCGCCAGGCGTCCTCGACGCGTCCCTCCTCGCTCTGTGCGCATTTCTGGGCTGTTTCGCCGTCGTTTTGTTGCGCTGCTCGGGCTGCACCAGTACCCCCGCGCTCAGATTCCCACCGGGGCCCCGTGCTTCGTTCTTCAGATGCGTGCAATTGCCCACATCCTATCAATGGTTAACCTATGCGAAGTGGCGGCAGATCTATGGTAAGGTTCCTGTGGTTGTTTGCCTCTTCACGAATGTGAAATGTGGCGCAGGAGATATGATCTATGTTCGCCTCTTTGGAAACCCCATTCTCATCCTGAACTCCGCGACGGTTGCAAGTGACCTTCTTGATAAACGTGGTGCAAAGTATTCCTCCCGGCCTGTGCGAACAATGGTAAATGAACTGTAAGTGCCGGGACTATGCTTGTGGCGCGTATTTATCACCTTTCGTCTGTCCAGAATGGGTTGGGACTGGCTGTTCTCGTCCATGCCGTACGGACAGCGTTGGCGCAGTCACCGCGCCCTCTTCCAGCAGCACTACCACTCAAACAGGGCCCCTGCCTTTCAGCCCCTCCAACTCAAAGAGGCGTATACTCTGCTCCATAACCTAGCGCAGGACCCGGACCGTTTTGCATATTATGTGCGAAGGTCCGCGAATTTGCGTCACCTCTTCCACTGTAGCCATTTGCTGACCCTTCGTACTAGGTCCGCTGCCGCGGTGGTCATGATGATTTCCTATGGTCACCAGATCGTTGCAGAAGGCGACTTATACGTCACCTTAGCCGACGACGCATTAGGCGCTTTGGGGAAAGCCGGGATATTTGGATCCTACCTCGTTGATTATCTGCCTTTCTGTGCGTATATGCTATGTAGTCGTTCTTTATGTAGTGTCTTCATTGATATTCTGATCAGTGAAACATGTCCCCGAATGGTGCCCCGGCGCTTGTTTCAAGAGACAGGCCAGGGAATGGCGTAAATTAACTCGTGCTATGGTAGACATACCGTTCACCGAGATAAAACAGAAGATGGTAAATATGACACATCTTCGAGCCACGATTGATATCTGAGTATAGGCACATATAGGCCGCCGGTACTGCCCTCCCTTGCGTCGCATCCTTGGAGCTGGAAAAAACCGATGGTACGCCCGACAGCGAGGAGCTAATCAAAGACGTCGCTGCTATTGGATACGCCGGTGAGACGCTTGACATAAATTACATGATGACCGAATCTAATAATATCTTAAGCTGGTGCCGATACAGTGAGCGCCCCTTATCCTGGGTCCTTCAGTATTCATGCTCAAGTTATAAGAGACTGTTTCAGCGATCTTATCTTTTTTCCTCGCCGTGTCTATCTCTCCCGCCGTCCAGAAAAGGGCACATGATCAGCTTGACCAGGTTTTGGGTGGCCAGAGATTACCAACTTTTGAGGACAGACCTTCTTTGCCTTACATTGACTGCATTCTATGGGAATGCTTGCGCTGGAACCCCGTCACGCCTATGGGCCTCGCCCACTACCTGACAGAAGACGACGAGTACGACGGTTACACCATTCCTAAGGGAACCACCGTACTGCCTAACGTCTGGTAATTTGCTCCTCTGCCTGCTGTTGCAGATATGCTTATACGTGGACAGGTGTATGCTACATGATGAGAAGAGGTACCCCCATCCACTCGAGTTCAAACCAGAACGATTCGAGAACGCGGCGGAGAATAAGAAGCAGGACGTTATCAGCCTCCCTTGGGAGGCCTTCGGCTTTGGAAGACGGTAACTAATTTTTCTTCTCCCTTGCGACTATAACTTGACCTCTACCCAAGGATGTGTCCCGGACGCTGGTTAGCAATCGACCAAATATGGATATCAATCGCCTGCGTCTTGGCCGTCTTTGATATATCGAAACCCTTGGATAATGACGGCCATCCTATCGAGCCGAATGTGAAATATACCTCCTCACAGCTCAGGTAAGTGCGTCCCCGCAAAGAACAGAACCGCTACGTCCTCATCACCATCTCGCCAGCCGTCCAGAGCCCTTCAATTGCAGGATCACTCCTCGCTCGGAGAGGGCCATTTCCCTCATAAAGCAGCTCAGCACAGATGGAACCTGTCAAAAGTAACAGGACTGGTCGGGAGGGAGGCGGAACGGGCGCCAAATGCATGGTAAATGCATGGTTATGACTGACGTCACCTGATGATCTATTTTACATGCTTCAAGTTCTTGTTTTGATTGCTTTCGGCCTGCTATCGTTGTAAAGTAACCTCACCATATACCCAGTAGAACACTGTCGATCCCCTTGTCCTTCAATCGTATTAACCCCTGCTCCACTCCGTCTTTCCAGGCTCTATCAGCTCCGGCTGGATCTGTACGTGTGTCTAACAACTCCACAAAGTAATAACTTTCGAAGGGCTGCCTGCCCAGCAACGGCCGTCTGTCCACACGAACAACATTCAATCCTATCGCCACAAGGATATCGGTTACGGACAGTTGCTTCTGCGGGGAAACGGTGCTGCCAATGCGAAGTAGAGCATGCTGAGGACATGTTGCAGGTTGAAGAGGTATTTCCCGTTCTCGCGATGTCGACATCACGAAAAAGCGGGTGATGTTGCCTGCAAAGTATCGTTAACGACAATGTACCGTGGTTAAATGAGACAACCACTTACTATCATCGTCCTGGATCCCTTCCCTCAGTACTTCCAGACCCTCGAATATAGAGGCGCAGTGTTCTGAGCATATCGCTGCGTCGCCACAGGCACCCTCTCCTGAGGTACTTATCGCAACAGCTGCTGCTGCGGTGGAGGAGACCCTCACCAGGGAGGCATTTGGAAGATGTGCCTCGATGAAACGAGCGCATTGACCTAGAGCCTAATTTTGTAAGTTGGGAGCAATTTCAGATTCACTTCCTCACCTGCTCGTGGCTCAGTATCCTTTTGATGCCCGAGAGGGAAGTCCCCTTGCGCACCACGAGGGAATGTCTAATGCTCTGTGTTACTTCTCCCAGGATGAATTTGTCTCTGCCCGCGCAAGAAGATCGAAACAGGTCATAAGTCTCAATCACCGTGCCATACAAGGAATTCTCTTGAGGAATCAAGGCAAGGGGACATTCGTCCGATAATGCGTTAAAGACGTCTGATACCGTTCATAAGGGTACCCATCGAGGTAGAACCGAAGGGCATTCACGCACTCGCGATGGTGTCGCGCTCATAATACTGCACTGATCTCCCAAATCTATTGAAAGCTGCCTAGAATAATGTCCAATCAATAACTACAAAGCACATCGGGCGAATTCGCACTGACCTGGTGGGAGTACGTGCCTAGGGGGCCTAAGAAAGCCAATCTTGGGAGATGCGTGTCCGCCATAACCAGTCCGCCACAGGCTACTGAGTTTCGTACTATCTCATCATTGTAAACCATATCGCGCGACGGCTTCATCCTGGGTCTGCTTTTGAGGCACTCATCTAGACTAGGTCCTTACCATTCAGTACGCAGTCCTATAAGCTTCCGGCAGGAGACGTACAGGTCTCATTGGATGTCTGACGAAACGCCTCACTGGATACGATTCAGAGTAGTCGACGTCTCCTTGTGCGCTCAAAATATAAGGATAGATGAGAAGATTACACTTAAGATACAACTAAGCCTATATTTCATGGTATCTAGCAGCCATCTGAAGGTAATTCAAGGTTAGTCTTGACAGACAGCTCGAAATGCGGGCCTCCTTCCGCCACCTCATAATAAGCGGCAGTCATAGTTGCCTGCGGGATCATTGGCCATCTGGGAGCTAGTGCATTAACTGAGGGGGCCGAGACTTCGCCACATTTCTGAACCAAGACGTTGGTCAACATCCCCGCATAACGATCTGTCAATGACATCGGCGTCAGCCTCAAAGGTGGATCAGCGATATACTTACAAGCCAGAGGTAAGCGTTCTCCCATTTTTGCCATTGCCACTCTGCAATCCGTTCTGAGAACACTGACGCTCGCGAATGAGAAATGCACTGACCGAATACAAAGAATCTCATTAACTAGTTTCGGGATTTCTTCCTGGCCATTCGCCAATTGTGCAGCTTCCAGGAAGCGGACCAATACGCGACCAGCCATAAACCAGGCAAACTAGGGATTGTTCAACAGCAGCCACCGCTGATAAGAACAGCATTGCATACCGGCACGAAATTATCCAGCAGAGATACATCATAACTGGTGGACATGATGGCGTAGATGAGGTCCAAGCTCCCTCTTGCTGAATCCAGGATCCTGCGCGCAGACATGCAGCCCTCGTGATCAAGTTCCGCATGCGGCTCATGAAGCAGTATCAAGGCACTGTAGGGAAATGATCATGTAACCAGAGAGAAATGAGAATGAACATAGACCTACATATGAGGCACCAAGCATGCTGTGTATAAATGCGAATCGACAGTATTCCCCTTTATGGGATCGCTGAGATTCTTAGGGAAGGACCTTCTGAAAGAAGCTATGTCTCCTTCAAGTTCAATAAATGCCGCCGTTTTTCGTGGATCGTTAGGGTGTAGAGGGTTCGAGGTATCGGAGGGAATAGTTGAAACGTCTCCAGCGTACTGCCTAGCTCGGTACCGCAGATTGAAGTTCTTCACTCGCGAGATCAACATGGCGGCCTTCACGTAGAGCACGAAAGGGTCAGTTTGGTCCCCTAGGTGTCTATGGAAGATTTCTTTGCTATGAGACCATAGACGATTACCGGGGGGACTAAAGGACTTGAGGGAAATGTGAGCATTAGGAACAGGCTATGGCTTGATACGAGGGCATACCCCGTGCAAAAACTGGTCCCCTCGAATGGGGAGCAGTTGTGAGACATCCATATCATCCAAACAGAGTGCCCATCCATTCCCACACCCATGCAGACGTTCCGCGCAATAAGCTAACCAAAATGCGTTCCTACGCATCTCATCTTCGATGACAGTCGTCGCCCGAGGAAGCAAGGATAGAGGTCGAGTGGAGTTCGCAATGGTGTGGAATGGTGGGCAACTGCAGAGACCCTCTGCGACAGAGAGCCGCATCACACAAGAACTCGCTAAGTAAACCTGCATGTTACCTATAAGAATTGTATTCGCGAAGGATGTCATGAAGCACGCACATCGCACCACCTATCCTTCATGTCAGAGATACAGTAGCATGCGAACATGGTACGGCATACCTTGCATGCGCCCAGTAATACCAAGTTAAGATGATGGACGCTACCACATCCTTCAGGAGAGTTGACTCAAAAGGCAAGAATATGGTACCTCACCCTGCAGCACTTCGAATAGATGTTCACCCATGCTAAGTTGCTCCTCGCACAAGTCTTTGGCATAACTAGCTTGCACGTCAGCAAACGTTTCTGATCGCCCTTGTCTCGATCGGTATCGCTTTGTGAACAGCTCCTCTGAACTTATTTCAATTCCTGCTTATTAAAAGTTAGACAGCGACCCACCGGGAGGTTCTTCTGAGAGATTGGGGCGGGGTGGGGAAGAGACAGCTGCGGTATACAGGCTTCCAAGGGCGCAGATAGCGTGCAATACAGCTGCATTCGGGAAGCCAGGCTGATTCGGTGGTAGAGAAAGAGAGGTCAAAAACGTCGGAGCGTGGAATAGTCGAGTTGCATGGGGGTGAAAGGCGAAGAAAGCCTCGACCCTGGTCACTGAATTAGCTCGCAGTTCCACGCGGACACCGATTGTTCTAACCCACAGGTGTCGAACTAGGTCCGGGCTTGGGAGGTTTGGGGGCCAAGCTGCCCATACAATACCGGTAACACTAGACGAAGCCGCATTATCTGGGGAAGTCCCGTGGGTGGGGGGCGTGGTAGTATCAATCCTTGCGGCAAGGGGCGGTGCACTCTCTGAATATGCATCTACATCCTCGCGTCGTCCTTGATTGCCGTAATGAGGTCCAAAGGGGGCCTCAGAACGCAGCGACGGCTGAAACCTCGAGTTGTCGCCGAAGCCCGTGAGCATAGAGGATGGCAGAGCGTGCATTGTGAACGGACTCCTTGGGTAGCGCCTTGTGTCCTGTTGACCTGGGAACTGGTTCGCGCCTCTCTGTTCCTTCTGACGAAGTAGGGACTCAAGCTCATCTTGAGATCCGTGATCAACTTTGATTCCAAACTGAAGAAATCATTACGCAACTTATTCTGTTCTCAAGCCTCTCGTAGCGACTCCGAGGTCCTTCAGACGACGGTGTAGTGGCCTCCGCAGCTGCGAGATCAAACAACAGTTATTTGATGTAAGCTGCAGATTGTAAGTGCTATGCCCACCTTCATCGTACGTGCACTCTGGTTCAGCGGGTAACTCCACTCCAGCCAGTGCATGGCTCACAGCGTGTGCATGCGACCTGATGCATGTCGAACACGGCCTCTTCGCATCGCTGTAGGAGGGAGAGCGTCAGATCGAGCGTGCAGCCTCGGCTTTCGGGCATCGTAATCGGAGAGGTACCATTTCTTCGGTCATCGGTCAATAAACCATGCAAAGGACGACTATGTTTAGAGGACTCACCAGCTTTCGCCTTCGACATTGGTGGCAGGCCTATTAATTATGTCGCAGGCACGTTGGGCACGCGAAAAGAACGAGGCGTGGAAGAACGGCGTACTTGGTTCCTCTTCAGCACATTCGGATGGCTCCCCTTCGGCGAGACAACCTCCGAAGTAACCTTGGGCATTCCTGGGCTTCGCCAGACTAATCTTCAATGTCGCCGATAATAAACGAAACAGCGGGAGGGCGCATCAAAGACCAACGAAGACAGTCCGTTCATCACAGGTTCACCGCTCAATAGCATGCCCCCAATCCGGCAGCTTTATGCTCGTTATCCTGATGAGTAAGGCCCGGACTAGTAGCCGTGATGCAGACTATACACTTTAAGTGCTGAAGTCATTCGATTGTCTCCTTTGGTCAGGCACGTATGGTATGGTTTCATGGATACTGGTCTGCTTTCCTGAGACCAGCATTAAAACGAGGCTAAAGGGCTAAGCTTAAGTAGAAGACTACCTAGAGTCTAAGTGCCCGACAGAATGACCCTGATAGCGTCCGTCTAGACAGCAAAGAAATGCGAAAACGAAGCGAGCAGGCATCAAGCCCATTACTACAGTACCGTAAGTATTGAAAGCAGTCTGGAAATAATACAACACGCGCTAGAAGGTGTTCAGGATATTGTGCATTGCCCCGCAGGTTTGAGTAGCCCCGCGTCGAGGAATGCCGTGGTTATATTGTTCACATTGACTTGTGCACTGGGATTCTGGGCATGCAAGAATAGTGACGCGGGCGACCAAATCGATAAAAAGTTAGGATCAGATAGTGAGTTGTCGCAGACCGCCTGCGACGCTGTGGCGGAGTCAGACCATGTGATAGGTACGCGGGTGGTATTCAGAGCCCAGTTCCGCAGGGCTGCACCTTGGTCGGAACCAAAGAACAGCGCACCCAGAGGAGTGGAGAGGGAGGAAGCGGAAGAGGATATGTCTGGAGATGGATTTATACGACCGAACACGGCCACCTCAACCGTCGGAATCGTGGATAGCGATTGATATAGTAAGCTCGAATTAGGTGGAGGGACAGCCGAATTTTGCAAGACGAAGTCGACAAGGTTGTTTGCAACAGCAACGTTCGGTATTGACGATAAATAATCCAATACGACGTGATTCATATTGTACACCGTCCCGTAATGACGAGGGTCGGTGGTCGTTTTGGAGATATTGAGAGCATCTGTCGAACCTGGCAATGAGCTGAGGACTTCTCCGTTATGGAATACAGCTCTCGGTAGCGGCTCAGTCTCGAGAATAGCCGCCTGTCTGGCCACCCCCGTTCGCGTGTCGAGAAACGGTAGACGTAGCCGCAGCACATCCAGAACACCATACACTGGCCTATCGGGATAGCACGAAGAGTCAAAGCGAGAGGCCGGCGACGGCGATGGCAAGCCGAAAACAGATGTCTCAATAGCACCTATACCCTGCAGCTGAGACGAGCTCAGCCCAGGGTAGCATGCCAACGGTGGAGGGAACGAGTCACCGGACGTAGCATTGAGCAGATCGGCAAAGGGCTGAGAACCTGGTGAAGCTGATGCGTCGAAAGGAAGCATAATGGGTCGGGAGATGAAAGCTGAGACGAAGGGAGACAAATCAGATGCTCTCCTCTGCAGGACATTCTGCCAGTAGTTATTAAGGGCTTTCTGGTGCTGAGTGGAAGAAGCTACGGCATACTTTCAGCATCCTTGCATCGCGAAGACTAAATTTCTCACTCACCGACTGCATAGCTGTACATCCTATCCAAGGCAGCATGAGATGCGGGGCTTAGGCGGGAAATTTGATCGCTGGTTGGTTGCCCAATATCCACGAAAGACGCAGTAGGAGGTGTCACTGTCTGCGCAGCGAAGTCATAGACATACCCCGAGATCTTGGTAGATAACGTCGATGACGCATTTGAGACTGGACCGTCACCATCGCCGACCGCACCCCAGTTAGCACCCTGAATGAACTTGCGCATGGAGCTGACGGCAGTCAGGTTCTGAGACTCGACGAGCGTCCATAACAATGCCGCTTGCGCCCACTGCGTCCGGTTCGGCGTCTTTCGCGCATCGAGCGCCGGACTGACGTCGACTAGGACGGCCTGCTGTGCGCAGTTCGACCCGGTGGGGTCGCCCTGAGTCTGCCATACAGCCGTGTAGAGAGAACCCGGAGAGTAGCTCGCTTCGAAGTTGTTCTCAAGCACGGGAATAAGCGAGACAAAGGCTTGCGCAAGCGGATTACATGACCTCGACTGGCTGGATGTGCAGACGCACGTCGCATCTACGAAGAATCAGGCTAGGCGGTATAACGAAAAAACCGCACTTACCCAGCTGACAACTATTCCCAGTGAAATTGCCAGGGCAACTATGGGCGGATGACTTCTGGCGCGACACGACTCCAGCTACCGTACCTACGACTACTATAATAACGAGAAGCAGCGCTCCCGCGATTAGCAGTCGTAATCTAGTCTTCTTCGGAGTCCGCATACTCTTCAACCTGGTAGGACTGTCCATAGAGCTATGCAACTGCGCCTGGTCAACCGTCCGATTCCGCTGATGCTTCTTACTGCGGTTCATATGCCAGAATCCCGTAGCGCGAGCACCTGTACCTGCATCGTCGATGTGCTGCCCGATGGCCAAGTCGCCAGCTGTCGGTCGCACGGAGTCGTCCTCCTTCTGCCCGGTCGCTGCAGGGAGCGTCGACGCGCTTCGATGAGGATAATGGCCCTTCTCCAGCATTGTAGAGAGTGCACCGGCGCGATTGACTAACTCGGGCAAAGGCAGCGACTCCTCTATTCGCCTCCACTCCCGCTCCTGCGCGATGGTGTAATCAGGTATTGTAGGGACCGGCGGCAGAGGTTTCGCCCTCCGCCATGGCGGTTTAAATGACTTGGCTCCGGACGACGACGTTATCTTACTGACCAGAGATGAAACGTAACTCTTCGTGGTCCTGGTTGAATGAAAAGACTGTCGACGAGAGTGGCCGGACCTAAAACCGTTGCGAATACCCGCGGTCGACGGCAAAGCCGGGCTGTACCGCATTGACGACGGTCCTGCGATATCTTCCGGGAGATCAAGTCTATCGCTGTCGTAATCGGTACCTCTGCTTGTCATACGGCCCATTCCAGGGTTTAAAGGAACTGTACTGCTTGTCATCGACTGGTTAGACTCTGAAACGGTTCCTCCGATTGCACTGCTGAGGATTGATTCCGGTCCATGTGGGGATAAAGCACGTCCCGGGTGATTTGGAGAGTGTGGCGGGACACCAGCGATATAGCTAGCATCTAATGCGGATAGTCCTGACCCCGGTACAGCAGGAGGGAATACCTGCGAGCTCTGTCCAGCGCCGGACAGACTGACCATTCTCGGCTGTGACATGCCCACAGGGAACGCAGCTTGCCGCCGGGGCGGTGGATACGTCATCTCAGAATCCCCGCTCATACCACTTGTGTTATCGCCGCGCAGAGGAGAAGAAGGTGTGGATGTGCCTCTCGGAGGTCGCACATCATAGGGAATATCAATGGCGCTATCTGAGGATGATGACGACTCTGTCTCCGATAGTAAATGCGTGATCATCGAGGTGGAAAGCAATCTTTCCTCATTCGAGTCAACAACGATGGCAGATGAACCGTCATGCCAACGCGGAGACAGGGCGCGGGAGGGTGTGGGACTAGGAGGTACAGGAAGTCGTCGCGAGGGTCGGCCAGTGGGAGGGCTCTGAGGTTGGGAAGGAACAAGTTGTGGGTCTCGTTGATGCAAGTCATAACTAGGCGGGCCAGCTATGACCGAATCGGTGTCGACACTCCCATTCCTGCGCAAAGCAAGAGGGCGAACGGAGGGCATGTCGAGGGCACGAACCCGAGGGATTGGCGTGATTGTACGGAGAGTCCCGCCGGGAGAGGGGGGTACGGAAGACGGCACTTCAGAGGGTGGTCGAGGGAACTGAGAAAGGCGGAGAGGTTCCTCGCCAGTAGCGTACGAGGCAAAGCTGAGGGTGCTGTCTGCTATGCCTGAGGCATTGGTGGTGAGAGATGCCGCAGAACGGTGGCGTGTACTCTGGTTCTGCTCCGGTGGCCATTGGGTCTGCATGGCTAGAAATCAGAGATGACATCAGTCACAACAGTCTAGCTCCAGAAAATCATGCAAATGCCATACTGACATAGGATATGGAAGACTATGGGAAACTTGGATACACAGGGGCGGTAGCAAACATACCGCGTCTGCCAAAAACCCCTCAGTCAGAAAGTTCTGCCCACCGGTCGGTATACCCTCAACAATCTGGCGTGTTTTCCTTTACCCTCGGATTCTGTGCCTCTGAAGACAGAACAGATCCCGGGAAATGACAGTCTGATTGTGCTGGACGTGCCTGGACGGCCGATTGCGCTTGAAGGAATGAAAGCACACTCAAAAAAATCCTGCGAGTAAACGAGAGTCTGCAAAGGAGCGTGAACGCGACAGCAAAGAGACGGAGAGGTCCTAGAATAACCGCAGCGACGGCCTCTGACTTCCTCGAACGCGGATTGCGGCCAGGACTGATCTCGGTATAAATGCCATATATAAACCTGCGAACACACAGCCCAGCCAATAGCAGCGTCCCATGAGCCTCCCACCTCGGCTGTTCCTAGCACTTGATCTTGATCAACTCCACCTGCTACACCATCATCTCAGACAAATCCTGGATGAATTCGGCCCCGAGAGGTCCAGCTGCGAGCGCCACATTCTCCAGCTTGTGGACGGTGGCTAGTAAACTCACGTCAACCTCATAACCGTTGTGTGGTATCCTGAAATTCGTCATAGCTCATAACAGCTAGAACAAACTAAGCAACAGTATAAAGTGAAACAACAGGGGTACGCAATCCAAGATAACGGGAATATGTACAACGAAGCGACCGGGACAATGGACTTCATGTAGTAGCCGTCCAGTTGAAGTGCAACGTTGTTCGAATGACATGACAATCGTGAAAGAGGCCGATCCCAGACCAGGATATACCTATGTAGACGTGACGTTCTATCCTCCAGCAGCCGCAAAACCATACTAGGCGATGATGCACCCCTTCTTGGTTGACTTTTTCTCCCGCGGTGGAGGGTTAACTGCCCACGAGAATCAGCCCAAGACGTATTTGATGTCTAGTAGGTAAAGCAACGTACGGACGGCCCGGATAGCTTCGTCGAAGACAGTCTTCAAGCCCTTCTGAGTAAGAGCCGAGCATTCGAGATACTTGACAGCTCCGATATCCCTTGCCATGGCAACGCCCTGCGAGTACTGAATGGGAGCCATGCGCCTACACGAATCGTAAAAACATTGAGCTATCGAGGGCAACAAGGGAGGGCATGACGTACCGTTCCCTGAGCTTCTCGATGGTAGCGGGATCCTCGCGCAAGTCGAGCTTGGTCCCGACTAAGACTATTGATGTTTGTGGTGCGTGGTGAGAGATCTCAGGATGCCACTACGGGGCATGGATCGCATAGACTCAGTGAGCGCCTCGCCCAAGCTCGTGGAAGGCGTACCTTGGTCCGAACGTTCTCAAAACTAGGCGGACTCACGAGGGAGAAACAGATCAGGAACACGTCCGTCTGGGGATAGGATAGAGGTCTGAGTCTATCGTAGTCTTCTTGGCCGGCAGTATCCCACAATCCCAGGGATATGGTCTTCCCGTCCACCATCACATTGGCCGAGTAGTTGTCAAATACTACACGCCAGCTAGGTGAATGGCTGAAAGTGTATCAAAATTGAACGGACTCGCCAGTCGGAATATACTCCCCCTGTAGTAGAATCGCGTTAGCGACGAGAGACGCGTGTCAAAGTAAAGGGGCGTACGGGGAAGGCATTAGTGGTATATGAGATGAGGAGACACGTCTGAAGACCGGGAGAGACGGGTTATTCCAAGGAAAGTAACTCGCCGGTCAGGGTACAACTCGCCTTTCCGACAGCACCATCCCCGACGACAACGCCTGCAGGCATGCTCAGTGATCCTTTATACGCTTCGATTCGCGCAGCACCTACATTTAATAGCCTGCATTTTCGAGTTTACGTTCTCCTAGAAGGTTACTCAAGACTGATCGTGACCGAGCAGAAGCTGAGAGACTCTGGGTAGGACGTATCAACCGCGAGGTAGTGGGCAACGCGAAGCGAGGAGACAATAGTGAGAATCCCCTGTTTCTGGCGGTCGGCGAGAGCGAGCGGCTTACCCTGTGCTACCGGAAGATTATGGGGACACGTAACAGACGTTTACAGGAATAATCGTAAAAGGCGTCGTCTTGCGGGAGGAGTAGTGATGAACGTCTATGGCCAGAGTCGGCTGTACTGATGGCCAGTGATGTTTGCAGTGGCCTTCGCTAGAACGGCAGGCGCGGTCCCCGGCGTACATGCCGACGGAGCCCTCTTCTCACGGTATTGAAAGCACTCTCGTATATCATGAGCGTTAACAGTCCTTGACATACCCACTGGTCCCCGGCGATTGTTCGACACTATTAGGCAGTCGAGATGTCTGCTCTGTGGCTAGCGACGAGGATACGCCCCTCGAATTCGAACTGTCACTGCAAATCTTTTCACGTCGCGGCAGAAATACACTCGATTCAGATACAAATCTTACAAGGCCAGGTTATGCACAATCAGTCAAAGAAATAAGAACGCAATCACAAAATGTCCACAGGAAGGAGAAGATAGCCCGGAAGCCAATAAAATGACCACCAACAATAGCAATGCCGAATATTCACGAAACCAAAGAAATAGATGCATAGACAGAGGAGAAACAGACATCGAGGGGGGGCGGCATAGATGTACAGGAGGTAGGAGCGGTAAAACAGACTGTGAGCGTTATACAAATGTGAGGCAACAGAGCGAGACAGCAGGACAGCGGCAAAACGGATTGACAAACACGATAAGACAGGAAAAGGAATCGTCCAGGCGGTCGTGATGGGCCGGCAGTCTATGCCGACCTGGATAATGGACGGTCCGCCGTCATTAACAGGATTACTTGTGTACGCGATTAGGCAGAGGTTCTTCGCCTCTTCAAGGCTCTTGATGTTTCAGGGTGTTCGTGAGGTGTTCCAGTCGAGGACTCCATCGACGCAGACTTGGCATCGGAGTATTTGGATTTCTCGGCAGGTGACTGTAATAGTTCTTCGATATCATCGTCGTCATTGCCTTTACCCAGTAGAGGGCCGTCGTCTAGGGAAAAGGGTTCCAATAATCCGAAGCCCAAGCCAAACCCGACTCCTGCAGCACCGACGTTTAACGCGCTGGAGCTCCGGAGGACCGGGCTGTCAGTTTCGGGACTCGACACCGGTGGCGAGTCAGCCTCGTGCGAGTCGCTGTACGACAAGATCGGGTCTCTGGCGGGGAACCAGTCTAGTTCGTAGGCAGAGCCCAGAAGCGACGGGGTTCCAGAGAAAATGTCCTGGAATTGGGGCGACAAACCACTCTGCAGCCCTCTGAAGGGCGACATGGTCTTTACTGACTCTGGCATGGTGAAAAGCCTCTGTGGAGAAGGCCTCGACAGAGCCACGGCAGGTTTGCTCGGGCTGTCTCCGAGTACGGAGCTGGAACGGAGGAAACTAGCGTACCCCTTGGGGAAGACATCAGGGCTTGAAAAGATGCCACTGGCCTTTCCATCAAAAGCGATGGGACTGCTTTCAAGTTGCTTCGAGACGCGGGTGGCTTCTTGGACTATCATGCTCAGGCTGAGCTCATTGGCAGCCTCGTGACGAGGGTCGCTAGGGTCCCAGCGCCACGGATGATCAGAGGGTAGCGGTCCAGGCGAATGACGGAAAGCTGGAGTGGCAAGGGGGTTGTATGGCGACAGCTCAATGCGGTCAGAGGCAGGAGATATCTCGGTTGACCCGACATTACGAGATCTATGCGGGGTAAGGGGAGGGGTGGATATGAGGTCGGATGTGTTCACAGCGGATAGATTGCTCGGAGGCTGCACAGACAATTTCAGATGTCCTCCGGTAGTGCCGGAAGTTCTGGGAGGATCGGTCTCGATGGGGGCATTTTCTGGCTCTGGACTTTCGGAAGACAGATCTCTTTGAAGCTTCGATGGACCAGCCTTTGGCGGAGACGACTGAGTGGAAGTTGCCGCAGTAAGGCGTGTAGCGGCAGAAGTACCGGCTTGGACAAAGGTGAGGTTTTCCTTATCGAGGGAATTCTTCTTGTCCTGTCTAGACTTCGTCTCCTCTATAGTCGGGACGTGAGTAAATGGCATATGGTAAGGTTTCCCTACGTACTGCTCGAAGAGCGACCATTGACACGGCCACGCTCAGCGTTCTCCCGTCGGTTGGGCATAGCAATCTTGTGCTTCTCATAGACGTGGCGCCTCCACATACTCTTTGCATTCACACCCGCGTAAGTTCTTCTGCACAAGGTGCAGCGCAGTCGAGGTTCTTGTCCTTCGGGCCAGGTGTCTACACCTCGCTCCTTTAGTTCCTTTTTCAAGGCAGGAGACCATCCTTTCGGAGGCTCTAAAGCCGAAGGATAGAGGACAGCGTCCGGATTGTCGTTTGTCTCAGAAATGAAGTCGCTGGGAACGAGGAACCATTCTGGGTTCTCTGCTAGTAAACTATAGGTGAGACCCTCTGGATAGAGGTGAGAGTTCGGGAACGTGGTGAATGGCGGGCGGATGAACGTCGCATTTGGGTCTTCAAGTGAAACGTCCATCGGCGGTGGTACGATGGTGTTAGCGCGCGCTGGAGCCGCCGACTTCGAAGAGGTTACCGGGTTGGCGCGGAAGGGTTTGGGTTCAAAAGATGCAGATGCAGGTGTGAAGAACGACAAGTCTGTAGTGCTTGTCATCCTGCGCTTTAGCGGTCTCGCTGACGATATGGTGGTAGGGAGACCGGAGAAAGAAACCGATGTGGAAATTTGGGGGCGCATCCCAGACATATTGATGCTGGAGGTGTATACTGATGTTTTCCTGTGCAATCGGACTTCAGATCAATGCGATCAAGGGTCAAGGAGAAGCAGCTGACGAGTTTAATGAGACACGCTGGCAGCGCGACGATGAGGCGGGAAACCAAAAATCACGTATGAAAAAGGTTGAGTGTAAAGGACGCTGTATCCAATGTCACCTATGAATGGTGGGCGCAACGGAAGGGACCCAGAAGGGGGACGAGGAAAGGGGAGCACGGTGTGGAGATGGGGGGGAGGACGAGGAGACACGGAAGCAAATCTCACGCGCGTATGCGCGCTTTCAAACTCCGCCACCGCGTCAGTCATGTGACAGGCGCGTCGCGCGTCTGGACCGGCCCTACACTGCTTTAGTTATAGCCGCTGCTGTAGGGCGAAAGCGACCCAGCTAAGTACCTCGCCATTGCTCGACAGTCCGGTGTAAGTATATTTACCATTGCAGACTAGGATACAGAAGAGTGAGGATGTTGATATCAGAGTACATGTCGAACAGATATATATATAAGATATGGAATAGATCCTAGAAAGCAAGCGCAGCGTATCTACACGTCCGCCGACATCATAAGCTCGAGCCATCAACCAGGACAACAGGGCTGTATAACGTACCCCGCGATCATGAGAGCACCGCCCATCGGCGTGACGGGACCCAGCCAACGGAACCTGACATCCGAAATACCCATTATACACGGGCTTATAACCAGCGTCCCATACAGCACACGTCACTCACCTGTCACGATTGAGTACCAGGGTGACGATGCTCCCAGAAAAGACAAGACTTCCGACAGCAATAGCTGGCCCAGCAAATTTGTGGGTGGAGAACCGTGGGTGCAGAGATACAAGGAGCAATGCAAGCCCGTTGAATATCTGTACCCAGCAGAGTTGAGGGACAGAAACCAGGTCATACAATGCCCACGTCAGGTACACAGTTCGAAGAGAAAGCCAGGGTTGTAGACAAAACATACCGAGTAGTGCGCTGCTGTCTCCCACGCGTGGATGTTCTCAGCAGTTATGCCTGGACGTCGCCTTAATCCATGCGCCCCGAATGCTCCCGCCATAACACCAGCTGCGGCCATTATGGCCCCAGCCCGCCAGAGAAACGGGGGATTGGGGAAGGCATTAGCGCCAGCGCGAGGAAGCAAAGGAGATGACGGCGAAGGCATTCCAGCGAAGATTGAGTAGGTGTCCGTTTGCTGTAGACAGAGTATTAGTAGTGGGACGGGACTGAGAGCTTCGGCGCCAAACGCGATCGAGGTTGTGACTGCACCAAACACGCGCAAGCAAGGCCTCAAAATATTGATCCAAAAATAGGTCACTTCAAGAGCCTTGGTACGTTCCTCCAAGCGCGCCCCGCAAGCTTTCACCATGGGTAAAGCTCAGAAAAAGACAGGAAAGGGCCGTTTGGACAAGTACTACAAACTTGCCAAGTAAGTTCTCTCCATGTTCTCTTAAAATGCTGAACTGACATCCTTGGCAGGGAGCAAGGCTACCGCGCTCGTTCAGCATTCAAGCTAATCCAGCTCAACAAAAAGTACTCCTTCCTGGAGTCTGCACGATGCGTTATAGATCTTTGTGCTGCCCCTGGTGGTTGGTTGCAGGTTGCGAGCAAATACATGCCGGTCAACAGTATCATCGTCGGTCAGTACACGTTTGTCACCCGCGTGGACGTTCCCATCTTACACCTTGCTAGGCGTTGATTTGGTGCCCATCAAGCCGATTCCAAGAGTCGCGACGTTTGCCGCGGATATCACTACCCCTCAGTGCCGAAATCTTATTCGCTCCGAGCTGAAGGACTGGAAAGCCGATGTCGTTCTCCACGATGGTGCCCCGAACGTCGGTACCGCTTGGGTTCAGGATGCCTACTCTCAGTCCGAGCTTGTATTGATGAGCTTGAAACTGGCTGTCGAATTCCTCGCCAAAGGCGGCACTTTCGTGACCAAAGTGTTCCGAAGTGTGGACTACAACAATCTCATCTGGGTGTTCAGTCAGTTATTCGGGAAGGTCGAAGCTACTAAGCCGCCTTCGTCAAGGTATGCACGGCGGTCTATCACGTTTGATGTTTATACTAATACTATCCGGATAGAAACGTCTCAGCTGAAATCTTCGTCGTCTGCCGCGACTTCCTGGCTCCCAAACACATTGACCCCAAGTTCCTCGATCCGAAGCACGTTTTCAAAGAACTGTCTGCATCTGCGTCTGCCGCCGACAAAGGCACCTCCGCAAACAATACCCACGCGAATGTGTTCCAGCCGGAGAAGAAACGCAGGAAGCGTGACGGTTACGAAGACGGAGACTACACCTTATTCAAGAAGGTCGGCGCAGCCGAGTTCATTCGGGGCGCCGATCCTGTGGCCCTTCTCGGGACTGTCAATAAGATAGTTTTCGAGACGGAAGAGGAAAAAGAGTAGGTTGAGTCGCGACCTTTCAATTTCTGTGCTAACTGCCCATATCAGGTGGCTGGACTTCGAGGGCACAACCTCGGACATCAAAGCTAACTGCGATGATCTGAAGGTTCTCGGTAAAGGCGACTTCAAAGCATTAATCAAATGGCGCGCAGCTCTCAGAGAAGAAGTAAGGGTTATACAATCGCGTGACGTACTCATCTCTAATATTGGATTGTAGCTTGGTCTCGATGTCAAGACGAAAGATACGGAGGAGATCACTGAGGTCGCCGAAGTTACTGAGGAGGTCGACGAGGAGCAGCAGATCCAGCAAGAAGTAAGTCGTGAACCATTTTCTCCGGTGGCGATCGGGGCTCATCTCGGTGTCGTTAGTTCGAGAGGATCCAAGCAGAAGCAGCTGCCCGCAACAAGCGTGCTAAGCGCCGAGCCAATGAGCTCAAGCAGCGCGCCATTCAGCGCATGCAGTTACAGATGACGGCACCTATGGACATTGGCCTGGAGCAGACGGACGCTACGTTAGCCCTTGGCCAGGACGATATGTTCGACTTGGCTGACACCGAGAAACGTCTGCGGAAACAAGGCAATGAGCTCATCGATCTTTCTTCGCCGGATATTTCGGAGGAAGAAGACGCAAGCGACCAAGAGTCCGAGAATGAGCTTGATGTGTTGGATGACGAGGAGGAGAGGGCGCGGAAAGTCGCGGGGCTTGAAGCCGAGTTGGACGGTATGTACGACGCCTACCAAGAGAGGATGAAGGAGAGGGATGCGAAGTACAAGGTCAAGCTAGAGAGGAGAAGGAACAAGGAGAGGGACGAGGAATGGGGCGGAGTCAAGTCCCCGAATACAGATGAGGAGGAGAGCGATGACGAGGGCGGCTGGGACAAGATGGAAGAGGCGAAAGGCCATATGGACTTTGAGTCTGATGACTCTGACTCAGACAGCGAGAGCGAAGCTGCTGAATCAAGCGCTCCTAGCCGAAAACGCCGACGGTTAGAGAATGGCGGAGCAGCCGCGACGGCGGGTGGGCGTACGAAGCGAAAGCTGGTCACGAAGTTAGAGGATCCGAAGTCAACGGCCCAGACCAGCCGTACTGCTCAATTATGGTTCAGCCGAGACGTCTTCGCCAACCTATCCGATTTAAATGACGTCGAAGAGGATGAGCAAGTTTCGGTCGAAGATGAAGATGAAATGTCGGTCGATCCCGATCCCGCGGCCGACCAAGCATCATCGGTAAGTAGAGACGCTCTCCAGCTGAGGATATCGGGCACTAAGTGCCTTCATTAGCATGATGATTCCGATTTCGAAGTTGTCCCTCAAGAAGACGATGGCGACGTCTGGGACGTCGAGAACGATGATGAGGATGATGTTCGGCAGGATACGATACGAAGTGTGTCCTTATGATTTGTGCCGCCGTACACCGCTGACGACATATGTAGAGCACGGCCTCTTGACAGCGGAAGCCATGACATTGGCTCAGCAACTAGTGAACCGGGAGAAGACCAAGACCGAACTGATCAACGACGGTTTTAACCGATATTCTCTAAATGCGAAGGATGGGCTACCTTCCTGGTTCCTTGATGATGAAAACCAGCATTATAAGCCGAACATTCCTATTACGAAAGAAGCAGTAGATGCCTTGCGCGCGAAGATGCGGGCTCTGGATGCTCGTCCCATCAAGAAGGTAGCGGAAGCTAAAGCGAGGAAGAAGATGAAAGCGGCCCAAAAACTAGCTAAAGCTATGAAGAAGGCCGAAGGAGTGGTGCAGACCGCTGATATGACTGAAAAAGAAAAGGCTCAACAGATAGAGAAGCTTATGCGGAAAGGCATGTCCGCCAACAAGAAGAAGAAGGAAGTTAAAGTTGTGGTGGCAAAGGGTGCTCATAAAGGCATCAAAGGTCGGCCTAAGGGAGTCAAAGGTCGATATACCATGGTGGATTCCCGAATGAAGAAAGAAGTAAGCAGCAATCGGTCTCACTTCCCCTATCTTCCATTAACGTCGGACTTAGGTGCGTGCGCAGAAACGGCGCGAGAAAGCCAATAAAAAGCGGAAGCGCACATAATATTCTCGGCACTGGCACACATGGGTTACGATCTGAGTTGTGTATTAATGGATATGGTCTATTATAAGACATTGGTCTCGTAGTCCGATACATGTGGGTGGAACTTGCGATTCGTATCGTCTGTGAGACGGTCGCACGTAGCGAGAAAGTCCTCCCATGCTCTGTCTGACTGGGGCTTTGTGCACTGCACCTCGCAGCGAATGGTCTTCTGGCCAGATTCGAGATCTGTTACACTCTCTGTCACGACAATGGTTGTCTGCGCTGCTGCCGAAGAAGTTGGCTCGAGTGGGCGGGCAACAGCGTCTTCACTGCGACGAACGCTGACATTACTGTCGAGGACAAACTTGCTGTCCAGGTACTCGAAGTCGAGGGGAGCATCAGGCCGGAGTTGAGGATCCTTCCTAGATTGGAAACTAAACAAATCATAACCCGCCCATGAAGGCTTAAAAGAGCCAAAGCTGACTCACAAAGAGCGCAGACTAGCATAATAATCCCGAATCTCTTGAGGCCAGACGTTCTCGGCGATGCTGTGAACGTCCATTGCGGACAACTGGACATCGTAGGGCCTGTTCATAATTTAATCCTCGTATTCCTTCTACCAACAGGGAAACGCACCTATCCGGCAGCAGGAGATCGACTGACGAGTCGCTACCATGCTTGAGGGTAGCTGAGATATTCCATCCATCTCCAGACCCACCGGGCTGGTCAGCCCGGTCTTGATGCGACTTGGACTCTGGGATGTGGCCGCTTGAGTCCTCTGGTTCAAGATTGATAGCGGACTCAGCATGCAGGGCTGGGAAAGGTTCAGGAGACTCGGATAGCTGAATCTCCAACATCAAGACTTTACTAGCTTCCCGAGAATGGGATTCTGATGTCCGTGTATCTCGGTAAACCAAACGATGCATGATCCGATCTCCCATCGAGGCTGAGCTTGTGGCGGAAGTCGGTATGCTATACGACGCGTCATTGCCAATACAGATACGTTAGTATGAGGGACTGGGATCCCACCTTGGGATAAACTGGATTTTAGGATGGGTCGTCGCTATCCACTCCAATATCCTGGACATTGGCAGCTGCCCTTGTAACGGCGGAGTCAGACTCATGTGGCGTTTCGGAACATTGGATGCGAACAGGATATGCCCGATACTGTATACTCAAAAGTGATTTACATGGGACGCGTTGCACTAGGATTCAGAACTTACGTCGCTGTCACAGTTTGCGGTGGCTCTTTGTCAGACGACCCGTCAAAGAGCGTCTGCTTCAACTCTGCCGCGTCTCTTGATCTCGAATGAGCAGAGGGTTCATCGTAATGAACGGGACGCTTACCCGTGGATATCGTATGTGTGGCCAGTGCCTGCACTCAAAGCTCTATCTTGTAGACTTGAAGACTCTGCGTAATCCGGTCCTAGCCACTGACCGACCCTACGAACACGGAAAGATCCCGCGGCATTCGTGCCTACAGACATAGACTGGGGCGGTAGGAAAGGGTAGAAGGAATACGACTGAGGGAAGGGCATAACTGAACCAGACGTGATAAGCTTCTGTGAGAGGAATGATAACAGAGGTCTGGGGCGCAAGGCTAGAGCCTTACAATGAAGTCAGTGGGCGTCCATGGACATCAAAAAGGTGTATGCATACCGTCAAGTCAGTACGAACAACAAATCGCATGGCTGCGCTTAGGGCCTGAGTACTCCTTGCATAAACTTTGACCTGTGTTTCTAATGCTGAGACTATATATTCTGATAGATAGCAATCTATGATACCTTTCCGTTGAGGTCTATGTTCTCTATGAAGGCGTTGACAGTTCTAGAGATTTGTTGGAGCATCTCTCGCGGTATGGCGGTTCGCGAAGGTAGGTGGACGGTCTCTGAGATTATACTCTGAAATAGATAGGGTCAGCCTGCTGAAATACGGGAGACAAAATGCTGCCACTTGTTTGAGACTGTGAATATGGCGACTCAGCTGCTTAATTGACCCCGGCGACCCTTCAACCCTCAGGGCCAATGGGTTAGACACAAGAGAAACGTGTACGTTGTAATCCATAGACAACTGAAGTAGGTCGGCACCGTCTATGATTGTGAGTGATCAGTGTCATGATACAGTCGCAAGTAAAATTATATACCTTTTCCTAAGATATGGAATAGCTGAGGCGCGTCAACGGTAAAGACTAGACACGCACCCGCAGTCAGCCGGGACATGCTTCGGATACGAAAAGTGCTCACGTTTTTCGACCACTTCGGTCCTCTCCCGTTTCTGTTTTTCAATCTCCTCTAAGGATGGCCATTGCCATTGCTTCTCGATGATGTCCTCGGCAATGTCAATCTTCTTCTGTTTTGGCCCAACCTTCATACCGTACATCCTCGCAAACTTGGTTAACTGTCCTTTTGAGAACGCACGACAAAGCGCGTCCACGAGCTGATTGTACTCCTCTACGTAGCTTGGCTCCTCTTGTCTCGATTTGCGCGCCACACGGTAACGCTCGATATCCGAAAGAGTAAGGGGAGATGGTCTTGCAGCGATGAGTGAGGTAAGACGAAGCTCATCTTCGAAAGGATCCAAGATAGTCCTACTAGTCCGTGGCGGCATTTCCCTCGGTTCCCGAGACGCTTTCTTAATTTTCTTAGACCTTGGTCGCTTGCCATCTGATCCTTTGAGGGACCCCTTATTGCCGTTTACCGCTGCATCTGAGAATGCGTCCAACGGCACTGAGCTAGGACCTGCTGCCGAGCTTGATTCGGGGGACCCAGCCTCCCGCGACGGGGAGACTGTATGCGACGCAGCCGCATGTGCAGCATAATAGCGCAGACCTTGCGAGCGTAGAGATATTGGACACACTGCCCGCCTTGTAGCCTGGAGGAGGAATGGCCTCGACATGCGGCTTTGCCACACCGTGACGAAATCAACATGCGTGTATATACGTCGTGGCACGTGACCGTGCAGTGATACTAGTTTTGAATGATCGTGTAATTTTATGTGCACAAAGATTTTTAGGTATCCAAGAGTCAACATGTGGAATAACAGGTCGTGAGGAATCGTATAGATACATTATATGTACACTAAGAAGCAGCAGCAGCCAGGTGACGTATCACTGGGATTCCCCGTCGATTGCCATCGCCTTACTTTCGTATGCCTCGACTATGAGACCCTTATCATCATCCTCGCCCACCTCTCCTTGCCATCCATTGTCTATCAGGTACTGCATGAACTTAGCGTCCTCCTCTGCTAGGTCCTTCCCAGTCATGTCAGGAACGAAAAAGTAAGTGACGAGCACGCCGGTCACTCCGCAGATAGCAGCTATGATGAATGTCCACCTGCAGTGATGGAAGTAGGCACGGCTATTAGGAAGTGCAGAAACCGAGACTTACTTCTTGCCAAGATTATTCTGAATTGGTGTGAAGGCCTGCGTTCCCACCGCAGCTCCAGTCTTCCCTATTGCAGCGGAGAGACCATAGCATGTTCCCCTGCAACGGCTTAGCGCTTACTACCGGTGACGATGGTGCTGGACCCACCTGACGGGCGTGGCGAATGACCTAAAAAAAGATTCATTAGAAACTGCGAGGACTTCGCGGTACAGGAAAGACTCACTCGGCGCTGACAAGGCCTAACATATCGCCGGGGCCCTGAGGGCATATTCAGCACGGCTTCAGCTGTCTTGCAATCAGCACTCACCAGATTCCCAGACGACTGCATTAGTCCATAGCTGATCCAGAGGATAAGGTGGAAGTGACAATTCAACAGAAGACGCACTCACAAAATGACAAAGAGCGGTATTATCTTAGTGATTTTGTCGTAGCTAAGACCAATAATCAATCCTATAACGAAGTTCGTGGATGAGCATGAGGTAGGCCAGAAACCCATATTTGCTGACCAAAGACTAGATACCCGGAAAATCCGAGAATCATCTCATTTCAGGTATGTCACGTCAGCTTTGCAGTATGCCGTCATAATGATGGTAAATACTGACCGTATTGCGCCTGCCCAACGGATTGCAGAGTGCAGCACCAATGAACACGCCCGGTAGAGCAATGGCACCAAGTAGAAGCTGCCACTCCGCTGTTGCCTTTATCGAACCGTCGTGGATCACGCTCGAAATAATCGTGCCAGAGAAGACGCCGTTCGGGAAAGTCACCTGGTCAGCGAGTCAGATCCTAGTCTCCAGGCGAAACTAGTGCCCTACGAAGTCATACAGGAACCTGCCAGAATGTCATTAATAGGACGTTATATTGCACAGAGCTATAACACACCAAGCACCGCACGTGCCCAGTAAGGCTCTCCAATATCTCTTTATGACGAGCCAATATGGGACACGCCCTACAACCGCTGTGAGAGTGTGACCGCTTGACAGGAGTATCTGAACGTACTCTTGATGGCAGCCTTGCGGAATAATATTGAAGACATCATGCGTAGACGGAAGATGAACACGGTCAAGGGCAAAGCGATGCCAACCCCGAAGCAGACACGCCAGACCGTGGACAAATGCTCTGGTCCAGCAGCTGACAACGCGATTAAGAATACCGAGACTGCCAGCGGTCCACCAAACTGACGAAGTTTCCAGTTCAGTCTAGTACGATCGCGCGTGAGCCAATAAGTTAGAACTTACACTGAGAACGAAGTTAGTGACCATTATGAATACTGTTCCCAGAGCGTCAGAATGGAATATAGGGACCAGGACCCAGAACCGGAACCGCACAAACCTGGGCCACGATGCTTAACCATACGCTCATTGGCAGCTTCACTAGCGCTGGTGGAAGACGCTGGATATTCGCCTCCCACACCCTGAAAGCATAAGTGAGCGGAAGCGGAGCGGTAGATTCTGAAAGCAAGGCTTACAACTCCGGTGATACCACGTGCTATGGTCAGGAACCAGAACAGTCCTTGTACACTTCCATGAGCACCATGGGCGGCCGTACCAAGGGTAGCACCGATGACGATAAGCAAGGTGGTAGCTACAAGAGCCGCCTTTCTGCCTACACGATCGCAGATAAGGCCCACAAAGATTTGTCCGACGATTTCACCTATCCTCAAGGCATGAGAGCGATGTTCCTAATGCCACAAGGTTACTCACCGATGAGTAGAGCGTTAGATACACGCGTCGATACTGACGAGGTGTACTCCTTCGGATATATCTTTTTGAAGACCACCTGTCATAAATGTAACGAGTGACGGTAAATCCATTATATGACTCTGCTCACTTACATTGGCCATCGTCATGAGGTTGTTTTGGTCTTCATGTTTCCCAGAGCAATCAACGAAATGCTGAAGCACGCTTGGACGGATAGCAACTTACACCCATCGCTGATCAGTCCAAATGCCGCTGCGGCTATAGTAAAATAGGCGCTTAACGCCTGCTTGGAAAAAAGCGGACTTGGCTCCGTCACTTGTTCAAGGGAAGCAGGCTCGTCCACCTCCGATGTTTTCTCGGCCCAAGGCGTTTCGAGCTGCTTCTCCGCGACCGAGTCCTGTTTCTCCAGGGAAGCCATGGTCATGCAAAGAGCAAGGAGCGCATACACGGGGCCGACTCGAGTATATGAAGGCCTTGATATCGATGCTCCGATATGGTCTGCGTTGACCGCTCTCCTCGCCTGACAGACGCACGTGCAGCATACTCGCCAATAAAGGTCGCCTGCCTCTGCATCAGGATCCAAAGAACATCAACCTTCGGAGAAATCTGCGCTCCCCCGCCAACCTATTTCTGGACTCACCACGGCCGGTAGCATATACCAGCATATATACCACACGTGCCATCGAAAGACTCATCCTCATTGGTCCATTGCGCAAGGGCCAGGGCGGGACCGCATTGGCAGCGATAACACTGGCGCTCAAATACCCATCGATTGAAAACCTCAGGAACACGGAGGTGTTCATCATGATCCAGATACAGTAGAATCGACGTACTTCACTCCTGTAGAATATGCTGACGATAACAAGACTACTTGACGTATGTTCCCAAAGCGAAGAATTCCATACCGCCTTAGCTTGGGGATAAACGTTCCTAACCGCAGAGAGGATACGCCAGACCGGATAACTGTGCTTACAAAATACGGGACGCATCGAGGATGACAGTCCCGCTCTGGCAGATCGGTCATGACAGGAGAAGGTCCGCAGAAGCTGCTCGTCGCATCCGCTACTGTCCATATAACAGTAAGGGGCTAGCATAGAAGACGACAGTCCCATGTAATACAGCCATCTTCTGCTCGCGTAAGTGGGTCTGAGGCAGCGTAGGTACTTGGCACTGCGTCTAAATCCCCCAGTCAAGTTTCACGAGGCCACCCAGGATCGAGTGCATTTATTACTCATTATGCGCGGAAACCACAGGTCTGAAGCGGTCTTGTATCTCAAGCCAGACTAAGAGATTGCAGCGTATACACGAGTCATTGTCAGGAGCTTCGAGAGGAGGGTTCTGGACATTCGAGCAGGTTGTTCGAGGACCGAAATTTGTCCCACCGCTACGCGCGAGCTGCAAGCCTCAAGGACAAGCAAGTCATTCGAACTCCGCCGAAACTTTCACTGCAGCCTCATCGTCATCTCGCCTGTAGTCTGGTGCTCGAATAGTAACCAGCCCTCCAGCCATGGCCCCCTCTAACGGTATCACGAACGGCACTGACGGCGACTATGACCTGGACGACATTGACTATTCTGACATTGAGGACAAGTCTGTACTTCGGCCGTCCGGTGCGCTTCCTCTCGAGACTGACGCCCTTTTAGGTACCAGGTGCAGCTGGAGGATGGCTTTGAAAACATCATCGTGGTGGATGGCGTGCCCGTCATTGACAGATCAAAATTGGAGAAGCTGTTAGCAAAGATCGCGAAGGAATTCGGCAAGAAGGGGGCCCCCATAAAGCCGGATGACATCTTTGTGCCATGGGATGAATCGACGGGGAAGAGCAAAGGGTGCGTTCCCTCTCTGGGTACGGGTCGTAATGTTGATTATTTCGCGAAGATACATATTTGTCGAATTCAAGAGCGCAGATGAAGCGGCATTTGCTCTCACGGCAATGGATGGTCATCCATTTGATGCCAAACACACTTTCGCCACCAATTATTTTACGGACATCGAGAAGTTCGCCAACATGGATGAGACCTACGTTGAGCCGAAGCTTGAGGAGTACAAGCCCAGAGTGCGTCGGATGTTTCGCAAAAATATGGTCCATTCATCTCTTTCTAGGAACATCTCCGGGCCTGGCTCGCAGACCCTCAAGGCCGTGATCAATATGCTATTTATCGAGGCAATGATGTTGAAATTCATTGGCATGGCAAGCCGTCTCAGCGCGAGTTGGCATATAAACATACGGTACGTCTCTGACATGCTCCTGAATTCCAGTTTCTCGCTGACAAGCACATCAGGAATGGACCGATCTATATATATCTTGGTCCCCGCAAGGAACGTATATGACCACTCTCCATCGACAGGGTGTGCAACTCTGGGGCGGCCCTTCATGGCAGCTGCAACAGCGTTTTGCTCACCCGTACGTCAAGCTGATCGACTTCTCCCCTTGCGAACAGTACCTAGTTACCTGGTCGAATGAGCCGATCGTGGTACCTGAGGGCGCGTTGCAAGGTCCCCGCTACTTCTCTCCGATAGACGAGGGGAATCATATCGCAGTGTGGGACATCAAGTCGGGCAACATGCTCCGGACGTTCCCCGCTGCGCAGCAAGAGGGCGAGGAACCGGGATCGAAGAAGCAATTGCAATGGCCAGCCTTCAAGTGGAGTCCAGATGACAAGTTTGTTGCTCGGGTCACCCCTGGTCAGCAAATCAGTGTCTACGAGCTGCCCAGTATGGGTCTTCAGGCGAAGAAAAGCATCAAGATCGAGGGCGTGGTGGACTTTGAGTGGTGTCCACTCGGCGACAAAGACCGAGAGGACGGGGAGAAAGCGGAGAAGGACGCCAAGGCTGGCGCAAAGACGACGCGGAAAGTGAAGGAGAACATGCTCGCTTACTGGACTCCGGAAGTCGCCAACCAACCAGCTCGCGTCACGTTAATGAATTTTCCCGCCCGGGCTATCCTGCGGCAGAAGAATTTGTTCAATGTTTCCGAGGTAATATCTTGACTGGCTCGTCTCTCAAGGCACAGGCTCTGATTGGTTATTTCCGCCTCCCAGTGTAAACTCTTCTGGCAAAATCAGGGTGACTTCCTGTGCGTCAAGGTCGATCGCCACACGAAAACGAAAAAGACCCTATTCTGCAATCTGGAGATCTTCCGCGTACGTGAGAAGGATTTCCCCGTGGAAGTCGTCGAGCTTAAAGGTATGCAGTCATCATCAGACGTACTGTGGATCTGGGCAACTCGAATATTAATCCTACACGTGTAGACACCGTCCTCGAATTCTCATGGGAACCCAAGGGAGAACGATTCGCCATTGTCTCCAGCAACGATCCCAACCTTGGCAACCCAGGTCCGGGCATCACGATCAAGACCGACGTCAGCTTTTTCCAGCTGCACAAGCAGAAGGGCGACTTCAGGCTCCTCCGTACGTGCTCGCAGACATGGTTGGTCGCCTTATTGGCTTACATGGGTCACGTGCCCCTCAGGTAATCTGCCATCACGGACGAGCAACACGATTCGCTGGTCCCCACGGGGCCGCTTTGTGCTTCTGGCCACTGTTGGGTCTTCGAGCAAGTCGGAACTCGAGTTTTGGGACCTCGATTTCAACACCGAGGACGTTGGCCGAAAGGAGATGGTCAAGGACAAGGATGAATGGGGCAGCGGTATCCAGCATCTGGGTACAGCGGACCACTATGGAGTGACCGATGCTGAGTGGGATCCAAGTGGGCGGTACCTTGCGACGCATGCGAGCGCATGGAGACATACGGTGAGATAACCAACTCGTTAAAGTATTCCATATTCCCCGGGACTTATTCGCCTGTTATCTACCTACGCAGCTCGAAAACGGCTATGCTATCTGGGACTTCCGCGGGCAAGAGCTGGAGAAGCACCTCATGGACCGCTTCAAGCAATTCCTGTGGCGGCCGCGGCCGAAGACGCTGCTGACAAAGGAGCAGCAGAAGCAGATCCGCAAGAACCTGCGCGAGTACAGCCGGCAGTTCGACGAGGAGGACGCGGCAGAGGAGAGCAACGTGAGCGCGGAGCTGATCGCGCACCGCAAGCGGCTCGTGGACGAGTGGAACGCGTGGCGCCGCCGGTGCAAGGAAGAGCTGGCGGAGGAGCGCAGAAAGCAGGGCGCGAAGCTGGATGGCGAGGAGGGCCCGCATGAGGAGACGAAGGAGGAGATCGAGGTGTGGGTGGAGGAGCTGATAGAGCAGATTGAGGAGGAGGTCGTTGAATGATTGTATCCCTATGCTGTATGACATTGCATGTGCTCTCCAGGCTGTCCGAACTATGATCTATGGTGTGTCTACATCGTGCTATGACAACCATGCTTACGCTCTGGAGCGATGCGGGCGTGTTCCGACCAAGTTTACTAGCTCCGCCACTAAATTCTGGCAAACTCGGGCAGGTACAGAAGTACTTACGAGGCTAGCAGGACAGTTTCATTAATCTGTCCATCAAGGCTATCAGGCACCGAGAGTGGGTGGGATGTCGTGAGAGCGAGGAGAGCAGGAGGACAGCGATGAGATGACAGACGGTGATTGGGCGATCAAAGGCAAGTGTGTTGAAGAGATGGCGGTCAAAGTTTTGTGGTTCCTCGGAGGAGGGGACAGCAATAGATGGTGGCCTGAGAGGCCCAGGCCATATGGAGGGTGAGAGTGGGCGCTAAAAGGAGACGTGTGTATTTATGCATCCACGGTGTTGTGCGACGCCGGCAAGGAGAGAACTGATGGGAGCCGGGGAGGATAGGCTTTGAGGGATTGACGCTTCTGGCCGAGGAGGCGGGGCTTGGCAGCAGGTGTATCATAGCAGATAGAAGCGCGGGTGGTCAAGCACGGACGGGTGGTCGCACGGGGAGGGGGTAATAGAGGGCGGCGGGGGGTTAGGGCTCCGGGACCATCAGATGACCGTATGCTGGGAAGGACAGCGCGTCGATAGATTTATGGAATTGCAGCAGAATATTCGGAATTGGGGGGAGCGGTGCAGGGACAGCAGGCTGACATGACAGGTTTCCATTAGTGCAATATACCACTGCCAGAAAGGGCGAGGCTGGACTGTCGCAAAAGGTCCCAGGGTGGTATGATGCAAGCGAACCGGGGACTTGGTGGCAGACTAGGAGCCAGTATAGCTACTCGTCGCCAGCCCGAGGGTCGCACGACCGCGGCGCCGTCGCGAACAGCGGCGGGCTCTGAGAGACAGACGGCGACGACGGCAGCGACGCATATCAGAGGCTATGGGCCATTCGGAATTGGCGGTCGAGGAGGACGTGACACTGACAGGGCGCACTGGCAGGTAAGTAGCCTCGCGCCACCTTGGACCGGAGTAACGGGAGTTGCCGGAGCCCGATATAAAGCAGCTCGGGATATCTAATCAGTGCCCAACGCTGCGTATCAGATAAAAGCTGCTTGCCCAGAACCGCATCTCCGACTCCTCCACGACCCTGGCCCTCAACCGACCCCCTCGCCGCCGTCCCCTCCCTCCTCGCCGTCGTCGTCCGCAACGTCGAGCATGAGCTGCGGGCCACCCTCCCCCGTCGTCGCGTCGTCCTCCACCCTCTGGGCAACAGGTACCACAGCCGCAGCCGCGTTTCGGCCCAAACTGATCGCAAAATATTTATAGCTTCCAAGGACTGGGTCATCCCGGCCAAACCAAAGCCTGGCAGAAAACCCAAGAAAGACCCGGCCCCTGCGCCCCAGGAGGTCGTCGATGTACGCGCTCTGCTCCCCTCTCTGTCGTCGCCCGTCAATTTTAATAATCCCCCCCTTAGACGCTCGACAGCAAGGGCCGCCGCGTCCAGAACCGGTACGTTTAGTGTACCACGTTGTAACTCAGAGCACCGATCCTTCCTCTAGGGCCGCGCAGCGCGCCTTCCGTGAACGCAAACAGTCACAGCTCGCCGAGCTCCAGGCTCGCGTGCAGCAGTACGAGCAGGGGGAAATAGAGCGCAACGTCGCTCTTCAGAATATTGCCAAACGCCTCAAGGAGGAAAATGACAAACTCAAGCAGGAGAATGCCGTCCTCAGGGATAAGATCTCCGTCCTCGAGCAGGAGCACAATGGCCGCCAGTACGGTGACGGCGAGAGGAAGCGGTCCTCCAGCATGTCCAGCGACTACCCGTCGAGGAAAAAGTCCAAATTCTCCGCGGAGCCCCTAGGTATTCCGGCCCACGTCCCTCCATTAATGACGTCTTATTTGCCATCGCCATCTTCCGCAGTCTCCTCCCCCGATTCCAACGGCAGTGGCATGTCCATGCATTCCCCGCGGGAGAACTCGGTCTTCACGACGAGGCTGCCCACCCTCAGTAACATCTTTGACCTCCCGCCGTCGAATAATCCCAAGCCATCCGGCGTCTACGACACAAACAATACCTTTGGATTCGATTGTGGCTTCTGCAATGAAGAGACCCCCTGCGTGTGCAGAGAGCTCGCCATCCACCAGATGGCCGATAAAATGTCCTCCAACCAACTCAAAATGGAGACTATCGAGCCACCCAAGTCCACCCCGTCGGATCTACCCCCATCCGCTCCGAACTCCATCTCCATCCTCGACGACCTGCCGTCGTATCAACCACCCGTCCCGCTGCGGCGCAGGAACAACGGGAGCGGCAGCAGCTCGTCCTTCAACCCCGTTTTCCCGGTAACCGCCTCGCTCGCGGAGCAGCCTTCCTCCTCGGGATCCTCCCGGCCTACGTGCTCGGGCGACCCCTCCAACTGCATGGCCTGCGCCGACGACGCCTTCGGCAAGGCGTTCTGCGCCGCCGTCGGCCAGTCCGTCGCGTCCGCCTCCCCCTGCGCCAGCTGCCCAAGCCGGCCCGCCGGGTCCGCCTCCTCCCCCACCGGCAGCGCCAATAGCGGGTGCTGCGGCGACCCCAACCGCTGCGGCGGGGGCGCGTGCACCACTGCCACTAGCGACACCCCGGAGGTCATCCCGACAGACGACGCCTGGCGCCAGCTCAAATCACACCCCAACATCGCCTTCTCGGATCTGTCCCTCCTCGCCGACGTCGTCGCGCGCCGGTCCAAATGCGCGGGGCCGCAGGTCGAGATCTCGCCTGCGCCCGGCTCCGTCACCCCCGAGCGCGCGCTCGCACCGCCGCTCGCGGGGGCCAGCAGCGAGCCTTCCCACTCGTCCCGCACTGCGCAGGGCGATGAATCAATGATCCTTCTTACGGATCCCCACGCGCACTACCGCCAGCGGCAGCGCGAGCGTTCTGCGGGATCGCCGCCACGCTTGGTGCCGCAGGAGGTCCTTGTCAGCTGTGGGCGACAGCGGGTGCGCCAGGTATATGCTGATGGCGTCAGGGAGGCGTTGCGCCTGTTAGACGCCAAGTTCCATCATTCATGATCAACAGCTCTACTCCCATATCATATATTGTATTTGTTTCATGAATTCCGAATGTATCTTCATTTTTAACAAGTATTTATGATGGAATCCCATGTCAACGGAAAGCAGTACAACTCATACATAGCGAGTCACAATGGGTGTAGCCACAGACAGACAGGTTCAGTGAGAACGCTAAGCTGCAGCATGCCACCATCGCCGCAACACCCTACTCATCTTCCACCTTAGCATTTTCCCCCGCTGCCCTGACAGATCCTTCCAAGAACGTTGCCGGCTCAGACTTGCAGACCGGAACTCCTTCACCAGGCTCTTGAGAGAATCATGCCATTGTTCCCTTGGCAACGGCATCACGAGACTCCACAGATGCAGCAGAAGACGTTTGGCAGACCGGAAGTCTCGCGCAGCCAAAAACGCCGTAACAAGGGTGTCGATTGCGGGAGCGTCCGGCGTAATACCAGCTTGGATCATTTCCTCGAAGGTGTGCAGCGCCATCGTCGGGTTGCGGACGCGGGCGTATCCAGAGAGGAGGATGGTGTACATGACTGCGTTCGGAGTAACGCCCGAGCGAGCTGCATTGCGCATCACTGCGTGCGCGGCTGGGAGATTCCCCGCAGTGACATAGGCCGTCATGAGTGCACTGAAATGATACTCATTGGGATGGATACCTCTCGAAATCATTTCCTTGAGCACCTCGTCCGCCCTCGTCGTGTTGCCCTTCACAGCATCAGACCTAATGCGCAGGGCGTACATCGCAGCATCATTTCTAACGCCGTGGGAAGTGAGCGAGCGGATCACTGGACGCATGAGCGAACGTAGGTTGGGCACCCGAGGGAACGCGAGCCCTGCAGTGGGATCAGCTACATCCCCGGAGACTGTAAGCTTCTGGGACACTTGAGATGGCCCTCGTTGCGGCGTCGAAGCACCAGTAACAACAGAGCTCCGTAATAAGTCTTGCCCTCTCGCCCGGATTTTCTCCCTTCGCAAGATGCCCTTCAAAACCTTGTGAACGTGCTTCAACGTGGGAGAAGATGTCATGAATGTGAGCTTCCGGAGTATGCGAATGATATCGCGGGGTCGAGCAAGTTCAGTACTGTCCAAGTAATGCAGCAAAATCTTGATAGTATTTTCATCCGGCTTGATACCCACAATCTGCATGATTTGCAGAATACAGTTCAAGCCATTCAAACCGCGCGGTCCAATAATACCTTTGAGAAGGGCATTCAACACGCCGACAGTCAGAGGAGACTGTATAACGGGTGTACGTCTGGGGTAGGGGGCACCAGATATGAAGCCAATCCGGACCAGTAGACCGAGTGGAACGGTCGGCGGACACATGTCAGCAACAATCTGGACCGCTGTGGCTTCATTACCGACACGCAGATGAGCGCGAACGAGAGCCGCAGCGATGCTGGAATCGGGGACTATGCCAGCGTCTTGCATTCTGTAGAAGATCTGCAGCACCGAAGGAAGATCCCGTTCCTTCGACATGAAGCTTATGAGCCTATGAAGAGTCGAAACGTCAGGACTAGGTGACATGCTGGTACCCACTGTCTGGGGGTCGCACTCGCCAATGGGCGGAACGAAGTCTCCCCCGTCGCCGATGATACTTTGCACGCCCGAGGACTCTTGATCGAATAAAGACATCACTCGGGCGACGCCATGAACATCGCCAGCATCGATTGCGAACTGCATTAGACTGTTCAGGATACGGGTGGCTGCGCGAGCACTGACGTTCTGTAGCGCCTCGAGAGCCTGATCGCACACAACAGGATCTGGCCCTAGGGAGCGGTATACAGAGACAACAGCGGCGTAAGTCGAAGCGTCCACTACATAACCAGCTTCTTCCATTTTCTGCAAGTAGTATCTTGCCTTGCCCAAGTCTCGATTTCGGATGTGGCCGGTGATGAGGAGGTGGAAGGTCCTCCGATTCGGTTTGATATCGTGACGTCTGAATTCTTCGAGTGTGTCGCCCAAGAGCACGTAGTGACGCATCTCTATATAGGCTCGAGCACGCCAATTGAGCAGAACGGCAGAGCTCCGACCTGAATGCAACCTTGCCAGTGCGGCGACTGACGGGATTAAAGACCAATGCTCCCTGTTGGCCAGTCTGTGAGCGATGTCCTCGTATGTCCGAAACTTCATTCGCATCCCAAGCTTGTGGCAAACGCGCAGGAGCTTTACCGAGCGCTCTGCTTGACTGGACTCCGCGAGCCGCAGCGCAAGCCTCGCCGTATGCCATCGATTGGACAGGCAGATCATATATTCGCATCGACCCTCTTCGGAAGCAAAACGGTCCAACCTCTCCAAGGCCTCCTCTTTGGTGACACTCGGAGATGCAAGGGCATCTATTAAGGCAAGCCAATTCTCCGGAGGGTCTGCAGTATAATCCGGAGTGACCGGCTTTGCGAGAACCAGACTTTCCCCCTTTCCCCTGCCGTTTCCGTTCTCGAGTGCCCCAAGTGCTACACCCTGTGGAGCTTCCCTGCGAGTACCGGTATGTGCGAGCCCGACCTCCACGGACGTAGAAGAGGATTGGATTGTGGCTACTTTGAGAGCTGCTGCCGATCGCCATTGCGAATGAAGAAGGAATGTCCTTGACTTGATGCATGCGAAGGGAATATCTAATACCAAGTGTAATGCGGGGCTGCGGGTAGGACTTCTCCAATAACTATGGCCGAGTCTCCAGAGCATGGACAGCCAGAGTACAATCCAGCGTGCCCAGAGATTCGCCCTGCCTAAACACCACGTAAATCACCGCTCGAAAGAAATTTCCAAGCAAATTACTCACGTCTCTAGGGCCCTACGAGCGGAATCCGATATTGCATACAGAGAACGCCTAGCAAGAAGAGGACCTTTCGCTGCTCCAGTCGGCTGAGGGTGACTTGCAGAACTTGTATTCGGGGACAGCCGTGTCGGCGCTTATGAAGCGCGCGTCGGTGCGGACTGAATCGAAGAGGAAGCCGATGCTGGCCCCTTAGACTCCTTCGATGACGGTGAAAAAAGCAGGAGGTATGATATTCGTTGTTTGTAAGAGCTACAAATTGTAACTCATATAAAAAACGGGATGCACCACAATATCGTCAGGCGGCGAGGTATCTACGCGCGTATGGAGTTGGCTATACAGGTATTAGTGTACTAGGGTATATGATGAGTGTCATGCTATGTACGCGAAGGTCCATGGTATATGTCCTCAGGACACGTATGAAAGAATGCCAACTGAGTAACAAGCATGAAAACGCACTAGACAAGCTGGGTGCGTGATATTTTACGGGGAACATATTACACGATGGAGATCACCCATCTACAGCGATAGACATTTCTGTCTAGCAATGCATGAAGGCAGTGCTATACAAGAACAGTCAGTACTAGGATGGTGTGACACAGAATTACTGACTGCGATTGGTTTATGCTTCATTCGCAACGCAAAATCTGAAGTCCCGCCATAAACGGTCCACAGTGATTCCCTGCGTGGGTGAAGCTGGCGCAGGGTTCGCAGGGTGGCAGCTTGGGGAGGTGAAAAGCCTGGATACGTTGCATCGTGTGTCGCGCCAAGTGCGTGCTCTGGGGGTATGGTAGGTGAGAGGTGATGAGAGGAAATGCAGGAGGCTGATACTTACGTTATATTCGCGACTTTGGTATGCGTCTTCACTGCATACGAGTATATTGAACCCGCATCGAGCACAAGGGTAATTGTCTCCCCTGGACCAAGCACGACGGCTGACGCAGTATTCCGACCATAGTCCCGCAGCAGCTGCACAGACACGAAATCGCGAGTATCATTCGTCAGGTCCAAGAGAACTTCGTAGGCTCCGGTGACCGACGGCATCGGTACGGGTGTGTAGAAATGAAATGGTCGAAGGCCTGGTTATGCGCAGCAGTCAAGTACTCCGGAAGAAGATGGCAAGCGGAACCGTCGCGTTAGTTCGAAAGTCACCTTGCTCAGCAAATCTAACGTGCGGTTAGGGAGGGTGGACGAAACCGAATAAGAGACAAGCTTCTTCTTCCCGCAGCTGGTCGTCTGCTGAAGCCTTCTGGGGCAGCTGGAGGTCCGCTGCCGTCAGAGACACGTTGACCTTACCCAGAGTAGGCTAGATATAGCAAGTGACACTATCGCCTTGTAGAAGATATTGTACCTTACGACGGATTGCCTCACGGGTAAGGAATAAAAATTGCAGGAGAGGGGCAGTGCCACGTTGCCGTCCATACGGTGTATTATGCAGACCAGCCCATAGAAGACATAATTAAGTATTCTGACCATTGTAATATGTAGGGCGAGCTACCGTAACCATCGCCTCGGGTTCGTTCGCGGGGGGAAGTGCAATACGGACACAGATGATGCATGCTTGAACGGCGAGGCAAGGGTGCAATAGAGATGCTGCTGGCTCTGTGGGAGAGGCTCGAGACGGAAGCTGCAGTACATGCTGCATCGGCTCCGGTCGCGGCACGAGAGTGGGCGTTGACCAGCGCTTACCTAAGTTTGCACAAGATCTAATCGGCCCTTGCACTGTATTATTGTCCCATCAGCGCTTCCGAGTCCAGCTATATGGAGGTCCAAGGCAGACTGCATTTCCTGGGGATACCGCCAGAGCTACGCCTCGCAATATATCACCTGTACCTCGAAGAGCATCAGCGTGTTCACGAGAACCGCCAACCGACCAATGCGCACCTTCGTCTGCTACTAATTAGTCATCAAGTATGCGAGGAAGCTCAATCCATCCTTCGCCAGTACATATCGCTCAAGAACGAGAGACAAATCGAATTGTTTCTTTGGAATGTCGGCGATAAGCGAGCATCCTGTCTAACTTTCGCAGATGTTGCGAATGATGGCCGCGTTGAACTCAGTGAGCTATCGGTCAAGGTGAGCTTGCCTCACATGCCAGTGCCCAAGGATCGCATACCAATACCGAGGTTCATGCACTCAGACTCCCATCTCGGGGTTGCATCTAGCTCTGCAGAAAATGACTCATTTACAGCATCTGCGTGTCTTCGAATATGAAGCTACTCCTTATCTCAGCCTCTACCGTATGTTTCTCGCCACCTCGTTTCAATGGCGATGCAGGCGCAACTGACAGTATTTCACGTTATAGAAACAGTCTCGCGAACTAGGTGGTCCTGGCAGTTCGAAGCGGCGATGTATCCCGCAGCATGTCCTCTCCGTCTACTCTCGTACGAATTGTATCTCAGCCCCGAGGTCAGAGTCCAAGCACTAGAACAGATACGGTCCCATCACCTGCGGACATTGCGGCTCTCAGGCAACTGCCAACTCCTGCGCGAACACGACACATCCTCCCTGCGCAATCTCATTATCACCGGAGTTACCGGCAGCTATTTTGACCAACGACGGCTTGATCAATGCTTTCTAGATGCACCGCTTGAATCCTTTATGTACGGGATGGGCCATAGACTCGGTTTCGAGATTCGAAATCATCACCTGCAGTCCCTGGTGTCAGGTCCACGGCCCCAGCACCTGCGCAAGCTGCAGCCGTCTAACCAGTGAGGCCATCACTCAATGTCTAGCCCAATTGCATGTTCTGGAGTACCTAGCATTATCTCTCGTGACGGTTGACGAAATCCGCACCAGCTTCGTTGCAGCGCTTCCGCCGACTGTCTCTACTCTGAAATTGACGGTGATTAATGCATGGTTTTCTATCCCCCTTATTAAAGAAGAACGAATCCTGTGCGACACCCTCGAGACCTCCGTGCTGGTCCGCAGGCCTTCACTAACCGAACTACGTCTGCACTTCCGGCCTTCACTGTTGGAGGAGGGTGGAAGAGGAGCGAGATGGCGGAGAATAGCCGATAACGCTCGGGTCAATCTTTCGCTGGGACCTTGGGAGCAGTCCGAAGTGTTCTAGCCCCCGCCGGAAGGGGTATTGCACGTCGTGGTCTACATCAGCCACTACAGAAGTGGCGCAGGCTCCAGCTGCTACCTCTGTCAATGACCACATATCATATACGGTGCGACTATTTGAGACGTACCTTATGTGGTGGCCGTCCTGACATGTATCCAATATGATTCGTCTTCGGATCCTGCGACAGCTTTGCCTACTGCGAATTCCAACTTTTTATCTCCAGATATTCCAGACGAAACGATAGTCGCCACAATATCAAGGACAAGCCTTCTTGCAGGACATCGAGGATAGGGGGGAAGATCCTGAAATGGCCCTGGGATCTCTCCCTTGCACGGATGGCTCATGATAAAGTAGGGGATTAATCGGGAGGCGATGGACGAGACGATCTAGCACGGGTCGCGCCCTCATAAGCCACAACAGTAAAGTATAAAGCATGAAACATGCCTTGGGTTGCAGGTAATTATGTCTCCTTTGAATAAGGCGCAGCATAAGGCGCAAGATGATCTGCAATGAAAATGACCAGGCTGAGTAGGGACGAGACGCAGGCGAACTTGCATTGGTACCTCAGTAGTAGGCAGATTATTTCCCTTCAACTCCCACAAGACTCGAGGGAGATACGTGATCCACTCTTCCACTCTCTGCGCTTCTTCAGGAGACCGACCGATGCGAAAGGCACCCCTATACTCCGGAACCGATGGCAACTATGGTAGTAACGGGTCGTCAAGATAGAACAACGCGAGGTAAGAGTCGGGAATACCAGTAATAAGCGCCCAACGAATTCCACAGTGAGCCTTCTCGTGGCACCGCCCGGTTTAAGTGCATGATCCAACGTCGCGAGCAGAATAGCACGACTCCGTGACCCAGAGAAGTCTTCCCCGTTATCAGTCGAGTTCAGCAGTGACCAGATAGTTGGAAGCAGCTTCGTATACATCTCTGGCGTCAAAGGTCGACCAAGTGAATTCGGGCTGAGCGATTCCCCTCGGAGCAGCTGGGTCACATATTCGCACACTTGAGCAACCAGCAAGCTTGATCCGGTGAGGCCGTTTTGACCGCCTCTTCGCTTGCTGCTCCTACGCTGAGACTCTTCAATTGCTTTGCGAGGTTGTGTTCGCTCCGCAGGCGATTGTCTGAGCCGAATGAGCATTGCTGTCATCTCAGAAAATACAAGATTCAGCTCCTGGAATGCTTGCTCAACCTACGGTAAAGCGCATGAGTCCACCCTCTGAGAAAGACATTGCCGAGGAGAATGCGCTGACCTTGATACTCGGTTTGGACAAGGCATCCTGCTGTTTGAACGGAAAATAAGGAGCCAAGTATCCGAGAATCTGCTGTAAATCCTCGGGGACCTGTTGCATGGATGCCTGTCCCTGTTCGCGTGCAATTAGACAGAGAGCTCTGCATGAGATGTCAATCCCTACCGTTGATATTTCTTGATCCCGCAACAGTGCACCGTACAAGGTTCTAATGATCTGTCCGATATGGACAATGAGATTGAGCTCTGACTCTGGCGGCCCGTTTTTGTTGATGGAAAATACGAGCGGCGCGCAGTCCAGCACGTTAGAGATTATTGTGGGGTGGAGAGTTCGGGCAAGACGCTAGGATACTTTGGTCAGTGGCGAAACCCAGAGGTCGCAAGGCAACGCGTACCGCGATGCGATCGGACGTGGTAGCAACATTCTTCAGCTTCCCCGTGTCTATGACACGGACATAATTGGCAGCATCGCCGATTTCTGGCAAGGTCCAGCATGCCACGGGATCGGTCGCGCCAACTTGACAGACGTAGCTGCAGCCGCTCAAGTCGTCGTCATCCAGGGTCTGGTTCCAGGTCTTGCTTGGGGTTTGCTGTCCTGAAAAGCCCGCACTGGGTCGTAGTAACGAATCAAATGACTCGTACGCGTCTTCTGTTTGAAAGACAGCCGAGAAGAACGACGTAGCAGCTGTCGCAGTGGCGGCGACGTAAGATCGCGATATGGCAGCATCCAGGAAGTGTGCCACGGATTTGAGTACGGCCTGCCTTGACTGAAGAGGGGTGTCGTCGTCAACATATCATTAGCATTGTCGGGGATAAGTACGCTTGGCCGTCAACGGCCCACTCACTGCAGTTGATAATGTCACACTGGCAGTTGAAGTGGCTTCCACAGGACCGGTGTCTGCATAGCGGTACGTGAGTGTTTAGTCCATCCCGGTGTTTCTGACGACGTACTTCCATCCTCTCCAAATCTAGTGCCAGCATTGAGAATCCCCAAGTATCCTTCTAGAACACGGGCGCCATGAGATGGCGTAGCATCACCTTGACTTTGATCCCAGCCCTCCACAATATGTTCTGGGATGATGTCTAGAAACAGATCCAAAAAACGGACAGCATCGATGCGAATTTCGGGGAATATATGCGTCTGCGCTGAGGTAGTAAATAGGAGGAGATGGGATGCATGCGGTCCGAGGACATCCTACAACAACGGAGTTATGATAGATAGAGTCAAGAGCAACTATGATACTCACGGGGGAAACCTTTGGGAGGAGCCAATCGAAGAAACCAAGCAAGGCCTTTCTTACGCTTGCATCCTTAGTTGCGAATTATCAACATTGGCACATTTAAACAGGCACTCTGAGGATATGCATACCTCATCGCCAATCAACCGGGAGCATGTAGCCAAGAGACTGCTTAACCGCGATTCAATCAAGTACGGATATCCCTCTAAGAGCTCGCGGAGACCATGTAAAGCGTCTGGACAAGGTCAGGCCGTCGAACGATTTCGGTAAGAAAGGATGTGTTGGACCAACCCTTCCTTGTGCTCGCATTGTAATGCTTCAGTTGACTTGTTAAATCCTCGAAGGTGAGTTTCCTACTAGTCCTCGGAGCTGCCTCGTCTTTTTGCGCCGCTATGCTCTGAGATGGGAGTGTGATGGCTAGTGTAATTGGTCAGCTTGCCCTGTCAAAGTGACGAGTTTCATACATACAGCGAGCTTTGAAGGAAGTGTCTACCACGTTATTAGATTGTGCTTTGCCTTTGCCTAGCTTCAGCTTGGCTTTCTACACTGAGACGTGAGTTTCAGATAGTCCTCACGAGTGGATGACTCTAGCCTTAAAGTCCGCAGCTTTCTCCTTGCGTTTCTTCGACGCTTTAGGCATTGTGCTTTCTAGTGACCGAACTTGAAGCTTGAAGTGCAAGTTGTGGCCTCCCAACGCATCCGGATCCAATTCACAAAACGCCTCTGCCGCCGGCGATCGAGCCACGCGACTGCTGATCGCTGCCACGCTTCGCGAAGTCTGCACCGAACTCGCCGCCCCCGCCTTTCCTCTTTGCGTCTCAGCGTGTCGTCCATATCGAAACTGTGTGCTGAATTACGTGAGATTGTGCAGGTGCATGAAGCCGAAGTAATCTCGCGATTTACTCTCGCCTACCGTGTAATTACACGCGATCAGCGTGTTACTGGAAACTACCGCGGCTCGTCGCTCCCCTTTACACTGGGGTCACGTCTGCTACCTGCTTCCTGAATGATAAGTCATATGCTCGATTCTACCCGCGTCCGGGACTACAACAAATTCGAATTCTCACCTGTTCAATCCCACCCGCCGACGTTTACCCGAACATTGAGCGTTCCTGATTTTTGCGCGAAATACCCAAATGTCAGTTATATAAGACGATGTCTAAGCTCTTCTTTCAATCTAGCAGGTCTTGTCCGCTGATCTTTCAGTACGATGCGCTCTGTACTGGCCGTCAGCCTATTCGGTCTTGCGGGACTCACCTTTGCAAGCCCGTTGCAATCGCATAGCGAACGTAGCGAAGTGCCTTCTGGGTTTGTCACGACTAATGGCACAAGTTTTCAACTTGACGGGGAGCCATTCGTGAGTCTCTACGACACGCCCACCGACAGCCGTATGCTCACCATGATCTTCAGGCTTTCGTGGGGACTAACTCATTCGTAAGGGTCCAGCTTGAACGTTTGGGTCTAACTTCTCAATGTTCTCATACAGTGGCTGCCTTTATTAACGAGCGAGGATGATGTTCACATGACCCTCGAGACGATGGCCGCTGCTGGCGTCGAAGTCGTCCGGACATGGGTTAGTGTCCCAGTCCCTCTGCTCACAATGTCGTCTAACTGTTCACAGGGTTTCAATGCGATAAATGCCTCTGAGCTAGAGTTTGCAACTTCCACCAACTTGACTTACTATCAAGTCCGTACACCTTCCTAGTACTATTTGTCTGAGTTACTAAGCATCTATCGTTAGGTTTGGAATAGTTCGGGCTGGACTCTAAACGAAGGACCACAGGGGCTCCAAAGGCTCGACTATGTAGTCTCTGCAGCCGCTATGCATGATATAAGGCTTATCATAACGTTCACCAATAATTGGTCTGTACAGTGTTCTGGAATCCCGGTGTCGTACTCACAGCTACTTCGTTTTGTGACACTCTGTGGTGCAGGGTCGGGTATGGCGTGAGGCTTTCAACCCCAGCCTTCCTTTCATAACCTCGCTGAAGTGCATTACGTACGTCTAGGGTGCAGATCTCTACGTTAACTGGCTGGCAGGCGCCGGTGCCACACATGATACTTTCTTTACGGATCCTACTATTATTTCCTCATACCGTGAGCATAAACGGTTTGCCTCTGCTGTCTCTGTCTAATAATACTCGCAGAGCAATACGTGCAAACCATTGTCAACCGTTACAAAGACTCCCCTACCGTATTCGCGTGGGAGCTTATGAACGAAGCACGGTGCACCAGCGATCTGCTTGCCTCCAGTGCGGCTTGTCATCCTGGCTCAGGAACTCTGGGTCTGTGGTATCAGCAACAATCTGACTACGTTCGCAGTCTGTAAGACTTGTGCACTGACTCGCGTGGTTGCGGTATGACCTGATATCACTGTCAGCGACCCGTACCACATGATCACCACTGGTGGCGAAGGCGAATTTTATTGGGCACAGCCAGACGAATAGTAGGTCTTTCATTTATATCCTACGATCACTCTGCCTCACGTCGAGTAGCTGGTATAATGGCACCTTAGTCAGCGATTACAACTTCAATGGTGAAGGTATGCGGCTACGTTCACGCACTGTGCTAGTGGCAGGTGCTGACTCCTCGGTATCATCTACAGCTGGGGAAGATTTCGAATGGACCCTCGGCCTACCGAATATCGACTTCGGCGTCTACGTGAGTTTCCTGTGTTTTTACCTCCTGACACTTCCTAAGATCTATCCAGCATATGTACCCTCAGACTTGGTACCCTGAACTGGTATGTGTCAGAAAGCGGCGAGAGGACAGATACCTCATCTTCCTTAGGATTATCCCGGCTCGAACTTCTCCGTGGAAGAATGGGGTCTTGATTGGATCGAGGCTCATGCCCTGAGTACAGTTCGGTCAATCATGGAATGTCTAGCCTGCTGACGTGTTCTGGGTTATAGCTGCACAAATGGTCGGCAAGCCGATTGTCATCGAAGAATTCGGAGCAACCGGACTTGGTGAGGAATATCCTGACCCTCCTCTGTATCGACATTTCACGTATTGCCCTTCGGCATGTAGACAACAAGACAGCGATCTATCCAGCTTGGGTGCAGCGTACTTTGGACACCAATCATGCGTGAGTGGCTACCACGAGGCATGTACGCCGCGAAGTTGACCTACACCCCCATGGAAGTGGAATAATGTGGTGGCAATGGGGACAGTTAAACTTGACCGAAGATGGAGGTAACCAAGCCTTTAAATATACGGATGCTATCGTCAACGGGGTATGTCGGTTTCCCTCCATATACTCAGCTGGAGCAGAAGTATTGACTAATGCATGGCCATATAGGCTTCACCCAATGACGGTGCGCGCGATCGCTGAAATGCAGAGATAGGAACACTAACCGCCTCTGTAGGTTTCACCGTTTACACGAACCAGACATCCGTATTTGATGTATTTACGTGAGTACCCTCTGCCATTGAGTTTGCTCTCGAAAGTGGAATAATGAATCTGGATCGACAGGAACGCAGCGATGATCCAAGCCCAAAGGTCGGGTTGAGGAGCTACACCCTATCCAAGACGGTCTGTAGGATTGTAGGAAGGCCTGCGGGTATGCATTATTGAATCAACAACGTATGGGCATCACGGAGGGCACGCACCGTGAATGTCCTGGGCTCTGGTTCTGATACAATGACACCCAGCAGTTTTGATCATTCGCGGAGACCTAGCATTCAGACTCGGCAGGGAAGACCGGAATATATGCAACGCTATGATTCAAGAACGTGGAATGAGTAAGCCCGTTGCGAGGCATTATATGGCTGATAGTGTAGACACTAGAGGCTGGCTGGTGATTCCACAATTCAGCGGTCTTTGAGATGACATATGATGGGAACACGTACTGCTGGACGGCTCTTCTCTACGTGGCCATTAGAGTGGCATTGTACGCGAGACGATTATTCCTCGCAGAGGCGACCAGGAGTCGCCTCGAAAATTGCTGGGGAAGGCATGTGACGTCTTACACGTCGTATCCACCCAGAGTTTCACCCTGGGGGAGAGGAGCGTCAGGTAATAATCTATACAGTGGATTGAAGCCTGGCTCACGTCAGTTTCATTTCCTGCCTTCCTCGTCTCACTACATAGTGGTAGGTAGATCCAGCCGTGCATATCAGCCTTATGGCTTCACGACTATTAAGCCATACTGTGGCATTATCCAGCGCCACATCAGCAAGTTCATTGTCCGACTTCGCAATGGAGAGTGCCACAGAGCTACTGTCGTTGTTATCGAACTCGAAAAGGACCTCGTACGGCGATGTACTGGAAGGCATTAGGTGTCAACTCCATGATATACATCTCAAGGTGTAGCTATAAACGAATAGGAAAACAATGGGCAGGCCCTGGCTAGGGCCGCGGGAGCAGGTTTTTGTCACCTATTCTTAGTGCTTTACAATACGCATTGTCTTAGATCCACATATGTATATTCGATTCGACGGCAGATGGCCACCATTTCGCACTCTGCATTTCCCCGCTTGATGCGGTCTGGCAAGGGGTGCGGGCATATTTGCACCAGTGATTTCCTATGGCTGCAGACCAAGGCAACAGATCTGCTTCCACCCTTATTGTTCACTGAACGCAAATGGGCAATATAAATACGTAGGATGCATATATCTCGAATAAAGTCCGTTATCCACACGTCCACTACACATACAAATTTCGTGTCATAAACAGACAACTACAGCGGAGCGAAAAGGTCCCGCTTCCTCGAGACAGGGAGACTCAGCATTCATCATACAACAGATTTTAGCACACTCTAGCAACCCTATCTGCTTAAGCCTCATCTGACACATGATTACGCTGATTTCCTGAAGGATATATCTTCCTTTACGCAGAACAACGGGGAGTCATCCGGATTGTGACCCTTGGCAGTTACGACGAATTTGCCTGCGGGACATCAACGAAATTGTGCAGTGGCAATAAATTATCACTTACCTGGGGGTATCTCCTTGGGAAGCTCGATCTCATGATGTACGGTGTAATCACCCGCCGCTAAAGGGCACTCGTATTGGGCGTCCAACTGCGTCCTGTATATTCCTTAGAAGGTAAAGCGCAAACAGGTGAACGGACTGGGTTGACTACGCACGCTTGCTCGCAAAGATCGAACGTCTTCCTGATTAGTACGATGTAGCCAAGTTTCACTTCCACCCAAATATACGCTCCTACCTGCACTACGGTAAGTTCCCCTTCAAAATAATACGCATATCGGGAGACCTACTTGAATGACATCGCTCACGGTTGCGTCAAAATCTACGGTCAGATTGTAACCGGGTTGCGGCGGATCCGGGGAAAGAGTCAAAGCGGGGACCTGGACGACGTCGGAGGGCGATCCTGGATCACCATGGTAGCTAAATGATGAACGCATCTACATACTGGCCAATACTGCACTTACCGCACGAGGAGAAACCCGCTGAGGCCATGCCGGCGAAAGCGAGAGCAAGAGTTGCAAGCGATGTCATACGCGTCATATTTACAAACCAAAAATTCAGCTGCAAGCGAATAGAAGGCGGTAAGATCTTTGGAAGGGCCCAGGAACCCGGGTTAGCTAGATGTAGTCTAACGTAACATGCAACGAATACTACTCACGTAGGAAGGCAGAAAGGAGATGTGACCGCAAAACTCACAGCCCAATTTATATACTACTGTCCACCCGAACCAGTGACCCTTTGTCGATCACACCCGCACGGAGCAGATGTGAAGGAAACATACCTGGAGCTCCTTCGGCGGGACCGGACACGCGCCATGCGGTACGTCAGTCTGAGTTAAGATCGTAGACTGCCCGCCTGAGGCGTATTCTGTAGGGTCGTTCGAGAATCGTTGGCTGAACTGAACAGTATGCCCAGTTTGGATTGAATCCCCAAAGGTTCCCGTGCAAGCCCCCAGGCGGAAGCGCACAGGATGCACCGTGACAACACCTACGCCAGCCAGAATGGACGTGACTCTGATTCTGAGACTAAACGGAAGGAGAGCAAGTTCTGCATACCAGGACGTCAATCCATAAGATAAGAGTCAAGCTCACCATTGATTTCTGGCCATCCGACACCACTATGAATCTTAAGAGAATCGAGCGAGTCAAAGACAATATCGCATTACCAAGACATACATGATATTATACAAAAAATTGAAGCTGGAGGCTGAAGAGCGTGAGCAATGAGACGTCGCAGTCATGATGGGGTCCAGATTCCGGGTGGGGGACAAGCAAGGGACATGGCTTTACCATCCCATCTTGAAGAAAGGTTTCTTCCTGAAGTCGACGTTGAGATCCACGCAGACCATGTCGTCATCGTCCGCAGTATAGCCTCGCACGTTGACAACAAATTTGCCTGGGCAGACAACGGTCAGGACTTTTGCATACGTCAAAACTTTCGGTCATGTCGTACCTGGGGGAATCTCCTTAGGCAGCTCTGCAACCTGCTCGACCTCGTAGTCACCCTTCTGGACGGGACATTGTACGCTAGCCTCCGCCTTACGCCTAGACATCCCAGTCCGATGTCAGACTGATAAAGAGAGAAGCTTGAACATTACGCACGCTTCTTCGCAAATGTCAAATGACTTCGACAGTAGCTTAACGTAGCCCATCTTCACGACGACATCGACATACGCTCCCTCCTGTAGGAGGGTGAGCAAGGCGTCTGCGTGTATGCGATAGGAATGCCTACCTCAATAACCTCCTGCACGTATGCCTTCACATTGACGGTCATGTTTGAGCCGGGTTTCGGGGGATCCGGAGAGACATCAATGGACTTGATTTGAATCGCATCTGTATCTGCGCCTGAGGAAAAAATGAAGACATGATGATGAGTTCTTATTGCGTATCAGACCCTCCTTCACTTACCGCAAACCGAGTAGTCCCAGCTCTCACTGATACGCACGGTTCCATCCGAGGGAACCAAAGCCTCCTGGACGTCCAGAGGAGTCGCCAAAGCAATACCAGTGAATGCTAATGCGAGCGTGGCGAGCAGCGACAGACGAGTCATGGCGGTCGTGGTGCAGGTTGAAGGAGCTCCTTGTACGTCAGTCGGGAGCGGTAAGAGGGGGCTCTAAATCACGGTCACAGAGCTGAGCGCGCACGGTCACGCATGCCCGAATTGTCCGAGTGTGGCGTCAGAGGACTGCGCTTGCAGGCAGTGCACGCTCTCAGGCAGCAGCGCCGAGTTCATCTGTTTCTGAAGCTACCAGTTGCTCTCATCCGCTTCTTCCATCGAGAAGGTACTGCTTGAGGCAGGTTGTTTGCCTTTGTGCCCACCGTTCCATACACCACCCGTCGTCGCCACGCAAGAGGTCGATTCCTCACGCCCTTTGACGCCCTTCTCCCATCTGATTGTCCCCGGCGGGCCCTTCCCTCGAGATGAAAATAAGAGAGTACTGCTGCTGTGCCGTACCCATCGTCAATGCAGGCATCTATGCCGTTCTGACCGAGCAGTTGGTTTTGGGCATCCTCGCCGGCACGTTAGCCGTGGCAACCCCGCATTGTGAGTCCACGTCCTTGTCTACCGCCATATTTTCTGAACCATTGTTTCAGTGGTGGGTGCTGCTACACCGTCGTTTGCGAAATGGATATTTGCCATCATATGTTACGTCGGGGCGGGTTTGCAGGTCCTCGGTTTCCTTGCTGTAAACCAGGTACGGACAGCGTGCTCGAGCTTGCCTATGATACTAACGCCGGGACAGGATAAGACCATTCTGTATCGACGATACACCACTCTGCATATCATGATTACGAGTGCTGCGTTCTCAGTCGCTGCTGTTTGGATCATCATCTCCGCCTCTCGGCATTCGACTGCCAAATCGACATGTCAGACTGATTTCTTCGCCAACGCAACTTCGGGCGCTACTTCCTCCGAGGCGGACACGCTGTGCAACATTTTTCCATGGGTAGACGTGGGATTAATGGGTGGTCTCTGGGTAGTGATGGCCATTGCTCAGGTTGGTCTTTCGTTTCCTCTCCAGCCACCGATGACTCACGCCTCCACCCCAGTTCTATTTCTACTTCGTCGTGTCATCGTTCGGGAAAGCCCAGCGTGAAGCCATCTCCACCTATAACTCCATCTACGACGCATCGAAGCCGCTCACAAACGACATCCCGATGAATGACCGATCGGACCCATGGGACCCACGCCGGTCTGTAGACTCCCTCGACAATGAGGGTGGTCGGGGACGAGGGTTTTCTCACCACAGGGACGACAGCATCCAAAGCGTATCCACCGTCATGGGCGACAAGATGGAGCGCCCGACGGATGGGTACGCGCCAGGCGGCTATCCAAGCTATGGTGGCGGCGACCCGTCACAGCCCGGCCGGAGAACCAGTGTACTCTCCCAGCCCAGCTACGCATACACCCAAGACCCCGGCCCCACTCCGCGATTCAACGATAACTATTATTCAAGCAGTCGTGCTGCGGGGATGGACATGCCGGAGCGGGCTCAAGCTCATCCCGGTTAGTGTCCCCCTCCCTTGCATTCGTCTATTGCGACGGATCCGACTTGGCCGCAGTCGTGGCTGCTCAGGCGGGTCCGTTGAGTCCCTTGCATACTTTGTCCAGGCGGTTGACATTGTTCTATCCCAGCTGAGGGCTCATTTCGCCGCAAGACCCCGCGCATGAAGCATCCATCGGATGATTTCGATCGCAGCTTCTTTGCAACCCGGCCTGCATGACGGACGTTCGGATATAGCTACTGTGATCCTTATTACATCCTCCTAATCGGACTACCATGGACTCGCTTTCGTACGCCTGTATATTAGTAACCTCCCACTGCTATGCATTTTGCCGTCTGGGACATCTGGGACATCAACGGAATTCTCATTGGTGACGAGCGAGATCACCACCACGCACAGAATCGCACAACTCGCAAAGCAGTTTAGGGTCTCACTATGAATACATTGATTGTGATTCCTCCGCTTTTGGTTACAGCAACAAGATAGCGTTGACAACTGCACATGCAACTGCGAGCTATGTCTACAGGAGTACTGGCTCCAAAAAGCAACGAGCTCTACCAGCTCTGCTCGCACGCGAGAACAGAGATGCGTCACCGACGCCGAGCCCTATAATAGCAAGGCAACCCGACCCGTGTGCGGGCGCCCCATAGGAAGAGACACATAAAGATAGGATAAAAAGGAATAAAACCCAGGAAACCACCCTGAACCCAGCACGAGGACCAAGGAATCAAAGGACGTTAGATGTCGCATCTAAGAGTCCCAGACCCAGGTCATGCCGGACAGACGACCGACAGCCTCGTCGGCGAGCTGGGTGAAGGCCGACGGCGAGAAGTCGAGGTCGGTAAGGGCGCAGCCAGTGCAGCGGTCGGTGATGGCGACGGTGACTGACTTGCCTTGGTCTAATGAAATGCTCAGTCTATTGGCCGAGCGCGGCAGGTATTTTCACTTACAGGTGGCGGTAACCTTCTTACCACAGATGGGGTTGCTGTTCGGGTTCACGCCGTTGTAGCCGCTACGGGAGCGACTTGTGAGTAAGGCCTCAGACTATGGATCAGATAGCACATACGGGAATGCATCGAATAACAAGTGAGATACGGCGGCGATGTAGTCGGTATCAGTGTTGGTGATACCGCAGGCGCCGAGACCTGTCTCGTAGAAGGTACCTATGCACAAGCAGAAGGTGAGGAGCCCGTTTGCTGATTTGCGAAGGTCATTACGAACCTTGGCCGGTCTGCGTGCCTATGAGGAAGCTGGGGGAGTTCGACGAATCCCCGCTCGAGGAGGCACTCGTAGTTGCTGGAGCCTGCGACGACGATGTAGGGGCTGGAGCCGCAGACGTTTGCGGAGCTGCAGACGTGGGGGCGGGAGCCTCGGACGACGACGTAGCCTCGGGGGTAGCGGAGGTAGCGGGGGCCGCGATGGACGAAGACGCGAGGGATGGCGAGGGGGCTACGTTGACGATAGAAGCGGGGGCGGAAGAGGAAACGGGTGTCGAGGAGGCCGCGGAGGAACTGGCGGGAGCCTTGCAGCGACCGTTTGCCCTCTTCCTGAGACGGCGGGGGGTCGCAGTCACGGCCGGTGGCGCGGAGACCGCCTCAGCTACTGTGACGGGAACAGCGGCGCGAGCAGCGAGGTGGTGGTGCTCGAAGGCGTTGCGGGCAACGCGCGGGGTGGCGAGGGCGGAGACGTAGAGAGCCAGGGAAAGAAGGAACAAGGACTTGGCGAGGACAGACATGGCGTCAACAAATTAGCCTGTTTGGCGAGTCGTAAATGAGAGTGGGGTGGAGGGAATGACTGATACACAAGTCCTTATAAAACGGGGGACTGCCTGCGAACGAGCAGAGGAATGTCAGAACAAACGAGGAAAAGGGCAGACGGGGCGGGGGTGCGCACCTGGCCTCTCGGACGAGTCGATCGTTGCAGTACGCAGTAAACCGCGAGGCCTCTAATAAGCGCTCTGTTTGCCGTTGTTTGGAATATGTTCTCAACAGCGATCTGAAAATAACAAGCTGCTCAACGACCTTGAACGGATGTCTCGCTCGGAGTAAATATAGCATTGTATTCGTTCTCTGGGCTGCTCCCAGTTCCGAATCTTTCTGCCGGAAAGATGCCTGATCAGTCCAAATTTGCAGCCACGTCTCATTCGAGACCGCTCCGGCGCACTCAAGCCCGGCCTCCCCTGGACTGCGCTGCTGCCATGCTGCGGAGGCCCGCTTGATTCCAAGACACACGTCGCTCAGTAGCCACTGTATAGCAGGCAACGGTCATATGTTACATACGCGGCGTACGCTGAAGACGGCGTCCGTCGCCACGGATGAGAGACTTGGGCACAGCCAAGGCTATTCTCATCCTCATCCACGGACCCATCATCCTCAGATATCGGAGTTGGCCTTCGCCGCATACATCTTCACCAGCCCCGCACTCGTGATTCCCGCCAGACTCTTCCCATACGCATCAACCTGACCCAGCAGCAACATACTCTCCAGCCTGCTCGGCTCTGGCGGGATTTTGAAGAGTCTGCTCACGTCTTCTTCGGGGAGGGGCGCGAGACCCTGCGCCACCCGCGAAGCGTTCTCTTCCTTCCGTTTCGCAACGTAAGCATCTGCCCGCGACTTCTCACGGGCGATCTGCCGCTGCAGGTACGCGAGATTCCCTTCCTCCGTCCTGTAGCTATCCAGTGCGTCGTTCACCTGCTCGAGGTTCCTGACCACGCCTATCGCGCCTAAGTTTAGATTGGAGAATGAGGGCGGCAACGAGGATGTCGAGGCCTCGGCGGGAGAGGCATCAGGGAGGGGTGACGGGGTCGGCGTGGTAAGGGTGTTCAGGAATGAGCTTAGCAGAGCGTTGGTACGGATTTCGACCGGGATCTCTTCCAGGATGGTAGAGAATGTTAATTGATGGTCGATTAAACTTGTGGCAAATGTAAATATAGAAAGCCAGTGAAGGTTAATGTAGCACTCACCTCGGCGTGCTAAAGTTACTTTTCTTGAACGCGTCCAAAAATGACTTTGTTAACCGGAAGGCACGGAATGCAGCGTTGCCACGCGCAGTCTGGGTGATGTCTGCTGAGAGTAAGCACGTAGAAGCGCTGGCTGTCCTATAAATAACACTGACCATGAACGACAACAATGCCTCCATGTCTAAGCTTGTCTTGATGAATTGCCTGCGTGTCTATTAAGGCTTGACTGAAGAACGCGCCCATCGTCGACGCTTGGTAGAACCCGACGACACTGTCATCTGACTGCACCTCCTTCAAAGATCGTAACATCTGTGCTTGATACCGCGCTGACCAGGAGTTACAGCCGCATTAGCACTGTCCCGAGCTTGGACATATGGTCACATACCGACAGATTTCGTGGACTTGTCGTCGTCGTCCCCTCCGCCGTGCAACGGTAGAGGAAATGAATTCGACACTTCCAGCGTCCCATCGAGGTCGAGGCCCAATAATAACCCATGGGCAGTCGCAGACGGCGCCTCGCGGCTATGCTTGATGATTTTTGTGATGACCTAAGAAAGCTTCAGCACGCCATTCATCTTGGACAGGACATGGTACGGGGAGGGCAGGGGCCGCGTGAAAGAGGCATGGAAAGCATGCTCACTATTCCATCCAGCTGCACGGTGGTCACAGGGATCTCGGCCTCGATGTCGATGACTTTGGCCATGGAGGCCGGGATGGCTTCATATGTGGGCGCCGCGGGTGCTGGGGCAGCTTGGGGTGCAGGGAGGGAGGCGGCGAGGGCCGCGGCCATGGATGGTGCTGCCGCCATTTTGGTATGAAGAGAGCGAGGCCGAAGGGGATTTGGAGGGCGCTGTGGGCTTCTGTCTGAAGGTCTAGCGCAGGACTGGATGTGAGCAGTCTAATGCCTTGCAATGAAGCCTTCGGATGCCTTCAGCGGTGGTAGTGGAGGAAAATGAAGTCCAGTATAGGCGACCAAACAACATACAACAACGCGCCTTACTTCGAATCTTATCAGAAGTTATCAAGTCTACCTTCGAATCTCCCCAGTACTGTACTCTGTCCGCGCCTAGGCTGAAGTTATGATTATAACACTGCTGTGTACCACACGTTGGTATTCAAGCTGCTTGTATATGGCTCTTATGCAACGTACATTAAAACCCTCGAAGTCCGAAATTGATCTCCGCCGTTCGCGCAGGATGAAACTCTAGCGTTCGTGCTCTCCGCGGTTTTGCCACGTCCAGTATTTTTGGGAGCGGCCTACAGTACAGTCCCGGACAAGCAAAGGCAACAAATTGATTTCTGATCGAACGAGATTTTTTGGCGGGAAACCGACTTCAGATTCGGACTCAGGGAGGCTGGAAACATCCAAAAATGAGGTCCCCTTATTTTTCCCACGACGTTTTGATACGGCCAAAATTTTGGGCCATTTCAACGACATTCTACACAGTCACCGGACCTCCCAGGTCATGCCCTGAGCCTTTGGGGACCTGTAACCCTTGCATGGAGCTGCATCTAGGCTTTCGAATACTTCAGACCTTCTTCTGAGGCCGCCCACTGGCAAGGAAGTTCAAATTTATTGCACATGTTACCTTGACTGCCATATTTGGCCTGCACTTAGGAGAGCTATTATGGCATATCAGCTGGTCCAATTATTAGATTTAAGCCAGAATCGTGCTCAGCTCATTGAAAGGAGTCGATTGGCATATTTTCCGCATTTTTCCCGATTTGTTTTGTATACGGCCAAAATTTTGGCCCATCCCGACCCATTATTGAAGGCTACAGGGTGTTTATCGGAAATCGGCTCGTGCCAATCTCTTCTTTAGAGTCTAAATCACTCGTTTCTGCAATAAAATTGGGGTTCCCACGGCTGCTGGACCTCAGGAAATCCGGTCACCGAATTTGTTGTCTTTGGTTGTCCGGGACTGTAGTTCTGCGCGAATTGCGTAAGATAACGCGACCGCCGTGCCTCTGGGACACCTCGTTTCCCGAGACCTACGCAGGTTACATACTCCCAGACTTGTCAAAGGCCTTCGAACCATGGTCAATGTTTCATTGACAGGAACAGGTTCATCTGTATATTTGTAGCAGCTCCGGGGAGAGTTTTACCGAGTCCTTTCCTTGCGGCCACATAAAAACTCTAACAAGAGGCAATTAGGTCGAGAATGACGCGATTGCATTGGTGAAGTATCGGGAGTATGGACCGAATTCTCACTCGTTTCATTCCGCCAGGGACATGTGCCCTGAGTCGGACACCTGCACGTTCAGTTGCGGGTTCAGAGCGGGACGTAAAGCGCAAATGACTTCAGAATCAGCGTGGCTTATTATTGGACGACGGCATCACCTGTTGCTGCTCTATGCCTGTGTTCGTTTCGTCTTTCCCTTCTGAGACGCTGGACTGGATTTTGTTCAGGCACTTATCTCAGAGATCCATACGGATGCCGGTATGTCATCTGATAGTACTTTTGGACATACGCAGAAGTGACATGTGGGGCCCTGAGTCAATCACTCCATACGATAGCCCTTGTAATAGGGTGCCACCTGTAGCGCCTCGATGCAACTCAAGTAGAGTTACAGTAGGTTACAGTACATCCGTTTTGCAAGGAACGTTCAGTACTAGAAAGGACACGAAGTTTCATGGACATACAGTGTTCTTGGTCAGATGCAGTGGAGGGAGAATGCGGAGAGAGATGGGTCTGTGTATACGCAGTGCTTGGTAATATGGTATGGTGGCGTGGCAAGTGTCGGCGAACAGTAGTGGGACCTGCGGGGATCAGAGTTTCGATTTCCAGTGCCGGCCATACAATCCAATCGTGCAAGGAGGCACAGTCCTGTTCTTGCGCTGACAGTTGGAGGATCTTGGGAGGATCCAAGCCTGGGTCAAATAAATGTGGCACTGACCCACTTATCAGATAAGATAAATGGGACGATCATGTCCCTGAGCCAAATATAACATCCGGAGGACGCCGGATTTGTCAATGACGATGCTGTGGCTTCGACTTCAGAATCTCTACTCTCTTCCTTCCTTACCACCACCATCTCTGGCCCGCCATGCACACTCCGACGATGAGTCGCTCGGCTCGTATCATCTTGCTCCTTGTTATCGATGTGCTGTTCTTCTTTGTCGAAATCATCGTTGGTCAGCTTGCTTCGGCCGACGTGCGCGGGCACGGCACTGATCACTTTCACGCGTTCCTGTAGGTTATGCCGTGGGCTCACTGGCCCTTGTCGCGGACAGTTTTCATATGTTGAAGTGAGTGGCGATGATCTGGATGCTGGGATAGCAATATTGAGCAGTTCACAGTGATGTGCTGAGTTTGGTGGTGGCTCTCTACGCGATCAAGGTATGTCTGGCCTGTCCTCAGCATTTACCCGCCTCATGATGTCTCTGTAGTTCAGCGCCAAAGATCGTACGGCGCAATACTCGTATGGCTGGCACCGCGCAGAAATTCTTGCTGCACTTGTCAACGGCGTCTTCCTCCTTGCCCTGTGTTTCTCTATATTTTTGGAAGCCATCCAGCGCTTCTTCTCGGCGCCTGGTGAGTACACCCTCACCCCAGCATATGTTATGCCCCTGATCGCTACGCCCCGCGCTCCAGAGATAACGAATGCGCGGCTTGTTGTCATCGTCGGATCGTTCGGGCTAGCGTCCAACATCGTGGGCCTGTTCCTTTTCCACGGTATGTATTCCGCTTCTGGTAAGGGTCCTACTCGCGGTATTCAAGTCCTACTTCCAGAACATGGCCACTCCCACGAGCATGGGCATGGGTCGGCGTCAGGGACCCCGTCCGAGACACCCACTGCAAGTAATAGCAGGGAGCAGAGTCCTAACGCGGTCGCGAAGAGAAGGCAAAGAAAATTAACAGCAGAGGAACATGAACGGCGCGAGCGTTCTGCCTCATTTGATAACATGGTTCATCCTGCAGCGATCCGTGCTTCAATCAGCAACTTGGCAAGATCACCCTCACCCCCGCCGCGGCGGGGCAGGCGGAGTTCGCGCTCTGGTTCCCGGTCGACCCGTCCGCACCCAATCGAGGAGGGGGACGAGACTGTCAGAGAGTCCATCGACATTGACGAGAACACTCCGCTCATATCAAGCATGAGTAACAAGGCGAACGTTGAGCCCTCGGAGTCGGGCCAGCTGACGCCCACTCAAGGGCCATCGGGTCATGGACATTCTCACGCAGGTTCGATGAATATGCGGGCCCTGGTACTGCATGTACTCGGTGATGCTCTGGGCAATGTCGGAGTTATAGCCACGGGCCTGATCATCTGGCTCACGAGCTGGAGCTTCAAGTACTACTTCGATCCTATCATCAGTCTTGTTATCACTGTCATCATCTTCCACTCTGCCATGCCGCTCGGTACGTATTGCATTCGTATTTATTGTGGTGATTCTGGCTAATCTCATTAATGCCACCCAGTTCTCAGTACATCGTCCATCCTCTTGCAAGGAGTCCCGCCTACGGTGTCTTTGGACAACGTTCACGACGCGATTCTTGCAGTCCCAGGAGTACTTGCTGTTCACGAACTGCACGTGTGGCAGTTGTCGGAATCTCGAGTCGTAGGTTCCGTCCACGTCGTCGCCGACAGGGATGAGGACTTTATGGAAGTTGCTGCCAACATCCATGAAGTTTTGCATCGTCATGGCATACACTCGGCTACCATTCAGCCTGAATACCGCAAGAATCCGGATGATTTGAGAAAGCCCTGTTTGATCCCGTGCCCGCCGGGTCAGGCATGTTCGACGGAAGAAAACGCCTGTTGCCGTAAGTGATCCACTATGTGCCAGGACGGCCTGCTCGATTAACGATATTTGTTTAGCCCCACCGCCTGCAGAAGTGTAATGATCCTCATGAATCGGATTAGCTAGTGTTGTCACGTTCCTATGTATCCCTAATTTCCTGTCATCATGGCATGTGTCTCGGAATAACATTAGTAATATACCTATTTATGTTTCTGCCATGAACATGGGGAAATTTGCTACGAATGATGAAGAGGACGACAAACGCTGGGAAATGACCCCGGCAGTGGGGCTGTTCTTTCTGCGCCGCAGCTCACTCGACAAGCGCTTGGCCATACCAGCTGTGGATTGCCCGAGAACCGGCCGGTCATCCCCGCACACGGTGTGCAGAGCCCACTCTGTGTGGAGTGAAGCAGTGAGAGCATACGAGATAACGGAGACCATCAGTTCCATACTCATGGTCTGGTTCGCCGGGGACTGTTGATCTACGGACGTGATCAACGAAGGTAAGACAACGTGAAGGAATGTCGGCATCAGGGGCGGTCCGTTGGAAGCCCTGGGCGTGGTGAGGACGAAGGTCGCGATGCGCCTACAAGCTTCGATGGCGCCTTCGCAGGATGCCGCGAGAAGCTCGGACCAGAGCAGATGGAGGAATTTGACCGAGGGCAAGACGAGCAGACAGCGATCGACGTCCAGCGCGGGAGCTTTGCCGGAGCGCGCCATGGCTAGCGCTTCTCGTATGGCTTGTCGCGGCTGGTCTGTCCAAGGAACAATGTTACCCGTGCCCATATGCGCTTGGACTCCAGCTGAGTTAGTGGCAGACTCAGTAAGAAGCCCTCATATCACAATAAATGAGGCGCACATTGCTCCGCACTGAGCGCCTGGGCCACTGCTTGGTAAATAGTATCCACGTTGACAGCCGCGGTCTTAGCAACGTCCCGTACCAAAGGGATGACTAGGAGCCGCATAATACTGGGGCCACATAGACGCAGGACGGGACGCGGACATGACTGTGACGTAAGTAGGATCTGTAAGACTTCCAGATGCGCTCGTGCTTGTGAACTACGAAGATGTTAGTCAATGAATGTTCAGAAATTGCGTCACGGTAAGTACCCTATTCGCTGGATTTCCGTTATGAGAGCCTTTACTATGCCGACGAGAGTCCAGTGCAATAGCGGTCCGAGAAAGTAAGACACGCCATTGTTGAGGACATCCTTATCCATCTGATTCTGAATGTGAAATGCAATGGCATGTAAGAATAGTAACGGGGCCAGGCGCAGGAGTGTCTTCGGGCGTGTGGTTCTTCACCAAATGAGTGGGATAGAGACGACTGGCAAAGATAAGAATTACCTGAGGATAGTGTCCTCTATACCTTCGCTATTACTGTCGAAGAGCGCTTTAAACCAAGAGTAAAACGCGTTGGAATCTTCCCTGGCCAGTTGATCTATCTGCTGGATAGAAGGCGTAATAAGGAACTCGAGGCGAAGGGTACGCTCTCGCAGTTTGAATTCGCGACTGCTTATCTATTGGAAAGGATAAATTGGAGATCCGTGGACAGTCCGAATCTTACGCACTTGGAACTGAGCTATAGTGGACTGCAAGAAGAGGACTACGTCCCCGAGATGGCTCACAGCCGTCTGGGGGTCACCTGGGCGCGAGCAACAGTGAGAAGAAAAATACATATACAGTGAGTGGAGATACCCACCGACGCTCTCACAATCATACTCTTCTAGGAACATTAATGCACGGGCCACCATATCGGACACCTTGCAGTGTAAAGAAACGAGGTCCATTGCAATAGGGTAGACGTATAACAGCTTGCAGAGATTGCTTAATCCTTCCGCTTCCAAAGATGAGGTCAAAGAGCAGAACCGCTAGTCATAGGTTCGTCATGTTGAGTGGGCCAGATAGAGAGGTAGGAACTCACGCGATGAACGGTATCGGCGAAAGGAGCATGACTAGAAGGATCCCCACAGACCTTCTCGACGAAAGCGCTGCTGTCATATTGACTGGGGTCCGTTGAGACTCTGTTGTCGATATAATGCTGAGAACAACGTCAGAGTAGCATTGATACTATATGAATCTACCCAACCTCGAGGTTCATGCCGAGCTCTTGAGCATCGGTCTGTACTTGAGGCGAGTTGTCGTTGGCAAGACCTTGGTCAAGGTTGTTAGCGAAGGATGAGTCTAGCAAGCCTTCTGTGACGAGTTGCCGTAAGAAATCGCGAGCAAATAAGCGGGACCTAGCACGTTGTGAGAGGTTCCACTGAAACCTTGTATGCTTGAAGGACGTACGACTGCATCCCCTCATTCATTGAATCAAGCGGGTCCATGTTGAAATTGACATTGTCGCAGTGAGCAAGAAGGTCGGCTCTTTGAAAAAGAGATGTCAACGCAAATTGCAATGCGATGCGCTGGAAATACAACGTCAGTCTACGGCAACGTAGTATACAATGAAATAATACCCAATCTGCTTCCTCCGTACTGTCATGGCGAACAGTCGACTGGAATTGCGCCAGTAGTCGGGGAAGCTACACAAAAGCATTGAGGGGAAACATCACATTATTGTGTGCACTGAACGTACTCTTGCGGTCACAAACGCTCTCCACAGCAATGCAGCCCGTTTCTCGGTGCCGGAAGAAGAGGCTTGTGCAAGACATGTCACCGCAGAGAGTAGCAACTGCGTGTAGAATACCTGAGGCGTCCAAGATGTGGAACGCAAGACGCGAAGCAAGATCGCAACGACATGGTCGCCATGACCGGAGCCGAACTCATCAGCCCTATAAGCTAGCTATTGAAACATGCTGATTAAGGTCGGGAGATAGACTTTTGCACGTACAAAGTAATGGAACATCAGGCTACACGTCACGATGTCCGTGTCGGAATTTGGACCAAGGATGTCCTTCCCAAGAGCCATTTGTATGGCATGCATCATTTGAGCCTCCCTGGCGGCTTTGGCGTCGTCTCCCATGAGCAGGTGTAAGGACATGACGAAAGTCTCTAGCACTTGTCTGACGTCGGAACTGAGTCGAAGTGTCTGCAGCATTTCGTTTGCGTCCTGGTAGACCACCATCGCCTGAGCTGTCGAGACTTGGGACATGTCGGTGACACAGGATAGTAAAAGGATAACAAGTTCCGAAGCAGACGTCGTTAACTGGTGGTAGTGGGACATCGGCAGATTATGAGCGGTGCGGAGCAGAGCCAGGGCATCTTGGACAGTTCCCAGTACGGTGATGGATGATTCCGAGTACGGGACTACGGAGCCTATCGGGGGCACACCAGAAGAGTAATGGGAATCCAGGGCGACTCTGCATAACATATCGAGAGTAGCAGGATTCTGTAGTTCTGATGACCGAGCTGCTTGTAAGAAGGTGGAGATGAAGGTGGAGACAGATATCAGATTCTCTTCAATGGCACGCTTCAGATATTCTTGCAGCATAGGGTCCCCTGGATACGACTGCAGAAGTAAGAGGACGGAGTCTGACGTATTAGTGGTCAGCAAAAGATTCAATACTGATATTGGAAGAACGTACTACTAAGCGCCGCGCCTGTGTCGTCCGATGCATTGTTTGGCAGTTCTTTGGATATAAACAAGCGGCAGAGTTTCACCCACTCGAGCGGAAGATCAGAATGCACCATCTATACAACTATGAAAGCTATCCGATTCAAGAACGTACCTTGGTGGCAGAGATACCGCTTTGGAACGAATTCCTGGTCAGGTCAATGAGGGACATGAGATCGAGAGTAAATCGCCGTTTGTGGTGTATGGGGAGTCTGCGTGATCTCTTCAGTGCCCTCTTGCAAGGTCCAGAGGGAGGCTGGCTGAAAAATGGGAATTTCACCACGTCCTCCACGGTGCGCGCCAGAAGGGACGCGCTGGTAAACGCGTCCAGGAAGACTACCACGTGAGTGGCACAGCCGTCGCTTGGCTGTCGGACGTCGGTCGAACGGGTCAGTCAGGTTCTAACTGATTCTCGACGCTGGAGTCTACCCAATAGATGACTCTATCACAGGATGCAAGTAGCACTTAGATACAGCTGGAAACGGGTATCGAAACTATAGCTACAGGGAATGGATCCAATCATGTCGAGGTGATATTATTCTCAGTCTGCGTGTGAACTAAGTAGATGATGGTCCTAGGAGCCTATAGGCAGGTTAAACCTTTGCCACAAGTCTGCGCGTCTCCTGCGGTGTAAATCGCAATATAGTGGACAGAACTCGCACGAGCTGAGGCTGAGACTGGTATGAGCATCAAATAAGATGGTCAACAGATGGAGACGTACCCGCATCTCTTTATGTTCCAAGAACTGCAGCACAACGTTTCGCAGATATTCCAAGTTGACTTCCTCATCATCCGTAGGGCCAGCGCTGGCACGAGACGAGGGCCGTGATCCGTTCGCATCGGATAGGGAGGTCGTTGATCGACGACCTTCTTCTGGGTGGGAGCCCCAATAACCAACACCTGGATTTCGTTGCCGCTCTAGCAATGCAGCGGACGACTGGACTTTGCGTAATTCTTCCCGCAGAGTCTACAATGCGTCAGTCACAGCCCTGAGATGTCATAAGATGTGACTCACTTTGTTACTGAGCCGTAGCTGCCCTTCTCGGCCCTTCAACTCCTCCAATTGCTTTTGCAGTACCGAAGTCTGGGTTTGCAACTCTACGATTCGTTGCCGCTCCAAGTCCTAAGACAAACCGATTGCACTTTAATGAAGCAAGCAACGATCAAATATGCAAGAAATACTCACCTCGGTTTCCCTGCTCTTCTCAGTAACCTTCTGGAGATCGGCGATTTGCTTCTGGTACGAAGCGATCTCTTTCCTGAGACGATCCGTCTCTGCTTTCAGGTCATCTAGGACACTGTCCTTCTCCTCCCTGCTCCGCGCAGACGAATCCACGACTCTCCGGAGCTCTTCCATCTCCTTCGACTTCTCCCTGAATTTCCTACTCCAATCAGCTTCGGACTCGTCACGCTCTTTCTCCAAGGCGGCAATGGTGCGTCGCAGATCCGCGACCCTGGACTCGTACTTCGCCTCTGTAGCGGAGAGCATTTGCGCTACTTCTTCCGCTGACGTGAAAGCGCCCCTAGCGCGGGTGTCTTGGTCCCTCCGAGCTTCGGCTAGCTCTTCGTTAAGCAAGCCGATGCGTTCGTCCAGCTCACGGAACTGGTACTGGTATTCTGTATTCTGGTTCTGAAGAACTTCGAGTTGAGACTGCACGGATTCTAGCTCCGCCTGCCGCATCTGCAACTGATCAAAGAAGTTATCCTTCTCAGACCGCAGAGTTTGAACTGCATTCTCGAGAGATGCGATGGTCGCGTCCCTCCTAGAGAGCTCTTGCTCATGAAGGCTCTGAACACACGATATCAGCAAACCACCCGGGCAGACAAGGCCATCGACAGACCTTAGCTGTCGCAGCTTCGAGCTCAAATTGGCCTCTCAACGCAGTGATCTCTTTATCCTGTCGATCCCTGAGAAGCGACACTTCTCGATCGAATTGCATCTTAAGACCCGTCAAGGCGCGTTCGTGATCAACGTTCGCTTCCTGGATCTCCTCCCTCAGTTTCCTCTTCTCGACCTCGGCCTTCTCTTTCTCCTCCTTCTCCCTGGCTTGCAGCTGTGCCGCCTCCCGAACCGCATCCTCCCTGTCCTTCTCCGCCTTTACCAGCTTTTGACGCACGGTTTTCAGCAGGCTGACCGCCTTGACGCGCTTCTCTTCTTCCTCCTTGACCGAAGTCTTCACTTTCTCGAGCTCAGACTGAAGTTGGCCAATCTCAGCCTTACGGCTGGCGAGCTCCCCTTCCAGTGTTGAACTCGAGTTTTGTGAAGCCTTTAGAAGTGCTTCGGTTTCGGAGAGCTGCTTCCGCAGTTGATCTATGAGTTCAATTTGAGAAGCGGACTCCAGGTGGTGGGTCTCGCGTAGCTCTTGCAGGCGTTCGTCTTGACCTGTACGAAACTCAAAGTGTGCTCAAAGGTGGGATGGCATGACACGCTTACGGGAAATGCTACCCTGGAGGCGCTTTATTTCAGCTTGTGCCATCTAAGTTGGATTAGTTTCGTGTCAATCCCAGAACCGATGAATGCCTCACTTCCGCCTGAGACTTTGTGTTTTGCAAGAAGTCTTTGAGAGCCTCAGCATCCTTCATGCTCTCTAGTGGTGTGAACTCTCTCAGCACACGATCAGCAGCGAGCTTCTCAGCCTGTAATCGTTTGAAAGACGTAGATACATCTGTTTCTCTCGTATGAATAACTCCAGACCCATTGCATACGGCAAGACCCACCAGCGAACCGCTGCTCCACCAGTTTCAACCTCTCACGGAGCGACTCAATGTCTCCCTCACTGGTAGCTGGGTCGCTCCCAACCGCTTCTGGTGAGGGAGACACGCTGTGCGGCGAACTGCTCTCTAAGACGTCTTGAGTCGCGTCTGCCGTATTACTCGGGGTATCGTCGCGAGGGGGCGCATCGCTTGCCCCTGGGCTCACGCTTTCGTTCGACACTTGAGGTCCTTCCGGAGATATGTCTGACTCTGGAGAATCGGAGGGCAGTGGGATGTCAGCTTCGGGGTACCTGTCCTCGCCGCCACCTGCAGTGGAGGTTGGCTTGTCGCCGTCGGTCAACGAAGAAATAGAAGGAGAAGGCAGCGCGACCGGAACTGGCTCAGGACGGAGGTCTATGGAATTTCTCGGGGATAAGGGAGGAGAGGCAGGAAGCGGAGTTGAGCCTGGGGACAGCGGGTGCTTGGAAACAGGGACAGGTGTAGAGGCCCTTGAGCCGGCGGAAGGGCTGGGGTCATTGGAGGCCTCTCCGATGGTAAATGTAGCTTTCAGGCGCTCTTCCAGATTAGGCCTACGCCTGGGCGAGGTACCAGGAGGTGGCGAAGTAGCAGTGGGGCCCGCACGCTGGGATGTGAGGGACTTTCTAATATTCTCCAGCGCCGATTCCGCTAGCTGTCCAGAAGGCAGAGGGAGGGCCTGTCTCAGGTCTAGTGAACGAGAGCGCTGGCGTTCATCGTCAGTTAGGTCCTGAGAAGGGCGGCGCACCGGCGCAAATGTCTCAACAGCCTGCCGAAACTGAGAAAACATAGGGCGGGCTTGGGGCGGGCGTTGCTTGAGACAGTGACAGAGTGCGTAAGGTTGTGCTGGAAGAGGAGTTGGGCGCTAATTTGGCAACGAGCGCGTCTGTGCAGCGTGTGATCGCACGTGGCTCGGGTTGTCCTCTAACCTGCGTTCCAGTCGTCTCCTGCTCTATCGCACCTGCTACAGATCCTATGATTCTAACAGTGCAATGCGTTCATTTACGAGATGTCACCCAAGCCACGCTCGTACAGTCTCAAGCCAGATCACTTCCTAGTCCGCTGGAGCCTGTTGCCCTCTATCACCGTTACTACATCTTCAGCTTGCTCTCTAGTCCGGCCGAAAGTTTGTCTATCGAATCCCCGTTATCTGGCGCATCCTTTGCGGACGATGCTTCAGCCGCTGGTACATCCCCAGTGGGTATAGCTACCCTGGTAGGTTTCGATCGCTTCTTTTTCGTTGACTTCTGGAAAGGGTTTTCGTGTTTCTTAAGGCGCCGCATCGGCGTCCTTGGGGGTATGGGAAGCTCGAACTGTACATGTGATTCACTGGTCAGAGAGTCAATGGCGTGGTTACTCCCTTTGGACCTTGCGATTCGTTCTTGTTCAGTCTGGACATCACTCGACGGACCTGGCCTTGTTGCTGCATCCCATTGTCGACTGGCTTCAGCTAATTCGCCGTTGTCTCTCTCGTCCCGCGTCGGTCGGTAATTCGAGGGGCCAGGGGGTCTTCGGGTATCCGGCTCGTCCACCTTGTCAGGCTGTCCCGGTTCCAAGATGGAAGCACCTCGCGCTGGACTCCCTGGTTGAAGCACGGGAGCAATGTTTGAGGCGCTCGGTAGGATCCATTCAGGTCCTACGGGAATGGGTCGCAAGGCTGGGTCCAGATTCGGATCGTCACTAGCCATTGCTTGTATCAGGCCATGTCTCGACACTCGCGTCTCCTGTTCGACAAGTTCACGGGAAGAATCAGGTCTGTCCTGCTGGACATTTATCTTCTGGGGTCCCGTCTGCCCTGCCGGCACGGTTGACAGCTCTTTCACTTGATCGGGATGGCCTTGGGTTTCCTACGCAATCGTTTAGGTCGGACGCATTTCACAGAGTATTCGCACTTACAAGCGTCCCGTCTCCATTGGTTGGTCTCCGTCTGTCTCCAGAATTGAAGGCGCGAGTGGAAATGTTATTGGATTGATCGACCTTAGCTACCCCCGCCCTGTGTTGAGTCCGACCACGGGAGGAGGTAGCCTGCGACGTCAATTCCTGCTCTGGAAGCATCGGCAACGTTACTTGCGACGTGGACGCGCCAGGGGTCTCCATCTGAACCATATCTCGTTGGAGGGGCCCTCGCTCTGGATCCAGACCGACTAGTTGTAGCTGTCCATTGGCACTGTAGTCTGCCATGCTCGGAGAGTAGCCGGTTGCGCCATATATATTCACGCTCGCCGAGTGGTCCCAAAAAAAATCGAAGCTGGACATTACGTCTTCAAGTTGGTGTCCTCCGATGACCTCAGGGGCGTTCTCGGAGGGGCTTTCCATCCGAAGCTCTATAGGATAGGCACCAGAGAGATCCTGCTGAAGGACGGCTTGTTGGTCTTGGGTCTCGCACCCGTTGTAGGTTTGGGCTGAGACGTCCTCTGGTTCTGGCAGGATGTAATGCCACGCCAGTGCCTTGGATGAGACTGGGAAACGTCTCAATAGTCTCCCGTCTTTTCCGAACTCGTAAGGCTGCATCACACCATCTTCACCTACAGGCGCTCTGTATTGGGTATCCCGCTCCTCACTTATCCGTTCTTGTTGCGACGCTAAGATATCCTGTGGGTCGGTCGTGAAGGTGAAAGGAGGTGGTACAGGGGTCGTCTGATTGTGAATACCATCGGGTGTTCCCTGCGCCACTTGAAGCCCTTCAGCCTGCGCCCATCCAAGCTCATTACTTCGATCACTTGTCGTTGGTGGACCAGCGGGGATCGATGAGTGCAGCGCAGAGGCCTCCAGCACCTGGGCTGTTGCGTCTGCATGCCGCGACGCTCCAGTCTTATCAGTCGATTCCCATGACTCTCGGTTTCTTTGGGACGTTCTTGCTTGAGAATCTGGAACCGCGGGAGCTAGTTGAGCAAGTGTGCCCTGCGTCGTTGCAGGTTCTTTTTCACGCCCCCAGTGGACTCCATTTGCTTCTACGTTTGTCGGTACGTTTGTCGGTGGAGTATAGGTGGAGGTTGCTGCAGGTAGTGCAGAGTTCCTCTGCGTCCGGGATTCTGTGGCCCCAACTTGAAGCACTTTAGGGTTTTCATCTCGTTCCTTGCCAGTTGCTTGCGAAGCTATCGCTTGCGCATCCGGTGTCAACGTCGATGAAGACCACGCAGGGACTGATCTCCCTTGGGCATGTGCGCTCTCGTTGCATAGTCCTCGAGGGTTATTGCGGGAATCAGGTTCAAATGTGTTTACTCGTGGTACCACTGGGGGAGAACACCAGAAGGCTGTCGGTGAAGAAGCCATATTGTGAGCTGTCCCCATCTGAATTTGGACGGCGCTGCTCTGTTGTAGCCTCTCACTGGAGCCCAAGTCTAGGCTCATTTCCATATCTACGCCCAATCCCACATCTAATGAGAGGGCCTGGAGTGCATCGCCGAGTTGCGCGACTCCGCCGTCCATGGGATCGTCTGGAGCTGCTTCTCCCTGGGTCGTCGCCGGTGGTGGGAAGTCGACCTCCATAGATTGCGCTGGTGGATCGGAGGATTGCTCGCTTGGTGTAGCATCCCAAGACATTTTCTTCAAGTCGTTCGTGCGTGAGACCACTGTATGTGCTGGAGGCACAGGGGTCTGCGTTGCAGATAAGGAGAAGGGTAAATCCACTAATATATGCGACTGTCGAAGAGGATGTGGCACACCCTTCTGGATAGAGGGTGGGCGAGAGGGGACATTGGGCAGAGGCGGGACGAAAGCAGGGCCTTTGATGATCTTTGATGTGGGCGGGTTGACAGGCTTCGCGACAATCGGCGCGGAAGATATGTTAAGTGACTGGGACCCAACGCTCATTCGTGTTGCAACTGAGGGTGGACGCGAGTGGCCAGTAGCCAAAGGCGGGACAATGCCAGGACCGGTATTGGTATTTGATGCCGGCGGATTCAGAGGCTTAGCCGTCGCTGGATGTACACGGAGCGGTTGTTTCCCAACGCTCGCGCGCGTAACAACCGAGGGTGCAGGTCTCTGTGGCTGCACCGCCACTGCTTTGGACAATATCGGGGCCGGTCGCAGTTGAACAGGAACCTGTTTTCCTGCGGCTCGTGGCAAGGTTGGAGTGTGCTGATTGCCTCTCACGCCGGAGCCCGCTCGGCTGGTCTGGTTTGTCGCCTTATTTAACGACAGCTTATTGCTCCTAGCATTCCTGGCGCCCGTCGTTTTAGGTGGGAGCTGCTCCGGTACAAGCACGTTTCCTGGAAGAGGTATCGCTATTTTACCAAGTTGCGTCGTGTCTCCTCTATTCTCTTCCTCCGAAGCTCGCGCGTCTTGCAGCCGAGCCGATTGATTCATTCCTCGCCCTGAAGGTTGGAAAGAGGAAGGTAAGCTTCGGTTTGTATCCTCAATCTGCTCTGCCCTAATTGCGAAGGGGTTGAGTACCATGCTGATAGGAGTAATACTGCGCAGGCGTTCTAACAAGCATTTACATCAGCGACAAGCGAAGAGTAAGTGGGTAGCTTTCTGCATACTACGAGTTCGTGGAATGGGGTGAATAATTTTGCTAGGTGTTGATATGTCACGATCAAGGAAACCTGTCGGACGGCTGGGCGAATCTCACCTAGGGCTGGTGTCCGTATCATATAGCAATGTCTTGCCCTTCCTGTCTGGCTGTAGGGTATCATCAACTCCATGGCTTCGAGCGCGTCTCTTTCTCTCTGCAAAGAACGTGAGGGCAATATCTCGATACACATGTTTGGCCTACCTGGTGTTGACAGTGACCAGGTGGCGCTTCTCTTCACCGATGAATGTTTATTTTCTATGTTCCCAGTCATGAGTCGACTGGTCGCGCAGGCGAGAATGAACAAAGCAGCCCAGTAGCGAGTGTGGCGACGTTCGACGACGAGATTTCTCACAAAGTCGGAAAGCACTAGGATGGGGAAGATCGGAAAGCGGCCATGGTTCGGCGGAGGCGAGAATAGTTCTCTCTTGATGCTATTCAGCCAATGCTGACAGTACTTTATTAGAATCTGGTGCGGCTTCGGGACAGGTTCGCCATTGGCATACGTCCAACGGAAGGCCTCCGGCATGATGTAGTGTTCAGTGAACCATGTCCGCCATCTGTGCAAAGGACCTCGGCGGAGTGGCGCAGAAAGGAAAATCTCTAGGACTATTATCAAGTGCCAGGCAAGATACACGCACACCATCCAAAGTAGAAATGTCAAGGGGAGTCGTTCAATCCGTCCTACTTTCATGCTTGTCACCAATAAAGGGATGTGGCGAGCTGCCAGCCCGGACACGGCTACACCCATGGCGTAGGGCACAGATAGGACGGCCAGATCCATCAAGTCTACGGTGAATGCGATCCAGAAGGACAGTGACAAGGGATTTAGCAGCACATGCATGGTGGTAGTCGGGTGGTTGGTTTGCTAGGGTGAAAGGGAGTTTACTTGAACGTCGCCGGATTGTAAGAGCTGCCCGTCTAGCCATCGGAAGCATTATAGATAACCGCGCGAGTTGCAAATGCATAGCTTATACTCCCTTTGTTACTACGCCACTTGACCTCAAAGGAGTACTACGCGCATATGTTCCTCTCGGTCCAGAGCCGAGGAAGCCCACCTTCATGGAGAAGGTCTGCGAATATAGAACGCTGCATGGCTTCGGACAATCGTCAGTTATTAGGTACGTCGGAGCCTGCTGCAGGAACTGGAGATCGACCATTGGCATTCGATCTGTAAGTAACTGGGCATTGTTCAGTGCCTCATGGGCGGGGTCACGTGGAAGAAGATAATCATAGAGCGCTCGTAGATCGTCGTACAGCGCTAGTACATACATACTAACAAGCAACATCGACGAAGCGGATATGATCCAGCATGCATATTGCAAAGCTGAATCATTAAGGAGAAAGCAAGGCAGACGGACGAGAGCACACAAACATATCATGACGGCATCCCATTTGGTTCTGAAACCTCCTTGCCTTTCCCACTGACCCCAGACTCTGAAGACGGGCCATGGACGAGGGGAACAGAAGGCACAGGCGTCGATGAGCTACTGGCGCTGGGCCCGGCGAGCTGCCAGGCTGGGATTGTCGGCTTTCCAGCCAGAGATGGCAAAGGGGATGCTGGAGTGCTTGAGAAGCTAGGTCCACGACTTAACAGCAGTGCCTTCAGCGATTTCAGCTCTTGCTGAAGCTCCGCTAATGATTGCTGCTGAGTCTCCTTATTGCGGTCGATCATCTACTTCGCGTAAGTTAGGAGGTTGGGCCATGATACGGCATCTTACCTTTGGCAACATTTCGCGGATATTCTGGATTTCATCACGTATTTCCCTCATTTCGTCTTTCGACTTAGTTTGCGCATCTTCCATGTCCTGAATTACAGAATTCACTTTCTCTGTAGTTTTCGTCACTTCAGCCTTGGTCTCCTCCATGCCTGCCCGGACAGCGGCGGTTTCTGCTTGAATCTCTTTGAGCATCGCCTCAGCCGAGTCGAATGCGGCCTGAAGTTCTTCCCGATCTTGTTCGTACGCCGTAGAACTTGGGGGTCGGAGATGGGGGAGTACGTATTTCTATCACGTGATATCAGCAGGGGGGACTACTGAGCAAGGAGGCCGTCCCTTACTCTGAACAAGGCGACCGCGCCGTAAGCAATAGTCCCAGAAACAACAGCGGTGATCTGGGAACGGGCTCAGATGAAGGTGAAAGTCATGCGAAACCTATACTCGCGAAGTAGTCCCGCCAGTCCCACTGAGACGCGGGGCCAGGGTAAGCGGGATATGGGGCGGGTCCGTAGGGAGGATACTGCGTCTGATATCTCTGCATATACGAACCAGCAGCGCTTGAATTCGCAACTGATCGTCTCATGGCATCCTCGATCTCAGCGTTTGTGAGGCCCTTGGCTTCCAGGAACTGGATACGCTGAGCGAGCGGCGAGCTTTGAGTCTAGGAATCTGGTGATTATCATGTTGGTAAATGACATGCATGCAGAGAGTGCGCACACCTTTGGATCAGAGAGAAATGTCACTGCATTGCGGACAAGTTCCTGTCTGTCTGGGGTGGACATGGCGCTTGTAGTAAAGACTACAAAGCCTAGACTATCGACGTAGTAGTCAAGTAGCAGTGGTAATAGAGTGCTCCTTGACCTTAGCCGACGAAGTTATGCCGTGAGCATTCCCACGGTAACAGTTTTTCTTAGCCGCTCCGTCGAGCCGGACGAGCAGCCTCTTCCGTACCAACATGTTCCGTTCGCAGCTGGCGACCGTGAACGCCGTTGCTCGCAGGTTCCAGAGCTCGCTAGGTGCGCCGATTCTACAGACATGGACGACGTAGTACTGATACTCTACCCAAGGGTTCTCGACATGTTCGCGGCGGTCGACGCTGCCTTCGCCACCGCTGGCTTCTACCAGCAAGACGACTCTTAGTTGGGGTAAAGCATGACTAACTGTCCTCAAAGCTTCAGTACTAAGTCGTGTCTAGTCGCTCGCCGCAGCTATGCAGATGCAGCCTCCTCGAAGTTCTCTCGAGCAAAACCTCACATGAACATCGGGACTATCGGTAAGACAGACATGTCCTTCTCTTGGAAGTGGTCTTGACATTTTTATGACTAGGACATGTTGATCATGGAAAGACAACGCTAACCGCTGCCATTACTAAAGTCCTTGCTGAGAAGGGCGGCGCCAAATTCACGGACTACTCCCAGATTGATAAGGCGCCAGAGGAGAAGGCTCGTGGTATCACGATCAATTCCGCACACGTAGAATACGAGACGGATGCCCGGCATTATGGTCACATCGACTGTCCAGGACACGCTGATTGTAAGTTCGCTCCGCCTTTCTGGTCGCGTGTTGGTCGTCATTCGTACGGACAGACATCAAGAACATGATTACTGGTGCTGCACAGATGGACGGCGCTATCATCGTGGTTTCTGCCACTGACGGTCAAATGCCCCAAACTCGTGAACATCTGCTCCTTGCTCGTCAAGTCGGAATCAAAAAGCTCGTTGTCTTCATCAACAAGGTTGACCAGATCGATGACAAGGAAATGCTGGAACTCGTGGAAATGGAGATGCGTGACCTCCTCTCGACGTATAACTTCGAGGGTGACCACACGCCGATTATCATGGGCTCCGCTCTTGCTGCTTTGGAAGGTCGCAACCCGGAGATCGGCGCTGAGAAGATCAAGGAATTGGTCAAGGCCTGCGACGAATGGCTTGAGATCCCTCCTCGTGCGTACTTAATACAGTGACATCAAATAACCCATTAATGGCGGAGGACAGGTGATCTCGAGAAGCCCTTCCTTATGCCCATTGAAGGTGAGACTCCCGGAGAGTAAATATCTGTCTTGGTCCTGATCTGGGTCCTGCGAAGACGTCTTCTCTATCTCTGGTCGTGGTACCGTTTGCACTGGTCGGGTGTGTACGACATCTGCATACGGATTGGTCCCCCTTGCTTAAAACATCATTCAGGTTGAGCGTGGCACTATCAACAAGGGTGACGAAGTAGAGGTTCTTGGTCTGGGCGAGAACATCAAGACGACTGTCACTGGCATCGGTGGGTGCAGCGTGTTTACTTGTGCGACATATGCTCACTAATCGACAGAGATGTTCCACAAGGAGTTGGATCGTGGAGAGGCTGGTGACAACATGGGCTGCTTGCTCCGTGGTGTCAAGCGCGAGCAGATTCGCCGTGGAATGGTTGTCATCCAGCCTGGCTCCATGAAGTCTGTCAAGAAATTCCAGGCTCAGATCTACGTCAGTCGTGCACATCACATCCTTGCAGCTGATCTCAAGCCATGTCCTATAGGTTTTGACTAAAGACGAGGGTGGTCGCTACACTCCTTTCATGCAGAACTATAGACCCCAGCTCTTCTTACGGACGGCCGACATAACGGTTTCGTTGACTTTCCCTGAAGGTACCGCGGACGCCGCGGAGAAGATGGTGCGTTCTCTGTGTGGTACAAGCAGGGAGTGGTAGGCTGATTCTTTGCAAGGTTATGCCTGGGGACAATGTCGAGATGGTGCTCGACCTTGTTCACGACGTCGCTGCCGAAGTTGGCTCAAGGTAAGTGTGAGATGCTAGGTCATGGCTGTCGTCTGATGAGTCGCGCTAGGTTCACTCTCCGTGAGGGTAACAAGACGAGTAAGCATAATGTCTAATAGCCTTGTTGAATACGGCTAACGTTTTTATAGTCGGTACTGGCATTGTCACCAAAATCCTGGAACTTGCATAAGGATCGCTATGAGAAGTTTAATCTATACTATATCAGATGATGCTTTGTACATATACATCCCCACTCCGCCTGCCCATAGAGCAGTATGACTAGCACGTCTGCGGACTGGCCCGGAGATAGCGCCTATCGCACTCCAGGGAATATTACGCTGACGGAACGGACCGTCTTAATACTCTCATGAGTGTTCTGTGATAATCTGTGATTGCAGCGTATTTACGTCCGAAGTTGCGCGGAGACGGTCAATTCCAGAATGAGATAAGTTGCATCGGGTTTGTACGGTTACATTGACTGCTTGCAACCGTGTCCGACCATCTCCCCGAGAGTCTATCTTGTCTCTTCCTGTCACAATGTTTTCTGTTCTACGACAAGTTTCGCGAACAGGATCCTTTCGCCCTGTATCTCTAGCACGGACAACTAGCCGGCGCACGACCTTGACGCCGTTCCTCCGGACTCTCGTCAGTAAGTGAGGAAATCAAGCTACAGGTTCGCTCCATGACCATGGTTCAGCCAAGCGGTATACGGAGGCACACGAGGCTATCTCCTTCGATGATTCTTCAAAGCTTGGAACGGTGTACATCACTGACTACGCGCAGTCAAGTCTGGGAGACGTTGTCTTCGTAGAGTTGGCTAAGGTGGGCGAGAAGGTTGAGAAGGGCGGTGAGTAGCATATGCAGTTGTTGGCCGGTTTCTGATGAACCATATCACAGACAACATTGGCGCTGTGGAGAGTGTCAAAGCTGCCTCAGATATCGTTGAGTGCTTGCTGCCTCGCTCGCTATGCATTCGTCTTACAGCCTGAGGGCTTGATAGTATGCGCCAGTGTCGGGAGTCGTGAAAGAAATCAATGAAGCTTTGAACTCACAACCAGGCCTACTGAATAAGTCTCCCGAAGATAAGGGTACAATCATTCTTCATCTGGTCAGAAATCAAATTTGACTTAAGCTGCATACAGGATGGTTATGCAAAATTGAAGTTTCTGACCCTTCAGAGGTTTGCAATATTTATGTCCCATTGGCACTTCTACTAACATGGATGGGTCAGGTTGAATCTCTGATGACGGAAGAACAATACGTCGAACATTGCAAGTCATGAGTAAGTCACTCAAGCGACTGACTGCTGAGCGAAGCATCAACTGCTGCCGGAGGAGGGTCAAAAACTCTAGATTACAGATAGCTGGAGGACGTAGGTGTCCGGGGGCGTAGGTTACATGTGGTGTAAACCATGATTAATGATTCATTCAACCGAGCACAAAGAGGTCGGAAGTAGGATGGACCATTAGAGCTCATGATGATGCTGGTGGTGGTGATCCAGGCTTGTATTCGAAAGGCTCGCCACGTTCTTCCATCCTCCTCCGTGCCTCCTTAAGAGCCCACGTTTGTATGCTGTCGGTTTTAGCATTAGCGTTCGATGATATGCGAGCAGCGGTCTACGCACCTGGTATCGGGCTTGTAGTAGAGTAACACCGCCGCGACCGCCATGGAACCAAACATCCCAACATACCAGATGTTCTCCCAGTCCTCCTTTATCCGCTTTTCGCCTGGTTTCAATGGCTGCACGTCGGATTCGTCAGGAAACGTAGAGCAGTAGGTAATTCGATGACATGCACTCACCTTCTCGCCGAACAAGTTCCCGGTTGGTTCGTTGTAATGCGGCGCGCCATGGGAGGCGTGTCGCCTGCCCGTTATACACCGGGGCGGCCTGGCCCTCAGCGAACGGAGCCCTGTAGACAGCATTCGTAGCGTTCGGAGTTATGTTGCAGACTGCCAAATGGCGTCGAAACGGAAAGGGCGGTGGCTGAGACCAAACAATGACAAACGACGGGATCCGCAGACAGTCCCGAGTCTTGGGATGGCGTTTGTACATGTAGCAAAGGCTTGCGGCCTCAAGTCATCGATTCCTCTTTGTAAGCTATGTACAGTCTACGGTTCTCTCATAGCTTTAGATAGAATATGATAATCGCATTCGTCCGCTTCGTCTTCATCCTCCCATGAATCATCCCCGTCGATCCCCGCAGTTTCGCCGCAACTCGTAGAGTTTTCGCCTTCATCCGGCTCTCCGTCGGTCTGGATCACTTCCACCCTCTCAGCGTACCCGGGCGATGTAGGATCAATAACGAACCTACTGTTGCATCAGCTGATTAACTTGCCACAACTAGGAGAACCGTACCCCTGGGATTCGTAGAACCTATTGGCCGCGACGTTGGCTGGCGGAATATATACTGTTAATAAGGTAAATCATCGGGAAGAGCAGGAAGCACCTTTCAAGACAGTTAACATCACTTTCTGCATACGCCATCGTTGTCCGACATTGTATACTTGTTGCATTAAATGTTTGCCCAAGCCGTGACGTTGCGCTGCTCTGGATACTTGTAATTCATAGCTGTCCTTGGTCAGAGTAATGGTGATTATATCCAGAAAACGGAGACATACCAATAAATGACGTCTTGCCCAGCTTCGGGCTCAAAACGGAACGAAACATAGGCTGCTAGAGGGAGTGCACTCTTCACGTTTTCAGCAGAGCTATCGCATCCGGCGGATGGACCACGGACGAGGATGTAGCGCGATAGAAAGTGGAATAGTTCGGCACGTTTCGCGGGAGGGTCCCATCCGAATGCTGAATCCATGTATCTGCCGGAGAGTTAGAATTCAAAATATATGGGGACCACTCCAGATCACACACAAACCCTTCATGTTGTCCTCGAAGATCTGCCACACGGCTTCGCGTTCAGCGACGGACAGCCCGGGGCCAGTTGAGACCTGATGGAAGAAACTGGTAAGCTCATTGGGTATGTCGCTCCTCGATAGAGGTCTGCAAACATACCTTGATCCGTCAACGGTCACGGAAGGTGAGATGGAGCGTCCAATATCGGAAGGCGTGGCCTGGTTGATCACTGTGATTCAGTTCAAACCGGGCACAGCGCGAAGATGTGGAAACTGACCTTGTTCGCCCTTTTCACCGCTCTGGAGGACATGACAGCTTGAGTACTGATATAAAGGTTCGAGTATACAATGTGATGCCCGCTGCGGTGCAGGCCTCCGCTAGATCGTCGCGCTTGTGGCAAGTTCGGAGGTCCAGGGTCCTCGGTCGGCACGTGGCTGTGATCGATCGAGATCTCTGGCTTTTGCTTAGACCTCGCTTTGGATTCTCCCCTGCAGCAAGCTTTCAGTCCCAAGTGGTTTGGTTGTACCCCCTCTCTATTATTTGGTACCATGAAGCTCGATGCGACAGATCTTAGATATGTTACCTCAGACGAGTTTCGAGTCTTGACTGCAGTGAGTGATCTATGCGCTGCTCGTCCGTGGTCCGAGTCGAATGTAAACCATGGCATAGGTAGAAATGGGATCGAAGAATCACGAAGTGGTCCCCAGCCCTCTGATAGCACAAATATCTGGTCTTCGGAATGGAGGGGTCAACAAGATGCTAGGCGATTTAACGAAGAGAAATCTCGTGGCCAAGGTGCAGAATTCCAAGTGTCCGTATCGCGGTGCAAAGCTCTAGATGTTCTGCAACGTATCTAAGACTTGCTTGTAGATGATGGTTATCGCATGACGTATGGAGGCCTTGACTACCTGGCTTTGCGTGCATTGTCGAAGAGGGATTCCATGTATTCCGTCGGAAATCAGATTGGGGTCGGTAAAGAGTCCGGTCAGTCCTGTCCTTCACCGTCCCATCCATTTGCTTACCACTCTACTTCCAGATATCTATATTGTCGCAGACGCGGAGGGGAATGAGATGGTTTTGAAGCTTCATCGGTACGTCTGCCTCCTCGGATGTCTGTATGGCTGGAACTTAGCCTGAAAAGCCTTGGTCGGATCTCTTTCCGTGCAATAAAGAACAAGAGAGATTATCTAGGCAAGCGCAAGTCAGCTTCTTGGATGTACATGTCCCGACTAGCTGCTCAGAAGGAGTGGGCATTCATGAAGGTAAGAAGTACTCTTCGCTTGAATGCACAAGGTTGACGGTTCGGAGCAGGTCCTGCACGAACATAATTTTCCAGTACCAAAACCGATTGACCAGGCTAGACACTGCATCCTAATGGAGTTTATAGATGCCTATCCTCTGTGAGCTCTATATCGGGCAGTATGCAGCAGCCCGTTCTCATAGACTGTCTGCTAGCCGGCAAGTATCGGATGTTCCGTCGCCAGGCAAGCTCTACTCTACATTGATGGACCTCATCGTCCGGTTTGCCCGCGCAGGGCTTATTCACGGCGACTTCAACGAATTCAACATACTTATCCGCCGCGACACGGGAGAGCCAGTCGTCATTGACTTCCCGCAAATGGTCAGTACCTCCCATGAGAATGCGGAATGGTAAGTTCTTGCTTTTGGCGAGAAGCTTACCTATTTCTGATGGTACATTTTCACCTCTTGAAGGTACTTCAACCGGGATGTCGAATGCATTCGGAGATTCTTCCGACGACGCTTCCGCTACGAGAGCGCTCTGTATCCTCGATTCAGAACGACTTTGGGCGAGACGCCCGATGGCGAGGGCTTCCGATTAGACGTAGTGGTGGCTGCTAGCGGTTTCAAGCAGAAGGATATGAAGACGTTGGGGGAGGTGAGCGCTTGAGCTGTCCAGACGCCGATGCGTGGCTTACACCCAGTCACGAAGTACATGGATGCGGTAAAGGAGCAGGAGCCGCAAAATGAATCTAACAATGAGGACGAAGATGAAAGTGAGGAGGAAGAGGAGGAGGAAGGAGAGGGGGACGGAGAAAGCGGGGAGGACGAAAGTGCCGAAGCGAAAAAGGCAGAGGAAGAGATTAGCCACCGTGGCATATCCGCAGAGGAGGGCCGATCTTCGACAGCGGAGGCCCGCGGGCGTCCTCCTGTACCTGGCACTGGAGATACCTCGCATCCGTCAGCGTCGCCTTCGCCGTCGAGACCGATCTCGCGGTCCCCGCCTCGTTCCCGGGCAGATTCTGCCTCTCCCATAGCACACGGCCTGAGTTCGTTGCGCATATCGCATGACGATTCCCAGCGGGACCAGGTGAAGGAGGTCGTGTCGCTGCAGGTCACGAAACAGCACGCACGACAGCAGAGGAAGTTCCACTCGAAGAAGAGTGCTCAGCGGATCGGTCGACCAAAGGGCAGCAAGGCCAAACAGGATCAGAGAGTGAAAATCGACAAGAGTAGCGGATGGGATTAGACTGGTTCTCGAGAGTTTATTGGTGTCTGTAGAGTCTAGATCTTGTAAACTAGGATGTATATGTTCGCTTATCGTGTCGCTGGCTGTACCGGGCACTTGTTAAGCTAGTCTCTTGTATTTTTGGGACCTTGCTCAACGCTCACTGGTGGCACACTGCCACATCTGGACGAAGAGGCATGTTCGTGGATTAGATATCATCTCCCCAGGCGTAGCTAGTAAGCTACCAGTTGCCCCCATGGGCGATTGGGGCAGGTTTTCAACGAGACTGAATCAAATATTTCCCCCCATGGTGTGGTTGTCGTACACATCGCAGGAGTCTAAATAGTCTACAAGATTATCATACGGTCTTTGCCGACATAGCTGCGTCTGCTTTACACCGTCTGGCTCGACTCTTCTTGGGCTACTTTCTTTTCCTCGCTAGGAGGCTCCGACTCCTGCGCTACTGCCAGTGTATCGCGTGGTGAATCCTTCCCCACCGGCGGTACGCCGCCTTCTAAGTCTGTCTCACCGACCGAGTATTGCTGTCGCTCCTTGATTACCTTCTGCCGCGCTTCCCATCCGCCTTCCCACCCAATCCATGTATGCCGCTCACAATGTGGCCCGCGGAGCAGAAGGATTGCGAGTTCCCAACCACAGAAAGCCATCGAGAGACCAGCAGCGGCGCGCCACCCATAGTCGACGAAGACCTTCGTACCTACTGAGGTACCCATAACTTGACCGATAAATATCTAAGACAAACGTTACTCCAGATACATCTGTGAGGGAAGGAAGTGAGGCGGACCGATATGACCAATACCGCGTTAAGTCGTGCGCGAGCGGATGGGTCGATCCTGCGGTAGGCATTCAACAGAAATGGCTGCATAATCATAAAAGTTCACGCACGCCCAAACAGCTGTGGTCAACGAGACCTGCTGCATCTGCCTGAAACTATCAATCCCAAAGCATGTCACAATGACCGCCCCCACGTTGATACCACCGGCTCCAGTTTGAATAGCTTGAGCGACGGTGAGAAATAGGGTGGCCACCAAGGTGGCATACCACGGGATGAGACGGTCAGTTATGCGACCGAGGATCGGGCCCATGGCCACCCCGAACATTCCCGCCAGACCGAAGAGTCCGATATCCAGGCTAAAAGGGATATCTGTGAGCGGCGATATAGGAATCTTCTGGCGAAAAGCGCAGAACCCACGTGGAATAATAGTACGGCGGTCCTCCAAGAAGGAACGTTAACGTGACCCAGAAACTCGTAAACATGGCGCTTGACGCAATTTGGATCAGGCATGCTTGGATGAGAAGCGGCTCAGTAACCGTGAACTTCGCCATCGTGTAGAGGATCCTGAAATAAGTCAAGTCCTGGTTTCGAGCGGGATAGTCCGGCAGGACGAAATAAAACAACGCGAAGACGGCAGCTTGCGCGCCGATAGCCATGTAGTATACGACTCTCCACGAAGCAAATTGTGCTATGATTCCGGCGAGTACCCTGGCGAGGAGGATGCCTAGGAGAAGGCCGGACAGGACGACTGAGATGGCCGATGCCTTGCGCTCCGGCGGGGCCAGATCGGCCGCCAAAGGCATGAGAACCATTGGCGCCACTGTGAACACGCCGACAAGGAAGCTCATGGCCTCGAAGACCGCTAAGGATTTCGTGATGGCGAGCGGGATAGTGAAGGCCCCGGCACAGAAAACGAGGAGGAGAATCAGGGGCCGCCGGCGGATGAGATCACCTAATGGTGAAAGAAAGAGTAGTCCCACAGCATAGCTATTGTACGAGGCGTCAGCAGGGCTACCAGGACAAAGACCGGTATTCAAAACAAACCCGGCTTGTATAAGCGTTGGTATGCTACGAAATGATTAGTTCTGAATTCATTACAATGGACGACGTGGCGAATCGGTGATGCGGAGCCGCTGCTAATGCTATGCATCAAATGGGCCAGCGTCCCAGGAACAGACTCTCGGGCTCCCATATGCTGTACCCTGCGGATGGCCGAACCACGAGTGAAATATACACAGCTGCGCGAACTCCGCACCCTCGATGACAGGTGGATGTGAAGCCTGAGTGTAAATGAACGACATACTTCGATACCTCAGTGTACGTAACACCAAACGAGTGAGATAATTGTACTGACGGCCATCAAAGAAGTGAATACTTTAGGCTGCTATATATTGAAGGCAAACAGTTACTCACTGAGAATAGGTTGGCAATAATACAGATTTGATACGACTGTGGCGGATATCCATGAATACGAGAGTCTTTACATTAATTTGTGGCCCTCACTGAATGTACTGCCGAAACCAAACGTAACATTCAGTATAATACTGAACTTCGCAGGGTGAGCGGGGTCATGGCGAAGTTTGCTAGGGATGGGCAGGAAACCGAAGTCTTTCGTGATAGGAACACTGCCTTGGGTTTCGTCCATACCTGGGAAGGAGACAATACAAGTTAGTCACTAACAACAGTCTCGCCTACGTTCAATACCTCCTGAAGAAGATGCGGACGAGAGGAGTCGCACAGCAGATACATCCTCATGTCCTATTTTGCGTGTACCGTGCCATCCGTTAGTAAGACGGGCCCCCACATGTGCGGGCCAATAGCGTGCAAGGAGCGGACCGGATGTAGCCGGATTGATGTGTATTCGACCAATGGCATGGCACAGCGTTGTCTATCGTTTCCGCAACTTGGAAATGCGCGACCGACTTAATCTCTGACTTGGAAATAGCGCTCTGACTATACTTAGTGATGAGAGAAGGACTCTAACAAGGATCTGAAAACGGTTGTGACCAGGTATCAGTTATTATACCCCCGATCAGTTTGAGACCCGTACGTTCAAGTCTGAACTGAGTGTATCTCGAACTTCATCGCCCGGTACATCCATAGCATGCTGGATCTGAATTACCGTGGCTAGACATTGGTATCCTGCGCGTCGGCGGACCCGACCGTGGCCAGATTCTCGGCGTGGCACACCAGTCGGCTGGAGTTGCTGCGTGCTAGTGAGCCATGACCGACACGCTTGACTCGAAGGCCAAGTACGGCTTCAACGTCACTCAGGCCTCACACTAGTTCTGACTACACATTCTGTTTAGTAGAGTCCATGTTACATTGTCCTACAGCGATCTATGGAGAAGCTATCCCCTATATATATTGTAGCGATGCCCGCTGCCCGTCCAGGCCTCTCGCAATGGCATTTGTAAGTCTTCCTCGATAACATCCCCGCCTACTTCAGTCACCCAAAGCTACATCGGAAATGGCCTGTCAAAGCCCGGTAAATGGCGGGCCTAGTATCCCACCATTCTACAGCCAGCGTACAGTGCTAACCTATCTCTCCGATGCGGCCACCTTGCGCTCCTGTCGGTCAGCCTAGGCACTCTCGGTGTTGGCCATTCCACTCCGTCAGTTTTCCCGAACGCATATATGAAATGCACAACACGCCCTCTCCTCTGGAACACATCACAGGGTCATGACAAGTCCTGTGACGGGTGACCACGCTCCCATTCATCCTGGGCCATGTCCTCCGTCAGTGCCTCGATGTTTCTTCACTAGCCCTTCCATTGAGCCACTAAAGCAGGCCCGCAGCTCCCAATAGCCACCTTCCGAGGCGCGCAAGACACCGGTGTATATGAGTCGCAGCGTCCGTTATACTTCTCCCGAATCACACGCTTGCCAGCACCGCAGGAAGGCGACATGGACACTCAATATTCAATACTCGGTCCGCAGAAACGATTCGGATACACATTAGTGTCTCCAGGAATAAGTTCATGTTGCTCAACATATACATCAGACAGCTTATCCCTTCGTGATGAATATGCAGAGGGTCAGGCTTACCGAGTGTCCCTCTCCGAGAATCTGGATGGGCACATGGAAGCGCCGCTTGTCGATCAGGTGCGTCACTACCATGGCCAGAAACAGCAGCAAACATCGATGTCTAAATGACAGCCTGATACCTTTTGGCTCACGGTGGCGTCAGCCCTCTTCTTAGTCGCGCCAGACAGGATTCTACCCTCTCCTGCTTCAGAATCATCGTACCTCGTTGCGCGTCCCGCGTATGGACACTCAGCAACGAAACAAAGCTAGGGACGGCTGCAGTGCGTGCAGAGAGTGGAGTAGGTTGTGTCTCAGCGGTCCCGAAAGGATCAGCGCATGGTCAACGAAGAGCAAGTTGCTACTCCGTGTCACAGACACCTGGTCACGGGAGCTCCGGGGGGGGGGGCTGTAGGGATGGCCATCCGATGGCCAGTGTGGTGGCATGTCTACAGCATCCGTCGAAAGGTGTGTTAATCGGTAGTAGCTAATTTATAACAGCAAAGATTGAGTAACTGTTCGAGCATTGTCAGCGTTCCTGACAAATGAAGCACTTGCATTAGTGTAGGAGTGCATAAGATCCCCTGGATCTCGAGATGCCTGATGCGACACATACTTGCTTTGCAATCCAAAGCAGATACTTGGGCGAGAACGAAACAGCGGGCCATGTATCTTCTCTCTGACATGGCAAACCAGAAGTAAGATCCACAGATCGCGTTGATGTCGCACTGATATCGAAGCCGTGCAACATACATGTACCTGCCCCCTCAGGTTTTCATCGTGTCACACTCGATCATTCTACCCAACCTCCTGCCTCGAACCGACAGCAGGCTGGTCTAGATTTCACGTTGGACAGGCAATCTGGGGAGTGGCGTGGGGTTGCTGTCTGTAAGCTAAAACTACGTTAATCTCTGCGGACGTTGTAAGCAACATTCCAAGCAATTTCCTGTCGGCAGCGATGCGGTGAATAGGCATACTGCCCTATGTATACGCGGCCATGAAGATATTATCGTTCTGTGATGAATGGATGCAGCTGCAAGGGCGACGATCAATCGATCACGTACGTGCATTGGTGGAAAGTACAAGACCGAATTTGTGCTGCAACTGACATAAGAACCATACTGGCAATTCCGGAAAGAGAGTATCTCAAACCTGACTCGAACCTCGGCGGACTTTATGGAACCTTGTTTTTTTAGCCTATTCATGTCTCCCCGGGAAGATGTTGTCGAAGAGAAACTGCGAGAATTAGATATTCACTTCTCCCGCCCCGGGTGGCGAGCGGATCAGAGTTCGTCTATCCCATCGCACCCCATGGTACGGCAGCTGCAGATGTTAGGACGGATTATAAATTTAAAATTCATTTCAGGCGTTGCCTAAGCGTACCTGCTTGACCCCAATACGCTCTATCTCGCAGTCTCGCAGTGTGGGTCCAATGATATCACTGATCGAAGTAAAGCGCTCACGTGAATGCTGATTTGAACGCTCTGTCCAGTTGTTCTAGAAGTTGCAACTTCAGAAATCGTTGAGAAAGGTCCGAAGATTTGAAGAAGAAGCTTCCCAGATCCCGAGATAAATGAGATCGAAGGACAAGGGAAGCCGGCGGCTTGAGAACGAGCGACTCCGTAACGGACCACGGGACCAGATACTGAGCTCGTGCAACGGAGGACACCTGACTTCGAGCGCCGCAACGGAATCGTAAGCATGAGCGCATCAACGTCCACCGGAAACCATTTGGTGATTGGAAGTCCAGATTACCGCCGCCAGGGATCGAATCGTAAAGGTTTATGATCGAGGGTTAGAACAGCCTCCCGGTGCTGAGGGACGTGTTGACCTTATGGGAGAGACCTCTAGATACGACTGACAGCAGGCTGATATGAGGGTGCCGACGCTTTTGTGAGGCGTCCCCAGTCCTAAAATCAGACGCAGCTGCTTGATTGGCAAGCGAATAATCCCCCGAGAAAGGGGGCGCACGGAAAGTCTGTACGCAGAACTGGCTGTTGAGCTAACGTTCCCGTTCGTCGGGACACTGCCAGAGAGCTAATTAGGTTGCCCGCGATGCTCACGAGTTCGAGGACCCTGAGACAGTGGTCCGTATCGGACGATCGTGTGATCGTAGAAATCGACATGCCATTGACAGGATGAGCGCGGGCATATTTCTGGGATCAAAGGAAAGTCACTATATGCACTCCGCATCGCATGAAATAACGCAGTATGGCATGAAGCCAAGGCGCACGTAGGATATTGCACAATAGTATTTCGCAGGTGGTACATGTGAGTCTCGGGATATGTCAGGAAATACACCGATGGAACGTACGAAAGCGTCGGCCCAGACGCAGATGCATTGCCTCTCCCGCCGCTTGCCCCCCGTATAGATATCTAGAAAAGCACGGGTAACATGAAAGGAGGAGATGAGGGACCGCATGTAGTGTTGAAGAGGAGAAAGGGTCACGTATGTGGTACTATCTTGCGATCGGTTCACTGGCATCCCGATGAGCACGTCGGTTGGAGGCGGTTACTGATGATTGGCGGAAGTGGAGACTAATGCCAACATTAGATCAATACCACGATCCAGATAGATGTACTTACGCCGAAATCCATATTACTCCGGTTCAATCAGTACTGCTGGTAGGTTGGAACTTGTGTTTGCCTTGCAGATGCACCGGCGTCATGCCCTTGCCACTCCCAGTGACGCCGACTACGAGGAAGAAAATGAGAAATGAATAACCGGTCGTCACATAATTATACACTGGAACGACGCTCACCTTTACCGAGAGGGTTGTCTGGCGTCTTGAATATACTAGTGCCACTGACACCAGCGATATTGATGCCCTTCTTCTCCGCCTTCTTGGCAAACTTCTGCCAGGTCTGCTGTTTCTGCATCTGCTCCTTCGCCTTCGCAGCCTTCGCCTCGAGCTTCTTCTCGTTCTTCTTCTTCTTCTTTTCCTTCTCCTCCTCCTCCGCTTTCGTCAGCTTCCGCTTCAGCGAGGACGAAGACGGGCCGGCAGAGTTGTAGTTTGGAGGCAGGGGCTTGAGGGACGAGCCCTCCACAAGCTCCGTGTTGTTGTACCCCTTGAACACAATGCTGTACACCCGCTTCTCGGCTGACCCGCCAACGGAAATGACCTTGGCAGGGTACCACTGGCCGTCGCCAGAGTACTTCCCCAGACACTCGTCGCCGGCACTCCACACATGCGCACTCGAGCTCGCGTGCGCGTGCTTTCGCGACTCGGACTTGGAGGATGCAGACGCCTCCGCTTGCGCGATCGCCGCCTGCGTCAGGTTAATGAGCTCTTTCAGTTCCTCTCTGAGCGATGATAATTCGGTGTTAGTCGGGTCTGCCTGGAGTGCAAGCTCGACTTGCGAAAGTTGTACTTGGTATGTCTCGAGGTCAGCTTTATCCATGGTGGTGGTTGCTTGGGGTGAAAGGTGGGATTACAGAGAACGAGAGCAGGCAGCAGGGTGGAATCGACGACGGGGTAAGCGGCAGGAACGTCAAGTCCTCGAGGTGTGGGACACTTAGACTCATGGACTGCGACTCGGAGCACCGGAGCCCGGGAGGGGCACGTACCGGCGACAAGCCTGTCGTTCGTCCCCAAGTTCTTCCCGGGACCTTCAGAAAGTGTCTTACGTTCGAATGGCTGTCTGACTGTATGACAATTCGGGATCTGGTTTACTACGGAGAACATGCGTGGCTCGGATTCCAAACTTGACTAGGATACATGCTTCAGGCTCAGTATGCTACAGTCTCCGGAAATATAGAGGGCCGACGACTGCTGGTTCGATGCAAGACTACAACGTCGGGGGCGGCACATGCAATCCGGTTGGAACGACTCCGAGATCAACCGAATGCCTCCTGATAGGCTCGACCCCTTCAAGTTTGTCTGAGGAGGATGCTAGGACCCTCCGCAGATTGACGTTCTGCACGATCCAGTGATTCTATCAGCATCTTGTCTGGATCTTGACACACAGTCTATATCGACTCACGGCACGCTCAATCTCCAAGAGCTTGAGCTTCATGTGCGAATCGTCGTGCTGCAGGCCGGCAACCATACTCTGTACCGCCACGATGCGGTGAATAACCTGAGCCAGGCAGTCGGAAACCAGGAATAACGCACCTTCGCGGTTTTCGAATTCAAGCCCTTAAACGGGTCGAGCTTCTCGAAGGGGACGGGATAGAAGCCAACGCTGATTAGCTGGGCGTGTAATCGGTCAACATGCGCTTCTAGGCTTGCAGTGTAAATCGTGCGTCGGTGGGGGGCGCCCATGGTCGAACTATCTCGGGTCGGTCAGGGACTGGACTGACGCTGACAGGAATGAGGAAGACGTACAGTTCGTGCGCGGAGAAGAGGGACTTTTCGAGTGCGTGGTTCCATATGCGGCGTCTCTTTGCACCATCCTTTTTCGCGTAAAGTCTGGCGTATGGATGCGGAATCGTCGTGCGCAGATGTGGCAGATAGGTCTGACCCTCTGATGCGCTGGCTGGGCTGCTGCGCAGATCGCACGGTTGATCTTGCATGTCCTCGCTGCTGGCATATCCAGAGGAGAACAAGGGCGGACCGGGCTGCGCATCTGGGTGCGTGGTATCAAAGGGACGCGCGGGGAGTTCCTGAGAGCCGTACGTCGGCGACGGGGACGTATCGTACGGCGACATGGACATGGTGGGGCTGGCTGGGCTGGAGAGCTGGGACGACGGCGGGGACGATGGAAGGTTGGTGAAGTTCACGTCGAGGGGACAAGTATTAACCATGATACACGGGAGGGAGCAGGCGAGGCAGAAATGAATGATTGGCGCGTGGACAAGCATACTGCGATATTTATTCGAGGAGCCAGCCGCGGGTGATGGATCTGGGAGGCTGATTGCGAGTCGTCGCAGATCGTCGGCAGTCGGAGCGTATCTAGGAGATCTCGCTTCCCCGTCGGGTCGAACGACGAGTCTCGCGTTCACAGCGCCCTGTCACGCTGCGACGGTTCCTGGCCACGATCGGCGTCGCCGGCTGCCCCGCCGCACAGTCGGGCGTCTCGACGGCGCGCAATCGATGACCAGTTCCATCTTGACCCCAGGATCTCCAACAGATTACGGTGTCAGGTGTGAGATCTGTTATTCTCCATATCGTCCGACCAACTATGGGCGATCTGCGACACGTCCGCTCAACTCTCGTCGCCCCACACGAGCGCTGCACAGCTATCCGCCCGCCCCTGCACCCCCGGACCTTGGAGATCAGTGGGTCATCCAATTTCCGCCCTTCGTGAACTGCTCGGGATCGTCGTCGGGTCATCGAACGGCAGCGACGTGAAAGAACGAGGGCTTACGCAGCCGAAGGTTTAGACGTGAATAGCCCGCCATCTTCTTCCGTCACGGCGTCTCACATCTCCCCGAGGTCGCTGTTTCTCCGCGGCCTACACTTCGTGCTGCACACATCGCTCCCACGCAGTAGCGATGTGACAGTGCTAGCTACTTTTCGCCCAAAGAGGAAGCCGTTGTGCCGCTCTTATCCATGTTGCGCACCAAGGGCCCAGTTATGAACTTTACTCGTCCCACGCGGCTCTCGCACGCTGGAATCGGGCACCCTGGTATTTGGCAGCTCGATCTTGAGCCTGGCGCGGCAGCCACTGGGCCGTCTCTGGACACGGTCATATTGCAATGGTAAGCGAGCTCTGCTCGGCATCGTCGGGGACGCGGTCGCAGAGAGCCTTGGTGCGCTTATGTGAACTGCTGCAGGGACACGGATTGTGCAGCCGACCGGTGCCAGCCGTGAACTCGGGACGGTGACGTTGGCGCGTAGGCTATCGAGCTAATGTCCTGGTAAGCGTCGGGCTGTTGGAGATTGGGAGTCGATTGGGCAGACTTGCACGCCTTCCCGGCAAGTCACCGGATCCCCGGGCGATGGCGCTTCGATTGCCACATCTCATTTAGATCGGCTTTTCGATTTAGACCTATCTCCCCGTCGCTTTGGTCGCGTCCGAGCCCTCGCACGCTCTCCGCCCAGCTCATTTATCCACTATCTGCCCGTAATTAACTTATATAAACCTTCTCCCCCTCCCCTCGCTGCTCCTCCTCCCCCTCCCGCCATCTTCCATCGCGCAACTTGTTCTTCGTCCCCGCTGTTATCCCTCCAATGGCCGTAGAAGCTGCTCGCTGTTACAACGGTCCATTTACTGGACAGCCCAGCGACTTCAGGATGCCCTCGGTAAGGATCACAGACTTTGCAAGTCCTAGTCCGCCTCGCAAGTAATCTGACCCCAATCGCAACCGCTCCGGTTTAGGCCGAGTACTCTGACCTCGATGAATCCTCCCTCGCCACCCCTTCACCGTACGGACATGCCTATGCTCCGTACCAGCAAGGTTGCTACTCTGATCCGCCTGAAGGACACTACTTCGTTCCGGGTCCTCCGACCGGACTCTACCCCCCGTTTGACAACCCTGGGCAGTTCTACCATCAGCCGTTGGAACAGGTCTGGGTCCCACCTCCCGATTACCCTTCCTACCCTACCGGTCATCCTCCATTTCCGGCAAGTTCTTCCGCAAATTCTTCAGACGAGGGCGAGCTCGTCTATCCTACGGAACATCTACCTGTCCATGCGCCTGTCCCGGTTCAGTCAGGTTTCCAGGCACTGCCCTCACCTGAACCCTGGCGCGGTCAGGTCCCCGTCTCCGCGGGCATTCTTCCAGTGATGCAGCCGGCGGAGGGCGAACGAGACCACTCGGGTCCTCTTTCTCCACTAGCCCGATACCAAGGCGTATCGCACGGAGTAGGGTTAGACCCTGTTGACCCTGTCAACTTCAATACGTTTCCAACCCCAAGTGAATTACTTACGGACTTGACGGCGAGGGAAGCCGCCGTGCAAGCTCATACTGAATTGCCGGAACCTGCCGGCGGCGCGAAGGTGGAGACCCAGAGGAAGGCGCGACAAAGGGTTGTCGCTGAAAACGTTGGTTTCGTGCCTACTGACCCGTCAGTGTCCCTGTATCTGCGTCGACGGCATTCTGACTTCACGTCTTATAGGGACACCATCTCCTCTCATGACAAGAAGCGCCATTACCTGGAGTGCCTCGAGCAATACGTACTGTATCTGCACGAGCAATTCAGGCTGCTGGGGCAGGAGCCGGTTCAACTGGAGAGAGTCTCGACATATCGAGGTCTTAGCAGCCGATCGATCAGGGTCAGTTTGTTTCACCGCCCTTGTTAGTTCGAAATGAATTCAATATGTTCGCCCTGTGGCACAGACGCTGCTAGTTCACATGCAAGAACAGCTGCGAAAGCATCACGATCGGACCCTGGAAGAAGAACAAATCGTAAGCTAACCCACTCCTTCCTGTGCTAGGTCCGTAGCGCCTAGCAGATAACTATGCAGGTGTAATGTCCGCCTGCATAGGGATCTGATGAATGGTCGTGCAGAAGACGATTCTTGCTGACATGGGCTCTACCAGTTCGGTGACCTCCGAGATTCTCTACGGGCGCAAGAGGCTGCAGCTGCAGCACAGCAGTTCAGGCGTCGTTCCGCGCCTTAGCTCCAGCAACCTCTGGCGGGCACGACAGGGTCTGCTCCCGCTGCCAACAACGAGAGCCGTAATCTTTAATCTCCGACATATGCCATTACTGCAGGGTACGCAATTCTCTCGCAAGGACGCTGAATCGATTGCTATTTTTATCTACTTTATTTCCTTTGATTTTCTTCTGTGTATAGTACCTCTGTTCCTTTCTCCCCTCTGTTTCGGTTTCGTCTATCGTGCCCCCCCCCCCCTTTTCTTTTTCACTTTGTATATATGCACTTGCATGTCTGGCACCGGTGCATAATCTCTGTAGCTCATCCCGCAATTGTATAGTAGATACAACATAGTTTATAGGTAGGTAAATCATCTGTCTCCGGCAAATGTCTCGCCGATGTAATATATCAATAGAGGATTGCATGTACTCGAGCGACTGGGCCAGTCTGTTTCCCATTTCGCAAACGAATAAAGGAGGACTTGAGCTGGGAAACCGCCAGCTGAAACCGAACGTCCCGAGGACGAAGCGCCGAGGTATCAGAGCGACTCGAGTCTATCGGACAGCCTCCATTGAAGGGAACTTTGCGATAGAGGTCCGTCTTCAACACATGTAGACGCGTACGGTCGGTCCATTGCCACAGTGTATTCCGATTCCGACTCGGTAAATCCGGCAATGGTGACTTGCGGAAAGAGAGGCACTTCCACGTAACATCTTCGGTCTGTTCATTGCTTAGCAACTAAAGAAATGGGAAGACACAAGAAAAATGCAAGTATAATACGACGTAGATATTGAGTAACAAGTTTCGCTATCTTATCTGCCCGCGGAACAGGTGGCCGCACCATCAACATACCTACTTCGGGCAAAATGCTCAAACGTATCGCAGGAATAAACTTGGACCGGGCCAGAGGGTCGGAAACGTATTGCAGTCGCGGTGGCTCCGGATTGTCGGGATGGCAGGTTCTTCCGCAGGCGTATTAGAGTGTATTCGCTCTGGTAATTACCACAGGTGGAGCTGCCAGGAAAGGGAATTCCAAAGGTTTTGAGCGATCTGATGGGTTGGGGGCCGCCCCGCGCTGTGGTGTTTACCACAGCGGATACACTCTATTGCACGGAATGAAGAGGTGCAGCGGACCCGGTGTTTCGACGGGTTTAGCACTTGAGGTAGGCGCAACGTTCCAAGGCCAATGTCGTTCGCGGGGACTGCCGCGGAAGTCGGATTACCTTTGTCGAATCTCCGCGGCCTCGCGTCGCGCGATGGTGGCAAGAGAACCTTTGCAAGGTGTAGATAGAGGCCCGAGCGTTTCAGGGACTGTGATACAGCACACGGGTCATGGATGTTTGGCCATTGGTGCACCTGGTACGAGTACAGGAGCTGTCCTGGTTATCAGAACTTGGAAGGATACAATGGATGCGCCACTTACTCAGGCTCGAGAGGTGCTGTGCGGGGCTTGCTGATTGGAACTGTACATCTTGGAGCTCGCTGCGTATAACGATACCTCCGGTGCGAGTATGTAGAGCCTCCCCCTCCTCACGCATGAACCACTACATTTGCCTCCGTGTGGCAAACGTTCTTGCCAGTGGGGCCCCGACGGTCCACGATCAAGCCGGACCAACGGAGACCGGGAGCCGGCGCCGGTCCAGGTCCTGCCGAAGAAAATTCGAGTATCACTCGATCTCATCCCGGAACCGTCTTTCACACAAAGTAACCTATTGCCACCCGCTCCTCCCGCTATCTTTACAAGCTTCTCACCAGACAATCATCTCAATCACTGCTCAGTTTGACATACGCCGACGCTGACGCTTCTCTGCAACCGTAACAACACTTTTACGAACATTACAGCGCGTACTGTACTGGCTCTAGCCTGACTAATTCATACTACAGCCCGAAATCGCCACGAAACCACTCGCATTTGTACCGGAAACAATGACGTCTGTATCATCATCTCTTCCTGCCTCTGCTCTTCAGGCCTCTAAATCTGCCTTGTCTGCTGCTCTGGCCGAAAACCACATCCCGGAAAACGGCAACAGTGCGTCCCCCAATGGCGAGACTCATGTCGAGGAGAACGGGGAGCCGGGAGAGATCCAGGAGGTGGACATGCAGCAGCAGGCGGAGACACTCCGTACTGTCTTCAGCGATCCGACGAACTTCAACGTGAAGGTGAGTACGGTTACGCGTCTCGGTGGCATGCAGCCGAACTGACGTGATTCGCCCATGTCAGCACCCACTGTATTCGCCGTGGACCCTCTGGTTCGATTCACCGGCGACCAAGGGACGGAACCTACCTCAAACGCCAGTCTCTGCGTTTCCCCAGACACCTCTCCCGCATACGCCTGGCGCGGCCGCGGCTGCCGGGTGGATGGAGGATATCAAGAGGGTCATCAGTTTCGACAGTGTAGAAGAGTTCTGGGGGTAGATCTTCTTTGTATTTCTGTGATGTTCACATGACTGAGCATTACTCCAGATTGTACAATAACATCGTCCCTCCATCCCAGTTGCCTCAAAAGGCGAACTATTATCTGTTCAAGGTACCTTTCTTCCCGCATGCGCAGCGAGAATCAGTATTGACCTGGTATCCAGGAAGGTATCATTCCAGCATGGGAAGACGAAGCTAACAAGAATGGCGGCAAGTGGAGTATCCAATTGCCAAAAGACAAGAACAAGCAGAATGTCGACAAAATGTGGCTCTATACTGTATGTACTCCCTGCCTCTTACTGCGTGGCATATGTCTGAAACATACTTGTTGCAGATGCTGGCTGCTATCGGCGAGACGTTTGATCCGTACTTGACATCGGCGGAGCCTGGCGAGAGCCGGGACTCGCTCGTCACCGGTGTCATCGTCTCCACGAGACCGCAGTTCTACCGTATTTCAATCTGGACAAGGCAGGCGCCTGGTCCGGAAGACGATCAGCTGCGGGAACGAATAGAGGCTATCGGCAAGCACTTCAAGACGGGCGTTCTTGGGTACTCTGAAAGCCAGAGGCTGGGTGGTCCGCTCGCGACGGAAGTGGAGTTCCTGTCGCACAAGGACTCGGAGAAGAAGGGCAAGGCGGCGAAGAAGATCGTTGTGTGAGGCGGCGGAGAGGGCTGCGCTGTATCGGTAGGACATGATGAAGTTGTCCGCCCGCCTCTCGGAGGGGACTTCGTATTGCTTATTTAATTTATACCTGCTTCGTACATACGTCGCGTCTCTTGCAGTCTGGATAGCTGATACTTGACACGTGTATCCTCGTATCTCGAATTGCAGCTATGTGTTTGTATTTCCGTCCGAAGCGTAGGCATGCCATCGTCTGCTGTGGCAACTTGTAAGTGGTGGCTCCGGGCGATGTCCGGCCGCCGGTAACGCCAGGGCGAGTGGCGGTGTCCTTTTATGAGGAGCAGTTACGAGGGGGTATGACGTAGCACAAACGCGGTGGCGCGAAAGGCTTGGTGCGACGGGCAGAGGGCACAGCAGCAGCATTTGAGGTCCGCAGCGGTCCCTTGTCCTCCTCCCTCTTTGTACTCGACACCCATAGTGCCGAAGTATTCGCATTCCCCAACCTTGAACTCAGTAGCAAGAGATATGTCAGGATTTTTGTCGTCCATCGCGGACAGGGCGCAATCGGCCATCCAGTCGTCCTCCTTGGCCCAGCATATTCCGGGCAGCTACGGGCGGCCGACGAGCCCTGGGGCAGCAGATCACTCAGCAGAGGGGAAGACACCGCGCAGGTCGCATGCGCTGGAGGCGATTCAGCACCAGATCCGGGCCTTTGGCCAGCAATACTCGTGAGTCTCTCATCTTAGCGGGCGCAGATAATGAGGCCGATCGTGCTGGATCCGATTACTACAGGAGCTCGACGACGCCCGTGCAGAGGATCATCACTGCTGAGAAGGGCGTCGCGCTCGATATCGACAGCCTGTCCCGGGACGCCAAGGGACAGAGCAAGGAACTGTACATGTGGGGCCAGAAAGAGGATCAGGATGTGAAAGATGGTATGGTGTCATACTCGTTCCCAACTGGACTAGGATGCTAAATTCTACTGCAGTCACCGACCGCCTCGCATACCTCAACTTCGTCCTGGGAGGCCTCTCTGACACGTTAGCCTCCAAGCTGGACGCCGCGCGCGCGCCCATGAAGGCCCTGCGGGACGCCGAGACTAGCCTCACCCCCCGCCGGAACGCGCGTGCGTCTCTGGAGAACCAGATCTCCAGGATCGAGAACGATCAGCCCAAGGGCATGGAGAAGAAGCTGAGCGAGCTCCGGCAGCAGCTCGCCAAGGCGTACCAAGACGATGATCCCCTGGAGAAAGAGGTGGAGCTCCTGAAGAGGAAGGCTATAAGGGAGAGCGAGAGTCAGAAGTGGGCGGCGTTGAGAGAGGTATGTTTTTCTGGTATCTTCCATCGCCGGATATGCTGACCGGGTTTCACAGTATGGTGAAAAGCTGTCCCTCTTGGCCCAGGCGTCTGAAGGTCTCATCGCGGCACTTCCGTCCGTGCCTCCAACTGCTTCCCAACCATACACTGGTGCGCAAGCCACGGGAGAGCTTCGCGCTACTCTGCAGCATGCCCTCGACAACTATAAGCCAGGCCAGATCGACCTGTACACCTACAACAGCAACCCGTCGAACCTGCGGAAGTCGGACACGCGCAGCTTCGGCGAGACGCATGCGTCAGAGTTATCTAGTATCCACAGCGCGGATGCGTCGGGGACGACGCAGCCAGGAATTCCTCTGACGCCTCCGGCGCACGATACCCATTTGCCCGCTCACGCTGTCCCATCTCCTGACCCTTCCACAACGTCTTTGAAGTCGGACGTATCGGTCAAGTCTGGATCGCCAGGTGTTGGTCGCACGGCGTCCCCGCCGCAGGTGCAGTCTCCGCCACTGAACCCGGCTTTGTTGAACCAAGCACCTGCTCCGATCCCCGTGCCGTCGTCTCCTCCTGCATCCAATGTGTCGCCTGCGGTACCCGTGGACCCCATCAACCCTAGCCAGAAGGTCCCGGCGATCACACCCACGGTAGCAGAGACAGGGGTGCCGGTGTCTGCTGGCGCTGATGGACCCGGGCCCGCGAGCGGTTCGTTGAAGGACCTGAAGTCTCCGGCCAGCGCGACTTCGCCGCCGAGCGGTGGTCTGCCGACGGTGGCGGAGGTTAGGACGCCTCTGGAGATGCCCGCGCCGACTCATGGCACGCCCGGCGCGGCGCCGTTTGAGAGCGCCGAGGACGAGAAGAAGAGGCTGGAGCGTGAGGAGAGGGAGAGGATCTTGAGGGAGGGCGGGTCTGGCTTGTCGGCGACGCGCCCTGGGGGCTTCGAGACGGCTGAGGAGGAGAAGAAGCGGCTGGAGAGGGAGGAGAGGGAAAGGTTGCTGAGGGGACAGACTGGCGCGAATGCGGCTCCGGGAACGGGGCATGGTGCCAGCGGGTCTCAGGATGGGGAAGAGCTGCCTCCGTACCAGGACGTGGATATGTGAGAGGGAAAGAAATGTCGAGGAAGTGTCTGCCGGACTGCTACGTAAAGCGATCTAGTTTGGATACCTTGTACAATAGTCTTGCGGAATCGTAATGTACACGTCCGCGAATCCTGAGTGGGTCACGGGGGTCACGTGGCGGTGAACGTTATCAGATAAGATTGGAAATGACTGACGCAGACGGTCGGCAATGACATTTGCGGCGGACGCGGTCCTTCCTCGGCGCACCCGTTCTCCCCTCCCGCCTCTGCAGTCCATCCCGGGTTCTGTGTTGTCTCTGGGTTTATTTGCATAGCAGTTCTGCAACTCACTCGGTATGGAGCCATTCCATGCAAAGCTCGTTGCCGCCGCGACTGGCGCAACCATGACCGCTCTCACTAGTGCGTATCTCCCTCCTCACACTCTATTCTTTGCTGAATATGTTTCCGCTCAGTGACGCCTTTCGATGTCATCAAAACTCGACTCCAAACTCAACCCCCACCACCACTCTTTCCCAAACCCGGTGCAGGTAGATGTTGTCAACCTGCCAATGGTGCTTGTGTACGGAATATGTCTTCATTGGCCCGCCCAGTGACAGCAGAGTTGGCCGCCGGCGAGATTGTCTGCATTTGGGACCACGGCGTCCTCAGAACCGAGCGAGTTAACGGTTTCGCTGACGCTGTGCGCCACGTATGGCGTGCAGAGGGGATTGCGGGGCTGTGGAAGGGAGCTGGGACTTCATTGTACGTAGCTTTGGCCTCACTGTGTCCAATTTGACATGTAACTCATTTATCCTGCCAGGGTCATCGGTGTCCCCTCGTCAACATGCTATATGCTCACATACGACCACCTTCTCCGCAACGTCCTCCCTCCCCTCTTCCCCTCCCAAACTTTCGTTCCTCTGACCGCCGGTATAATCGCCCGAGCGACCATCACGTCCCTCGCTTCGCCCCTTGAGCTCGTCCGAACAAATCTCCAGTCCACTCCTCCCTCGCCCGACCGACCACATACCCTTACCTCCGTCCTCGCGTCAATACGTGGGCTCGTGAGGGACCAAGGCGTCCGCTGTCTATGGAGAGGGCTCGGTCCGACGCTCTGGAGGGACGTGCCCTTTAGCGGCATCTACTGGGCGAGCTACGAATCATGGAAAAGTTCCTTTTCGCGGAGGGGGCACGAGGGCGCCGTGGTTGCATTTTTCGGCGGAGCCGTCAGCGGCATGACGGCCGCTCTCATCACTTCACCCTTCGACGTTCTGAAGACTCGGCGGCAGGCCTTGGTGATGTCGAGTACGGGCAAGCAAATGACCGCAACGTTCCCCTTGTTAGCACAAATTGTGCGCAATGAGGGAGTCCCTGCGTTATTCGCCGGCATAGGGCCGCGAATAGCGAAAATTGCCCCTGCATGCGGTATTATGATCGCATGCTTTGAGGTGTGTGAGGTTATGCTCTGCAGCGTCCCCGATATTGATCATCCTTGTATTAGGGCGTTGGACGATTCCTGTCAGAAACTATAGACGAGATCTAGACTTACGATACAGCAGCGGATATTGTATTATTTACACCTAATGACACACTAGCGGAACCCGGATAACGTATGACAATGCACCCCCAGTGTCCATCCACAAAGAAATCTATGTAGAACATACTCCTCAGCAGTCCGTGAGCCTATCCAAGCCTGTTCATCTGCTTCTTCGCAGCGGTTAGTTTGGAACCTGTCATGTCCACCTCGTTCGTGAGGTCGTCGAGGAGCTCGTTCTGTTCGCGTATCTCCTGGTTGATGGCCAGTCCGAGGTGCTTCAACCGCGATAATACCGTCGTCATCTGCGAGACCTGCACGTCTTGGTCCTCCATCTTGCTCTGCTGCAACTGGAACACGCCATGATCGTCCAGCGGTCGTGTCTCCTCCGTCTCGACCGGCTTAGCGCCAAACACTCTCGTCACCGGTTGATTGCGAGTGAACCCGCCTGCCGGACTTGAGGTCGCAGAGGATGCGCCGCCGCCTCCCAGCAACGCCGCGCGGTCGGCGTCAGACGCAGGATTACGCTGGGCAGCCGTCGCCCCCAGACCTCGGGAAGTCATCCGCGCAACCGTGACCATCTTCGAGAGCTTCTCGCAGTCGTCCTGCAGCCGCGCGACCATGTCCGTGCGCCGCTGCAGCTCGCCCTCGCTCATCCCGCGCATCCCGAGCTCCTCCAGCCCCTTCCCCAGCGCGCTAGTCCGCGTGATGATCCCCGCGAGCTTCTTCTTCGCCTCCACGTTCGCCTTGTGCGCGCCCGACGGGTCCCCGCGGTCCGCGAGCGCGTCGCGCTTGTTGATGTCCGCGCGCACGTCGCGCAGCCGCGCCTGCAGCTCCATGTGCTCGTCGAGCCAGCTCGCGCTCGTGTACTGCGCGGGGCCCTCCACCCCCGCCTGCTTGCCCGCGGGCACGCCGAGGAACTGCTTGAACGCGTAGCACTCGCGCCAGCGCTCGTCCTTCGCGCCGACGATCGCGCGCAGGTACGCCTCGAGCCCCGCGCGGCGCTCCTCCGTCAGCGCGGCGTTGTTGCGCGAGCGCAGCAGGGAGAAGCGGTGTTTGGGCGGGAGCTCGGCGGGCGGGGGCGCCCCGGTCGACTTGGTGAGCTCGGTGTGCAGGTCCTCGAACTCGGAGTAGCGCCGCCACATTTGCCATGACCGCACGGGCGCCTGTATTTCGATGCGGTAGACGACGTGCGGTTTGGGCTCGGAGCGCTCTTCGTGGCCGGTTATGCGGATGGCCTGGATGGCAGTCATCGTAGACAATTACTTAGCTCAGAGTGGCGGGTTGAAGAGAGGTTGCGGGGCCAGTGGTTGCAGGTAATTGTCCCAGGAACCTGTCTGCCATAAACTGCATGCAGCTGCCGTGACGTCGTGCTACGGGAACGAGTCCAGCAGCGTCGCAAGGCATGCCTAAGAAAGTGTCGCAACAGCCGACGCAACATAGCGAATGAGTCATCTGAGTGTGCAGCAAGATGATTCGAGAGTATTTCTATTCACCCTTAGCACCGGTCACTATTACAAAACGAGCACCATTGCGTGCTAGGACGCCCATAAAACACGCAAATATCCTCCACAAGCCACCTCTCGACCGTAAGAACGTCTGAAACCCTGGGAAGACATCATCGGTGATGTCCTCCAACCTGACATCTCTATATCCAATTATTTGCATTTTGCGCACGTACTCTTCCGATGTTATGACATTCTCCTTCGGCATAGGACTGAACCGTGCAATGAGTGTCCTTGCTGTCCATTTGTCCAGGGATGCGAAACAAATGTCTGCCAGAGCGATGCGACCGCCAGGGGCAAGGCGGACAAGACTCTGCTCCAAGAATTCTGAGCGAGTGCGGAAATGGTAAGCGCAGTCAAGCGCAAGAATTCTATCGTAAGGTGCCGCTTCAGAGGCAGGATCTAAAGGATGTTCCTTAGCGTCGGAGCGATAGACTGCATCACCCTCATAAAGCCGAATATTGCACTTCAAATCAGGAGCTTCTTCCCGCAATCGGACTATGCGGTCGAAAGACCGCCGGTGGTGAGCGGGAAGACTCGTTATACCGGTGACACTAGACGGCCGAGGCACTGATGGATATGAAAGCTGGAGGATGAGGGATTCGCCGCTCCCGTGCCCGACATCTTGGAAGGCTCTAAGGTGCTAATCATACCATTGGGCTAGCACACGTACCTAAAACGTTGTCCCCTTCCTGGTATTCGGCTGCTTCGATGACTTTGCGAGCAAGAGCTACGGAGAAATAAGGACCAGACTCAGCAAAGCCATGCGTTGCACTTACCTTCGCAAGCTTCTGGGAAGACATCCGCGTCCTGGAACACCGATATAAAGAAGGCAAGGTACAGTCGAGCGTTGTCACTCACCCGCCAATACCCCATGTTCAGCCATTCGGTCCTCGGGTCACCCTCTGGGGGATCCCCCGGCAGCCGGTTCAATGCGAGATGGAATGTACCGTACGGATCGCTCGACATGCCACATATGAAATAGACGGCGCATGCAATACCCAGAGCACTGAATGACAGTATGGCTTCTATTGTTCGTATCCGGCCAGCGTACAGTAACCCAAGAATCAATAGGAGTGCAGATAGTAATGTAATGATGTGCATATTAGGTTGCTTGTCAGCTATGGATCTTAACACGACAGTCAATACCTTGCCAAAGCATGAGGAAAAGTGGCGGCACCGACTAGCACTGGGGGTGGGGTCTTGACCCTCTAATTTAGAAGCGAGAGCATTCAGTAGCTGCTCGTGTGACTTCCGTAGGTTGGTCATAATGAATGGTAGACGGAGGAAGAAGGCCTAACACCAAGTGAACATTAGCAGGTAGAGACCTGATAATACAGCTCCTCCATACCTTGGCCGTGGTTTTCTCTGTGATTTCGGTCTTCCCTTCTACCCACTTGGCGCGCCAACTCGCGGCAAAGATAGTTCCGAAACCAGAACGCCAGGCGACGTCGAACCCATCAACGACCATGATAAACTTGAGAGTGTATCGACTGCTGGATGGGATGCCCAATAGTTCTGTCTTGACATTGACTGTGTAGACATTTGGATTCCTAGGGTCCGCGTCGAAGCCCAGTACCAACGGGTCAAGTCTGATCATTTCTGGGAAGTCCTGGATAGTCCGGAGGGCTACATCGAGCGGTACATTGACGACTTTTGAGGAAGTAATTGTCTGGGATGGAAATATGAATCTGGACATCTCTCTGCGGAGGGTTCGTCCACGTTACGCCCAAGGGTCTTGTGGGGTAGCCAGCGTCGCACTGAAAACTCGATACACCCGTCAGTTAAGGTGTGCCATAGCCATGGGAGTCCGATGTTGATGAGCCAAGCCAGAGGAAGGTGGTCAGTATATATAGCGCAGGCTCTACCCAAAACGCGTCGGATCCGGGCACTGACACGGTCACGGTCGTGCTTCCGCTTCCGGCTGTAGGCAAAGGTTATCCTTGCTACCAGGAAGCGCAAGGGTGCACCTCGTATTACTGCCTGAAGATCGAAACGTCAAACAGCGTAGATAGCGAGCAGAAGCGTCAAAGCAACGTATACAAAAGATTATTAGATATCCAGAGAGTGCACCAGTTCGAGTCAATGATAATACAGGATGTGAGATACGTCTAGCAAAGAGAACAACAAGGATAAAACAATGGACTCTAAACCATACACGCATGGACGTTGTTTCGTACAAGGCAACGGACATGCAAGCAATCCCACTCGTCACTCCCACCAGCGCTCACAATGCAGCCTCCGGTGGTTCCTCTTCGGGTGCAGGAGGATCCACTGCCTCCGGTTTTTCTCCTGCTGGCATTGAAAGAGGCGTTGGTTCGACTTGCTCAGGAGGATGCTCCGCGGCAAGCGGAGGAGGTTCAGCAACTTCGCCAATCCCAACATCGCCGATGAGGTAGCGCAAGACGTCGCTCAATGTGATGATGCCGAGCAGCCGGCCTTTCCTCCCGCCCTTCTTTTCTTCATCCTGAGTCACTTTAGGTATCAGCATCGTTGATTACATTGACGCGGAAGCGCTGTTACTTACCTCGCCCTCGACGACAACCAGTCGGTGTACTCTGCGCTTCTTAATCAATTGTAGAAGAGTGCCTAATGAGTCGGAAGCTGTGCATATTACAACGCCAGGGAAGTCGGGTGAGCGTTGGTGTAGCGCCTCAGCTATTGTGAGGTCCAATGACTGATACGCCCCGAGTCGGACCAAGGTCTGAAACATCATCAGCATACCATAAATGATCGCATGAGTTCAACGTACTATCACATCCACTGTCTCATACAAGTTTACCACAATGCCGTCTTCATCGATTATAGGAACTGCAGATATACCACGTTCAGAGAACATATGTACAACGTCGAAGACCGGTGTAGACATAGTTGCTGTCGCAATGGGATGATATGGCGTATGACCTTCTAGGGTTTCGGGGGATGATGGTGAAGCGTAGACATAGGTACCGATCCCCAACTTCCGGAGGGGCATCTGTAACTTGGTGATCTCATTCGCACACTATCCAGAGCGGTAACTTCAGAATCAGCTGTTCGAAACTTTGGGCAATACAACTAACATTTATGGATATGAATTTGAGGAGGCGGTATTGAGTCAAGACAGATACGATGACTTCGTGTCCTGTATCGGTATCGTTATCCAGCAGAGGTAGACGCCGAGCATGAGTCTGTATGAGGAGTTTGGCGGCGTCATACAGAGAGCTCGACGGGTGATCACGGAGAAGAGGAGGAGGCTCGACTCCCAAACTCCTTTCAATGTCTGCAGGGATACAACGGTCAGTCGCACGATCTATCAATAACTGTGTGATAAACGCTCACCTCGGAGGGACTCCAACCGAAAAGTTTCTACGTCCGCTGCAGCATTGTCATATGATGATGTGTGGTAGTAATATTGGATAAGGTGAATGATATCTTGGACTGTCAACATGCCAGCAAACGTCGCCTTCTCGCTATTCCATAACGGCGCCGACACGACGCCTTGCATTGATTTCGCAATGCAATCAACATTTAGCTTTGTAGCCACATATGTGGAATATGACTCACCGTTGAGCAATAAACATTGCAAAGCCTTCCTCACTTCCAGCTTGGTGTCCAGCACGATCAATCTAAAGCTAACCGGGAACGCATCGTAGGACTGCCGTCCCCTCAGGTATGCGCGTATAGAATTGAGCGCGGCATCGTTTAGTTCTTGGACTTGACGAGGAGGGACATGCGAGATAGCGCGGCCGCGACGCTGTGAAGACTTGCGCTTGGGAGACAGCGTCGCACTCATCATCGTTCGCACTGTCGGCCAGACACCACGATGGCTGTGCAGCGTGCGGGGTAATGTTATACCATGTTTGTGCTCTGCTTATATATTTCCGTATATTCCTCGAATACCCCGGAAATGCCGGCCGAAAACCCCCCCTTCCGGCACATTCCGGCCGGCTGACGTTCCTGGGCTGCAGGCATGTCCGTCCCACCGTAGACATCAGCACTGGTTTCTACTCTGCTCTCGTTCATCTTCGCGTTAACCACCGTCTTTACGAGCCACAACGCAAGCAGCGTCGTTCTCGCTCTCGAGAATGGCTTCTATGCTCGCCGAAGCTGTAGCTGACAGCTGGGAGTGGGTCGACTCTATCGATGTGTCGTCCAGCTCCGACAAGATCCAGGACATGCTCTCCCTGCCAGACGACGCTCGCGCAAGCATCATACGCGAACAGGGAGATGAGCCCAACCAAGCTTTGCTTGTTCTGCTACCGCTGCTCATAGTACTATCAACTTTCCTCTTCCTCCTGCTAGTCTTCTTGGTATGCATTATCCTGCTTCGCAGGCGTCGCGGCATCCTGCTTAGGGATAGCGATGGTCCGGTTGATATGAGCCGGGAAGAGCTTATTGAGGGTGAAGGCGGATTCGAGGTCATGGAGTCTCGCTGGCTCGAGAGCGTGAACGAGGTAGAGCGCAGATCATATCTCCGAGCCAAGGGTGCGTTCTCGCTATTCCTTCTCCTTATTCGTGCCTCCGCTCATCCTCCCCTCAGAGTTTCAACTCCAGTACCCCCCGAATTCCCTCCCCACCGATATAACCTTATCGCAATTCCTATCGATACAAGAGAAAGGCGTGTCCGCATGGTCGTTCGAGCCCGATGTCGAGTCGCTGTCTTCCCTAATAGTCCAGGGCCGAACGGAAATCACATTCCTCCCTGATCCTCCCACACCTGCATGCGTACAGTCCAATCTGCCCCTTCCCAAACTCAATGAAGTCTACTATTGGGAAGTAAAGATGTTTGATCTGCCACCGGAGACCAATGTCGCGATCGGGTTGACCACCAAGCCTTACCCATATTTCCGCCTGCCTGGACTCAGCCGCTACTCCGTTGCCTATCATTCCAATGGCGACAAGTCTCATAATTGGCCGTTCACCGCTGCCTCGTTTGGTCCTGGCTTCAAGGAGGGCGATGTTGTCGGGGTGGGATATCGGCCTCGCACCGGGACTGTTTTCTTCACGAGGAACGGTCGCAAGTTGGAGGACGCGTTTGTGGGTCTGACCCGGTGGAATCTCTTCCCTACCGTGGGTGCGGATGGGGCATGCAGTCTCCATGTCAACCTCGGACAAGCTGGCTTTGTTTTCATCGAGGCGAACGTCAAAAAATGGGGACTTGCTCCGAGCGTGGGTACGTTGGCACCTCCCCCTGCGTATGGCAGCGAGCGTGGGAGTATTTTGCTTCAGGCTGGTGGGGAGACTCCTGCAGGTGTGGACGCTATGTCGCCCCGCAGCACTCCCGGAGTTGGGTCGCTGCCGTCGTCGAGACGCGGGCATCGTCATCGTCGACCGAAACGGGAATCAAACTCGGTGACAGAGAGCCCTCCAACTACACCTCCTCCCCCGCCTTCTACGCCGCCTCCCCCTATCACTCCAATAGAGGAGGAGCCTGCTGAGAGCTCGGGTGCTGGGCCGTCGACTTCCCGCAGATACATTTCGCCTACTGATTTGCCGTTTCATAACCCTCCGAATGTCAATTTGCCATCTTCTCCTCCCCGGGAGGACGCTGATGCGGAGGAAACGGAGGGGGAGTGGGCATCCCCATCATCCTCGGCTGCGACCTCGAGATCGACTACTCCGGATCGTGCAGGTATGGACTATCGTATCTCTGATAAATTGATGATAGGCTTACAAATTGGTCCGGTGGAACCAGAGTCTGAACTTTCGGTTCGTGTCCATCCTCCCCCAGAGTCTCCGATCAGTCCCAACCCGCCTACCCCTAATCCACGCGACATACATTTGCAGGCCCTCAACTCTTCTGCTCAGGCTGGGCCGTCGCTCTCACCTTCGAGCACGTTGCTCGATGAGGTCTCTGCTTTAAGGCGCGAGCCACCGAGCTACTCACCGCTGGACCCGTTCGCATACCAGGATGGCGTTCATATCGATCTTCCCGCTGACGTCATCGCGGCAGCGTTGGAACGGGGAACTATTCCTTCCAGTGCATTCAGCCACAGTAGCGGCTCGCGTTCTGAGAGGCATAGATGGAGACGAGACAGAGAAGGACGGCAGTGATGATATCTGTTTAGTGTATTAGTGTCAGGCCCGGTTAGAGTTTGGTTCGTGTCCCTCGCTGTTGTTGCTGAAGGTGACCCTGATGCTTGTATTATATAGTCAGGATATAATCGTGATCTCATTGAAGATGTATACTTGTTCTCCTTCCGATCGTCAGTCGGACTATCCATCCACATCAGTAATCACATTCACCGCATATTCCAGTCACTCAATTTGTATTTCAATGTTATCGTTGCTTGTTGTTGCGTTCGCCGTGAATTATATTGTGCGTGCAAATTATGAACGGCATATGATAAAAATCAGGCATGCCCCATTACTCTGACCTTCGGTGAGTCAATGGAACATGCAGCCGCACTGGCTCGAGGAGTCTGAACAGCTCCCGTTAGACCTTCCCAGATACACCAGTCTGCCCAGGAGCGCTTCGCAACATAGTCTTCTGCATCGATGAAGAGTATACTCAAAATATCACGCATATTGTCCGAGACGAAACCAGTTCATTTCATCAATAAGGGATTGACTATTGATACAATGAACGGACGCTAGCCAGACCTAGCGAGCGTTGGGTGAGAATATAATACACAGTACAGTCAGCAAGTCAATCCCTTCAAAACATCCCATTCAACCCAAAACCCCTTCATGAAATCGTGATCTTCTTGGGAGCCATCTCAGGTGTTGTCTTCGGGAACGTCACAGATAAGACGCCGTTCTCCATGGACGCCTTGATATCCTCGGGCTGTAAATAATAAGTCAGTACAGTGCTCGGCACCTCGCAGAATCACAATGGTACGAACCTTGATACCCTGCGGAAGTGGGATCGTCCTGGAGAACTTGCCATATCTCCGCTCCCGGACGGCGTACCCGTTCTCATCCCTTTCTGACGAGATCTTGCTCTCACCCGAGACGGACAACATGTTGTTGTGGACGTCGATCTGCACGTCCTCCTTGCGGAGGCCGGGCAGTTCGAATGTTGCCGTCACGACATTGGCCTTCTCATCTTCATGCAGGTCCATCCTGTAAATCGCCAGTCAGTATGCACCTCGACACAAAGCATACGCACACTGTATTACATACCTTGGTCGGAGGGGCCCGCCTGCAGAGCCAGTGCGGCTGACTTGGCTGTTGTCACTTGTGCGAGCCGCAAAGGCCTCATCAAAGAGGCGGTCGAAGTCGGAGAAAGAGAAGAAAGGTTCGTACACGCGAGAAAGAGACATCGCGAGAAAGAAAAAGAGAAAAAGGAGAAAAGATTAAAGGCGCTTTAGAGATGTGACTGCTGGGTATCCTGTGCTTTCTATTCTGAAGGACTCGCAGAGCGCAGGGTCCGCCTTTTATACCTCAAGCGCAGCATAGCATCGAAATTTCCAGAGATCGTCCCCGACGATGATGAGGCAAGAAATGATTGAATGGGCGGGTCATGCAGACGTCATTCCACCGTCGTTCGGGTCGCCGAAATTTCTGGAGCTTTCTTAGCCGGCGTGAAGCCTTGGACGAGCACAGGGAGGATGACGGATCCCAAGTTGCATTCAGTGTAGGCAGAACGGTACAGGTAATCCAGAACTTTCATGAAACGATATCACAAGGAGTAACGGGGAGACGGAAAGAAAGAAGCAGGAGATGTGGCTGTGGATCTGGGGTAATTGCCCAAATGTGGAAACCATGTCGATCCTCCGCCTTGAAGTGGTACGAAAACCTCAGTGTTGCGAGCCTGAGAGGACGCTGTACACGGATCTGCTCTCTTCGACTTGCTTCAGGTCTGTGGGCTAGTCCCTTATACTCAGCTCGTAATGCAGAGAAATGGTAGGACGGACTAACCTCTGCCGGACTCGGAGTAGCCTCTGCTTGAATGCGTCCAGGTTCACTCTTTTCGGTCCAACCAGGGAGCAAAGGGCCGTCCCCCAAAGCAAGAGACAACCTAGGGCTTGTGTCGTCAACCAGCGTAGCCGGGGTGGTTGCCCAAGGTTCAAGCTCGTAGTAACATTGTTTCTCTGGATCGCTGTGTTCCTCTTGTTTCTCGAGGTCTTCGCCTTCTGTCTGCACGCCCTGGCTCCGCATTCGCCGCGGTGGATTCTTCCTCTCGTTCCGCTGTTTCTTCCACTTCCTGATCTTGCGCCTAGGCCACTTCCCGAAGATCCCGTAGATTAACACGCCGAGGATGATGACGATCCCCAGGATTGCGACGCCCGCGAAGGTCCGCCTTCCGAACTGCTGCCCGCCAGTCCGCTGCTGGCTGAGGCCTGGGGGGCTATCTTGGACCTGTTTCTGGGTATTCTCGTCCTGGGTCTCTCCCGGAGTGTGGTCGGATATGACTATACCAGGACCGCAATCCGCATGGTCCGGAGGGCAGAACGCGTTGTCAGCCAGCCTCGGGTGCAGGTACATCGTAGGCGGACAGTAGTTGAAGCAGCTCTGCCCTGTGATCCGCCTAGTGGCCGCATAAAATATGCCTGCCAGGCGGCTGGCAATTCATGGGGCTGACATTAGGCGTCCAGTCCAGATTGCAAGAGAAATACAGTTTCATTTCTACTCTCCACTCGTACAACGCAGCTGTAAGCCGTAATACATTGTGATTGACGTTGGGACTGCACTTTACGGCTCCAACCTCTTCGGGTCCCTCGGGAACATCGATGCTCTCCTGATGTTGTTCAGCTTCAGGAAGAGCATCAGCACCCGCTCCAGACCGATACCTCCTCCGCCGTGCGGCGGGCATCCCATCCTGAATGCCTCGACGTAGTGTTTCATGGACTCGGGTTCAATACCTTTCTTCTTCATCTGCGCGATGAGAAGATTGGGATCGTGGATACGTTGTGCGCCCGAAAGGATTTCCTCGCCTCGCATGAAGAAGTCGTAAGAGTTGGACAGCGTCTAATAATCGCCAATCAGCCAGCATCTCGTAAAATTAGTTCGCAAAGATACTTACCGGGTCATTAGGGTCCGGCATAGTGTAGAATGGACGGAGCTCCATGGGGAACTTGTCAATGATGAAGTAGTCGGTATCGTACTTGGCCTTTACGATCCGCCCAAGCCTCTTTTCGTTCTCCGTACTATAGAATTCGTTAGTCGTCATCCTTCACCTAGCAAGGAAAACAAAGCGTACTTGATATCGTCCAACACCTCCCTCGGGACACCGTCCTCCGCCAACAGGTCAGTCGCCTCCTTGAACGTCAATTTCAGCGTCCCCTCAGGGCCCTCGCGCCACTTGAACTCGTCCGCGGGGAACTGCTTCCTAACCGCCTCGATCTCCTTCGAGTACTTCTGCCTCAGACCGCGGAAGATCGACAGGAAGAGATTGTCCAGGAGCTCCAGGACTTCGTGGTAGTGCTCCTCGATTGCCATCTCCAGATCGAGTCCGACGAACTCGGTCATGTGCCTATGCGTGTTGGAATCCTCTGCGCGGAAGACGGGGCCGATTTCGTAGACACGCTCAAAATCGGCAGCGATGGCCATCTGCTTGGCAAGTTGAGGAGATTGCGCGAGGAAGGCGTCACCTGCGCAGGTAACGAAGGGAGATAAGTACCGAAGTGAGACGGCCATCAGACGGGGCTCACCCTTGAAGTAGTTTACTTTGAATACAGATGCACCAGACTCCGTCGCCGCACCCTGCAGCTTTGGCGTGTGGATCTCAGTGAAACCGTTGCTTTCCAAGTATTCGCGGAAGAGGGCTCCGATGCCATGCTGCAGCTTGAAGACTGCTTGATTGGTTTGCGTCTGGTAGTTACTGATTATAACGAGACACCACCCGCGCAAAATAGCAACGCACCCGCAAGTCGACCACGCGGTTGTTGAGTCGGGTCTCTAGGAGGACACGGTTGAGCTGTGTTTCGGATGTCTCAACTTCAGCGTCGGGTCTTGAGGCATCCTCGAGCGTGAATGGTAGTCGACCCTCGATACCAGACACTAGGTGCAGCTACAGAGCGGATATTCAACGCCGCTCAGGCGAGCAATAGTGACCGAGGTGACTCACCTGAGTGATGTGGATTTCGACATCCCCGATGGTGGCACTCTTGATTATCTCCGGAGCCTTCTTCACCACTCCCTCCACAAGCACAATACTCTCCATGGAAAGACCAGCGGCCCACTTTGCCATCTGCTTACTGACCTCGCCTTGTTTCACTGTCAACACGGCCTGCACCGAATCAGTCCTCTGCCTCAGGTTGAGGAACACCATCTTGTTCCCCTGCGCGCGAGATGTTTGTATACGGCATCGCAAAAGCACAGTCTGTCCATCCAAAGACTCTGAGAGGTCTTTGATCTGGTGCCGCGTGCGGCGGGGACGGGAGGAGGACTGGTTAAGGGGTAATTTGCCATAGAACTCCTTGGCGAAGTCCTGTCCGGTGCGTTAGAGGGAAGTGACCCGCATGCGAAAGCTGACGGTTGCTCACATCCTCTGCAGCCGCTTGCTGAGCGGCCAGCTCTGCTTGTTTGGCAGCCTTCTCTGCAGCCTTCTTCGCCTTTTCCGCCTCCTTAGCTTTTTTCTTCAGTTCGTTTTTGGACGGGCCCTTGGCCTCGGTTCCCTCCGGTGGACTATGGGAAGTGATGAGCACGAAATGCGGACATAGTGAAGACAGATACGGGCGGTGTCGGGAGGATTGGATTAAATCCGCCTCTGACGGGACAGCGTACTTACGGAGTTGGGGGAGCTACCGGTTCCGCCATAGTGTTCTTGTTCCGTGCTCGAAGTTGTTGTGCGCGAAGACTTGGAGATCGAAGATTTTGCGCTCAAGTAGATGGTGGAGAGAGTACTCGAGGCCCGGCCAGAAATGAGTTAGAGACGAGTCACTTTCACTGATCTTTTGCTATCTTATCGGTGATCTTTCCTTGTAAACACCGGCTAGTCTCATTTGTAGTTGACTACAAACCCATTTGTATAGGGACTACAAGCAGCCACTTACTCGACTACAAATTTGTAATAGTCGGCGCAGCCGGGAGGACCCGGCAGCTCTAGCCCCGAATACCCGATTCAGACCCTGACCCGACCGCATTCTCGAACGCGTACAGGCGGCGGTCAAAGCTCCGTCGTGTCATTGCGACTCAAAAAACTTCCCCTCTCCCTCTCTTTCTTTCCTCCATCCTCCTCAAAATGCTGGCCATTTCTCGTCCCCTGACTCGTGTGACGACCAGCTCTGTTCGCCGGGCCGCGTGCGTCTCGACGTGGTCGACCGTTCCCGCTGGTCCTCCCGATCCTATCTTAGGTACGGCTATTCCCAAGCCCTCGCCGTTCACCTGGGTGAACTTTCACGCATGGTTGGACCGCGGCACTCTCGTGAATTTAACTGAATTGCTTCATTTTGGGATGCTAAAGGTGTAACGGAGGCTTTCAAGGCCGACAAGGATCCGAGGAAGATCAACCTTGGTGTCGGCGCGTACAGGGACGATAAGGGAAAGCCTTATGTACTCAACTGCGTGAAGAAGGTGCGTAACGCGTATACTGTGGGGTTATTTGCTTGCTGATCCTGTACTGGGTTCCCTAGGCCGAGGAGATCTTGACTACGTCGAACCCGGACAAAGAGTACCTTCCCATCGCCGGTCTTCCCGAGTTCACGAAAAACGCTGCCAAATTGGCCTATGGCGCCGACAGCGCACCGTTTGCGTCCAACTCTGTGAGTGCCGGTGTATGTGGTGTTACCCTCACGTCCCTCAACTTCTTCACGATCTCAGGTTGCCGTAGTCCAGTCCATCTCCGGGACCGGTGCCCTCCGGATCGGCGGTGCTTTCCTTGCTCGGTTCTACCCGCATAGCAAGACCATCTACTTGCCAACTCCCAGTTGGGGCAACCACACGCCCATCTTCAGGGACTCTGGCCTCGAGGTCAAGAACTATCGTTATTTCGACAAGAAGACCGTTGGTTTAGACTTTACAGGTCTGAAGGAGGACTTGAAGGTATGTCGCCAATTAACCTCTGGGGCACTCGTACCCATATAGTATATAGAATGTCCCGGAGAAATCCATCGTCCTTCTGCACGCTTGCGCCCACAACCCCACCGGTGTTGACCCCACTCCCGAGCAATGGAAGGAAATCTCCGACATCTTCAAGGAGAAGCAACTCTTCCCATTCTTCGACATGGCCTACCAAGGCTTCGCCTCCGGTGACACTACCCGCGACGCTTTCGCCGTCAGGTATTTCGTCGAGCAGGGCCACCAGATCGCGCTCTCTCAGTCGTTCGCCAAGAACATGGGGCTGTACGGCGAGCGTGTCGGCGCGTTCTCTTTGGTTACCGAGAGCCCCGAGGAGAAGGCCCGCGTGGAAAGTCAGTTGAAGATCGTGATCCGACCGATGTACTCCAACCCGCCGCTGCACGGCGCCAGGATCGCCAACACGATCCTGAGCGACTCGGCGCTTTACGGCGAGTGGGAGAAGGAGGTGAAGGGCATGGCTGACCGGATCATCTCCATGAGGGAGAAGCTGTACAACATGCTCAGCGGCGATTTGAAGACGCCAGGAGAGTGGAGCCACATCAAGAGCCAGATTGGCATGTTCAGGTACGTATCTCCGCTACGTTATGCTCAGACAGCATGGTAACGGGTGGGCATAGTTTCACTGGCCTGCAGCCTGCCCAGACCAAGGCTCTGGCGGAGAAGGCCCACATCTACATGACCGCCGACGGGCGTATCTCCATGGCCGGCTTGAACGGTGGTAACATCGAGTACTTTGCCGAGAGCGTGAACAAGGCTGTCAGAGGTGACCTGTAATTTCTGGATGTTGTAATGTTGGTCATCGGCATATCGTGTATTTATGAGATTTGAATGACATCTTTGGAGGCTTTTGGAATATACTAGATCAGGAGTTCTGTAGCGTCGCGACGTGCGCTCACCCTTGACCTCACGACTCGTCTCGTCTGAGGTAGCGGTAGATAACGGGAGGCTGAGCGGCCACAACCAGATTATGGAGGCTATCTACCCCGTTCTGTCTTTAGGATATGATATACGCTAGCTATGCGTACACACTATATACGAATGTAAGCTTCGAGAAGGCAGAGCTCAGACAGCGTCGATCTTCACGAAGTTGTGGAATTCGATATTGACCTGCTAGCTCGAACCCTGCACTCGCTCTGATTGGTCGGGGGGCAACATTGGGCTCGGCACGTGCTCAGGTTAGGGTTGGATCATTGTACCCCGCTAACTTGACGCCGGGTTCTCCACGCCTTGGCGTCCTGGTCGCACGAGCGACACTGCTACGACCCACCAACCACATGTCCCAGTATATCAACGTTACGTTCCTCGGGACGTCCAGCGGCGGGGGCCCCTCCGAGTCGCGCAACTGCTCGAGCTTGGTCGTGGACATGATGGGCGACGGTACGCTATGGAGTACGTAACAATTTTCTGCGCTCGTGATACATACAGGTGCGCTGACGATGCGCGGTTGCAGTGGTTGACTGTGCAGAAGGGACAGTCCGCCAATTTACTTTTCAGCCGCGTGGAGCCCACGGACAGATGTACCTACGATCGAGCAGAGTCACGCGGGTCTTCATCACGCACATGCACGGTACGTCTGCATAACACAACGTATTCGTACAGTACATTCGGAGATAAATCTGCGACTCGACTAGCGGACCACACGATGGGCCTGATCACCCTCATCCGCAACGTCCTGCGCGCGCCGCCGACGACCTCGGATGCGACGTACAGCACGTTCCGCGACCCGAAGCGGATCGACATCTACGGCCCGCGGGGTATCCGCCAGTTCGTGCGCACGATTATCAGCGTCACGCACACGCGCTCGCACCCGGAGGATTTCTTCGTAGTGCACGAGCTCCTCATGCGGAAGGACTGGGCGGCGGGCCGCGCGTATAGTGGGGACGCGCCCATGCCGGATGCGAGTGAGAGCGAGATGGACGACGAGGGCGAGGGCGAGGGCGTGCCGGAGACGCGTGATGCGAGCGAGGAGCCTGGGGAAAGCGAAGAGGAGACTGAAGAGGAGGACGACGAGGAGGGTGAGGATCTGTGGGAGGAGCCGAGCGCGCCCGCGGAAGACGGGCTGCACCCGAACGAGCTCGCCGGCCGCGATATCAGGGCGGACAAACGCCATTTTTGGCGCAAGGTCGTGAGCGTGGAGGCGGGCGGCGGGGAAGTATCCGTCGACGCAGGTCCCATAATCCACCGCGGTACGTACCCCCAATGCCCGCCTGTACCGTGAGCTTACCCTGTGCGCGGCAGACCCATGTATCGGCTACGTCTTCACCGCGCTCCCCTCCGAAAACCCGCACCCCTCCGCGCCGCCGTACGCGCCGCGCAAGCTCGTCATCCTGGGCGACACCTCCGACCCCGCGCCCGTGCTTCCGCTGTGCCGCGCGCCGCCGCCGTCGCTGCTCGTGCACGAGGCGACGGACGCGTACATACCCACGAGCGTCGACCCGCAGAGCAAGCGCAGCCGCGAGCTCGTCGCGGAGAAGTGCGTCGAGCGCGGGCACTCGACGCCCGAGATGGCGGGCGCGTTTGCGCGGCGGATCGGCGCGAAGCGGTTGGTGCTGAACCATCTGGGGGCGAGGTGCGTGGGCGGCGGTCGTGGTGGATTTTGTTTGCTGATGCAGTGTTGTGTCCAGGTTCCCCGCGCCGCTGATGAATAACGGGCCGAGGATACGAGGTGCTGTGCTGAGGGAGATGGAGAGACAGGCGTCGGAGGCGTGGGGCGGGGGCACCGCGCGCGCGGCGCTCGATTTCACGAAGATCACCATCCCGCCCGAGCGCCTGCCGACGCCCGTGCACGCACTCGGGCCGGAAATGATGGTTCTGGACGGTGGGGATAGCAACGACGACGCACCGGCCAATGGCGACGGGGAGGCGGGCGGGTCGAATTCGCAGAGCGCGCGGGGAGGGTGGGGGAGGGGACGGGGCAGGGGAGGGGAGCGGGACGTGTTCCGAGGGCGGGGAGGGCGGAAGAGGGAGCTGGACGCGGTGAGCCCTGGGGGCAGCCGCGGGGGGCGGAGTCGGAGCCAGGGCGGGCGAAGTCAGAGCGGGCACAGCGCTTCGAGGTCGCGGAGCTTCAAGAAGGCGAAAGAGTTGGAGGACACGGCGGTGGTGTGAGGGACGGGTTAGTGCTGTTGTCTGCCACGTATTCTAGCGGAGGAACGATGTGTCTTGTCTCTTTCTAGTGCTCAAGGGAATTGCTCTTGTATCCGTATCTTGTACCTTGTAGACGCCCGTGCTCTATAGACGTAGACGTTGCGACTACACGAAGGCCCGGGATGAATACTGTCGCCACGGGAAGCCGACGATTCAGGTTGCAGGCTCTGGCACTCGCATGAAATGGTGTTAGATTGCTACATAGCATGCGTGCGTCCACGGACGATGATACACGGACGACGTCAGATCTCGGGGTTTGTCATGTACCCTATGCCGATGGTACACACACGAGGTAGAGAAGGCAGCCCCCATGACTGCTTGGACTGCAAACAAGCTATGTATGCGGGGATGACTCTGGGAAGCCACCGACACGTTCTCGAGGCGTGGCTAGCGAATATAGATGCTGGCGGTTATTTAGACAAGGCTACCTTGAGAACACGGCTGCACGAGAACTATGTGGCATGGAAAGCTCGTACTAAAGAATACAATGCTCGTTGTATGGAATAAAGCACATCGCAGACCATCCACGATCGGACTGTCGAGGACAGCGAAAGGCAGGAGAGAAGACAGAGATCCCGGGAGAAGCCGGGTATAAATAGCAGAAGTGATGCTTCCATATTGGCGGATGACAGCAACCCTGCAACGCCGCCAACGCTGGCCCGCTTCTCGTCGGGAGAAGCCCCGCCTCGTCGGCCTCGCTCTGCCAACCAGTCTCGTCGACGTCGCGCACGCCAACGTCGGTGACAGCTGGAACGGAGGATGGACGCGTCGCAGGACGCGCAGAAGGGAAGACGCGGGCGGAATAGAAGGGCGGGGACGGAGCAGCCGGGGATGAAGAAATGAAGAATGGGCGAAGAAGGACTTGGAACGGGATCGATGGAGCGAGTGCCGGTTGCTGTTACCCGGCCTCCGTTCTTAAATCGCGTCGACACTCGCGTCGAGGTTGTTCGGGCCAGCGTCGTACTGCTTCGTCCGCCACGCGCCAGCATGGCCGTCGCCCCGTCCGCCGTCCTCGACCCCGACTCGCAGCGTATTTCTGCGCATGCCCGTCCGCCCGCTCTGCACCTCGCCCTCCCGCTCAAAGCACCGTCCCCGAGCAGCTCCTCCGCCACCAGCGCCATGCTCTCCCCCGCCAGCTCCATGCTCTCACCCGCCAGCTCCATGCTCTCCCCCGCCAGCCCCTCCTCCGCGTCCACCAGCGCCTCCCCATCCAGCAGCAGCAAAGAAAAGTCGCCCTCGTTCCCCTTCCTCCGCTCCCTCTCCGTCCATTCCGCATCGTCGTCTGCGAGCTCCTCGCGCCTGACTGTCCCGAGCAAAGACAAAGCCACGGCCAAGCCCCGCCGCACCCTCTTCCCCTTCCACCTCAGCCTCCCGCGTCTCTCCCCCAAGTCCTCGCCCGCCGCCGCCTCCCCCCTGCCGTCCCCCTCGTCGCTGAGCGACAACCCGCCCGCCTCGCGCCCGCGTTCCCAGTCCAACGCTCCCCCCTCTCCCCGTCCGCGCCCCGTCCGCACAACCAACCCGAACAACCCCTTCCCGCGCTACCACACCCGCCCCTCGCCCTCGCCATCGCGCCACCGCCCGCCCGCCCCCGTCGCCACCTTCACGCGCGAGCAGCTCGACGCGCTCGTCGGCGCGTCCTCGCCCTCCGCATCCCCCGCGGGCCGTCGCCGCCGCCGCCGGGACCGCGACCGCGACCGCGAGCTCGAGTTCACGTACTACTGCCGCGCGCTGCCGTACGACGCGGGCTACGCGCCGGGCGTGTACGTCGAGTACGAGGGGAAGCCGACCGGCGCGGGGCGCAGGTCCAGCGAGAGCGACGAGTCGGAGGAGGAGGAGGGGGATGGGCTGCCGGGGTACGACGCGCATTCGTCCTCGTCGTCGACGATTATGCATGCCGGCCAGGAGCGGCGCGGGCGCTGGGAGGTTGCCAGCGTTTTGGCGCTGAATTTGGTGGGGACCTTGGAGGGTCGGGGGAGGCCGCGGTAGTGTGAGTCGTCCTCGATCTTGGGTGCGCCTCGGTCTGCGGTGCTCACGACGCAGTTCAAGATATATGGTCCTCGTCCGATTCCCGGCACTCTCGTCCACACTGGACTGTGCATACGCACGCGCAGAGCCTCAGCTCCTGTCGAACCCTGCATGTTCGCGATTCTGGTAACTTATTGCATACACCCTTCAACACCTTCTCCACCAGCATAATTTCCAGCCTCATTCTTTAGATTCATGTCATCGCATCGCACTCGCATCACATTTTTTCCTTTTCCTCCGAATCGTCGTGTTCATGTCCCTCCCTTCCTCGTGTTGTGTATAGACCCGCTGTATTCATTATTAGATTGACGACATCATGGGTGTGCGGGTTCTCTAAATATGTGTATAGGTGCGGGTGCAGTTTATTGTAGTAATTGTACATGAGAATGGCCGTGCCGCGTATGCATTTCATGTCTATGCGCATGCCACGGTCTCCTACAATGTCGAGGGGTCACCGGTCGGACCTGGAGGGGACGCGATGCACGGCCCTTGGATGAAGGCGCTCTTTCTTTGAGCAGCGACATCGCGGCTCCTTCTCGGAGCTATATGTCCAGGTCCTCATCCGGATCGTCGTCGTCGATGTCGTCCGCCGAATCGGGGTCGTAGTATATCGCCCCGGGGGGCGCAGCGGGCGCGGGTGCTTGCCCTAGAACACGAAAGAAGATGTGATCAGCACGCGGCGTCGAGTGGATAGGGGGGTGCGGGGAACGCGTGCCTTCGTGCGCGTACGGCAAGGGCACGCGCGCCCGCGCCTGCTGCTGCTCGGGCGTGAGGCTGAGGTTGAACGGCACGCCGTGCGCCGGGTCCGCGGCCGCTTGCTGCTCCTGCGCACGACAATGCACCCATCTGATCAGTCACTTGGCCTGACGAACGAGGGGGGGGGACGCACCTCGGCGCCCGCGCCGCCCTTCCGCGCGAACACGCGCCGCAGGCTGTCCATCTCCGCGAGCGAGCACGCCGCGCCGGATTTCCACCCCTCCAGCACGCGCTCGACGCCCCTCCGCCCGCCTGCGCTCCGCACGACCACTTCCACCACCGCCTCCCCCTCCCCCTCCCCCTCCGCCCCGTCCCCGCCGAGCACGAGCCGCTCGACCTCGCCGCGCCGCGCCGCGAGCGGGGCGAACACGCGGAAGAAGCGCTCCGGCGCGGAGAGCGGCGGCGGGGGGGTGAGGTACGCCGCCGCGATGTGCGCGAGCAGCGCGGGCGGGTGCGCGGTGAGGTGCGTGAGCGCGGGGGAGAAGCGCGTTTGGGCGAGCAGCGGGAGGAGGGGCGTCGGGCTGGGGGAGGGGGGCGTTGGGGGGGAATGGAGGTGCAGGGTTAGGCGGGCGGGGGCTGTAGGCGGTGTGAGTGGGCGAGGGGCAAGGGGGAGGGGGGCTTACCCGGGCGCGATTCGAGGAGGGTCAGGAGCGCGGAGAGGAAGGTGGTGGTAGCGGACACGGAGCGCAGGTCTGCGGCGAGCGTGTCGGCCGAGTCTATGATGACTTCGAGCGGGCCTGGCGGGGCTGGGATCCGGTGTACATTTAGTGCTCGGTATACGAGTAACACAGAGGAGCTCACCGTCCTTGATGAGGTTGAGTATCTCCTCGCGCGGATCCGTCCACTCCTCGTCGTACCCGGGTACATTCCCCGTCCTATCGAGGACCTTTACCTGAGGATCCTCATCCGCACCTACGAGCGAGCTCGGCGGGTACAAAAGGCATATCAGGAGCACCGTGCCCTTTCGCTGAGGATTGTGCTTGCGACTTAGTATCGCGCGGAGGAGGGGCAGGCATGTTGCGGTGAGCGAGGACTCGAGGAGGAGGACGGGGCTTGGGGGTTTTGTGGTGTTGGAAAGGATGGACGGGAGGAGTAACGGCATCTTCAAGCAAGATCGGCGTGAGATCTCATTTGCCCGTGGTTGTATTCGCGATTAGATGCGGACACGTAGGATAGACAGAGCTACACTATAGCACCATTTATGCATGTCCCTCTAAATAATAAATTACGGGGATGTGAGATATATCCAGAGCAGTCCAGCACGTTTTCTGAGCACAGGTCACGGCCTATATCGACTTTTTCTCCCAAGCGCTCCTATCCAATGCGCACTCCTCGAAGCTGACTCCTGATACGCTAGTATGCTCGACTGTGCGGAACCCATATTTCCGCAGACACTCCCCGATGTACGTCGCAAGCGGGCAGTACACGATCCGGACCTTCTGCACCTGCTCAGCGGACTCGAACGTCCGGCGCAACGCATGCTCTAATAGATCGTCCTGCACTCCCGACTTGCGATACTTCTCCTCGACGTGGAAGTGGCGGATAGTCGCGACGGCGGAGGTGCCAGACGTGAATTCGCAGGTCGTGTCCGCCGAGATGGTGATTTCGGAGGTGGAGTCCGGCGAAGCGTCGACGGCGATGAGCCCCACAAAGCTCTGGCCGTATTCGAGAATCCAAAGCCCGGATGCGGGCGAGCGGGAGTAGTAAGACGCAATGTCGAAAATGTCTGGTTTGCGCAGTGTGTTCTGCGTCAGCTTCTCGAACGCTGGGCGGTTCCTCCTGATGATGACCATAAGTTATGTGGAGCAATGAGGTATGGCGAAGAACTTACCAGTCAATGAAAAACATGAATGGCACCGCCATGGATGCAAACGCAGGCAATGGCTTGAGGAAGCTGAGCCATCCAAAGGCATCATAGTCCGGCCACCAATGCATGACCTGAATGAATATGCAGGACATCGCTACCCAGCTCGCGATCATTAACGGGTGGAAGTATGCTTTACGAAGGGTAAGCTTATATTCTGACCACATAAGCCATAGTATATACGCACCTCGTTGATTCGCCTCTGCAAGAAGACCCATGTAAGCCTTGCCCAGCACGAAGCGGACGAGCTTGTCATCCTCCTCGGACGGCTTGTACAAGCGTATACGCGCGACAGGCTCGACCATGTCTGCTGGCTTGCTGGGGGTAGAGAGACACCATTTTAGGGAGGAGAGAGGGGAGCTATAAGCCGTTCCTGTCGATCACAAAGTCGAGCGCACGTTCGACCGTCAATCCTGCGCCTCCTCAAAAAAGACTCGGTAGATGAGCACCTGTCTCTAATTGTACAGTCGAGTCCCTCTTACACCTACAAATCAATGCACCAGATTTTAAAGATACAGCACATGTATATACATGAATTGTTTCAGGGGAGATAATGCAGGCTACACTTTGTACAAGTGAAATTCTGAAGGGGGCCCAAAGAGTCAGCCACCAGGTGACGCATGCAATACAAGACTACTACAAATGGTATACAACTGTGCCGCGCGTCAGAGCTCGCTAGAGGTCCTGCGTCACCACTCTAACGTTAACCATACCTTCCTGGAGGGTCCATGAGACATAAATCATCCTAGTTTTAGCTCAATCAGACCCATATGGACTGCCATTTATAACTTTTAAACCATTTACTATTGAGATGTTCCATACCACATACATACAGTGGCCTGCGAAAGTACTCGACCACCCTTTTCAGATGTGTATGTGGGTAGACGTTACAAATGCCCCGCGACTAGATGCAGCCTAGATGGTTTTAGGAGCCTGGCTAAGTAAGGGGGGACTTCCCTATGCTGTAAGTATCGGAAATATGCACTAGTCTAGCCTCGCCACATGGATCTAATCTCGGATAGATTCAGCTATATCTAGGCTGGATGCTCAGTCAGTCAACCTCCAGGTCAACCCAGGACCTGCCTCCGTCACACATACACTGACCGCTGCAGCAATGCTCATCAAGAAAACATACCACGACATCCCCAGCAAGTTCGATCCCAATGGGAACCCTATCCGCATCTTTGTGATAGCGCCCAACCTGCCCGACTACCCCCATGCCAAGTTCCCAGGTACGATGCCTGCTACTACCCACGCGTCGAACACTCACAGACGTTCTGTCTAGGCGTAGTGTGCTTCAGGTATTCCCCGTAATACATGAGGCGATGCCTTACAGGCTAATATACGCAGTGAAATCTACCAGGTGACTGGCCCCGTCGAAAGGTTCGCCGGCCAAATTGCCAGCCATGGCTATGTAGTGGGTAAGCATTCGCCCTCCATACGGTCTTCACTGGCTCCTGATAAATAATTCAGCTTGCCCATCTATCTACCACGAGTTTCAAGGCCCCGAGGCCATACCATACGATGCTGAAGGTCGGCCCGTGTGAATGTACGAGTGACCACCCATCTTATCTGCCACAGGTACCGATCGCGGCAACAAGTACAAGGTATTCATCGGCCATTATTGAGAACATACATCGTCCGATTGACTCGCCGTATCAGATCGAGAAAGAAGTCGCCGCATACGACGAGGTGCCCTTCATCCACCGTATGCAGTCCTGCGACTCATCCTAACCCCATCGCAGGACGCCACCCTCGCAATCGATCTGCTCACGTCCTTCCCCAACTGCACCGGGCGGATCGCAGGTAAGATCCATCCATGATCCTGCGCCTTGCGGCCCCTTACCTATAGTCCCAGCTACCGGCATGTGTCTAGGAGGCCACCTGGTGTGCCCCTCTCTTACTCGTGTATAGCGCACTCAGTGTAGCATACCCCCCTCTCAGGCCTTCCGCGTGCGTTGCTTCTACGACTTACCTAGCGGCAAGCTAACCACCCTCACCGCTACTAGGCCGCCTTCAACCCGCGAGTCCTCTCCGCGGTCTGCTTCTTCGCGACCGACATCCACAGCGCCTCGCTCGGCAAGGGAAAGCACGACGACACCCTCGCCAAAGTCCAGCGGGGCGATCTCACGGCCAAGGGCGAAGTCGTGGTACGTCCCGGTGTTCGTATCCTGGTTCGTGACTTTGCTCACCAGGTTTCGTAGATGGTCTTCGGTAAACAGGTAAGTACAACCACCGAGCACACCACGACGAGGGTTCCTGATCGTAGCGGAAGGATACACATGTCCCCCGCGAAGGTCGAGACCTCATCCGGAAGACCCTAGAAGACGCTAATGTCACGACGACGGTGAGTCCACTGACATCGCCCTATCTGAGAGTTTTCACCCTTGCTGATACGAGTGCGCAGTTCCTGGAAGTGCAAGCGCAACACGCTTTCATTCGCGATGAATCATCCAAGGGTCGCTGGGACGCTGCTTTGACTCGCTCGCTCTTCTCGTTCATGTTGGAAGTGTTCGAGAGGACGGTCGGTAGAGATCTGGGGCCCAGAGCAGGGGGCCCAGCACACATCGAGCACGTCTGCTAGATATAACTGGTTCATCATTGTACTTATAGAAGACCACATCCTTGCGTCGAAATGTCGAACCTTCGCCAGGCGAGCGTCGGTAAGCAGTAAGCATCCAATCACACACGATACGGGCATCAGTTTCCTGCATTCTGAAGTCCGTAATCCTCGTTACAATCGTATACAGCATGGCTACAAGTTCTTTTTCAACCTCATCCTCAGTCACCACCAGTTAGTGCAAGGCAACGAACGACAACCGGAGGTTGAACGCACGCCGCCATCGTCGTTATGGTTCATACAACAGATGATGCGACAAAAACACAGCTTGCGGAGAGAAATACCAAGTGAGAGAGATCGATGGAAACAGTGAGAGAAGAAAACTGATGAAGAAAAAATACAGAAAATCTACATCTAAGTTTACTTCTTCTTGGTAGCCTTCTCCGCAGACTTGGTGACTAAAGCGAAACCGTCAGCACCGTCATTACAACCTAGCGTGAGCGAAAGTACTAACCCTTGCCACCAGACTTGTCGGTCTTCTCAACGGACTTGATGACACCAACAGCCACCGTCTGTCTCATGTCACGAACGGCGAAACGACCAAGGGGAGGGTACTCGTTGTAAGTCTCAACACACAGTGGCTTGCTGGGAACAAGCTTGACAATGCACGAGTCACCGGACTTGATGAACTTGGGGCTGGCCTCAAGGGACTTCCCACTCCGACGGTCCATCTTCTCGATCAGCTCCGCGAACTTGCAAGCGATGTGCGCGGTGTGGCAATCGAGCACGGGTGCGTATCCAGCACCGATCTGACCGGGGTGGTTGATGACGATGACCTGGGCGTTGAAGGAAGCAGCCTCCTTGGCGGGGTCGTTCTTGGAGTCAGATGCGACGAAACCACGACGGATATCCTTGACCGAGACGTTCCTGCATGCTGGTAAGAGAATGGACCCCCGATATCACGTACAACACTTACTTGACGTTGAAACCAACGTTGTCACCAGGGACACCCTGCTCGAGCTGCTCGTGATGCATTTCCACCGACTTGACTTCGGTGGTGACGTTGGCAGGAGCAAAGGTGACAACCATACCGGCCTTGATGATACCAGTCTCGACACGACCGACGGGCACCGTGCCGATACCGCCAATCTTGTAGACATCCTGGAGGGGGAGACGGAGGGGCTTGTCGGAGGGACGGGTGGGGGGCTCAATAGCGTCAATGGCGTCCAAGAGGGTCTTGCCCTTGACGACACCGGCCTTGGTCTCCTTAGTCCATCCCTTGTACCACGGCATGCTAAAGATGGATGAGGATTGCATCAAAGATAGCACGAAGGCAGTACGTACTTGCTAGACTCCTCCAACATGTTGTCGCCGTGCCAGCCAGAGATCGGCACGAAAGGAACAGCCTTGGGGTTGTAACCAACCTTCTTGATGAAGGTGGAGGTTTCCTTAATGATTTCGTTGAAACGGTCCTCGCTCCACTTCGTGGTATCCATCTTGTTGACAGCGACGACGAGCTGACGGACACCAAGGGTGAAGGCCAGGAGGGCGTGCTCACGGGTCTGACCATCCTTGGAGATACCGGCCTCGAACTCACCAGTACCGGCAGCGATGATAAGGATAGCGCAGTCGGCCTGGGAAGTACCGGTGATCATGTTCTTGATGAAGTCACGGTGGCCGGGAGCGTCAATGACCTATGTTCACAATCCGTCAGCCGTTTCGCTCGAGCACAGCCTACAAATTTTACTGACCGTAACCATGTACTTCGGTGTCTCGAACTTCCAGAGGGCGATATCGATGGTGATACCACGCTCACGCTCAGCCTTCAGCTTGTCGAGCACCCAAGCTAGAGATGGATTGTTAACTAGAGATCAGGGATAGTATACGAGGTCGGCGCTTACCATACTTGAAGGAGCCCTTGCCGAGCTCAGCAGCCTCCTTCTCGAACTTCTCGATGGTACGCTTGTCGATACCACCGCACTTGTAGATCAAGTGACCAGTGGTGGTAGACTTGCCGGAATCGACGTGGCCGATAACTGCGATAACAGTCAGAAATCAACCATGCAGAACGCATCAGATAATCGATGTACTCACCGACGACGTTAACGTGGATCTTCTCCTTTCCCATTTTGAGTGTTTTCTGTAGTGGACACCAGCAGTTAGCGACTGGCCGCAAGCAAAGACATGGAGAAAATTTGCGACGCAGGCGAAACCAGGTGGAAAGATTTGCTGGGTTCAGCAGCGTCCGACGCTCGACCGATCCCAGCGTCCTCTCCTCACAAAAAGCCTGTGCAATCGAATGGAAACGTGCTACTCACTGAGCGTAAAGAAAGTGTAAAGAAAAGGGGAGGGTGAGGAGGATGAAGGTAGAGGGTAAGAGGTAGAACGGAATGTAAGCCTGGTCTCAGGGTTTATACCCCGGCCGGGCGGTCAAATTTTTCTGCTTATCGATTGATGCCGAAAGTGATCAGATACGGACATGACTCGGCGCCGGGGCCGGCCGGTGTGGTGGCGCTCCACGCATTGCGAGAAAAACTGTGACTGCTAAGGAACACCCGCCATAAAAATTGTAAACGCTACAGGGATATGCCATCTATATTGATGGGCACAGTTGTCTCATATCGTAGTCTACATACTAGATAATACATTAGAAAGCATTCTTGGTTGTCGACAAGAAGTGGACGCGGTACAACCATCGCACGCTGGACGTGAAGGCACAGTGATTGCGAGATAATAAATAACACGTACAGAAGTGCAAGCGAGAAGCAGTGAGTCGTGGACGACTCCGACAGGACAATTCAGTTTTGAGAGGTTGAGAGCAAAAGGATGATCGCGATTAGAAGTCATGCGCCCGGACCAAGGCACTTATCTGCCTCCTTGTCAGCCAGCAGAACACGTTGCGGAAACGAGGAAACATTGGCCACCCATGATTCGTCGAGGCCTAAGTATCGTGCATGCCCCAGCCTCCATTGCCATTCAAGAATCGCGATTGCAAGATACGATCGAAGGTCGGTCGAGCACTGACTTCCAAGCGAAGACACGCCTTGACGAGAGCCGCGGCATCTCCTAGAGCTCCTCCTCCATCCGGTTCTTCGCCCTCATGTTCCTTGCCCTCCCCGCATCGTTCGTCCAGTGCAATAGTCGCCGAAGCGAAGGGGGACTCTAGACCTTCCTGTGCCTCTGCTGCTGTGGTAAAAGGGCATTCTCCGACCAGCAGGACATAGGCGACGACGCCGAAAGCCCATACGTCTTGCTCTTTGCCCTGGTATCGTTCCCCACGCAAAATTTCGGGACCAGCATAGTCCAATCTGGACGTGGATCGTTCATGAGTAGACGAAACATGATAGACTATGTGACTTACGTTCCACTGAAGGTATCCCATCCGCCCCTCTTGACGAGACCTGAACTGCCGAAGTCGATCAAGATACATCGGCCATGTGGCCCCAACACCACGTTCTCGTCTTTGACATCACGGTGCACTGAAATGTAAATGCACAGTCACAAGGATAGTCAGCACTGATTTCCGATGGTGATGTGTTCACACTCACCGATGCCTTTGGAATGTAAAAACGCTAGGGCGTCCGCAATCTGACCAAGATACGTTCTGACAGAGCTTGGGGGAAGGCCATGCGGGTAGGTCTCCACCAGATCGAAGAGGTCGGACGGAGGCGAAGGCTCCGCAGGATTGGGCGCAGGCACTAGGCACGGCATTACCAAATAGTAGTAATTGTCATCTTCAAAAAAGTCCCAGAGGGGGCCAATATTGGGGTGTCCTTTGACAACCTTGCCTTCCACCCACTCCGATAATACGGCGAAGTCGGGTTCGCTATCTGCCCCAGTGCTGCCATTTGTCGAGCAACATTGCTGTTCTGAAGCCTTTTCCGATCCTGTCTCCAGCCGTGCAGGATCCCATGGTCGTCGGGGAGGCAAGACATAGGAAGTAGAGGAGATTGCATTCATGACATATATCTCAATAGGAATTGTTCCGAATTGGGGATGCTTCTTCCAGCAGTCTGCAAGGATTCGAGACTTGAAGACCTGCTTGATGACCAACGGAGGCTAAGGAAATATGAGATGGTCCGTGCAGAGGGCAAGAAAGAGAATGACAGTACCCCTAATGTCCCATCAATATTCATCTCCCTCGCACGCTTGACCAGCCCATATGCGCCCCTTCCCAATTCCCCCTCAATCACAAACTCCGTGATACTTTTCCCACCACCAATAAGCGTTTCTCGCTCGTTGTTGGGCGTGGGAGGTCGTGTACTCGACGCGAGGCTCAGCAAGCTGCGGGTGCTGCCAGACCGAATAAGCTGTTGAGGCGCCAGCTGGGATGAGACCACTTCGGTGGCTGCGGGAGCATCCACGGGAAGTATCGAGACCCGCCCAGCAATCAAGGAGACTCGCTGCTGCGACGAGCGACGCCGTGGTCGGTAGTTGCTGGAAGAGCGCGAAAGAGGAGGGCGGAACTGCCCGTTGCCACTGAGAGGTAGCGATCGTATCGGACTACTGGACGATGGTGACTGAGAGGGGGACACGGATAGTGGCTCGCCGGAGAAGCTGCTGGATGCTATTGCGCGAGGGCGGGGGCTAGAGGGACGGGAGGGCGTGACGGAGCTGATCGGTTTTGTCGTTTCAGGGGCGCCAGCCTTTGTCGGGGCTGAGGTACTGAGCCCCTTAGACCAGTCTGGTCGATCGCCATCGCTTGGAAGGCTGAGGGACTCGTGAAGATACGTCGACTCGCCATCGTGCAGTGGGTCGTTCTCCTTCTCTGCCTCGCCCTTCTTCCAGTCAAATCCCCTGCCCATTATCGTGACTCCCCAGCTATTCCCGACACTAGCAGCTCTGTACAACTTGGCGGGAGGTGTGGCCACCCAGTCGTCATCGTCAAACGAGAGTTCGACTGTGGGGGTCGCTAGCATGTCCTTTGGGTTGCGCAGTTTCCTCAGAGATTTCGAGAGAAGAGACACGAGCACAAGCGGGTTGTTGACGAGAGTGCTGGGGGCAGTGATAGAGCGTTTGCGACGGGATGCTAAATCGGAAGTGTGGCCGGCGACGGCGGTGGCGCGAGTGCTGCCGGGGTCCATTTCCGAGGTGAATTGACTCTGCCTTTTCGGCACGTGTCCCTTCCGCTCTTCCGCTGCTGTAATGATCTGGGATCCCGTCCGACCGTTCACAGGGCACGGATGCAGGTTTAGGGAGACGAGACGAAAGCCAAGTAACCAAGCGATGGAGGGGCCCGCGGTATCTCTTGCGTAGTCGCAATCTTGACTTCACGGCGGAGGCGGTGTACTACTGTCAGCCCAGCCTGTGGTCTATATAGGAAATCATCTGCTTTGATATCTCCTCATTCACCCACCCGGGCACCTTATCTCTCATCTTGGTTACTCTGCACCCATTTGCTCTGGCAACCACCGATAACCCACCGATTCCGTCTGCCTTCCCATGAAATATCCACGGAGCACCCACCGCCCGCACGTAATCTATTTGTAGTACATGTCCAAACCACATCTATTTCAGACACCATCGGATCCCATTCTGGGACCATCCTAGAGGGTCAGCAGGTCACGCTGGGACGTCGTCCGGGCAGCATTGAGAAACAGCGATCCTGCAAGCTGTCTTCGTGTCGCCCGACAGCCGGAGTTTGTACGGTCTTCCTCGCATTGGTTCGTCTGCCGATCTTCACGATTCCCTAGTACAACGCGTTGTTTGGCCGGAGCCACGACGTACGATTCAGAGAGATGCTGTTTGGGCATTTGGGTACCCGACAAGGTACAGGCGACCAGCTCTCCTCTCGGGATAATAGCAGCTTCATCTCGAATATGTATTCCGAACGGCGAAATGTATGGACGATCACAGTGGATAGCAATGATTCTGAATACATGGCCACTACAGTACAAGTACTACGAGTACTACGGGCTCGAGTGGCAAGATTGTTGTGTTTATCGACCTTCAGCCACATGAAACAAATATACGCAAATATTTGTCAGTGGCCATTTTTGGAACAGACATTCAGAGTTCGTCGGGCCCGCCTGTAGCATCGTCCTCAAGAAACAAAACTTTGTGAGTATCCAGCCCATTTATGCTTCTGGATGGCTTGATTATGTGTTTATGGATGGGCTCCAACGAGATTTGAGCGGATTGATGGGCAGGGTCTGAGTGAGACGGATGGATGGCATGCGTCGACTCAGGATGTGCCATGCACGGATACAGGGTGTTCAATCCCACCAATCATTCGTCTCCCTCCCACTGGGCGCCCTGCAAGGAACAGGATCCTCGCTAACGTTGATTTGCTCCTAGCCCGCCCGCCATGGTTGTCAAGGTCCCGATCGTCAAGAAGCGTACGAAGCCCTTCAAGTTCGTGCACATAGCTCGTCCTCGCATACTCTAGACTCACTGTCTCTCGATGGACTTATAGGCGGCACCAGTCTGACCGTTACAAGAGTGTCAAGGAGAACTGGCGGAAACCGAAGGGTATTGACAACAGGGTCAGGCGGCGGTTCAAGGGCCAACTGCCCATGCCCAAGGTACGTCCATATACTATGGGGAAGCACTTCTCTGTCCTTAAGGCGGCATGCATAGATTGGGTATGGCAGCAACAAGAAGGTACAGTTCTGTCTCGGTAGTGAATTCCCAAATATTCCTCACCCTGGCTCGATAGACCCGGCATCTACTCCCCAGCGGCCTGAAGAAGTTCTTGGTCAGCAATGTTCGGGAACTTGATATTCTGTTAATGCACAACAAAAGCTTCGCGGCTGAGATCGCGCACAACGTGAGCAGCCGCAACCGGGCCTTGATCCTCGAGCGGTTCGTATATTCCTTCGCCCAAATTCAATCTTGCTGACTCTCGGGAACCTTGGATACAGGGCCAAGGTACTGTCTGTGAAGGTCACGAATCCCGCAGCGCGGTTACGGTCGGAGGAGTAGAGTATTGCTGTCGTGTTTGTCTTCTTACTCATGTATCATTTCTTTCCCCTATGCCGGAGATAATCGACATGCGACCATGCTTCAGGCCAAAACATTCCATGCCTCATCTGACGAACCTCGGATCGCTCCTTACGTCTCTCATTGTAAGGCCCGTAAACTGCGAAGGGCGGAGTTGTGGCGTACCAGATCTTGATATGATTCCTACCAGATCGGGATCGGGGATTGATATCGCATCTAAGCGACCTTTGTCTTCGCTCACTTCGTACGCTCTGAATTTATTGAGGCTGCTGCGCTATTTCTTGCCCAAGATGTCCATCAGGCAAGGTAGCTTAAGACGATTTATGCATACATGCTCACGAAGTTCAGGCGCGCCACCCATGCTGGTTCGTGGTACACGGACGATGGTATTCCCTTTTCTGCTTATCATCGTGATGTTGCTTAACGGCGCGGCGCATATTCAGGAAATGAGCTGGACCAAGAATTATCTGAATGGCTCGAAGCTGTGAGGCCCGCCGAAGACGAGCATTTCTCGCCTCCCATCAAGGGATGCAAGGCGATCATAGCACCGTAGGCGCGTCTACCCAAAGTTGTCAGCACTGGATTTACCTGGATCCCATAGTCATGCAGGTTACTCCTACTCTGGGCCGACAGCAGCATGGGCATACAAGAGCATTGATGTCACTGGAATGTATGGCCATGGTTGCCGACTGCCCACTACGATCTCCATTTAACATGATGTTAGCAAGCGCGTCTTCATCCTCGGACCTTCCCATCACGTCTATCTCGACGGATGTGCGCTGTCCAAGTGCAAGGAGTATGAAACGCCCATCGGAAACCTGCCGCTGGATTTGTCAAGTACGTCCAACGGTCGACTTTAGACAAATCTAACTGTCATGTTCAGCTATCCAGGAACTCAGGGCCACCGGGCACTTCAGTGATATGAGTCTGGACACAGATGAAGATGAGCATAGCATTGAAATGCATATCCCTTATGTTCGGAAGGTATTTGAGGGGTAAGTGGCTTGCCTCCCTCTAATGCCGGGAGTCCCTCAGCATGATGAACAGAATGGATATCACAATCGTTCCAATCCTCGTTGGGGCTATCAATAAAGACAAAGAAGCATCGTATGGAAGTCTGCTGGCGCCGTACCTCGCAAGAGATGATACCTTCTGCGTGGTTTCCAGTGACTTCTGTCATTGGTCAGTAACATGTTCTCAAATTGCCGGGCCTGCTAACGTCTGCCCTCGTACAGGGGAACCCGTTTCTCGTATACCTTTTACTATCCCGAACCCCCTCCGACCGAGAGGCCAGGAGTTCGATTGTCTCGGAATGGCCCATCGCCGGATACGCTGTCTACGCATCCTATCCATGCGTCAATCTCAGCGTTGGACCATGAAGCCATATCTCTTTTGACCATACCCCCGGGTACGGCTGGCGAAGCTCATACCGCTTTTGCAGCGTATCTTGCCAAGACCAAGAATACGATATGCGGCCGTCATCCGATAGGAGTCCTGCTAGGCTCACTCACCGCTTTGGAGAAGGAAGGACGTCAACCCACAATCAAATGGGTGAGATACGCACAGAGCAGCAAATGTTACAATATTCATGATTCCAGTGTGAGTTACGCGAGCGCGTACGTTGTAGTTTAGAAACTGTGTTCTAGCTTCTATGTCTTCTATTGAAACAATCTCAATGTTCTACATCCTTGATACTGTCTGAGTCGCTTCTGGTAACTGTGGACCAATCGGCTCGTCAATCTCATTCTCCGTACCAGGCACCCCCAGGTCCTCCACGACCTGAGATACGCAGCCCGTCAGCGTATCCTCAAGTTACTAGTATCGGAAGACTTACTTTGCCGTCTGCAATCTCTATGTCCTCAAAGCCCCAGTCGCGGGAGGCACCCTCTTTCAAATGGGCGCCATCCCCAAGCGTTTTGGCATCCCATGCACCCAGCACCCGATCTGTGCCAGCTTTGCGATGGAGTTCCGTCAACGAACAACATCCGATCCTCAGAGGAAGCCCCCTGTTTCCTAGGAGCTCTCGTGCGAGCGCAATAACGGTGGCAGCATGGCTGACCAGCAAGATTCGGCGGTGTTTGCCCGAGAATCTGCGCTCGACCTCAGGCACGAAGAGCTTGAGGAATCCGGCGACCCTGTCGTGCACTTGCTCCACGTCCTCCCCTTTGCGGGAGGGATACCAGATGGAAGTCCAAGAGTCGTCTATCTCAGGGAAGTACTTCTTCAGCTCCGACGCCGAGGCTGGTCGGGGATGAAGACCTGTCCCTGCTTTGACCGGTGAGTACCATTCAGAGAGGCCTTCTCAAGGTGATCACCTGATTAGACAATGAGGCGAGAGTCACATAAATGTGCGTACCGTGCTCAACATAGATCGGCACATTTAGAGCTTGAGAGGTAGGCCGAATCGTCTGGAGACATCGATCTGGCAAATTCAAACATTGGTCAGTCCTTGGTGATGAGCCCGCGCTTGTTTCATTCACAGTAGGGAGATGAGTATATTGCGGTCGGTCTCTGGTCCTCTGGAAGGGAAGCAAAATATTCCGCTAACTCCTTCGCCTGAGTCTGATTCAAAAAGGTAAGACCATATGTATAGGCCATACATCACCAAAATCGCTGTACCTCGCCGTAGGCAGCTAAGGGAGGATCTCGAGGCAGTCCAGTCTCACTCTTCCTAGGATGTCCATCACATATGAGAATGCCGCCGCTGTACGAAACGACAATTGCGGTAGACTGACCAATTGTTAGTAACCCAGTTTAGTCTGAAGCCTGTCCACGAACTACGTTAGCCAGCACAACGCGTACGGATTGGTATGCTCTCACCATGTCGTGCGATATAAATCGTCTCAAGCATGAGTGGTTCGAAGAGTTGTCAGAGGACGATATCGTAGAAAGGCTCGGATGCACTGATCAGATACGGGGCGCGTATCCGCTCTTGGCCATGTCATACATACTTCAGTGTCGTCCACGTCGAGGATGTCAACGCGTGCAGAGCGGCTTACTGACTTTGTCTTGACTTCGATCGTAGCACTCAGTGTCTCAAACTTGCGCAATCACACCATACACCAGGGCGATTATACAAACATAAGAGGATCCAAGCCTCACAGAGAATTCACCCATTATGCTACAAATTACTTCTCATGCCCAGAGGAACGTAGCATATCTTCATATCATTGAGCTTAGACGGAGGACGTTAGTGCATGAGATGAGTATGTAGGCAAGACACAAGCAGGCGCGGAGACAGAAAAGAAGACAACAAAGAGCGAGAAAAGAAAACAAGCATCACGTTATGCGCAGGTGTGTTCGGCTGTTCTTGACCAGATATTTTGCATGGCACTCGTAGTGCCTGGAGCAGTTTGCCCTGTGAGGCTCCCTCATGCCAAGGCAGGGAAAGCCGTCTCGTCGTCGACGTTGACAACCGGAGCACTGGGTCCATTAGCACGGCCCCTGGCGCCGCCTCGTCCACGACCACCACGGCTGCCTCTGTCGCCCCTGTCCCCTCCACGACCGCGGCCACCCCTCTGAGGGCGCTCGAAGCGAGCATCGATCTCGAGGTAAACCTTCTCCTCCTTCTTGGGCTTCGCCTTCGGAGCATTGGACTTGGTCTGTAAGAATAGGACGGTGAGCGGATCAAGACCTGGAGAAAAAAACTTGAGACATACCTTGCCGGCAAAGTACGCCTCCTCGTCCTCATTCTTCTTCAGAGGGACTGCATCCTTCCAGATGGAATCATCTCCCTCGTTAGCCTTACGAGTCTCCAGCTTAGGTACGACACCAGCGGCCTCTTCCTTCTTCTTGGCGAGGTACTGGTCCAAGGTGAGAGTGTTATCTTCCTCCTCTTCCCTGTCCCGGTCCCTGCGAGGGGGCCTATCCCCGGACTTCTCTTCCGCAGCAGCAGGAGCGGCCTCGCCAGCTTCAGCTGCCGGAGCGTCCCAAGCACTAGCGGAATTGTCGCCTCCAGCCCAATCGTTGCTCGGAGCAGTGCCGGCCCAATCGTTGTTCGTGTCAACTACAGCGTCAGTGGCGCCCTGCACCTCAGCCTGGAGCTCGGTGGTGCCCTCGTCACCGCCCCAGCCCTGGTGTATCTTCTTGTCCGAATCGCTAGAACATATGTTCAATCCATGCATACCGCCATAATATAAGGGCGATCACTCACGTCTTGCCGGTGCCACTGTGTCTATCGTAGGCGCGCCCGCGTCCGCCGCGCTGACCGCCACGTCCACGACCCCTGCCACGGCCGCGACCTTCGCCGTCAACTAGTCAAACGAATCCACAGGACGTCAGAGGACAAAGTGAGAGCAATGCGGAAAGGAATCGGACTGACATCTCCTTTGACCACCCTCAGCGGGAGAGGCAGCATCGTCCTCCGGGGCCTGGTTTTCATCCCGAGCACCGTTGGTTCTGCCACCTCTGCCTCTCTGGTAATATCGGCCTCCCCGAGACGCAGGCCCAGCCTTCGGTTTCTGGGCCTTTGCCGGAGCGGCAGCCGCTGGGGCCTCCTCCTTGGGCTTCGCTGCGGCAGCCGCTGGAGTCCCAGGTCGAGAGGACTCCTCTGTTCCATTGTTGCGGTGGTTACGAATGTGGTATGGGAGTGGCGGTGGTGAGAGTGCATCGTTTCCCAGGTGGGAGTACAAGATGGTACAGGGGGGAAATTGGCCAAATAATGCGGCGTTGGATGGTTTAGACGGTTAAGTTCATTAGAAGACGCAAAGCGCATTGAAAAGAGGGGTTAACTGACCATCGAGAAGGGCAAAGGGATTTCTGCTGGCCACCGACATATTGACGGGGCCCTCTTGCGTCAATCAATCCTCGGAAGTAGGCTGTACGACCGAAAGTTGTGGCGTCGACGATGTCCGACAGCAGGGGGGCTCTGAAACCTTTGCGTTTGAGTTGAGAGACTCGAGCGGCGTCGCTGCGACCCCCAGGACTGCGGTTTCCGGGTCCTTTCAGCCACCGGAGCCGCGCCTGTACAGTTCTTGGCCGTCACTGGATAAAGGCTCCGTCGACGCGTTCCCTCCCATAACGCATAATTCACAGGTGAGTAGCAGTTGGCTCGATGTCGGGTGCGTTGTCTAACGATCGTTTATGCAGCCTCTCAAAAGCATCTCAACGAGGATACGCCCGCCTCTCGCAGGACCGGAGTGTGTCGAGGACCTTGAGACCGTCATAGCAGGCTGGAGAACATGAGGGCATGCCCGAACGATGGGACTTGGGTGCGGCGCGCTGGTGCTATATGCTGGGGCTTTGCTCTAGCGGTTGATCCTTCGTGGTCACCGTATGGGCTGTGTCGCAATGTCTCGTTGTACATTTACGGTAGCGTATGTGGTATGAATAAACATCCATACTCTGGCGTATTATGCACATTCGTGTGTTCGTGCGTGGAGAGCTCGCCCATAGACACGAAGACTACACAATTGAGGGCTGCATGAATTGCGTACCAAGACGCCATCCGAATCCCATTCCCTCCAGGTGCTGCAACAGCTCCCGTAACCAAAGGGTATGTTATACCAGGGCTGTCGGCACACTTCCCCACTCCATGTACACGCCTTTGGATGCAGCATCGAGCGAGTCGGGAGCTTCAGAAAAGACGTTCCAGCTTGGGCGACGCATGGAGCTCGCTGAGCGGAGCGGACATGAGAGAGTCGCAGCCACATCACATGGCTCGACATGCGCGAACATCGCCGCCCGGTATCAGGAAGGTCAGGAACAGGAAGGTCAGGAATGAGACCGCGCTGAAACAAGAACGCAGCTGACTGAGGCAGTCAAAACGAGGAGTGGCCGGAAGCGGAGTTGACAACGTCTCCTTACCTTTGCTCAGGCTGTGCGCCATAACCGCCTGCAGTCCACAGACGACCTCGCTTCCATCGTCGTCGTCGGCGGCGACGACTGCTCGCTCATGGCTTCACGCAGACTTGCAATTTCCTTCCTCTGTGACGACGATCCAGCCGCTCCTCCGCCGAGTGCCCATTCTCCTTCCCACCCGATTCCGCCGGCACCGTCCTCCGCGACCGGCAGTCCTGCTTTTGCACAACACAGTCGTGCCGATCGTCCTCAATACTCCGCGACTGGCCACAATGTCTTCGAGGACGACGCTGACGACGAGGCCTATTCGAATTACCCTCGCGATCTTGGCGCGAGCCACACTTCACGTCCACCAACGACGAGACACTTCGGGCGCAGTGGCTCGCCACCACTCGACGCGTCTGCGAGTCTCTCTCCTGTCGTGGACACCCGAGTCACAGCCCAACGTTACACCGTGCATCGCGTCAATAGCGAGCTAGAGCCATCCAGGTCGTCGCATTCTACCCGTACCACGCTCCCCCTCGACTCTGCGCGCAGTCCCCGATTTTCTACAGCAGAGTCTCATCACTTCCCCTCTTATAATCCGCATCAATACTCGTTCCCCGCTCCTCCAGCCAACTTCACTACTCCTCAGTACGCATCATATTCTCGACCTGGGTCATCCTCGTCTGCTATTCCCGAGTCGCACTCGCCCGTAATGTCTTTCCGATACTCACAATCTCCAGAGCAAATGAGGATATCCCCACTTCGATCTCCTGTCATTCCTTATGCTCAGTTGCAGTCCCGCTCAAGCATGTCCCCTACGCACGGAGCACGGGCAGAGGCAACGTCTCCTTCCAACTACTATTACCCCCAAAGCCAAGCCGCTCGCGCACCCTTGTCGATCCAGACTTATGCGTCATCCAGCCACGGATTCTCTCTCGAGTCAGAGCGCACGGCGCCCAGTCCCTACGGTCATGCTCACACAGTCCAGCAGCCCCAGTCTAAATCCGTGTCTTCTTCTTATCCTCCGACGTCATCCCCAACGGTCTCGAAGGCGCAAGTACAATCCCCGCTGTCTGGGTTAGAAGCACTTGTTCAGGCAGCCACAGAGGAACGGCGGCGGCTAAGCGGGGGTTCGGAACCGGGCGGGGTCAGTGCGATGCGGATGAGTTTGAGTCCTGTAGCCAACCGCTCCGCTGCTAAGGAGTACGCGGTGTACCAAGAGCCCCAATTCCCTCAGAATGAGCAGCCATATCGCCTCCAGTCCCCAGTACTTCCAGACTCCGTGCGTAATGCAGGATCTGAGCCTCCTCGAAAGAGACGACGAAGCTCAGGATCTCCTGGTCAAGTACCCCAACATTACACTGCGAATGTGGAGCAAGCACCATCCCCTCCGGTCGTCAGCGTTCCAGCACCAAGGCAGGCTCACTCTATCTCACCAGATAGACATCCCCTTTCACCGGCACCTGCCCTAGACGAAGTACCTGAGTACGCTATACGTCGGGCGGAGATACCTGAATCTTCAACGAGGAATCGGGATCCGCCACCCGGTGATGCCGAACAAGACGCTCATGAGTGGTTCATGGAGCAGTATGGAGCGTCGTCGCGGTCCTCATCCTCGCCCTATCCTTCTCCTCGCGGGAGCCCTGTCGCGTCGCGCCGAGGCAGGGACCGCAGTATTGAATCGGAGATGCAGCAGCCCTTGCCCACACCCACTGAGTTTTCGGAGGTGGTCCCTGTTGACTCACCGAAGCCCCCTTCTAGGAAGTCTAGCCCGTCTACCCCAACGCGGGCCTTGGAGGAAGTGTTGGACGACGCGATCTCTGTTAAAGAGGAGGCTGTGACTGTGGCCGATACAGACGTGGATAGAGATATTGAAGGTGCTCTTGGACTAGACGAGCCTGCCCCTGTTCCTGCGGTCAATTCCTTCGATGTTGAAGACGAGCTCCTGAGTTTAGTGGATGATCATAAGGATCAGAAACCCGCCTTGGCGCCTCGCTCTCCGGAAGCCCACCGTCGTAAACAGGACCATTCACCCGCCCAGGCACCCTTCAAAGCACCTTCGACGCCGGCTCCAAGTCATAAACGCAGCGCTTCTCGTAATGCCCTGCCGAGTGCTCCCATGCCCGAGCATGAATTAATGCCTCCTCCATCCATCATGCGTAGCTCAAGCGGCAGTAAAGATAAGACCGCTGCTGCGGATCGTTCGAAGTCTTCCAGCAAAAAAGAAGAGCCTGCGAAGAGCGATGTCACGACAGGTCCCTCTCTGCAGGCGAAAAAGAAAGTACGTACTTCCTTCACTTTTGTTCGACATCCTCTTTAAAGGTCCTAATCAAACATCTGGCTAGTCTGCGTCCAAGCCAAAGGCCCCTCCAAAGCCGAAGAAGACTGCTTCTGGTACGAAAGCTAAGTCTAGAGTGAAAGCGCTTCAGGACGAGGACGCTTCCTCCGCACCTGCGAGAAGCAAAAAGGCTTCTCCCTCCACTGGTGGAGCCAAAAGTAGGGCGAAGTCTGGTTCCGTGGCTAGGTCAAGATCTACTTCAGTTCTCCCCATCCGACTGGGATCGGCTGCGCCTGATCCGGAGACCATAAGGAAGGAGGATGAGGACGTCCAAGAAGACGAGGAGGACCTTGCAGACAAAGCCGACGATGACAAGCTCTATTGTATCTGTAAGACTAAGTACGACGAAGACAAAGTCATGATTGCATGCGATCGGTTAGTGCTACGGCTCACGTCTTTCCAATGAGTGGCATTGTGCTGATTCTCTTGTTTAATGGTTTGCTAGATGCGACGAATGGTACCATACGCTATGCGTTAATATGCCCGACTTAGAAATCGATCTCGTCGATACCTTCATTTGTCCCCCTTGCGTCGAGAGTGGGTGCACTATCCGTTCTCTAGCGCTGTTACTTATCCTTGGAGATTTCAGACAATCCTCAGCTCTCCCTTGAAACGACATACAAACGACGTTGCTTCGCCGGGCTCCAGCATCCCAGTCCCTCTTCTCCCAGCGCGTGTCATAAGCCTGCCCGCGGCGCTTTATCCAAGTACTGCTCTGACGAGTGCGGGGTGAAGTACATGCAGCAGCGCATAGATGCATGGACAGCCAAAGGAGGCAGTACGCGACTACTCTGGGATTCGGTTAAGAATGCAGAGAGGCGAGAGGGGGTGGTTGTTCAGGCGGACAGACTGAGCTTGTTGCAATACGATCCGACCGGCGCATCCGTTCTGGCAGCCGAGTGCAGTGTTAAACATGATCGGGAAGTGGAACGCCTCCGGTCGCGACTGGACAGAGTGATGAAGACCCGTGAGCAGCTAAAGAAAGAGATGGAAGTGGTGATATGGCGTCAGAAGCTGGTTGAGCTTGCCTCAGATAGGGCCAACAGGGTGGATGAATGTGGCTGGGACCAGCGACTCTGCTTCGACGATGAGGAGTGGGCCGAGTTCGGTGCTGGGGTGCTGGAGAGCTACGAGGAATCTCAAGAGGACGTGGATCAAACTGTGAACGGCATGCAGGTGGACGGACCTGTGGCCGAACACGGAGAGTGGTGGTGCAAAGGAAAGAAGAAGTGCGATCGACACGCCGGGTGTGTATGAGGCTTCACTTCACCCGACCTATACTTAATATGCATGGTCGTCTTTGCAACAGGTGGCAGAAGCTCCGGATTGCTGAGGTGGACTTCGAGAAGGAAACCAAAGAAGCGACCATCGCAAAACTCACCACTCAGGAGCGAGAGCTCCGCAAGCGAATCGAGGATATACTGGAGCCGAAAGACACGAAAATGTCCAAGATGCCCCTAAAACCATCGAATACAAAGCCTGCAGTCAATGGCCATTCTAGTGTGAAGGTTAATGGAGATGCTGGCCGGAAGGGCAAGAAAAGGAAAGCAGAATTCGCATAGACTCTTGTAATTGTTAGGATCCGTGATATCTACCGTCTTTTGCCTCGGCAAGTTCTGCACAATGCTGTCCATTCACGACCATGTCTCCGCGAAGACAGCTTCATTCTACATGGGTTAAACAGAGATATGTCCTACCCTGTTATAGCATATATATGGAGTTGAGGCGTAATGAATCTGCCATGAATATCTCCAAGTTGATGCCGAGTAGGGCAGTATTAGCCGTCAGTATCCGTCACCTTCGCCGCCCTCTTTACAGAAGCCCCTCTGCTCGTACAGCACATTGGCCTTGTATTCTTCCCGGTGCTTCTTTGCGGCGATGTCCTCTTTGTGGTATGGTTCGAGCGTATTCCACTCAACCTGTCGCAAGGGCACATCGTCTTCCTGATCCAAATCCTACGATTCATGTGCCAAGTCATGTTCCGATCTTCAGGGCGAGGATGCGGATACCTACTATTTCGCCAAGCAGAACTACGTTCTCCCCGCGAATGAGGTATAGTCCTTGCCACCTCTCCGCGAAGACATCTGCATGGTATATGCGTTCCACAGTATCCTCGAGAACTAGGTTCGCTGTAATAGGAGCAGGTATCATGAAGCCCTCGCAGGGTCGTGAAGAGATAATACTACTCACCAAACTGATCATATGACCTTAGGACACCAATTAACTTCCGGCCGTCTCTCAATACCACCATCATCTTTCCTGTCCCAACCGAACGTGAACGGCAGCAATATCACGGTAGGCTCAGGTTTCTTGAGTGGTGGCACGGTTAGACTGTGGTAGACGTACTGTCCACACAATCCACAAGAGATCCCGAGGTTGTAAATGGTATTAATGAATCCATGAACCAGTTGGGTGAGTTCTGAGTAGTGCTCAAAGATGAACTTGAGAAGACTTTCAAGCCTGAGGCCCAGTCGGGCCTGATGGATCGCAATAATTCAGATTTAACCCGTTATCACATGCTCCATGAGCTATACCGATAAAGCTGATATGGCCGAGTCGTTAAGGCGAGTGATTTGAATTAACAATCTTATCACTTGGGCATTGCCCGCGTAGGTTCAAATCCTGCTGTCAGCGTTCTTTTGTGGACTTTGCATTCTTACTGTACTTCCTGTCTTTCCTTACAGGACTGCATGTGCATTGAGCCGAGTACCTTTACGTAGAGTTATGACTGCATGATAGATGTTTCGATTTTTGTTGCTCGGCGAAGTGTCGGCTTCCGGATTCCGGAGAGGTTCCACAGACGGTCGTAGGTTGGACAGCCGGTAGTCCATAACTCTGTAGGCAACCCGTTCATATGCCAGATGGTGTGCCGCATCGCCGAACGTACTGTGATGATGTCCCACATTTACTCTCAATTGACACAATGACCAGTGTTCGTAGTTGGGCAGTGAAACTGAAGGATTATGCTCGAAAGGAGAAATGACGTGTGGAAAGTTGCTTGCTATTATGGATCACCATGAAATCGGTAGTACCGAATCATCCGACAGCCGTCGACACACTCCTAGCTAGTCAGAAAGAGACAACGTTTCTGCGCTGTGAGGGTAATAAGACCCATGTCACTTGTGTCGATCGTGATCCGTGTGGACATACTTTAGGAATCCGGCGACGAGCCTTTGTCAAAATATTGCCATTGTCCAGGTTCAGGCTTTTCCTCCAAAGGTTCCCATCTAAACACCAGGTCAGACTCGGTAGGTATTGAACGATACAAAGACTGCTCACGGCTTCCACTCCAGCATCTTCAACACGAGGCTTTCTTCGTCCTTCGCCACTTCCAATACTTCTTCTATGTGTCCCTCATCTAGCTGCTTCTCCGCTTCCTCAATGTTCCCGTTGACGCCCTGGACAATCTTCAGTTTCCGTGATGTCAGGGCCTCCGCACCCTGACGGTAGACAGCGGTCTCGGGAACTTTGGAAAGTAACGATAATGTATTCTCGTACGTCTTCACCAGCTCGGGAAGTGGGTTCGAATGAACATGTAGTCCCGTTATCCCAGTGCTTGATTTCAGGATTTGTTGGAAGAGCGGGCGGGTTAGACGAAACATAGTGGTCCGGGGGCAAACAGAGGCTCCGACGCGCGACGCGATTGATGCCTTCGTTGCATACCGAATTAGGAAATACACTGAGCCCTCGCCGAAGAAATTGCCTGCTCAGGACCCAGGTTGCTCACAACCATGGCTGCCGTCGCATTGCACCAGGCTGGCTCGTTAATTTCTGCTTCAAGGATATCCATCTTTGCTCCGTTTCTGTCATATGCCGCGTTTGTTCCTTCTGTGTTGAGTCTGCCATCCTTCAGATGGTCAATACCTACCCTGCCGTCATTGCTTGACCTCTTTCCCCCTTTCCTTCTTGCGGTGCCTAAGAAGAAGACGTCACATTCGCGGAAACGCATGCGTAGCGCAAATAAGGGCCTGAAGGATAAGCTGAGTATGGTTATGTTCACCCGTATCTGCGTCCCGTGCAGGCGAATGACGTTCCTTAGATCTCGTTCACTGTCCGGCTTGCGGTACACCTAAGCTTGCACACAATCTCTGCCCGAATTGCTATTCTCAGTTAAGTCGAGGCTGGAAGCAACAGATGAAGGAACAGCAGTAAACGCACCGGTCGCTAGTAAAATGGCCGTTAGTAAGTCTTGTCCTTAGGTCCTTCTCCGTAATTCTTACATAACTCACCGAGTCACTCTCAGCCTCCTCCAAATATTCGCATATAGTTTGCTCATGCAAGAGGAGCCAACATCCTCGGTGTCGATCCGTCTCTAGCGTTGGTCTGTCCAGCGCGCCACCACTAGCTCACGATGATCGGCCTATAGTGCCCTTCATCCCCCATATATTATTGGATGCTGTCTAGTCTTCAGCATTCACCATGACCAGCCTGTAATATTCCCTCCGTAATGAATTTGGTCGGATTACGCGAGCCTTTCTGCTTGACTGCTGGTTACTTCTACTTCTCGCTTTAAATTCGGATTCCTGCACAAGGAAGCGCGTCCGCAGATGATTACGCTGATTGTCGTATGCTTATATATTTCACTGTCGTTAGAAGGACACGACGACTGGATCTGAACGTGGGCGTTCGTCACGTGCGCAGGAGGAGATCGGATTCGGGGATGAGCGGTCCTGAATCGCTACCACTATGTGCGGGGTAATACAAGGATCAAAGGTTGTACCGCTCCCTCATCCTCAACGACTACCGGCACGACATGTTAGCTCGACGCTATCTTTCCCGTGCACCAGGTCTGTCGCGTGCAGCTTCGACCCAAGCCCGCGGTCGGGAAGCAATTCTTCAGAAGAGGCCGGATGATGTGGTTATAACATTCGCGAAGCGTACTGCTATGTCGAGAGCTAAGAAAGGACAGCTGAAGGATATCCCAGTCGACGAACTCTTGCATGGCTTCTTTAAAGTCCGTCTCAGACGGCTCGTATATCCTTACCCGAGCTAATTCTTATGGCGACAATAGGCCACACTCGAACATACCAAACTTGATCCCTCCAAAATAGAGGACATCTGCGTCGGTCGGTAGACCTTATCCGTGAGACATGACTCTCGAGCTTATTTTACTGATCCAGGTACTTGTCATCCGCCGTCCCCACTGTACATCTCTCGTGCAGCTGCACTGGCTGCAGGCATACCTTATTCAGTGCCGATACAGACAGTAAATCGTCTGTGCTCGTCAGGTCTTATGGCAATCAGGAGCATTGCCCATGCTATCCAGTCGGGTGACATCTCACTTGGTGTTGCGGTCGGCGTCGAGAGCATGTCCCAGAAGTCAGTATCATTATTAGACCCGAAAAGGGCCGTTCTGACAGGGCCATGACCAGCCCTCGGCCTACCCCAGAAGTGACAGAGCCAGTAGACAGGAACCCCCACGCTCACGACTGTATTCAGGTGATCAGATCACCTGGCACTGCCTGAACAGATACTAACGTCGTCATTCAGCCCATGGGATGGACCTCCGAGATGGTTGCGCAGACATACGGGATAACCCGACAAAAACAGGACGAGTATGCGTTAATCTCGCACACCCGAGCCGAGAAGGTCAGCCCGAGTTGCTTTCCAATGTATTCACTGACCTTGTTGCATTCGCAGGCCGTCTCGAAGGGTATCTTCGCAGAAGAAGTCCTTCCCATTGAACTGCGGGGAGCAGTAGTCTCCGTGGATGACACAGTGCGACCCGGAGTCACGATGGAATCACTTTCAAAGCTGAAACCAGTATTTCCGGACTGGGGTGAAGCTTCCACGACTGCCGGCAATGCAAGCGGCGTCGGAGATGGCGCAGCCCTCTGTATCATGACTACTAGAGCACGCGCTGAGAAGGAGGGCTTGCCTATCCTTGGTAAATGGGTTACAAGCGTGACTGTTGGCGTGGAACCCCGTGTCATGGGTAGCTATCCTACCTCCTGTCAGTCTATCATGTCTGATCTGCTGGTATGCAGGAATCGCGCCAATTCCGGCGGTGAACAAGATCCTCGACCAAGCCGGTTTGACCAAAGAGGATATCGACATCTTCGAGGCAAGAATCCTTGATCCTGCGCTTCCATCAATAATAGCTAACGACGACGACCGGTACAGATCAATGAGGCATTTGCATCGCAGTTCGCATACTGCGTGGAGCAGCTGAAGATACCGATGGAAAAGATCAATCCTAAGTAAGTCTAGCGGAAAACGGCATTGTCACAGAACTCAACCCTTGCTTCAGCGGCGGCTCCATTGCGTTGACGCATCCCCTCGGGATGAGTATGTGGTTGTAACATATCGTGGAGACCAGCAACTAACCCATTTGTATAGCTGGTACACGTCAAGTTGTCACAGGTCTGGCAGAGTTGAAGAGGAGACATGGACAACTCCTATGCACGAGCATGTGCGTTGGGAGCGGCATGGGTGCTGCTGGTATCTTTGTCAACGAACATGTGTGAACGAGGGTCCGGTTCCGTCATCTATTCATGCACAAGTGACAATAACGGAGGTTGCGCCATACTGAAGCTAGTGGAATATATTTAACGAGCATTACTCGCTGGGCTTGCTAGCTTTGAGGGCGGCGTCGACGACTTCTGCTATGCCTATCAGGGCTTCTTCCTCGAGCGTCCGCCCAACAAGCTGCAACGATATTGGCGCGTCGTGGAACAGAGTGGGATCATCTGCAACAACACCATGATCCGTTGTCCCCGAGATAAATGAAGAGTGACTTACACCACTCCTGCAATTCCCTGTCTGTGACACTGAAGTACTGTTCGGGTGGAGCCTTGACATCGATGACCTGGTCTACTTGCGAGACTGGGATAATTACCACAGGATAATCCAACACATTGTAGACTCGGGTATATCCTGCCGGTCTGTTTTTCTAGGTTTCAGTGATACTTCCACTCCGATACGAATAACCGAACCTGTTCTTTCCATGCGGAGGAGCGGCATACGGCGCTGCAGGTGCAATGATCGCATCTACAGGTCTCCCAGTACCCGTATCTTGTACCGTCTTCTCCCAAAGATCCAGGTACTCCTTACGCAGCTCCGCCTTTCTCTTGTGAAGCTGCCAGAGCCTGTAGGCCGAAATATCGCCCTGAGGGAAGCGGGAATCTACCACAGCTTCGGTGATCGTCTCCGAGTCCGGAAGCATCGTGGCAATTATTGGCTCTCCTGTGTCCAGCGTCGTGACCTGGAAATCCTCTCGGGCCCCTGCACTCCAGATGGCCGTCTGCACCACAGTCATTCACGGCTGCATACGGAATTCGAGTGCAGCACTCACCACAGTGTCGCTCATTTCCTTGTGATTGATTGGCTTCCAGTCTATGACTAAAAATGGTGGGGTGATCAGTGATGTACGATTCTCTCCATTAGATGACTTACCTGCGTGGCCAGCTTTGACCAAGGCGTCTTTCGTTAATTTCAAACCCCGCAGGACAGGTGGATGAGGTGTAAGGACGCCATCGTTCCACATGATACCGAAGCAAAGGTGTTTTCCTCCGCCATGTTCTGAGAGCTCATAAGCGCTCTCGTCCCAGGGCTTCCGCACAGCAAACGGGTCTTTCGTCCACGGTTTCAGGTCTACAACGGCTTTTAAAAATGCCTTGATACCGCTGAGACTGTTAGACATTGGCCCGAAGACAGAAGGCACGGAGTCTTGTCCCTCCAGGGAATTCATTGCCCCCTCGTACGGCACGCGATGGTAGGACGGCCGGAGTCCGTATAAGCCACAGTATGCAGCCGGAATTCGGATGGAGCTGGGCGGGTGAGATGTTAGCATCTATCCAAACGCCACATCGCACCTACCCTCCAACATCTGATCCCACCCCTAGTGGACTGCCCTTGGAAGCGATCAGCGCTCCTTCACCTCCGGAAGAACCTCCGCAAGTGAGTGATCTATTGTAGGGGTTTGTGGTCCTCCCAAACACGTTATTGAACGTCTCTCCCCACTAGTAGGGATAACGCCGCATAATCAGAGACGCATCAATTCCCGGCACCCTACACACTCGCCATCAAGGTTTGAGGAACATTAATCCGTACGAAAGGCACAGCTCCTGCTTCGAGTAGGATATCGACCAATACTGCATTCTTCTTTGCATATTTGCCAATCAAGGATACATAGCCTAATAATCTTCTTCAGATCTTCGTGACGAGGGGAATTACATGGGCCTTACCGATCGTCGTCTCCAGTCCCTCTATAGACAACTGGTCTTTCAGGGAAACGGGGAGACCGTGGAGGGGTCCTGCGACTACTCCGGTTCTCTCCAAGCGAGCGTCCAGCTCAGAAGCGATTTTTAAAGCGCGCTCCACAAAAATCTCAGTCAAGCAGTTCGTCTAGTGTTTAAATACAGTGTTATCAGCGCGCGGACCGCATCAAGCTACACGCAGGAACTCACGACTTGATGAGCTAGTATGGCCCTCTTATAGAACGCAATAGTGACATCGACGGAGGACCACTCGCGAGTCGCGAGCTTCTGAAGTAGGACCTCCACGTCAACTTCATTTGTTATGAGTAATTCCTGCGGCGACAGTAATCCACACTGCTCAGGAAAACCGACGACCTTGAGCGTATCAGCCGGAGGCGTTGGGACAACCCATTCTTTGGGAATCGCCTCCGTCTGCCGTCGTAGTTTGTCCTCAACCAAAAACTTCCAGGAGGTCATGGTTGCAGAACGGGTGGAAAGCAAGCAGGAGCGTAACGTTCAGATAAGAGAACAGAGGGAGAGGTAGTTGTCAGCGAGCGGCATGTACGGCATTTTATTCATAGCCAGAAAGTGAGATAGAATACAGAGATGGAACGTGAGGTATGAAAATGATAAGAGACGATACAGAACATTCCCATGTCCGATAGCAGACCGGAACGAGCAAGCTCCAGCCACTGCATGCAAGGCTAAGACCAATGACAGGTTCATCTGCGGTGGTGACATGTCAGTAAAAAACATGATACGGAACAGAATATAAAGCTCAGAAAGTCATTCATGTCAGTGACTGCGAAGACGAGTCCCCGCCGTCAGGTCGACTAAGAGGTGCCAGTAGTGGTTGTAGTACAACACTCTTCATCGGCAAAAGAAAGTATCAGGACACTCACGATACGATTCAACCAAGTCCTATTCGGCCGCGCGCGCCCAGGAAGGAGGAGAAGAAAAAGATGAATGAACCTTTTCAGAAAACTCGGTCTAAATAGGTAAGTGCCGGCATTTGCCGTATCCTGTACCGCCGGCGTCTATCCCACTCCTGAAGGCTTCCCCAGTCGTTCTCAGAATCCTAGACCCCCTCGGTATCCCTCAAGGTTAGTCGTCGTTCGTCTACCATGGCTCAGGAGATGTGCCTTTGGATGGATCCTGTAACTCACAGGGTCGACTGGTGATGTTCGAGATCCGAAAAGGATGGATGGAGATTGGAGCTGTTGGATGGACTGTTGAAGAGATAGCTGACTCCGTTTGATAGCAAGCACCTCGGCACTCAAGATGTCCGCTCAAATCAGCAAGAAGAGAAAGTTCGTCGCCGACGGTGTGTTCCGCGCTGAACTCAATGAGTTCTTCATGCGCGAGCTTGCTGAGGAGGGCTACTCTGGGTGTGATGTCCGTGTAACGCACGCCCGTACTGAAGTGGGTACAACGTTGCTCGGCCTGCATCCATGTCCGACATTGACTCCACGTGCAAATCCAGATCATCATCCGCGCCACGCACACCCAGGAGGTGCTGGGAGAGAAAGGCCGCCGCATCAGGGAGCTCACCTCCCTTGTCCAAAAGCGTTTCAAGTTCCCTGAGAACTCCCTCGAATTGTATGCCGAGAAGGTGCAATACCGTGGGCTGTCTGCTATCGCTCAGTGCGAGTCTCTCCGCTACAAGCTCCTTGGTGGCCTTGCTGTTCGGAGGTAGGAATCCGTCCTCCGATGTAATAAGGCCAACTCTAATCTAGCCACGTAGGGCTTGCTATGGTGTCCTCCGTTTCGTCATGGAGTCCGGTGCGAAGGGTTGCGAAGTTGTCGTGTCCGGCAAGCTTCGTGCTGCTCGTGCCAAGTCCATGAAGTTCACCGATGGCTTCATGATCCACTCCGGCCAACCTGCCCGTGACTTCGTTGACTACGCCGTTCGGCACGTTATGTTAAGACAGGGTGTTTTGGGCATCAAAGTCAAAATGTGCGTTCATGCGAGTTTCCCAACTAAATGGTAATCTAACTGTCGTTCTTCATAGCATGAAGGGCTGGGATCCTGAGGGTAACCTTGGTCCTCGGAAGCCTCTCCCTGACTCCGTTCAAATCCATGAGCCTCCTCTCGACAAGATCATCACTGAGCCGTCGTCCGAGCAACGTGAGCCGGTCATTGTTTCGCAGACGTTGCCTGTTGCGGAGGAGCCTCCCGCTGCATCTTACGCTCCGGACGCCGGCTACCAAGCCGAGCAGTTCACGGAGCAGCCTGCTTTCTAATCCTTTGGACTGTATCCCGTATGATTATGACATTGTATGTTGTCAATGCATCTCCGCCAGTGCCCAGTGGAGGGCTGATCATGTCGAACGCTATGAGGGTACCTATGCAAGTATTCCGAGTCTATCGGGCTGGGCATGCATACGCGAACCCCTAGATGTCAGTACTGGTCTATCGATTTCAAATCGTACGGGTGGTACTGCTGCCGGCCCGACCGCCCAAGGGCAACTCGAAGGTTACCTCCCTCCCTTCTCCCCATCTCCATCCCGATGGTGGTACCCCGGCACGTCCCGCACTGACGCTGACGTGCAAGTTCGAGAGACTCTGAGACGGATCTGATGCAGTAATGTTGCCGGTTCTCAAGTCGTAAACTACGATGGAATTGCCGTCGGCCGCGACAGTCATAGGGGTGCCCAAGAATGGAGTGAACTCTGCTGATCCGCCTGAAGGGCTCCAGAATACGAAGAGGGCGGTTTGGTGGGTTGTATCGTAGACTGCTGATACATCGCCGTCATTCTGGATTGTCTGAAGTCCTGAAACGAGGCTCTTGTACTGGAAGGGTCCCAAGCTCGCGCCAGGGTAGACAGTATACGACAAAGAAGCATCTTCAGGTGCGTGTTCCACCCAGGCGGCGAACAGGTCTACAGTTTCCGGAGGCTGTTTGGACGTCCCAATGGCCGACCAGTCCCCGGTTTTGTTTCCACTCTGCACAGATAAGTGGACACCCTTCGAGCCCTCGTCGAACGTATAGCCCACGTTTCCATGCCAGATTGACCGTGCTTGCGTGAAGTTGCCGCCATCCTCTGGTATAGGGAGGCCATTAACCCACACTTGCCCGACGTGCTTCCTCTGATCCAGGACGGAGTACACGGGAGCGTCGCTCGCGGACTGAATGCTATTGACCATCACATGCTGCACGTCGTCCTCGAGGAAGAACCACGCCTTCTGCCAAGTGAGATCACCGGTGTCGGGGTTGGTGTAGCGCATGGCAGCGACGCCGACGGTGCCAGTTGAAGCGCCACCGACGAAATCTTCGACGCCTGTGTATCCGGCGTCGTCGCAGTCGAGCTCAGTGCCACCGTAGTCGACTGTTGTGCCGGGGATGAGATTCCAGTCCCATGCGGCCGCGATGTCCTCATACTCATCGCCGCGCAGGTACGTGTACAATGTGCCATCCGACAGATGGAAGCCAAACGGCTATAGATATCGGCACGAGGTCAGCGATGGCACAATAAGGATGAATGGAACTGCTGTACATTTTGTGAGTTCGTGCACTCAGTGGTTTTCGTCCTGTCCGAGAACATCTTCAACGTTGTCACATAGCCTGGACCTCTGTGAACCTGAGACTGGCATAAGCCATAGTCCCGCGACCGCGGAATGCGAAGTGCAGCTAAAGGCGTACCATGTAATCATTGTTGTAGAACATTCTGTTGCCGTACAGTTTACCAGCATTAGCATCGGTGGTGTTCTCTGACAACGAGTAATAGGCGTCGCGAAGAACACTCGAGTTCCAGGTTTCGCCTAGCTCCAGGATCTCGGTCAAGTTTAGGTTTATACTGGCAGTAGCCCTAGAAGAAGGCGTCAGCGATTGGAACACCAGAAAATGTCAGCAGAACTCACTGGCCGTCTGCTACAGGAAAGCTGATAAAGCGGGGAAGAGTGCTCTACACGAATGTTGTTGAGTGTGAGCACGGAGTTGGAGACACGGGGCACGCACGAAGTCCCAGTGGAGGACACCGGTAAGAATATTGCGATAGATCATCCACCGGTCCCCGTCGATCAGAGTTTCCAGGGCCTCCCTGCTTGCGTTCGTAGCGGCCAGTTGAGTGCCAGCCGCTTCGAGCTCAATGCCCAGGTCGTCATTAGTACTGGAGCCCTCGTCATCGTGTCAGCACCCCCCGCCTGGAGATCACCGCAGACTCACTAATCCTTTCCATAGTTGCCATTATACAGCAACCCTATATGCTGCCCGAAACTCCCATCCCTTCTGATCCCATCACTGGAGACTTCGTCATGGACCTGCACCTCGGCGTGGATCTTCGCGAACGCGTTCTGGACGAGGGTCGCGTTGCCCGTGCGCAGGCCCTCGTCGACGCCGATCTTGGCGATGTCGAGGATGTTCGCGCCGGAGACGAAACCCTGCCCGGAGGTGAATGTGCCATAGGCGCGCGTGGTGATGTGCGTGCAGTTGGATTGTTGAGTCGGGGTGAGGACGGACAAGGGCGAGGAGAGGAGCAGGCAGGTCTCGGCGACGAGGTTGGGAATGAGGATGACCTGTGCGTTTGGGCCCGCGTCAATAGTGGTAAGGTAAAACTGTTCGGACATGTACGTTGGAGAACCAATTGGTGTTCCATAGCCCGGGAGTGCCGCAGGGACAGTTCTTCTTCCCGCCGTTATACAGACAGTCGTACTCGGTGAAGTCATTCTGGAACCAGTAATCCATAGCTGAAGAGATGCTACTCTTCAGCTCGGTATTATTGACCCATTGGTCCCCGTTGGGTACTCCCCCGTGGAAGGCGGCAGCCATAGTACCTGTTCAAATGCACACGCATGATCAGAGCGGGAACATAGATGTTGGGTGTAGCCTCCACGTACTGATATGATACCAGTGGGTTGCTGCGGGCCAGTTCGCCCGCTGGGCATCACAGCCGGTCGAATAATCTACCTGAGAATCGGGCCATTTCCCGTCGGATCCCAAGGAGCTCATCCTGAACAACACCGGGGAGGGCTGTCAGCGAGGCGGCGATTCGAGTGATTGGAATGCGTACCAGAAAGGGATATTAGAGACTCCAGTGATGCCCTGTATGATCAAGGGAATGCGGCGGGAGCGAAGAGTCTCCAGGTCAGACTCCATGGATGAGGTAGGAGCTGCATTATCTGCTGACGTTGAGGTACTTGGTATGCCAGGAGCGTTCGGGGACTGCCCGTATTGACCTGTTAGTGCACCATCATGCGTGTGCGGTAAGAGACTGACCAGAGAAATTGACGACGCCTCAACCGGGATAAAAGGTATCGTACTCGTCACAATGTACGAGGAAGACGGAAGCGGGGATGATGCAGACGTGCTGATACTTTGGGCAGATGCAAGCGTGGAACTAGCAATGACCAACGAAGTGTACGACGCGGATGGAATCGATACAAGAAGCGAAGACGGATCAGAAGAGACAGCAGGGAGAGCGATAACACCTTGAGAAGCGAAAGAGAATAACGGGATAAACGAGAGACAGGCAAGGGTTAGCGAACCCTTTAAAGCGGATAACATGACAGACGAGAGCTGGAGCACAGGCAATCCCCAGTGCAGCTTTAGGCAAGAACCTGCACGTTTACGACACGGCTGACCGGGCTAATCAAAGCAGTCGGCTGACCAGTCATGATCAGAAATCCATCCGCATTGCTTGGCATGCATTGAAACCGCATAACTGCCACAAACTGGGCATTGCGGAACTGCAGAACAACATCAGTGAAGCCCGCCAATGCTTATTTTAGGAGACCTCGAGTGCTTACTTTGTTTGCTTGTCCGTCTTTCTGTCCCGATTGCTCATGAGCTTGATCAGGCTGGCTGTGCAGCAGATCTCAGATTGCCTCCCGCCGATCGGAATGCCACACCTTGCCCCGACCGGAACTAAGTACAGAACATGGTCCCGGATGCCTTCTCGCAAGTCCAGCACCATTGACCTCTCGCAGGGGTGGCACAGTGTCGCTGGAGATTACCAGGAAATAACCGAATTATTGTGATATATACAGGCTCGAGAAATATTGGGGTAATGTACATGAAGTCGATGATTACCCGCAACTAGTATCATCGGTGGGTCAGGAACATGTAGAAGGTCTGGGATTCTAACCGTCATCAGCGATAGACACAACGTCGTGCAAGGTGATGCCATAGTCGGAATGGTCAGTTCACATCCATCGGCACCATCGTGGTCAGTCGCTGCTTGCGAACAGGATTCGCCAGAGCACTGAGGTTTATGTCTCTGCAGGGCAGGTTTACTGTCAACTAGCCTATATACAATCGAAACCTAATCCACTCACTTTATAAGATCATCCACTGGAATACGCCCATCCGGTTGCTCGCGCGCGATCTTCGCGTAGCTGTCCAAGTAGGCCTGGTTAATATACCTGCAGCCGAATATCACACCTTGGCCGCCGTCCTTATGGATCCACATGAAGGGAACGAGAATATTACGTCCAGGCGCATCCATGAGGCCTCGCGCTTCACATTCCTTCCGCATTTGATCCCTGGTGTTCTCGAGGTTCGGAGGGGGTTGATCAATCAGCGCCGCCTTATCAATTTGGAACAACTTCGGCACTTTCTTTGGGATGGGAGGAGGCTCGAGGCCAGACATGAGGTATCGTAGGTGCTCCGCCGCCATACGCGTGTCGATGGACTCGACGTGGCAAGAAAGCGCTACGCATTTGGTGTCCGCGTTCTCCGGGTGGTTCATCAAGTTCATAACAGTCACGAGTACCACGTCGATGTCGGCCATAAAGTCTGCGTCAACGGTTAGCTTCTTAGCCAGCTTGAGGGTGGGCTGGTTGTTAGGGTCATTCTGATTACAGAGCCTCTTGTGGGTGGGCCTGGAGAATAACTAAGTCAGCAGGAACGGTGATCATAGCTTCTGAAACATCTCACCAGTCAGCCTTTTGACACTGCGGCACAGCGCATGAGCAAGGGAAGCTGGTAATTACCTGGCATCCTACGCACCTCTCTCGAGCAGTAGCCCATAGTTTTGCATCGAGAACACAATTTTATGTCCGCCTTGTTGTCCTTCAGTTTCCGACAATTGGCGCATTCCCAAGTCTTCCTGACCACAGGTACTTCCTGGCTCTCAGAGTCTTCAACTTCTTGAACTACGGCAGGCATATTGAAAACGCTGGTGGCAAGAATTGCTGTACTTCACGCAATATCGACGTTCTCCTTACAGAGAAGACTGATAGGCTTTTGCGTTGGGAACACGAAGCAAACAGTTATGCATTTGGAAAGTCCGCGGACGTAATACATTACTCTCGGCTAAATATACCCTAGTGTGGGTCCATATGTACGACGGCAGTCCCAAGATCAAGAATGAAAGCAATGGCTACAGATCCCACATGACGGTGGGGATAACTACAGGATATGGCTACAATAAAGGTCACGTCTATGGGAGATACGTTGGTTGTGATCATAATGTCCTTTTCGCCCCGGAAGCAGTCTGGGGATGCGTTGCTTGCGCTCTACTTGCCACCACTGGTTACATGCAGTTTGGCCAGTGCGCAGACAAGGGGTACGGCGTAGAAAGCATATGCTACGTACACCACTAGAGGTAAGTGTCAGCCAAATCCTGCGCGAGATAAGGATCAGCTTACTGATAAAGCCATTGCTGGTATTGGCAACGAGGGCGGGGGCACTACCGCCGGCCTTCGTGATCGTCTTGTTGAAGTCTTCTACGGCCTTGCCAAACCACATACGAATGACCAGGAAAGACGTCAAACCTAGAGGGGTGATAGAACTTAGATATGTACATAAGCGAAGTATTGGCGGTACCAACCGATCATGAACCCAAACAAGCCAACCCAAGCGACAAGACGCTGGATGGTCGGTCTGTCCAGCGCGGTCTCCATCTTTGGGCCGAGCTTGTGGCGGAACGAGGTCATAGAGAAGAGCAGGAAGAATAAGATTGAGAAGCCCAGTGAAACTGCGATGAAGGCTGGCGTCGTAGCAGTGGGTGCAGACAAGAGGTCCGGTGCATTATCAGGTAAGACGGACAGGTCTACAGGATGCGCTGAGTATGTGGGGAAATGCGCATAAGTGAAGAGAACCTACCATAGACAGGCGACAGCGTCGGAACTGTGCAAGTTACTTCGGATCCATCATTCGGCCGAGAGCAGGAACCTTTGCACAATGTGAGTCAGATGCTTGCGAGACAAGAGAAGGCACCAATTACCGAGCGCTCCCAGAAAGACAGTAGGGCCATCGATGTGTTGCGTTGAGTCTTGCGTGAGGGAGAGAGACGGAGAAACCGTCAACAATGCGACCCGGTCGTGCAGCATCACTGTGGGGGATAGGTATGCGAAGAGGGATAGCAGCAGAGCCGTCAAGGACAGTGCTGGAGAAAGGTAGAGCGTAATGAACTTGGATAGGCCAGCAATCATAACGTCTAGCGTTCAATGCGATTCTTGAAAGAGAGACGGAGGATTAAAGACAGTCGTAAAAGTCAAGACTTGAGGAAAGAGAGAACGAGAAAAGTGATCCTGCGACACCGGGCGCAATGGAAAAGCCAGCAGACGTCCATTGAGACTTATATACGGCGGGCTGTAGGTCCAGAATTCTAGCATCAATTACGGACACAACAATAAGACAACAAGGCGCGAGACCGCCGTCCAGCAAGAATGGGACAAGGAACAATGCACAAAGCGGTCTGATCAGTCTTGCACGTCGAAGCCGTGGTAACCAGGGTGCATGACGTAAGCAATAGCCGCCGTCCTTGTTCTGCTTTCGCGCCCTCCATACAACATCTTGAGCGTCGGCGAGCTTTTTGCTGGTGATGGCTTCCCTTGCGCGTCGGCGGGATTTGTCTGGTAATGCCATTACGACCCGTGCTTGTTCTAGACCGGCTATTTCATTGCGCACAGAGAAGGCTCTATGTCCCATCGGTTAGGGTGCCCTCCAGCCACAGGCTCCTCAGGCTGAAGTGGTCCAGGTTCCATCCGACCATGCAGTCCGAGTATCAGAGGACCACAGCCTGTAGCTTCGAGGGTCTACTGCCATGTATCACGGAGACTGGACCATGCTCGTGATTGGATTAACGCTCCCCTCCTATCCAACCGGCCACGGGATCAATCGCTTGATATGTTGTGCCGTCACAATCAACTGGTACATTAACCATGGCTCTGCCCACAAGGATAGCCAGAGCTGCAATGTCTTCCGGCAAGTGGCAAGAACTGGCGAAGGCGAAGAGAGAGCAGCTCCAACAAGGTATCCCTAAAGAATGGACCATTTCCCCGCGCTCGGAGTCCAATGTACTTCAGATTCCTGGCGAATGTGGGGTACTGAGCTCCCAAGAATTGGAGATTACATCTCTCTCAGACGTTTCCGTACTCCTGCGCAATATAGCCACTGCCAAATGGTCTTCGCTCGAAGTGACCAGGGCTTTCTGCAAGCGTGCTGCGATCGCCCATCAAGTGGTCAGTACTACGAGGTAGATTCACTATACGCTGACTGATCTCTGGAAACTCAGACGAACTGCTTGACCGATGCTTTCTTTGACTCTGCATTGAAGAAGGCAGCAGAGTTGGACGACTACCTTCAACGGAACGGCAAGGTGGTCGGACCCCTTCACGGCCTCCCTATATCGCTGAAAGACCAGTTCCAAGTCAAAGGGTACCCCACGCCAATGGGTTAGTCCGGACCTTAGACGTTATCCGAGCCGTACTTAGATATCGCAGGATACACCTCTTGGCTTGACAAGGTGGCCGAAGAAGATGCCGTCGTCGTCCAAATTCTTCGAGAGTCCGGTGCCGTGATATACGTGCGAACCAATGTACCGCAGACCTTGATGGTGCAGTCCAGTAGTGCCTTGAGGTTCTTGGGCTAACACACTCGTTCAGTGGACGGAGACGTATAACAATGTTTACGGCCGTACGGTTAACCCATTCAACACGTCCCTCACGCCTGGCGGATCCAGTGGCGGAGAAGCCGCGCTACTTGCTATGCACGGTAGTATCCTTGGTCTAGGGACCGATATCGGCGGGTTCGTTCTTTCATGAACATATGAGTCACAACTGGTACTTATAGTTGCAAACTAGATCGAGTCGGCTTCCCGCGCACTTCTGTGGTGTATACGGATTTAAACCTTCGTATCACCGCCTCCCGTGGTACGGGGCAGTCAATTCCCTGGATGGTCAGGAATCCATATCAACTGTTGTCGGGCCAATGTCGACGTCTATGAGTGGGCTTCAAATCATTACCAAGGCCATTCTGGACGCCAAGCCCTGGCGTAAGGACCCACAGGCTCTGAGAAAGCCTTGGGACCATGAAGGATATGCTTTGAGCGAGCACGTCGGAGGCAAACGCCTATGCTTCGGTATTATGTGGGACGATGGAACTCTGAAGCCACATCCGCCTGTCCTACGAGCGTTGAGGCAAGTCAAGGGTGCCTTGGAGGCCGCCGGACACTCGGGTACGGGCTATATTCCATGCATCCATTCATCCACGCTAATGGCTAGACAATTTCTCTCAGTTATCGATTGGACTCCTTACAAGCATGGCGAAATATATGATGTAACGGTATGCGGTGTTTCCCTCGCGCCCCGTTGTACTCTGACGTAGTCTATATCAGAGAGCCATCTGGTATGCTGATGGTGGCGAAGATTATGAAGCCTGTTTGTCGCCGACAGGAGAGCCGCTTATCAACTCAATGAAGCCGGGTGCAGATCCGCACGAAGTTGTGGCACATCGCAAGCCACGCGAACCGCTCTCAGCTTACAAGCTATGGCAGCTTCACAAGCAGAAGCGACGGTTAAGGAAAGAGCACCTTGACCGCTGGGAGTCTACGTCCTCTAGAACGGGTACGGGGAGGCCTATTGATGCCTTGTTGTGTCCCGTTGCCCCCTACGTGGCTGTCCCTCATGGCCAGACACGGTGAGGTATTCACGGGTCTGTGGAAGCATATATTTGCTCACACAGGCAGGGCCACAGGTCCGCAGTGTATACCATGATCTGGAATGCTTTAGATTATCCCGCATTGGCCATACCTGTGACGAAGGTGGATCCTTCTGTCGATACGGTTCAATCTCGAGAGCGATTCTTTAGCCCGGATGACGAGACCCTACACAAGCTGTGTAAGTGTGATCTTAGAGGCATCTTCTTTCTCTGAGGATAGATCCCTTCCTTAGACGATCCAGAGATATTCAAGGGAGTGCCTGTCGGAATACAACTTGTCACGCAGCCACAAGAAGAGGAGGCGTTGTTGGCGATGGGGCAGATTGTGGATGATGCTATCCGAAAGCCGTCTGAAACTTGTGGACTTTAGTTGGCCGTGTGTAATCGTGATATAATGAATATAAAACCTACATTTGGTTTCTGTCTTTGCCGACACAAGTTATGCAAGTTTCTGGGACTGTTACATCGTCAATGCCACAATTACCCGATATGGAAGGCACGGTACCATCGTTTCGGGCCTCCAGTTTTCGACTTCGACGATCGGACAGTGCACCTCCTACCAGACGCTGCACTTTTTGTAGCGCAATAATGGCAGATGCGGCTACTTTCGATGATGCGCTCGAGCCACTCTCACGACTTTCCGTGCTGGTAGCTGAACATCCGGAGTCCTTTGCAAGCGGGAGCAAAGACATTCGAGAGGCTGCACTCCACGCCACGAAGTGCGTATTCGACCTTGGTACGCTTCTTCGCGACACTTTCTTTATGTCCTCTAATTTCCATGCATCTTAAGCTTTGAAGACTGAAACTCCGTCCCAGAAGTATGTCGGTCAACTTCTTTCCTCCCTGACACCGGACCACGCTCCTCAGACTCGCTCTCAAGCGCGCGCCAATGGTAAACGAAAACGAAGCCCTAGTCCTTCTCTTCCCCAGAAGGGCGCACCACAAACAACACCGCTTTCCTCACTGTTCATTGAGGAAATGGACGACGACCAAATTTGGGCTCAACTGGAGCTGAGGGCGAAACATGTTTGCGAGACCCTGGAGGAAGCTTTAGAGGGGACAGGCGAACCGGAGGATAGCGGGGACGAGGGTTACGAGGAGTCGGATGATGGCGAGGCTGCTGGTGGTAGCGAGGATGATGATGAGAGTCTGGAGTTACAAGCCTCAGACGAAGACGTTTCGGACAAGGACGAGGACGATGATGAAGACGAGGATGAAGACGAAGAGGGCTCCTTGGACGAGGAGGCTATGGAAGATGGAACCACCGCCCTTCGAGATCCCTCTGATGATGAAGATGTGGAGGATGAAGAAGAGTATCTTTCTTTGGACGAGGTTCCCCCCCGTAAAGACAAGGCGTCTGCCCTCAAACCTCCGAAACCGAAAGTCGGTGGTCACCCCGAGCTGGATGACGGCTTCTTTGACCTTGCGGCTTTCAATGCCGAGGTTGAAGAGGCAGAAGCTCGCTCGGTTTCCAGAGGCACGCTAGGGGGCGGGGACGACGAGGATGACGACGGGGATGAGTCCTTCGACATGTTTGCCCCCGTGGATGATTTGCAAGTCGAGGAGGAGGAAGCTGTCGAGAATGCGGGTGGAGGTTTGCCTTGTCTTCTGACACCAAGCTATGGTATTGACTCGTATCGTACAGAGGCATATTATCAGGACTTCTTCGAACCGCCTGCGAAGGTTAAGACAAAAAGGAATCCTTCTCTGCCCGAAAAGAAGACCACCAAGGTACGGTTCCACGACGAGGTGCGAGTCAAGAAGATCAAAGCGAAAGGCAAAGGCCTCCCGGTGTCGTTTATGGATGATGTTCCAACTGATCTGAGCTCCGCTTACGAGTATGGTGAGGAGCTGTCTGACGAGGAAGATGATGCGGGAGGCTTTGACCTCGGAGAAGAAGAGTCAGAAGAGGACGGCGTTGACAATCCTTCCGATGAAGAAATGGAAGGGGACAGCGATGATGAGCTCGATACTCGGGATACTATGGAGCGTTTCAAGGATGATTTATTCGCAGAGGAGGAGGAGACACCTCAATCTGGTCCGTACAGTAAACTTTGTGCGCCGATGGCTTGACTGAGCGTACCTTATCAGATCTTTCTACACACGAGAAACGTATGGCTGCTCTGAGGGAGCAGATAACTGCTTTGGAAGCAGAAAATATCTCCAAGAAAGATTGGACTCTGATGGGCGAAGCTACGGCGAGGTCGCGGCCTCAGAACTCACTACTCGAAGAAGACTTGGAATTCGATCGAGTGATGAAGGTTGTACCTGTCGTGACGGAGGAGAGTGTGCAGAACCTTGAGGATCGGATAAAGGCAAGGATTCTGGAAGGCAACTTCGATGACGTGGTGCGCAAGCGCCCTCTCGACGACAAACCTTTCTTGCCGTCGCGGTTTTTCGAGCTTCAGGACACGAAGTCTAAACAATCTCTGGCGGAGATATACGAGGACGAGTACACAGCTGCACGAACTGGTGGCGTGGCCGGGGAAGATCGCGATGGTAAACTTCAGGCCGAGCACCAAGAGATTGAAAATCAGTGGGAGTCCATTTGCGCGAAATTGGATGCTCTGTGCAACGTGCACTTTACGCCGAAGCAGGTGAGTGGTCCGAGTGCAGGTTTCGTCAGGTATCCGACTGAGATGCTGTTCGTTACAGCCTAAAGCTACTATCTCGACCGTGTCCAACGTATCTGCTGCTACTCTGGAGTCAGCGCTTCCCACTTCGAAGGCAACCACCACTATGTTGGCACCCGAAGAGGTGTATGCGCCGTCGACCTCGGCCCCGCGCTCATCGAGTGAGCTCACACCGGCTGAGAAACGTGCGCTTCACAATAAGCAGAAGAAGAAGAGACGGAAGGCACGAGACCTTCTTGACAAGACAGTCGACAAAGTTGCGAGAGTGCGAGGTATCAAGGGTGTGAAGAAGCAGAAGGAGGAGGCGCTGAACAGTGTGGTGAAGAGTGGAAAGGGTGTCACGGTAATTGGGAAGAAGACGGATCAGAATGCGAAAAAAGGTCGTAGTAAGGGCTAGTATTGCTTGCCTATACTTACCACCTCTTCTGGTGCTTGCTTGTGAGTATACAATATTCCCGCTACCGTAGGTAGTGGGTCTTGGACCCCCCGGCCGTTCGCAGGTTTCCTGCGATCGTTTCAAGATCTACGCGATTTTTATTTGACACTATTTGGCTCTTAACCGTATATGGCGGACGGCAGGACCGGCACACGGCTTTGGACCAATCAAAGATGGGGTCCTCAAAGGACCCCGATTGTAGAACCACGTGGCATCTCTCTTTCCATCTTTAGCCAAGGTGGCGGATGCTGGTCAAGGGACTCAAGAGAACAGACATGACCTAGCTTGGGGCGTTGGAGATGCGGTCTCCAGGTGAAAGCAGCATACTTCAATGTCAGCTGTTTTACATAAATGTCTTGTATACTCAGAACCTGAGGGAGGAGTGAGTGGACATCTCTTCAAATCGTTGAGGTGAATGCTCAGTCGGAAATCATGGCTGGAACACAACTGCTTTCGCAAAATAAATATATTAGTATATGATGCTGCTCAGGATGTCAAGTTTTCAGCTTGCTACCAAATCTTATCTATGTCTACGGTAGCGGGCTCTGCCGCTCGCACGGCCCTACC